CTACGCGGCGTCCCCGTTCCGGTGCTGGTCGCCACCCGCGACATCGCCCCCGGGGAGCAGCTCCTGCGCGACTACGGAGCAGCCTGGTGGCGGCAGCTGGCGGGCGAGTGGGAGGTCTTGCAGTGGGCGTGGGGGCTGCGCGACCCCTCCGTCCTGCTGCATGAGCCTGCGGGGCGACGGATGCTGGATACCCGCATGGCGGCGGTGGCGCTGATGCCAGCACGGCTGCGAGTACGAATGCCGCCCGCACCGGGGCCAGGCCCGGTGGGGCTCAGCAGCAGCAGCGGGGCTGTAAGGCGGCAGCGGTGGCAGCAGTGCGTGCGAGTGCGTCAGGCCACTGGGGGGCGGGCGGGGCAGCAGCTGCTGGTGCCTCCCGCCCACCTTATTCCCCGACGTCCGAGCGCTGGTGCCGGCGTTAGGGGGTACCCGACCCGGTGATAGGGCGCTGCTGCTGCTGTTGATGGGCTGTCGTTGATGCTGCTGGTGCAGCTAGGGGCTGAGGTTAGCTGGAGGAGTGCTGGCTAGCGGGATGCGAGGGAGGCTATGGGCGCACGGGGCAGAGGTTATTGCAAGCGTGTTGGCAGCACTGTGGGGTACGACACGGGATAACACGGCATGACAGGCATACACGATACCGTACGAAGGATCATGGGCGGCAGGTAGGGCTATTTGAAGGAGGGAATTGGAGGCCGGCACGGCGATTAGGGATTCGGCTGGGGTGCTGTCCACCTGAAAGGCTGTTACGACGCACGGAGGGGTAGCCTGCTGGTGCAGCAAGGGGGAGCCTGGCGGCGTTGTACGAGGTACATGGGGTCGACGAGCGCAGGCTTGACGGCTATTGGATTGGGCCACATGGCATACCGTGTGTGGCAAGTGGTGTTGGGCATCCGTGGCCCTTGGACCCGAGGCACAGAGCTTGGGAATAAGGAATACCGGTAACCACAGAATGCAGTCTCAGACACGACGCATGCACCACGCCACCCAGTGTTACGCATGTTACATGGTAATAATAAGTGCAGCACCCGCGCTAATCCAGTGCCTGTTTCCACACTTCCATGCTTCTGAGTCTAGCTCAATCCCACAGAACTTGACAACAGGCAGCAGCCCCGGCTTGCTCAGCCGAAGCATTATGTTGTTGCGGCGCAGTGTTCATGTCCTGTCAGCGCCTCTCCAGGCTCCCTGCTTCCCAGCGCCGCACGGCACCACAGCACACATACATGCACCGAGGTCTTCAGCAGCACCCTGCTGCTACAACCGTTCTTGTACGTTACCCTCTGGCACAACCAGTCTTATACGTTTACCCCCTGGCACAACCTAGTTGGGCACCGGTAACACCTCCTTCCTTCGCGACGCTGCTTATAGCAGCGAGTCAGTACATCGCTTCGTGCAAGCCGCCAACCTTCACAATGTACGGTACCCCACAGCACCCGCATGCCAGCTCAGCACGGCTGCATGCTCACGGCTTGATACCGTGCGCCATCCAGGGCGCAGGTTTCATCTTGGCCAGCAGGAACGTCTCTAGTGCGGTGTGGCGCCAGGAGCGGCCGGGCGGGGCGGGGACGTAGGCCATCACGTCCTGGTAGCACTTGAGCGCCTCCAGGATGTAGCAGCTGATGCCGTCCTCTGTGGGGAGGGGGGAGCGCGATGGTGGCAGGACAGGGGCCAGAGCGGGGGTTAGGGAGAAACGTAACTGTTATTAACGAAACTGCGAGATAGGCTTAAGGCAGAAGGGAGGGGAAGGTAAGGAAAGAAAGCACCCGAAGCTTCCGCAAAGCATGGCAAGATTGGCAACCGAGCCATGGCCTCCATGTTTACGGAAGGGGAGAGGAGGAGGCGGAGGAAGGAAGAAGGAGGAAGGAGGAAGGGGACGAGGGGAGGGCGGAGGCAACGTGTTGGGGAGCAGCTTGGAGCCACAGTAGGCCCACTCCCGTGCGTGCCCCACCATCCAGCAGGCGGCGCAGCTTGGCGTTCTCCTCCGCAATGCTCTGCGCCCAGCCCTGGTCGGCCTCCAGTCGGCGGTGCAGCTCCTCCAGACCGCCCCACTCGGCGTCCACCGTGAGGATGTTGCGCCCCTCGGCCAGGATCTCCGTGTCCACAGCAACCCACTGCGGGTGGACGTGGGTGGGAGTGGGTGAGTGGGACGAGGAAGGGTGGGGAGAGGGGTAGGTCGGAGGTGGGGAGTAGAGGAGGTGGCGAAAGGAGCGGAAGAAGGGAGTGCGGGGGTGTCGACGTTGTCGTGCAGCCCGACTGTAACCCGACCCCTCACGTACGGCCCGCCCACCTGCAGCGGGTGTGCGATGACGACGCTGCCGCAGATGAGGTGGCTCTTCAGACGCATGCTCCACGTGTTGCCTGGGGGCGGTGTGTGGAGGGGAGACAACAAGGGGAGACATGGGGGGGGGCTGCTGGATGGTAAGGCGAGGATAGAGCAGTGGTTTTGCGGCGGCTGCGGGCGGAGACAGGGTGGTGTGCGGGCTGGCAGGGCAGGCGCCCCAGGCCTACCCTCCGTGTGTATGATGTACTTGTGCCGGCAAAAGTCTTCCAGTCGGGTGATGAGGGAGCTGACGTTGAAGTCGGGGTCGGACACCAGCTGGCCGCGCAGGGCGTCGAAGGAGGGGATCTTGGCCACGTCGGCGATGTCAGGGCGCGCGGAGAACAGGTGCAGCAGCTTCTGCAGGGAGGGAGGGAGGAGGGCAGGGTGAGGCAGCCAGCAGCAGAAACCCATGGCAGTCTTTTCGGGGCGGGGGACGCACCCGTTGCATTCATCGACAACAACCTCGGTACATCGTGGGTTGGTGGTTCCAACACGATATCCCTTCAAAGCCTCTACCACATGCAAGGCCCCAGACAGGCATCCAGTCCCCCACCCCCGCCAGCGCAACCACCCCCACCCCTCCCTCGCCCGCACCTCACGCACGGCGGGACCTCCTCCTCCCCGCCAGAACAGCTTGTTGGCCCTCTGGTTGAAGGGCAGGCTGGTGCCCATCTCCTCCGCCCGCTGCAGCAGCTGAGCCCAGGTAGCAGCGGCGATCTCGGGCCAGGCGAAGAAGAGCTGGTCGGGCCACAGCCACAGCGGCGGCCCCCGCTTGGGGGCGCAGTAGTTGAAGATGGCGCCGCCACCGCGAGGGAAGTCATCCACACCCAGGCCGAACTCCTGCAGTAGTGGGGGTGGGAAGGAGGATGTGGAGGGTGGGATGGTGTGGGGTGGCCGGTGGGGTGGGGAGGACGGAGGAGGCTGTGGATGGGGCAGCGAGTTTACGGGGTTGATGTACCCGGTCTTAGGCGGACCGCAAAGTACCGGTAGCCGGTGCTTACCACGTCCGGGAAGTTGTGGCGACCCAGGCGAGCCATGGCCCGGTAGAGCAGCATCAGGCCGGAGTACAGCCGCGTCTCAAAACTGCGCTACAGCGGGGTCGGAGGGTGTACGGCAGGATGAGGATGAAGAGGAGGCAGGGTAAAAGCTGGACGCCGAGGAGTGCAAACTTTCACAGATGCCGGGGATAGCGAAAGGGAAAGCCAAACCATGAAAGCAAAGGGTCTTAGCTTGCAGGTAATAGGGTCAAGGCAATCGTAGTTACGGAGTGTGCGCACATCCAGCGCTTTCCGTGCAAGAACGAGGAGTGCGCAATCGGGATTTCCTGCGAGGGGGGGCAGCGTAGCAGATGCATCCAGCCTGCGGCCCAAGCAAGCAAGCAAGCGTAACCCAGGCGCAAAAATCTTACCCTTCACGGCTCATATTCACAAATGCCGTTCCGTTGGATATCTGGATGAATGCTCCGGCGTTGGTGTACACCTCGTCCCTTGCCTCCAATGTCAACTTCTTGGTAATGCCGCCAAGCTTCAGCCATTCCTCCTTCCGCCTCGCCAACGGGGCGACGAGGCGTGCGTAGGGCTTACATTCGGGATGAAGGTTGCCGCATGAGTTCTGGGCAACAACTGAATAAGGAACGGTTGTCGCCAGAATAAGTAATGGAAGAAACATCATGCTCCCTTCCTTCCGCACTTGCATCGTGGCTTTGCTTCCATACCCCAAGGTAATGCAAGAATATGCATCAACTCCACCACACAATATTTCCCCCATACTGACATGACCGGGCGGCAGGGCCGACATGACTCGAGCAAATGCGACGGTTAACGTCGGTTTCTCGGCAAGCGGTCGCGGAATATAGCAGCAAAGTACTACGACAACGCATCTTTTACTGAAGACTGTGGTAAATGCGTGTAGCTCAAGGAATGGGTACCGGTAATGCGCGGCGGTCGATGCTTTGCGGCAATCGTTCGCGACGCGATATGTGCGGCGCGAGCGATAAGCAGACCACAAGATTTTTAAGAACAAATGTATGCATATTCGGATTAGCCTGCGCCTTCGGTGAATAATCTGACTATGGCGACATCGTTTAACTTACTCATTACCAAGAAACCTTTACGGTCTAGAATGCCCCAGACGTAAAGCAGCCGCGTTGGGAGAGGCTCTGTGCTTGTAACAGTCCTAGGTAGCTGTGTCCCGGCCTCGCACCCACCCAAATAGTTCAGGTACCCGTTGGGCTTTGGTAAATACGGGGTTTCTTCCCCCCTGGTGCACACATGTACCGTGTTCTATCCATCGAACATTGCCTTCAAGGTCTTCCAGAACTGTCCAGCAGATGCATAACGTTATACCGGTCTTCAGCTTTAGAAACATCGTTTGCCGGGCCTCAGCATAAGGGATGGCAGAAAAGCCGACAACGGGACCCCAAAGGACCATCGTAGAGCATATACCTTTACTATAGCGCAGGGTGAGCTCCGCGTACAGTATAGGCACAACGACAGGTGCTGAGGGACAAATTCAAAGGACTTTAGGTTTGGCATACTCGTTGCTCTAATAGGGCTTTCATTCTTTGTATACTAAACGAGCATGTGTATAGAAGGCGGCTAGTGCACCGCTCCTGTGACATGTGTGTGCCGTACGACCGATCAGAATCCACGAGCACGGATTGTGCCCCATTCAGTCTAATGTGCAGCGTGACACAACAATGGACGCCCTTCGTTATGCAGCGGTGCACCTAAATAGCCTGAATCCTGCATCCGTGCCATTGAAAGTCCTGCTTGCAAGCGCAACCTCAAGAATACTACCATCAAAAGGATTACTATCAGCCAATTGACAAAATGTATATAGATTTTTATATTCAAAAATAGGTTAGGGGCTGATTGGGTTCTGTGGCGTTTCGGCAGCATGACGAGTCGGCCGCATGACCCCAGAGCGAAGGTGCGATTACAGCACCCCTCCTTGTCCATTCAAACAAAGTCGCATCACACTACAATCAACGTGTCGACAATTCGCATCTGCTACCTTTCGGCAACTTAACCGCAACTTCGTCTTGCCACAACCCTCTTCCTCAGGGAATCGGCCCCTCAACATCATGGCATGCTTCCTCGCCCCCAACTCCTATATGGGTCCCTACGCAAGGCTGCGCAAGCAGCTCTGCTCTATCGCCTCTCACTAGCAACGGCACCGTAAAGCAGGGCACACGTGCACCCTTCACCCCTTCAGCCACTGCACTGTCCTACACCTCCAGCCCTCTTCGGCCCAACACACGCACATCTCCCTCCACGATACCCACCGTGTGCAACAGCGCACAGCTCCAACGGCCCAGCGGCGCCCCCTCCACCGGCTACAACAGCGACATGCGCACCATTCACAACCTCAGCAAGGCGGACAGCTGCCGGAAGGTGATCCGCCTTCTGCAGGAGCGCTCCGGCGCCGCAGCAGTGGCCTTCGTCAACCCAGCCGCCCTGCAGGCCCTGGCGCGGTGCATGGTTCTGACAGCGAGTGGCGCTGCAGAACAACCAGGCCAGCAGCAGCAGCAGCAGCAGCAACAGAAAAGAGCGGCCGCAGCGGAGAGGCTTCGGGGCGATGAGCTGCAAGATGTGCAGGTGTGTGCGAGGGAGGCGGATCCCACTTCCCATCCCCCTGCTGTACATATTAGTGTACGCTACGGTAGTGGGGTGCACGTGTACATCACATGCGGGTAGGGGGGAGGGGCTGCGCGTGAGTGGTACCTTACCGTGATGGTTGTCACCGCCAAGCTTCAGGGCCACCAAGTGTGTATGCCCCCGTCCTCCCTCCCTCCCCCACCAACAGGACACCGTCGACCGCCTCCTGTCCGAGCTGCATGGCCGTACAGCGGTGCTGTCCTTCCCGCAACTGGTGGACGTCCTGAGCGCTCTGGTGGTGCTGCTCCCGGCATTGCGCTGGAAGCCACGTGACCCACGGGTCATCACCGACATTGCCGCACGACTGCCCGCTGCGGCAGCGGCGAGCAACTCCCTGACAATGATTCCATTATGCGAGGTGTGCAAAGGGTTCCTCAGCTTGGCCCAGCTGATGTATAACCCGTCCATGAGGGCTGATTTCGGTAGGGTTCCCGAGCTAGGAACGCAGGCAGGGGCTTTCCTGCGTTCGGAGGTGTTCGAGGGTGTTAACGTCAGCAAGCGGATGAAGGATGCGGACCTGGAAACCATGGCGATGGCGGTAGAACTGTCCATGGCCTACAAGACACCCGCGTCAGCCTCGTTTGTGGACTCCATGACGTACCGCGTGAAGGGGGTGCTCGCGGACATCACGACGGCAGCGGAGGAAGCAGCAACTAAGGCGGTGGCGGCCGCGGAGGTCAAAGGGTAAGGCAGCGGTGAAGGGGATGGGGTGGAACTGTGTCGCTGTGTCTAAATCGCATGCGTCGAATCCCAGCCTGCCCTGCAGCAGTGTGGAAAGGAATCTTGGCGAAGCGTTGACGCCTTGCGACCTTATTGTCGACAGGCAACAGAGGAAACCCGGTCAGCCTGCCGCTGGGGGCGCTGACAAGGACAGCAGCACTGGCAGCAGCGCTAGGGACGAGCAGGCGGCAGCGGACGCCCATGATGACGGCAGCCGCCGGGACAGCGCCGACAGAGACCGCAGTACCGCTCGGCGGGACTCCTCCTCTCCCTCTTCCCGCAACACAAGCACCACCTTCGGATCTACGATGGCGACACTGGACGCCAAGGGCGGGCTAGATGCACCCTCCCTTGCGCGCCTGCTGGAGGCCTGGTGCCGGTGTAAACCCAACCAGGCTCACTCCCCCAACCAGACGTGGCTCACGCAGATGGCTGCAGTGGTGCTCAGGAGCCAAGACCCTGCTGCCTCATCGCGTCGGCAGGAGTTGCGGACAGCACTTCAGGAGGTGGTGTCCCGTCTGCCGCGACTTCGGCGGGACATGCAGGCGGCGGAGGCGAGGCTGCAGACTGCGAAAAGGAAGCGCCGGGCAGCGGCAGCCGCAGCGGCAGCAGAGGCGCGGGAAGCAGGCGGCAGCAGTGGCCGCGGAGGAGGGCGGGCAGGCGCACGGGGCCGCGGTGCACGGGGCGGTGGCAGAGGCCGCTCCGGGGCTGTGACTTCTGAAGCCAAAGACGAGGGAAGCGATCGTGCTAAGAAGAAGGGCGCCTCGGGGCCCCCTGGGCAGGCGCACGATCGCAGCCAATGTGGCCATGACAAGGAGGAGAAGGAGGAGGTCGCGGTGGATGACGTGGAAAGCGCGGAGGCAGCCTCGGAGCGGGCGAAGGCGGCTTTGGCGGAGGCGGAGGCGCAGCTGGCGGCCGTGAGGGCTGGGTTGGCGGATTTGGGTGTGGCGGCGGTTGCTGTGCGGCAGTTGGAGGATGGGCGGCTTGTTTCGCTGCTGGCTGCTGTGCGGGAGCGGATGGGGGAGAGCTCGGGGAAGGAGGTGTGCGAGGCGGCGGAGAAGGTCCTGGCGGCGCGTTTGGAAAAGATGCACCCGCTGCTGCTGGCAAGGGTGAGCAGGGGAGAAGGCGTTTCACCATCTTCCATTTGCCCGCGATTCGCAGTTGCTGGTAACTAGAGTTTATGCCGATCCTGTCGTTTCGCCAAACCTGCCATACAAGCAAGCAAGCAAGCTCACGCCTTATTAACATGAGCCCTTTCTCCCGTATTCCCGTGCCCTCCACCAGACCCTCTCCCTGCTGGTCGGCATGGGGCACTCCCCCGAAAGGGAGCTCATCACCTCAGCTCTTCGTGTTCTGCAGCCCCATCTCAGCACCCTGCCCTCCTCCGATGCCACCTCGCTGCTCGTAGCGCTCCACAAAGCGCGTTACGTGCCGCCGCTTAGCGGCCGAATCAGCCGGGAGGACATGGTGGGGCGCATCGCCCGCTACAAGGGCGACTTCCCAGGAGCTGACTGGCTGGCCGTGTTGCTGCGCACGTGCGCGGATTGGGGAGTGCCGTACCCGCCGGACCTGTTCCGGGACCTGGAGAACGAGGTGCAGGAGCGGGTGCTGGGCTCGCTGCCACTGTCGGCCATGGGGGACTGCGTGTCGTCGGTGACAAAGGTATGTTGTGGGGGAGCGGGAGGCGTGGTTGTAGTTGTGGGCAAGGGTGTGATGGGCATGAGGTGTCACCGGAAGCAGGGGGTACGCCGTGAAATAGGGAGGGGTAGGGAGGGGCGCGGCAAAGGTAGGGACAGGAGATGGGGGAGACATCCTAACAAGCGCCTCTGTGCTTCCGCCGGCGCGGGGCTTCACAAATACAATCCTAAGAAGCCCTGAACCACATGCTGACATGCATGTCTTGACCTCCTCCCAACCCTCCAGGCCCGCAAACAGAGCGGCGCCTTCCGGACCTTCAACACCGAGGGCGGCGAGCGCATCCGCTCCAGTCTGCTGGAGGGCTGGGTGCTGCCGTTGGCCCGGCTGCGGCAGCCGCTGCGCTGCGAGGACCTCTTCTTCATGGCCCTCGGCGACTTCATGGCGACCCGTCACACCACCTCCACCGCCGGTCCCGCACAAGGGCCACAGACGGGCCCACAGAGGCTGGATGAGCGGCGTGCTGCTCTGCTGCTGGACTGCTTTGCAGCCAATGCGGCGCAGGCGGCGGGGCCGGCGGCCGCAGCTGGGTCGCAGTCCTGGCCGTTGACGACGGGGCAGCGCCAGGTGGGCAGGCGGAGGGCGGAGGGCGGAGGGGAAGCACCTGGGTTGGGGTGAAGTGGCTATGAGGGTTCCGGTCGTCTAGACTTGATCTGCATGGACAGCTGGATGCAGGCAAAGACTGGATGGATGCAAGGGGCCTCATACGTGACTTCTGGTGCATGAGCTTGACGACATGCATGTTGCCAAGAGCCCGTATGCCCTCCCCACCCACTCACCTCCCACTCACCTCCTCACCCACTCACCCCACCCTCCTGCAGGCGCTTGAGGAGCTGCTGGCGGCTGTGCTGACCCAGCCTCCGGGCAGCCCGGGGGAGCGGGCGCCGCTGCTGCTGGCGGCGGGGCGGGCGCTGCGGGTGATCGCATGCAAGATGTCCTGGGGACCCAACGACCCATTCCTGGTGAGTGGGTGGGTGGGGGGTTGGGCGGTGGTTGTACAGGTGCTGTACTACTAAGATTGTGGAGAGGCATGCACTGGGCGGAGCGGAAGGAGGTCGAGGGGAACCTAATGTGGGCAATAGTGGTGGGTGGGTGGGTGGGTTGTGTCAGGAGCTGCCTGCAGGGCCCTACGTTGCTCTCCGGCAGCACGCAACCTCCTGCTGCAGGTATCTACCGGTGCCGGTATCTGCCTGTATCTTTGCAATTGCCTGCAGGTGACGGACCTATCCTCCCCTGCCGCCCCCAGCCACACCCTCCCCCCCGCCTGCACCTGCTGCTAACCATGCCCCGCTGCCCCCCCACCCCGGCTGCCCCCCCCCCTACGCTGCTGCTGCAGGGCGCCCACCCTCCGGACGGCCGCCGCCCCTCCTCGCTGCTGCTGCCCGCGGTGGAGGGCCTGATGCGGCTCAACCCTTCCGCGGAGCACCTGGCCTCCGCCGCGCAGGCCCTATTCGTGGAGCTGCAGTGGAAGGAGCCGCAGACGCAGACGCAGACGCAGCAACCCCAAGCAGAGGCAACGCAGACGCAGCCACAGCCGACCGCTTCCCCTTCCACACAGCAACAACGGAGCAGTGGCAGCAACAAGCGCACGAAGCAGCAGCAACAAGGGCAGCAGCAGCAGGAAGCGCTACCACTGCTGGTCCGCATGTTGGATGCCGCAGCACCCACCCTGTCAGGCTGCCGACCCGAGTCCTACGCCTACCTGCTTGCCGCGTGCTGCGCGGCGGGACACCAGCCGCCGCTGCCCTGGCTAGCCAGCCTCTACCGCGCCGCTGCAGCTGAGCTGAGCAGCAGGTCGGCTGCCCGAGAGGGAGAGGGAGACGACAGCGGCGCTGCTTCTGCAGCTGCAGCAGCTGGAGGAGGAGGAGGCGGTGTGACGGCTGAAGCCCTGGGGCTGCTGCTGAACGCGCTGACGGAGATGGAGCGCGCGATGGGCGAGCGGGCGGAGCGGGCCCAGCGGGACACGGCAGCAGGCGGGTACGCTGCGGCGCGGGCGGCGCTGCTGCAAGCGATGGCAACGGCGATGCTGCGGGACCCGGCGCTGCGGGTGGGTGTGTGGGCGGTGGGGTGGGTTTAGGGAAACTTCCGTTGGTGCATGGGGGGAGGGCGCAGCGGCCTGGTCGGAGGGTCCGATGGAGGCGGGACCGGAGGGGACGGGAAGGGTAGTGGGCCGGTGTGGGAGCTGGCGACTTACGTGGTGGCAGCATACACGCACTCCTCCAGCGTGCGTAACCAGTGGTGCTTCCACACTCCCTCTCCCTCTCCCTCTCCCTCCCAACCAGGTCCTGGCGGCCCAGCCCGACACCTTCACCCTTGCCGTACGGCAGCTGGCGGTGCTGGGTCTGCGCCCTCCCACCGGCTGGCTGCCCCAGTACCTGGCTGCGGTGCAGGGCCTCATGACGTCCATGTCCCTCACCGGGCTAGCGTACACTGCGGAGGGGCTGGCGCTGCTGCATGCAGCACCTCCCAACGTCTTCATTGACATCCTGCTCACGCAAGTGGGCACACGTAATGCGGTGGGGGCCGCGGACCCCTTCCTTCGGGGGCTGCTGCTGGGGGGCGTGCATGCGCTGTGGCACGCGAGTGCAGCGCGCGAGCGGGAGCGGGGGCTGCCGCTGTCTAAAGCGGCGCGGGAGACGTGGGCTGGCGTGCATGTGGCGTTTGTGGCGGATACGCGGCAGGGCAATGCGCTGCCTCGCTACTCGCCCTCGCAGTTGGTGCTGGTGGTGGCAGCCGTGGTGGCGTATGAGCTGTCACGGAGTCCGGCGGCTGCTACCCCGGCCGCAGCTACCAGCACAACCACCACGGGCGGCAGCAGCAGCGCTAGGGGTGGAGGAGGAGGTGGTGCAGCTGGCGCGGGCGCAGACATTGGTAGCGGACTGGCGTTCACGGGCAAGGTGGAGGGAGAGTGGCTGGAGGACTGCTGCATGGTGGGTTGGGTAGGAGGTGGGAGGTGCATGGAGGTGGGAGCAAACACGGCTATGCACTTCTGGGGTTTCTGTTGCTGCTGCTGGCTCTGCTCGTTAAGCTGCACTGCGCTCTTTTCCTCATCCCCCTCTCCTGACCGGCGCATCAACCCCCCATCGCTCCCTCCCACGGCCCCAGAGCTTACTAAGCGGCCGCTCCTCCTCCGGCGCCGCCTTCCCGCCTCCGCCCTCCCTGCTGATCGACCTGCTGCGCCTGGCGTCACGCGTGCTGCGGGGCAGCGCCGATGGCAGCATTGTACGACTGGCGCCAGCGGCGGCGGAGGAGCCGGAAGGCGATGATGCCGACACTGCCGGCGGAGGAGGCGGAGGAGGTTTCAGTAACAGCACCGCCGGCCTGGTGGTGCGGTACGTGCGCCTGTCGTTGCTAGACATTGCGCATGCAGCGAAGCGACGTGCTGCCGACATGCCTTCACGGGCTGAGTGGGATGCGCTGCTGCGTGCTGCGATGGCCGCCCGCATCGATCCGGCAGCGCCGGTGCTGGAGGTATACACGTCCAGCCTCGTTCAGGCAGGGATTGAACGAGCTCGCGGAGCGGTGCAGACGCTGGCAACGGCTGCAGCTGCTGCTGCGGCTGCAGATGCAAAGGCAAAGGCAAAAGAAAAGGAGAAGGAAAAAGGCCGTAGAATCCACGTGGACAGTGCTGGTGTAGTGCATGAAGCGGCGCCTGTTCCTGACGAAGAAGATGAAGGAGCAGCGGCGTTGGCAGCTGTTGGCAGGGAGCAGCTTCGCATGGCCTGGTCGGAGCTGGAGACTGGGCTGCGTGACGTGCTGCTGCCGGTGCTGCCCTGGTTGCCGGCTGCCGAGCAGCTGCAGGCGCTGCGGGAGGGGCTGCTGGATCAGGGGCCGGCGGCGCTGCAGGCCGCCAGCAGCAGCCAGCTGGCGCTGATGTGCACCCTGTGCACGCAGGCGGGACCGCAGGCGGGGCCGCAGGGCTGGTGGGTGGGGGTGCGAGCGGAGCTTGAAGGCAGGCGCTTGCCGCCGCTCTCGGCAGAGGCACCAGAAGCAGCAGAGGTTGGAGAAGGTGAAGCCGGAGGGCTGAGCGCATGGAGGGGTGCTGGTGTTGGCGGCAAGAAGGAGGGGCCAGCGCTGTTTGAGAGTGCTGCGGACCTAGCGGCGGTGTGTTACGGCCTGGAAGCAGCGGGCTGTGAGGTGCCGGAGGCTGCGGGGCGGTGGTTGCGCCGGTTACTGCACCAGAAGGCAGTGCTGGGAGCCGGCGGTGTTGATGTGCGGAAAAGAAGGGGCATGGTGCTTCCCGCGCTGCAGCTCCTGTGGACCGCTCATCGCTTTGGTTGCCTGGCGGAGGTTCCGGACAAGGTGTGGGCGACGGCGTATGGCAGTGGTGGCCCATGGGTCACTGGGCTGGATCGGCTGCAGGCCTGGCAGCTCCAGCAGCTGGTGGTGATATACGCGCAGCGGGATCGTGCGGGCAGCCTTTGGAAGGATGTGAAGGGGGTTTCGACGCCCCCGCCCTGGTTTACCCTTTCCTGGATGGCTGGCTTGTCTGCTGCCTACGGCCGGGGACATCAGGAGCAGGAGCAGGAGGAGCAGCAACAACAGCAGGAGGAGCCGCCACTCCAGCACCAGCTATTGGCAGGGCGAAGACGGCAGGGCGGCGGCCGCTCGCCTCCTTCACCTTCGCTTGTGGCTGCATGGGCAATCGCATACTGCGCACCGAACGCGCCAAACGAGCAGGCCGCATCGAGATGGGAGCCCCTAGTTGCGGCCGCGCTGCGGGGGCTCGCGGAGGAGGTGCCGCTGGGGGACATGGTTCCGCTGCTGAGGGGGTTGAAGCGGGGCGGTTTCGTGGGTAGCCTGCCGCAGCTGCGCCTGCAGCAGCTGATGGGGAGGCTGCTGGAGGGCCCGGCGGCAGGCGGTAGTGGGGAGGCGGAGGAGGCCCGGCAGGGTGGTGCTGTCGTGACCGCCATGAGCGGGCTTGGCGGTAGCGGCGAGGGTGCGTGTGCATCCAGGCTGGCGGACCTGCAGGCGCAAGGAGTCCTGGAGGTGAGGCGGCGCGTGCGTGCTGTGCATTTGGTTCCGTGCGTTTGGTTCCGCCTGTTTACGTTCCGATCGCTCCATTCCGTTTTCTCCACTAGTCGACCTGGCACCCCAGCTGTGAAGCCCACCGACCCTTTTGTACCACATGCTCCGCTCAATGCAACCACGCTTATCTGAAATCCCGATCAAACCCCGGGTCGTGCTTGGCCCCCCTGCCCCGCAGCTCCTGTTGGCCATCCTGGCAGTGTGCCCTCTGGATGCTGACCGTACGGCAGCCCTCGAGCCGCTGTTTGCCGTACTGGTGCCGTACGCCGAGGAAGAGCTGTACGGCGTGGCGGTTCCTGAGCGCCTCTGTCGTACAGTGCTGGCAGCCTCAATGCGGCAGCCGCCTGCGACCGCTGATGTGGTAGCGGAAGCAGCTAGCGCGGCGGTTGTAGCAGCAATCACGGGTCACCAGCAAGCATCTGAAAAGCAACACCCGCCGCAGCCGCAGCAGCACCTGTCGCAGCAGCGTCGGAAGCCAAAACAGCAGCGTATTTCGAATCAACTAGATGTCTCCAGCAGCAGCAACAGCTGCTGCACAGATCCTGCCCGTGTCGGCAGCGGGTTGCTATCCCAGCTGCCAGCCACGGCTCTAGCTCCCCTAGCTGCAGCCCTCATCGGATCCGCCGGGATGCGCCCCGTACCTCGCAGCGCCGCTGCCGTACTTCTACGGCTGCTATCCATGAAGCCCGTTGTGGATCAGCTGTCGTACAGCGACATTGAACAGGCCGTCAACCACAACTTGGTAGACAGCGGCCTACCCATGTGCGACGCCACCGCCTCCGCCCTAACCTCCAAGCTGCAAGTGGGCAGGCGGCGCTCCAGCCCCGCCGTGGATGCCGTACTCTGGGCCGAGCAGCTTCGCAGGTGCGGTGCTAGTGCCGTACTGCTGCAACGTGCGCTACTGGGGCTCCGAACCACGCCCTTGGATGAGCTCAGCGGCAATGAGGTCCTGCTGCTTCGGAAGCTCCTCGCATCTGGCGTTCGAGAGGAGTTGGCAATCCTCGAACGTCCTCGCCACACAGCGGACGCCCTGGTCGCAGCGCTGGAGGGATTAAAAGGTGGTGGAGCCGGCGGCGGTGGCCCTCCTACTGAGGGACCCGTGGGTCAATTCGCGGAGGTTGCAGACCTGCTGCTCAGCAGCTTTGGGCGCACGATTCGGCGCAGGGGCGCTGGTTTGGCGGAGGTGACGGAGGCGGTGCAGTTGGCTTGCGAGCTCATTCGGCGGCTGGACGGGTTGGATTGTCCCCAGTTCTATGCCCACAAGGTCAGCTTGACGGATCGCTGGGTGCAGTACCTGGAGCTGCCTTCGCTGGCGGCGATGGTGAGGGAGGACCCGCAGCAGTTGTGGCGCTTCCTGGATGGTGCCTATAACTTGGGTGAGGGTCGGAGGTTGGGTGGGAAGTGGGTGAAGAGGAAGCAACGAACTGACCGTGTGATAAGGCGTCATCATGCTGCGTGTGAACCCGAGGAGAGCATGAATGAATGACCGTTACAATGGTTCCCTAAAAGGGAACACTGTTGTTGAATCCACCCCTTCACTGCAAGAGGAAGGGGACACGCCGTAAAGACAACATGAGCATGCCCCCGGTCTCTCTCTTAGCTTGAAATTGTATGTTGTCTTTAGTTCTGCACCTAGCCCTGCGTCGCAACTAGCCCTGCCTGCTTGGCTGCTGCTCTCCCTCCTCCCTCCTCACCCCATGCATGCATGCAGGCGGCCAGCGCTTCAACGACCGAACCACCGAGGGCACACTGCGACTTGCCCTCTCCCGGGAAGCCGACAAAGACGGCACCAGCCCCCGAGTCGTCGAGTGGACGCCCGAGGAGGAGTCAGCGGTTCTTGAATACAACTCACTCCTCAACGCGCACCTGGCTGTGTACAGCCCCTACTGCCTAACCGCCGCCTGTGCACTCCGCGTGTTAAGGGCGGCGCAGCCCCTGCTGGAAGACCACAAGGCCGCGCTGCGGGAATGGCTCCCGGGGCAGGGGCAGGAGGATCCCGGCCAGACGCTGGCCACCTTGCGTCTGGGCCCTTGGGGTGTCACGCTGCGAACAGGCACCTCCCCGCAACAGGACCCGCAGGAGGGGCCGCGGGACATCACATCGGAGGATCTGTCCTGGTCGTACAAGCAGCCCGTGCCGGCCGACCCACGGTTCCTGACTGCACGGCAGCTAGGGATGTTGTACGGCATGTTGGTGCTGCGGGGCGCCAACGGCGTTGACGGCTCGGTGTTCTTGGAGCAGGTGCAGGAAACGGCGAAGCCGGTAAGAGTATGGCGGTATGGGGCTCTGGTTGGGAAACCATGTGCTACGCATGTGCCAGGGTGCGCTGACTTATGGAGATGGTGGGAGTAAGAGGCTCTACGGTAACCAGGAACAGTCATCCCACCCTGCATCTCACCCATCCCACCAGCCCCGCTAACACAACCCCCTCACAGCCTTCACCGTCGCTCATCCACGCTTACCCCTACCCCCACCGCTCCTGCCCCATGTCCCCGTGCCCCCCTTCTCTCCCTCCCTCCCTCCCTCCCTCGCACGATATCTCTTCTCCCCGCCTCCCAGATCGGCATTCTCTACAAGGACATGCTCGTCCGCCTGGCCTCCCGCACCGAACTGCCCCCCCTGGAGCACCTCACCGCGCTGCTGGACGCGTTGGAGCCGCTGGTGGTGTCCGCCCCGCAGCACGACCTGGTGCCGCCGGGATTCTACCAGGAGTGGCCGCTGGAGAAGTACCTCATGCCGGCGCTGCTGCGAATAACGCAACGGGGGCAAGGGAAGGAGGGCCGGGAGGTGGCGGTGGTGGTGCATGGGGAGCTGGAGAGGAAGAGGGAGGGGCTGTTGCCGCCGGGGGTGGTGATGTGGGAGGACATGCGGCTGATCCGCTCACCGTATGAGGTGAGTGAGGAGAGCTTGCTGGCGGCGCTGCGCATGCACCGCCCGCCGCCTCCACCGCCTGATAAGGAGGGGGAAGAAGAAGAGGAACAAGACCGGCCAGCAAGTCAGCAGCAGCAGCAGGGAGAGCACCACCACCATCAACAGCAGCTGCATGGAGACCCGCAGCAACACCAGCAGCAGCAGCAGCTTCCTGATCAGCAGCTTCCCGATGACTCCCAGCAGGCAGCTGGAGCCACCTCGTCGTCGCTGCCACCCAGACCTCGCCGCCCCCCGCTGTACGACCTGCCGTACCGCCAGCTGGCACTACCTGCATCCCTGCAGCCGCCGCCGGGGCGCCGCCACGGGCAGCCGGGAGACCCAGCGGGCGACGCGGCGCGGGAGGCCTACGTGCGCTCCGCAGCGCCCTGGATGGTGGCGGCGCGGCGGGTGCAGCGGCTGCTGGTGCTGACGGGCCGGCAGGAGGCGATTCAGAGCAGGCTGGCGTTGCGGCTGAAGGAGCGGGACCGTTGGGCGGTTATGATGGGGCTGGCGGTGGATCCCAAGGGCACCGCGGGGGCGATATGTGTGACGTTGGAGCTGCTCGAGGCTGCGCAGAAGGCGGATGAGGAGCAGGAGGAGGAGGAGAGTCGTGCGCGGGAGGCCAGGGCGGTGTCCATGCCGGGCTGGGTGTCAGCGCTGCCGGGGGTGAGGAAGCTGGGAGAGCTGAAGCGGGTGGCGAGGAAGACGGCGAGTGTGGCGGGCGCGTTTGCTCGCCTCCTGGCGACGGTTACGGAGGTAGTTGGCGAGGAGGAGGAAGAAGGGGAGTGGGATGGGGAGGCCAGCGCTGCTGTGGGGCCGGCGGGGGCTGCGAAACGCGCCGCAGGTGCGGTGTCTGCCTCGTCCTTGCTGCCAGCCACGTTAAGCGTGGTGGAGGGCAACGGCACGGCAGGAGCTGCGTCCTCGAAGCCAGCTGGCGCGGGGCAGACGGCAGGGAATGGAGGTGGTGGAGGTGGAGGTGGTGGTGGAGGTGCAGTCCCCGCTGCTGCTGCTGCTGCTGCTGGTACTGCTCCTACGGGTGCTGCTGCGCGAGTCAACCCGTTCGATGTGACTGCGGACTTCAGGCGCAAGCTTGAGGGCCTGGGGTTCGACGCCGCGGCGAGCAGCAGCCAGCCTGGCGGCAAGGGCTCGCAGGCGAGTGCGGAAGCGCCCGCGCCCCACTCCAAGCCGCCTGCCTCCGCCGCCGGCGGGGAGGTGTTGCAGCCAGGGGCGCGGCAGCAGCAGCAGTTCAGGCCGGAGCAAGGTCAGGGCAAGGGGGAGCAGCAGCAGCAACTGCAGGGGCTGCAGGAGCGGGGGAAGACGGTGGGTGCAGCGGCTGGGAGAGTTGTGGGTGCTCTGGGCTTAGTTGTTGGAGGGCTGGCGCGATGGATGGGTCTGGTTAGCGGCCTGGGAGGCGGCGGCGGCGGTGGAGGTGCAGGCGAAGGCGCCGCTGCGGTGGGCAGTAAAGATGGGGGTCATGGAGGTCGGAAAGACGGCACCAATGGCAGTGGCAGCGGTGACAGGGGTGAGGGTGGCAGCGGTGGCCGAAGTGCGGGGTTGCAAGGGGGTCGTGGGTTTGGTACCGGGGCTGGGAAAGGCGGTAAGCGGGGCGGCGGAGGGGGTGGCAGTCGCGGTGGAGGAGGCGCGGGGAGCAGCAGGCGCTGAGACGAGCGCGGGAAGGGGGCAGAAGGCTGGATGCTGGTGCTGCGCAGTTGGCACGGTGGCACACACGGTGAAAGACATGGCTAAGGCTTGGCGCCCTGTACTGGAAGATGGCGTCACGCAGCGGCCTGTCCAGAGAGCTAGGCCAGCCACAGGTGTAGCTCAAGGAGGAGGGGGCCATGTGGGGCCATGTGGGGCCAGCTGCAGTGTCCTCTCCTGGGACTTCGGTATGGAAGCGCCATGTAGTCGGTGTGTAGCGTAGCGAAGCCCGTGATGAGGTCAGCTGGGATCTGCTGGTGTGGAAGGGCGGTGCCTTGCCCTCTATGCTTGCATTTTGATTTTCTGAGACTACCTTGGCATTGGCTGCAGAACGCACGACATGTGGTCCATTCCACTAAATTCTTGGAAGTATAGTTTTAGGGTTACGGAATTAGGTGCTTAGGATCTACTCTTAACCCATGATTGCAGGCACGAGAGCGGAGGACGGTCATGAAAGCCAGTGGGGCACGCATCAGCATTGCCGAACATTGGGGTTATTGAGCAGGTGGCAGACGTGAGGCCGCAGGGTTGGCAATGGTGTGCAGTACCAGAAGTGTATGGCCGGACTTATGCCGGGGAAATTGTGTGGTGAGACAGGGTAAGAGGTGAATGTTGAGGGGCAGCTGAGAGGGCGCGTGCGTGTGGGTAGTAAAACTTATTAACGCCAGGAAGTTGGCGATTAATCAAAGCCTTGGCCATGATGCACTATGAGCGCATGTAAGTATGCAACTATTCCCAAAGAGATCGGGGAACGTGTTACAATTGGCGTTGTTGTGTGGTGTTTTAGCGCGGGCACGGCTGCATAGCATACCGTAATGCTGCTGTACTTTGGCTTTCACAGGATTCGTTGCTTGGATGGCCTTTAGCGGTTTGCGATTGGCACATAGGCTATTCTGCCGGGCAGCATGGTAATGCGGCTACAACTGTTGCCGTACACTGTACGGTTCTTTGGAAAAGATATGCCGCACGGGCGAGCCAATCAGGGAACAACTTCGCCACACGACACAGCCGCCAGCCAGACAAACTACAAAACAATAATAGTTATAAATAACTTTCTAATACGTGCCTTGTGAGCGCCGGAAGGCCCTTCCGCGGTCATTTACGGGCTAAAAACTTGGCGTCTTTGCCATGCCGCCTCGGCAGTTGCCGAAGGGTCGTCGGATCGGCGCTAGCGTCGCCACTGGGCCGCTATACAAGGTTAAACAGTTAGCCGACAAAGTTCTGCTCTCAGGAGATGCGACGCGTCTGTCTCTGGGCGAAATTGACGGCGCCACGGATGAGGTCATAAAGTGGAGCTGCAAAGCGGACAATTCCGACGGCAAAACTCCTGGACTATGGGCATCCCTTGACAGTCAAGAGTTGACGCGTTTGCATGCTCTGTACGCGTTTGTGCTTCGACGTTCTTCATCAAGCCAGTATTCTGATACTGAGCGTGCGGCCTATGCGGCCTTGCGCTCGAAGCTGTCTTCTGAGCTCGCCAAGCTCGTCCATGACGAAGGAACGCACATGCCCGCTGGTCGCGTGCGTGCCGTGATGTATACGACCCTACGCGCGCATGTACTGCGCTGCCTTGCTGCCTTGTTGGCTCAAGCTGCTTCGCCGCTGGCTTTTTCCCAGCCACAACAAGTAAGGCGCTCACGGCGCAACCTCCAGGCAGCTCGGGACGTCCTCGTGGAGTCAAGGCAGCTCCTGGCCTTTTGCCACGAGCTTCTGACATCGGGGGAAGAAGGGGCCGACGACATCGTTCCTCAACGAATGTTTATCTCTTGCCTCGAGAGCGAGCTTAGCGCCAGCCGGCTCCTCGAGCACTGGTCCCGGCTGCTGCTGCTTCTGTCCGCAGCTGCAGGCGACCGCTCCGATGACGCGGTCAAACAGCTGCACCAGCTGACCGCTCCGCTGCTCGGCCTAGATGACTTCATAGCCTCAACCTGGCGTTGTCAAGAGCTGCTGGACAATCCAAGCCTGTCGTACCTGCTGTCCTCCCACGTGGTAGGGTTATGCGCTGCGCTGGACGGGGGTCCTACGTACGGCATGCCTGTTGACACCCTGTCAGCGGATGACGACGATGATGCTCAGGGCGCGGCCAAGGCGGCTGGGCCTCAGGCGGTGGCGCCACTTTTTGGCTCAACTGGGTTGAGGCTGCGTCGGCAGGCTCCCGAGGGCGCTGGTACCAAGTTGGCGCAGTGGGTTCTGTCGGCGTGGTCGGATACGCTCTACCTGGAGCGCTCAACGGAGCTCCAGCACTGCAATGGCATGGAACGTGCGTTGTCTCCGCTAGACAGAGTTCCCAGGCCGTCCGTCACGATGTCGCTCCGGCCCTTGTACCGCTGGATGCAGCAGCTGTCAGACAGGGTCACCCGGGACAGGGAACCGGGTGGGCTGCTAGCAGCCGCGGAGGCTGCGGCCAGGTTAGGCACTGGCGCACAACCCGTCGCTTATCGTTTTGATTTGGACATTGCACATGCCGCGGGAGTCAGGGCGCAGGAGCGCTACAAGCTCACGGTCGCTCCGCCGCTGCACGCCGAAGCAACATTTGAGCTCTGCATCCGCCTAGCGTCGGCGGCAACCAAGGCTATTAAACTGGGGTCGTCACCTCGACTTGCGGCGTCAGCTGCTGGCCCCTCCTGCTCTTCTTCTTCTGCACGTAGCGGAAGAGACCGGGATCGCGAGCGCGGGCAGGGTGCGGCGGGGCTGCTGGTTGCAGCGGCGGAGGCTCCGGAGCTCGCGGTGCGTGCGATCAAGTGTGCTCGGCAAGCGCTGGGGGCCGAGGTAATGGCGACGAAGGAGGCGCTGCCGCCGGCCGTGGACGCGCGGTTGCGGAGGTGGTGGGCTGCAGTGGGGGAGCTTGCGGAGGCGGCGGTGGTGGGGGGGGTGCCGGCTGGAGGGGTGCGGTGGGAGCGGCTGGGGGACGAGCTGGCGGTCCCGTCTCCCTGGAGCCTGAAAGGTGAGGACGGGGACACATGGTGGGCAGGAGAGGCGGTTTGGATGAGCGGGGGCGCATCCTTCCTGAGATCGGCCTTTCGGCTGGTGCAGCGCTGTTGCATGCTTGCAAATGTCCTTTCTTGTGCCATGTCCTGCATCCCATGTGCTATTGCTTAAGGCTATTCATCCCAGCCCATGCTGGCCCCCGACAATCCGCTTGCTTTGCTCCAGTCAACTATCTCTGCCTTATCAGTACGCAACCGTTCCCATCTGCAACACTCACCTCCCGATTACCCCTTCCTATGCTCGCAGGCCTACCCACGCACCCCACACCCTGCGTCGCCGCCGCGCTCGCTGCCGGCTACGCCTCCTGGATCCCGGGTGTCATTGGGGCGGCCCATTCCGCTTTGGACGGCGCGTGGATCAACTACATGGTTCCCCTCACAGCCGCCGGAGACTGCGCTTGGGACCAGTTCTTTGCGTTTTCGCCGCCCGGGCGCTTCTCCAGCATCATCCGCAAGTCAGCCGTCAAGGTGTCAAAAGTGTCGCTTTCCGAGGAAGGCGCCATCAGCCGCAGCGGCCGCACTGATTCGGCGGTGAGCGACCTTTCCGCCCGGCTGGACGCCGCACATAAGTTCTACTGCCGGGCCCTGGACGAGTTCCCTGCCCTGGCCGCGGCGGCGGCGGAGGAGAGGGCAAAGGCCGGCGGGTCGGGCGCTGCGGGTGCGGCTGCTGCGGCTGAAGCGAACGGAGGGGGCGGTGAAGGCGGAGATGCAGACCGCGTGTGGCGCATAGGTGCTGTGTTGGCGGATGTGGGGCGCCTGCTGGTGCCGGAGGTTGCAGCCGCGCTGCTGACTCGCCTGGTGCCGGCCACTGGGGATGCTTTCTGGATGTACCGTGACGGGATCCTGCGGGTGGCGACGGCGCTGCTGAGGTGGGCGGCGCTGCTGGCCGCGGCAGCCCACCTGGAGACGGCTGCGGGGGCGCAGCGGGCTGCTGCTACCGGCTCGGCTGCAGGGGCGCAGGAGGGAATTGTGGGTGCTGCTGGCCCGGGGGCGGCAGCAAGGGGCTCGGCCACAGCAGCGGCAGCAGCGGGCGCGGCGGAAGGGCCGTATCGGCGATTATTGGCTGGGGGGCCGTGGCTGTGTGAGCTGCTGGGTACGGCGGGGGGGCTCCTGACGGCAACCGACACGCACCTGGTGCAGGAGCTCGGCCGCGCCTTCTCCCTGGCGCACTGCGCGCTGCGGGAGTTCGCGCCGGAGCTGCTGGCGGCCGCGGTCGTGTCGCCGGAGCTGCGGCGCGCGGCGTCCAGGGCGACCCTGCTGGTGTCGGGTCGGGATCCGCGGCAGGAGATTCTGGACCAGGCGCACCCCGAGCGGGTGCACCAGCACATGGCAACAGACAGCAGCGCCCAGGCGCCGGGTGGGGCGGGGCCTCTGGATGCTTCTGTGGAGCTTGGGAAGCTGCTGGCAGGGGCGCGGGTGCTGCTGGAGGTTGCGTCGGCTTGAAGGGGAGGCTGTGGGTGTGCGGCCTGCGCTTTTGAGTGGAGGGAGGGGGAGGGGAGGCAGATGATTGGCAGGAATTGGTGACGTGCTTTGCTGTTTGTAAGGCTTCGGCCACACGATGTGTATGTAAGGTAGGCTGCAGGTGTGGTAATAGTGCGGGCTGAGACAATAGATTACCGTGGATTACTGTTCATTGCGTTTGGCTTCAGTTGTTCTTCAGTTGTTAGGCTTCCGAGTTCTTCCGCAAACAAGGAGATAACACATTTGCTGCTGCTGACTTGTTGGCGCTATTGCTGTTGGTTTCAAGTTGGGGCGATTGGCCGGTTAGCCACGATTGGATGCGATTAGCCACCACCATATGCACGTGTTTCCATGTACCGTACATGTCTTATTAGAGGGGTGCATGCAACGTCGAATCTTATTATAGGAGCGGCAATACAAGTTACTCCGTTCTGTCTGGGGGTACCTTTTAGGCTGCAAGGAGCAGAGGGTAGGTGGGACTGGTGGACCCATCGCTGAGTCTCCAAGGCGGTGGGTATAACATGGTGGGTATGCTCGTACCCCGCAATGTACATCATGCATGTCAGTGGATGGTTGTACCATAGAAATTGGCGGTCAAGAAGCAAGGAGGCGGGTCTTGCAAGCTTTAAAAGCGCCAAGGTGTTGTTAGCATGGCAGCCGCAAGGAAGCAGTCTCCTTGCGCCATATCGGTAGCTTTAGGGAGGTTTACGGTCTGGTGGGGTAAGTCCCCGTGCAATAGGAGTACCAGTGTCCGTTAGGATGCAGGAAAAGCCGAAACTGGTCCAATCAGTAAGACTGAACGGTAGACGACATATTGGAGTTTAAGTCGCTCAGGGGTTAATAGTAGTGATAGATCCGATTGAAAAGGTTGGGCAGCTGCATGACCCATGGGTCACCACGCGCCTGCGGATACCGCCTGTAAGGTTCTGATTTCCAAACTCTACAAGCGCATCTTCTTTTCAGGAGCCGCCGAAGCCTTAGCAGTCCGCCAAACGACCTGGTTTGGTAATGGTGCGCAAGGCGTGCCGTACGTGGTCGGATCGACAGCACCACTCTCCTCTCTGCTGACAGACATCACAACAAAAGCACTCGCTCCTAATCACACCTGAACTGTCAGTTCCGCCCACCTCGCTCATACCCTTACAACCTTGGGCGTTCCGAACCACCCCCCTCCAGCTGGCCCCCTCGTTCCAATAGCAATGACAGCAACTTTACATACGGTAGCCAACGCAACATCTCACACAAGGCTGGTCTCGGCTGTGCAACCTTACGTCTAGGAACCGTTGTCCACCGATGAAGCAGCAGCAGACGGCGGTGGTGACGACAATTTGCATGCCTTCACCGTGCTGTCAAATTGCTCACGTGACGGCGCGCCGTTGAAATCCGGTTGGATGCCGAATCGATCAATATCATTGCCACGTGGCGTCAGGTACTTCCCAACTGTAATTACCAGACCCGAACCGTCACTCAGTTCGTACACGCTCTGGATCAGGCCCTTGCCGTACGTACGACTGCCGGCTAGTACGGCACGGCAGTTGTCCCGCAACGCGCCCGCCACGATTTCCGAGGCTGAAGCTGTGTGGCCGTTGACTAGGACTAGGAGCGGAGCGGAGGTGAGGGCGGGGCCGGGGGCGCGGGGGGTGTCGGGCGGGGCGCCCTGCCGCTCCGTGACCACTATGGGGACGTCGCCTGGTGTGAGACAGCGGGGAGCGGGGAGCGAGGAGCGGGGGAGGTACGGGACGAGATGAGGCCATGCGGGTTCTGAAACTGCAGAGCTGTGCCACGTACCCACAGAGACAGCGTGGCAGGCAGGCCGCTGACCCGGCCCATGACCGAACCCGTTCCCCAACGTGCCTCGCTTCTCCTTCTTTGCCCCTATACGCCCTGCAGCGCTACGTGCTCCCTCTCTCTCCCTCAGTGGCTACTGACCTGGCCTACCACTAGCACCAACCCCCCCTGGTATCCCCACCCCTCCCTCCCTCCCCTTCCTGCCCTCCCTCTCACCCTCCAGGAACAACCGTGCCACCTCCAGCCCCTCCGTCACAAGGCCCCCGCGGTTGTCCCGCAGGTCCAGCACCAGCCGGGTGGCGCCCGCAGCCTGCAGCTGCCGGATGGCGGCGGCAACATCGGACTGGGGGGGATGGGGTGGGGGGTGGGAGGGAGGGTGTGAGAGTGGAGGGAGGGGAGGGAGGGAGGGTGGGGGGGTGGGAGGGAGGGTGTGAGGGTGGGGTGGGGTGGGGGGGTGGGGGGTGGGAGGGAGGGTGTGAGGGTGTGAGGGTGTGAGGGGTGGGGAGGGAGGGTGGGGAAAGAGGGTGGGGTGAGGGTGGAGGGAGGGTGCAAGGGAGGTGTGTTGAGGTGTGGGTGGGGCATAGCAGAGGCGGTATTGGAGGCAAGCAAGGATGGTTAGGGACGCCGAGAGATGCGGCAGGGTGGATCAGGCAGGCAGGCATGTCCATCACCCCAGTCGCCGTGCACTGCCCAACACCTGAGCCCCTCTCCCCCGGCACCACCCCACCTCCCCACTTCCCCACCTGCGCTCGGGCGTTGAAGGCAGTCAGCCGCACCGTCCCCACCACCTCCTCCCGCCGCCCCCGCCCCGGCAGCGACAGCAGCCGCTGCTGGGGTGCGGGGCTGCGGGTGAGGCTGGCGGAGACGGCGGAGGGCAGGGTGCGGTGCGGGCGCAGCACCCGCACCTCCTCCGCCTCGCCGTCCGGGGTGTGCCGCAGCTGGGTGGGGGGGGCGGGGCATGGGGCGTGGCGGATGGGATGGGGCGGGTAAGGGAGGGAGGGACCCAGGAAAGCTGCAATACGATGGGCCCATGGTCGGTTGGATGGGCGGGTTAGTTCATGGTTCCAGTGCAAATGGGCTGTGGGGCGCCGGGCTGCGTCTGCAAAACCATTCGGGCGTGTGAAGAGGTGTATAGAGGCACCCCGTGTGTGTGTGTGGGGGGGGGGAGAGGGTGCTGTGCATTCGCCTGGTTCCATGTGGTTTCATGTGGTTTCATGTGTGTATCCCGATGGGCGGGGTAGGCATGGTGGAGGGTGATGCCTCCGTGTGCATCCCATCCTCCGCACCGCCACATGGAGTGCGTCTATGGTACCCTACGTGCCCCGCACCCCACCACACCACACCGCCTGCATTCTGGAGGCACACCGATAGCACAAGCAGACTTGTCAACCCACCCACGCCCTGCCCTCCTGCCCTCCTCCTCAAACCTCCATCTCTCCAGGCCTCCGCCCCCTCACCTTGATACGAACTACATCATCCGTACCCTCATCGCCCCTCCGCTCCTGCTGTTGCTGCCGCTGCCCAGCAGCTTCCGCTGTGCCCCCCGCATTCAGCCCGCCGCCCCCGCCGCCCTCCGCCACCTCCTCCGCTCCCGATATGAGGCCGGCTGCCCTGAAGGGGGTCGCCCCCAGCAGCGGCTGCCCCTGCGGTGGTGGCGGTGGTGAGGAGGGGGAGGTTGGTGGGTGGTGGGTGGTGGGTGGAGGACAGACGTACCACCCTTCCTTGCTTCCAGTGGAGCAAGCACACACGCTCGCGGCCAGTTTCCTAAACACACTAGCAAGAACGACAGCGCACGGGAGAGGGGGCAGCTGAGGGCAATGCATGCAGAGGAGGTTGCTGCGGTTGCCACGCAGCACACACAACGAACTGTCCAGCACTGTACGGTATCTGCACACCTCTCCATCCGTCACGTGGCCGACATCCCAGACCCCACCCCAAACCCCTAAACCCCAGTTCGTCAGTTTCCTCTTTCTACCCAACCCCCTCCCCCCCCACCTGCACCTCCAGCAGCTGGTCCCCCTGCCGTACCCCCGCCTGGTCTGCCGGACTGCCCCGGCTCACCCCCACCACCCACACACCCTCGTCGCCCTCCCCGGCAGTGGCAGTGGCAGCAGCAGGGGAGGAGGAGGCAGGGGAGGTGGAGGGGGAAGCGGAGGTGGAGGCGGGGGAGGGCAGGCCAGGCAATGGCTTGCCCTGAGGTGGGGACAAGGAGGGGACAAGGAGGGGGGCAGGAGGGGTTGATGGGCACGCCAGGACGCAGCAGCAGCAGCATCAACGGAGGAGGAGCACAGTGCCTGACGGGCTACACAAGAGTGGGCGAAGGCCTACCGGACCATGGAAGAGGCTCTAGCAGGTCACCGTCTCCACCGGTAGCGTCAGACCCCATATCGGTATACACAGGCTCCTTCGGGGAGGAGCGGGGAACCCTGCAGTCCGCAACCCACCCACCCTCCCGCCCCCCTTTTTTATATAATTCCCCCCCCTTTCCTCCCCCCCTCAGCTCCCCCTCACCGTCTTCACCACATACTCCGCCGCCGTACCCAGGTTGAGCCCCACTCCGCTCACGTCGTACTTCTTCATGGCCGCCAGCTCGGAGGGCCCGATGAAGCGGCAGTAGGGGTCGGACAGCCCGCGGGCCAGCAGCTCGCGTACTGCCCTGCGGGGGGGGGGGTGGAGCGCACCGCATGGAGGGGGGGGCGTACGTAAAGGGGTACGTGAGCGGGTAGGAGCGGTGGACAATGGTTGCGCGAACAGCCCTGCGTGAGGTAGTGCCCCGTTGGCCCGTTCCGTTCCGCCCTCATCGGTCACACCGGTACCCTCAACCTCGCACCACCTCCTAAACGCATCCCCGCCTGTACCCCGGCCCACCGCCCCCGCCCCCGCCTGTACCCCGGCCCACCGCCCCCGCCCCCACCTCTTCACTCAGTTCATCAGTTTCCTTATTTTTACCCTTACCTGTAGCCCGCTGCCGTGTCTCGGTAGGAGCGCGACAGCCCCTCATCCCGCAGCTCAGCCCAGCGACGCCGGTCGAAGCCGCTGGCGCGCGCATCCAGGTAGTTGGCATCCACCACCTCCCACACCTCACGGATGAGGGTGTGCGCGGTGGCGGTGGCGCGGGAGACGCCCTGGGAGGGCGTGAGGTAAGGGGATGGTGGGTGGTGCGTGGGCGTGGACCGTTAGGTGTCTGTAAGTACTCCGGTGTGACGGGATTTTTCGGTGCAGGGAGGGCAGGGGGATGTGGGGAATGCGGCGGGCGATGTAGGGGGGTGCGATCCAACGCTGAACATCCACAATCAGATCGATCACACACCCCGCTCATGTTCCCGCACGCCCCTTGCTGCCACTGCTGCCCCCGTCCGCGCCCAACCCCTCCCCCGCACCGCTGCCCGCATGCCCCCGCCCCTCCCACCCACCCCCCGCCCCTTCTTCCGCCCGCTCCGCCCCCAAAGCTCTGTCCCCATCTCCCACCCCCCAACCTGACAGTCCCCACCACACCGCGGTACCGCTCAACTTCCTCCCCCTCCCCGCCCCAGGAGCTCGTCGGCTTGCTTTCCCTTCTCGTGCAACACATTGGGTATTGGGTATTAAACTATTAATCCTCCCCCCCCCCGCACCCCCCCACCCACCCCCGCCCTACCTCCTCCGCCTCCGCGCCCTGCTGCCCCCCCAGCACCCCCGGCACCCCCCCTGCCAGCGCCCCCAGCACCCCCTCCAGCCGCGCCTCCACCTGCCGAGCCGCCTCCAGCAACCGGTCCTCCGCCTCACTGGCGAGCTCGCCTGCTGCTGCAGGCATGGGGCCGAGGGGGAGGGTGCTGCTGAGGGGGGTGCTGCTGGCAAGGGTGTGGAGGCAGGAGGCGCCTGCGGTGCTGGCCCCAGCCTCGCAGAGCCGCTGCTGCTGTTGCGACTGCTGGGACAGGGGTAGCGGCTGCTGCGCTGCTTGAGGGAGATGTGGCAGCAGCGGCAGCTGCAGCAGCAGCAGAGGTGGCGGCAAGGATGCAGCGTAGCCGTTCGATCCACTGGCATGCCCAACGCTGCTGCCGCTGCCGCTGCTGCTGCTGCTGCCGTGGTTAGCTTTGCTGTCGCAAGCCCCGTCTCTCCCACGCGGCTGCGCCACTGCCGCTACCGCCGGACACAGGTTCCTGGTTCGAGCCAGGGAGGCAGCAGCAAGGGAGGTGTAGTCGGCGCTGGCGGAGCCAGCCAGCAGCGTGAGGGACAGGGCTGCGGCGGCCGCACAGCGCAGCACCTGCCAGGCCCACTGCTGGGCCGCGAACCAGGTGCTGAGGTGGCTGCTGAATGCACCGAAGCCGGCGCCGCCTGCACAAGAGCCGACACGAGGGGTTAGGATGGAGTGTGCCGCCTGGTGTTCTTTTGGCATGATGGGTGATGGACTGTGTAGGGAAAAAGAAATTCCAATGTGTGGTGTGGATAGTGGTAGGGAGGGACTAGTGCAGCTCCTGGGTGTACCGGTACACGGCGGTTTAGCTTCAACCCACGGACCTGGTAGTTGCTCTTGATGAGGCGTCCCACTCGGCCCGAGTTTGCTGTGGTTATCGCCATCAGCAGCATGAGCAGCAATGGGGCTGTGACTGTGCTTGCGACTGGGGCGTACCAGAGGCTGGCCGAGGGAGGCGCGCCGAGCAGCATGTCGGGATTGAGGCAGCCATGTGGGCTTGGCTGCCGCTGGTCGTAGCGGGCTTCCTTGAGAGGACTGCAATTAGGAAAGAGGGTTTCAGGTTAGGTAAGCATTTAAGGAACGCTGCTGTCGTCCACGCAAGTTTGTAGTAATGATGGATGCGGTGACGAATGTCGCCTACCTGCAGCAAAACAGATGCCGCTGTACTCATTATGGGCTGATCAGCTAGGACTACGTGATTAAGCGAACATAAGCACCGGCTGGGAAGTTACTGGTTGCTCAATATATGTGGCCTGCGGTGCGGTTCGTTGCTTGCCGAGTAGATCGCAGTCGTCGTGGCGCTGAATGCGCCCTTTTTGCAAAAGCGTTGCGAATTGTTTCACGTTCCAAATGTGTGCTAACTAGCAATGTGGATAGGCTCTGCATTAATGCCCTCCCGCCTGCCGTACTCAGCCGATCGCTTTCTGGCAAGCCCGCAAAAGTGTAAATGGCTACTAGCAAGCACATAAGCATGCTGTACTCGGGTATTACACTACGTCGGCTTTCATCCACTTTGTTCGCACGCCAGGGACCCGCATTCGTAGCAGGCGTTCGCGCTGTGCCTAAGAAGACTAAACTACATACGACAGGAGCTAAAGGTTGCTCACACATCTTCGATAGCGTCTGCACTGCTCGATACGTTATAACCTCAGCCATGTCATCGCCGTCGTCAAGCGGACCCCAACCAACGCCTGCTGCGGCAATGGACTTCCTCCTCCTTTTACAACAGCTCAAGGTGCCGCCTTTGTTTACTACATATTAGTCTGCTCATCTTTTGCACCACTGTTGCATTACCTCAATGCCGTTTCCCCACCTCCGAAATGTCCCAATGCTTGTCCCTTTTGCCCAATCCCCAGTTGACAAAGCGCACCGGATGGGTGAGAAAGAACGTAAATGGACCCGAAAGCATTGCAGGTGGGTCGGCAAGACGGCACTTTCGCGCTCGCCGTCGACCCAGGGGACGTTCCAACTTTGCGCAGCCTCCTTCAACGTGCATCGGGCATTGCATGGCTAGCAATCACGCAATGCGGTGATACAGACAGTGAAACCACAGCTCTCCCCCTCTCCCTGCTCCCCTGCCCCCTCCTCCTGCCCCCCCTCCCCCCCCCCAGACCACATGTACCGCATGTCGATGATGGCCCTGCTCGCCACGGACAGCGGAGTGGACGTCACCAGGTGGGGCGGCGGCAGCGTGCGCCTGCGGGCAGCGAACGGGGGCAGCGGCAAAGCAACGGAGCTAGAGGGGTGGGGGGAGCGGGCGAGGCGGGAAGCCCTGCTCAGCGCCTCCGCAGCAGCCCCCTCGTTCCTCTGTCTCAGCAACCCACCGCCCACTCCACCCGCTCCCGCCTCCACCCGCACCCCCCCTCAGGTGCATCAAGATGGCTCTCGTTCACGACGTGGCGGAGTCCATCGTGGGCGACATCACTCCCCACTGCGGCGTCAGCGAGGCGGACAAGCACGAGGCGGAGCTGCGGGCGGTGGGGCGAATCCGGGAGCTGCTGGGGGCGCACACGGCGGCAGGTGGGGAAAACATTATATAAGAAATGCAAACAGGCAGGTGAGGGGGGGGGAGGGAGGGAGGGAGGGGGAGGGGGAGGGCGGGGTGCTGGCACGCATTCAGCTGGGCACCTCCTGACGCTGTGACGACTGCTTGCGACGCCGCCTTTCCCAATGTGCCTTCCCACAACGTTTTCCCCAGCTCAACACCCCTCCCGCCTACCTCCCTCTCCCCACTGGCTTCGCTCTTTCGGGCTGGGCGGGTCGGGCTGGCTCACATGTTGCAGCCCATGTTGATGCCTTATCACACGATCAGGTGTTGCTTCTTTTCTATCCCTCTCCCTCCTCCCTCCTCCCCCCCCCCAGCTCGCGAGGTGGAGTGCCTGTGGCTGGAGTACGAGGCGGGGGCCAGTGCGGAGGCGCTGCTTGTGAAGGACCTGGACAAGCTGGAGATGATCATCACAGCGCACCAGTACGAGCAGGTGGGGGGTTGGAAGGGGGGGAGGGGGAATAAATAATGGGGCACTGACGAGGAAGGAGGTTGGAGAGGGAGAGGGGGAAGGGGGCGGGGATTGATGGGAGGTGGATATTTCGCACAAGCTGGCACTGGGTATTGCGAGTGTGTGTAGGTTGTAGGTTTGGAGGGGAGGGGAGGGGAGGAGGAACGGAGGGGACTGGAGGGGACTGGAGGGGACTGGAGGGGACTGGAGGGGACTGGAGGGGACTGGAGGGGACTGGAGGGGACTGGAGGGGACTGGAGGGGACTGGAGGGGACTGGAGGGGACTGGAGGGGACTGGAGGGGACTGGAGGGGACTGGAGGGGACTGGAGGGGACTGGAGGGGACTGGAGGGGACTGGAGGGGACTGGAGGGGACTGGAGGGGACTGGAGGGGACTGGAGGGGACTGGAGGGGACTGGAGGGGACTGGAGGGGACTGGAGGGGACTGGAGGGGACTGGAGGGGACTGGAGGGGACTGGAGGGGACTGGAGGGGACTGGAGGGGACTGGAGGGGACTGGAGGGGACTGGAGGGGACTGGAGGGGACTGGAGGGGACTGGAGGGGACTGGAGGGGACTGGAGGGGACTGGAGGGGACTGGAGGGGACTGGAGGGGACTGGAGGGGACTGGAGGGGACTGGAGGGGACTGGAGGGGACTGGAGGGGACTGGAGGGGACTGGAGGGGACTGGAGGGGACTGGAGGGGACTGGAGGGGACTGGAGGGGAGGGAGTTCAGCGCCCTACACCACCCGCCCGCTACCACCTGCTCACCTGCCACTGTGTGCCCTGGGGTTGCCCCAACCTGTGGTGCCTTCCTATGGTTGGGTACCGTATGGTCTTTGACCCCCTCTCCCCTCCCCTCCCCTCCCTCCCTCCTTCCCAGGCCCAACCGGGTTTGCTGCTTGAGGAGTTCTTCGCCAGCACAGCGGGGCGCTTCAAGACGGACACAGGGTGAGCAAGCGGGGGGCGGAGGTGCTCGGCGAGGCTAGCGATCCTGGACTGGGAGGGACGCACATCTCTAATACGGGCAGCATGGACCACCCTAGGTGTGCCCCATCTGCAGTATCCCTCGACTCCTGTCAACACCTATCCAACCATGCTCCCGCCCTCGCCTCCTTTCCCATCCGCCTCCTAACCCCCGCAGCAAGGCCTGGGCTGCTGAGCTCGTTGCGCGGCGCACCGCCAGCCGGCAGCAGCAGCAGCAGCAGCAGCAGGGGGCCGAGGGCGCTGCTGCCTCGGGGCAGCAGGGCGGCGAGGAGGGCCGGGAGGGGGCGGCGGCGGAGGGCCGGGAGGGGGCGGCGGAGGAGGGTGCCGCGGATGCTGTGGGGGAAGCGCAGGGGCAGGAGCGGGAGCGGGAAGCGGAGGAGGGGGGGCAACGCGGCGCTAAGCGGGCGAAACTGCTGGAGGCGCAGCAGGACGAGCAGCAGCAGCAGCAGTGTGGGGGACAATAGCTGTGGAAGGGACAGTAGGGGAGAGCGGGGATGCGATTCATGGTCGTTGCTGTGGGGTGCGGGTGGAATGCGTGCATGGGCGGGTGGCGGAGAGAGAGTGTGTGATGACACAGGGGGGATGCGGAACTGCAGCGCCCTGCGCCGTTCGTCACGCTACATTGTAACGGTTGCTGCAAATGCCTGTGCGTACTAAATTAATTGACCACAACCGGCTGTGCATGTGTATGTGTTCCCTATCAAGAGCCAGCGACGAGTACGAGTCGACAGCCACGCTAGCAAGCTCAGCAGCCTTCACGAACATGCAATGGCACGCAGCCTCCAGGAGCTAGGAAAGGGGCCGGCGGGAAGGGGAGGGGGACGGGCAGGTAGGGAGGAGTGAAACACACAAGTGGCACACGCGTGCGGCTCCTGTGTTGACATACGGCCCAGATATTGGGCGCCAAGACGTGCTGCGACGTGACGGGTGGTCCATCTAGGCCTCGTACGTCTAACGATTTTTTTCTACGGACTCCTTACTGGTTGGTCCTCCAGTGTAATCCTCGCACCCTATTCACTCAAGAAGGAGCCTTGCAAGCGCAGGGGCCAGCCTCGAGGGTACAGCAGCAGAGCGTACGTTGCCCTTTTAGGCCACCCAACATGCCACCCGGTCCTGGGCTCCGAAGTGAGACAACAACACTGGCAGTGTACGGCATCCAATCAGGCGAGCAACAGTCCGCGCACCTCCGTCCAACCAACAGGTAGGGCCCACACATACACCCCACACTTAGATATAGGTTCATTTTGTCTCTAACTCTGTCCCCCTTTCCTCGCTCTGGTTCATGCTTCTGCGCATGGCATTACTCGCATTACTGCGGCTGCTGGTTCTGGTGCTGACTACGGCGTCTTTGCTCGCAGGTACGCAATGCGCGTTTGCACGCACGCATGCACAGCATTGTGGTGTCTCGTCTGCGTGTCCAGAGCGGGGGCTCCCGGCGTCGAGCTTTGGTCAGCGGGCTTTAGTTCTCGGTAGTATTTTAGTTTATTCCGACACCATCAGCATCACCGACATGCGTCGTCACTCATCACTCGCCACTCTTCTTACATCCAGCAACAGCCATTTAAGCAGTTTTCTGTATTACGGTTCAGGTTCGGTCAACTTTGTTTTGCCTGTACTCGCGGTTCACATGCGAACCTCTCCCCATTGCTTGCTCCTGTCCTACTCAACTATACACCCCACACAGCAACGAGGCATCCTGTGCAAGTAGGTAGGTCTAAGTGTGAGTACCACCACCGCTTCGGAGCAGGTTTGCCGTCTCCCCTGTCCAACCCCTTTGTTGCTCCCCTCCGCTGCATGGTGGCATCCTCACAACCCAGCGTGCATGCACCCTTCTCCCCACCTCGTCGCTCCTTCGTACTTCCCGCCCGCCGGCTCCCTCCCCACCCCCATCCCGCCATTGTTCACAACTTGGCCTTCCCCTCCCTTCCCCCCTCCCTCACAACTCTCTCCCAGACACCTCCATCCTCCGCCTCCCAACCCTCTCCCTCCCACTGCAAGGCGCCTCAACTCCCCCCCACCCCCCCCCCACCCCCCCACCCCCAAAGAGCCCCCGCCCCTCAGAAGTCCTCCCCCTGCAGCACCCGGTGCTCCCGCGACCCCAGCGGCGGCCGCCTCACCTCCAGCGGCGGCACCACCACCTGGTACTGCACCACCACCATCTCACCCCCGCCGCCCCTGCCGCCACTTCCCGCCTCAACACACCGCCCACCCCCGCCGCCCCTGACACCACCCGTCTCCTCACTGCCCGCGGGCGAAGGTGCCGTTGCAGGCAGCCCCTGCCCCTCCCCTCCACCTCCCTGCCCCTGCCCCTGCCCCTCCCCACCACCTCCCTGCCCCCGCCCCTGCCCCTGCTCCTTGCGCTGCCCCCCCGCACCCGGCCGCATGCAGAGCAGCAGCCGCCTCCAGCTGCTGCCCCCCGCCTCCGCACCGCCCCCTCCACCCCCCTCCGCCCCCCCCTCCGCCCCCTCCCCGTACGGCTGCTCCACACGCAGGGTGAAGCTCAGCTCACCGCTCTGTGTGTGGGGGGGTGGGGGGGAGAGGAAGAAGTGGGTGTGGTGGCCTGGGAAAGGTGGCAAAGTTAGAAGTGCGGCACCTAGCAGCTGCGCACCCCGCTAGCACGTTCAACGTCAACCATCGCCTCAGCAGCAGCAACAGCAGCAGCCATCCCGCCCCTCCACCCGACCCCCGACCCCCTCCACCCCCACCTGCGCCCGCTCCTCCACCTCGCACCAGTTCCGCAGGTTGAGCAGCTTGCGCCTGCCGGGTCGGTCGGCGAAGGTGCGGTCCAGGTGGTTGCGGGTGCGGCGGTTGGTGAGGCCGGCTCGGCCGCTCCACTGCAGCAGCCGCACCAGCGGGGTGGGCGGCGGCGCGTTCACGATGGCGCTGCTGATCACCTGGGGGGGGGAGGGGGGTCAAAGACCATACCAAACCATAGGAGACCACAGGTTAGGGCAAAGCCATGGGGGTAGGAGGCGGCAAGGGGGGTGAGGGGGAGGGTGAGAGGAAACAACGAACTGACTGTGTGGTAAGGATTGATAGGGGTACATATTCCGCATAGGCTTGATTGTTGGGTAAGCATACAAGTAAGGGGAAAAATGAAATTCCAAAGTGTGGTAAGTAAGGGGAGGGGGAAGAGTGGAAGGGAGTGAGTGGGGAAGAGAAGGGTTGAGGGGCAAAGAGGAAGAGCCACTACCTAGCCGTGTGGCAAGCAGGGTGCGGGTAACACAACACCTTCAGGGTCACCCATAACGTGACGTGATTGCCGAAAAATATAAAATGTCAAGAAGGGCATTGAAGTATTGCTAGGCCGGCTGCCTAAATCACCCCCCCCCCCCATCCCACCCACTTGTATCATTATCACACCCTACTTTGGAATTTCTTTCCCCCCCCCCGCCCCCACCCCCTCTCCCGCACCTGCTGCATGTACCTCCAGTCATGTCTCGGCGGACGGCCCGGGGCCCGAGGCCAGCTGTACAGCCGGCCCGCACCACACAGGTGCACATCGCCGCTGATGATGCTGACCCTGGGGGGGCCAGGAGGGGGTGAGGGGGAGAGCGGGTGGGTGCTAGTAGTGCATTAGGGTATTCCGCACAAGCCTCCCACCCATCCCCTTGACCTGCTTTCGTGCTCCAATCGGACATACACGGCATCACCCCTTGCAGCACCCTCCCCCCCTCCCTCCCTCATCGCAACGTTGGTTTCCTTCTCCCTCCCCCCACCACACCTGCAGCTCCTGCTCTTGGCCAGCATCTGCATGTGCTCGATCAGGAAGCGCCGCTCCCCCCGGTGTCCGGGGGCAACCCAGTGGTCGCGCAGGTCGTCAAGCAGCTCGGGCTCGCCTGGGAGGGGGGAGGGGGGAGCGGGGGGAGAGGGGGGGAGGGGGGAGGGGGGGAGGGGGGGAGGGGGGGGAGGGGGGGAGGGGGGAGCGGGGAGGGGGGGAGGGGGGGGAGGGGGGAGCGGGGAGGGGGGGAGGGGGGGGAGGGGGGAGCGGGGAGGGGGGGAGGGGGGGGAGGGGGGAGCGGGGAGGGGGGTAGGGGGGTAGGGGTAAACATGTGGGAACCGACGCGCTGCATGACCTGTAGGCTTCACCATGGCGTGCGACCCGGGTAGTCGGGCCACATGCCCCAACACACGTAACACACACGGGCTCCCAAGCCGTACCGAATTTGTCCAGGATTGCCGCACTTGCGCCCGTCTTGGCTAGCAGCGGGCGCAGGAAGGCGGTGCGGTCGAGGCGGCGGAAGCAGGACATGAGGCTTGATGGGGGGGGAGGAGGGAAAGGGAGGAGGGTGATTGGGGGGTTAGAGGGGGGAGGAAAGGAGGGAGCGGGGGTAGGTATGGCGAAAAGAGGGAGCGTGTGTGTGTTTTTATCAGGTAGGAAGGGGAGGAGGGTGCCCCCGCCTGCCTCACTCTACTCGCCTCTCAGCAGACGGACTGCACCCCGCATTGCAATTACGACCCACTCCAACCAGCAAGCCCTACCCCTCACCTCACCTCCCCTCATTCACCACTCAGTACTGCCCCCCCTCCCCCCTCTCTCTAGTGGTCTCCTATGGTTTGGTATGGTCTTTGTTCCCTCCCCCCCTCCCCCCCTCCCCCCCTCCCCCCCCTCCCCCCCCTCCCCCCCTCCCCCCCTCCCCCCCTCCCCCCCTCCCCCCCTCCCCCCCTCCCCCCCTCCCCCCCTCCCCCGCCACTCACACGTGCGATCCCGCTATGTGCGGGTACACCAGCGGTACGGTGGCCACCAGGGTGAGGTGCCGTACGGAGGGCGGCAGGCGGGTGGCGGCGGCGAACAGCTCCGCGTAGGACTCCAGGGGCAGCACCTGGAACCTGCAGGGGGGGGGAGGGGGGAGGGAGGGGGGGGAGGGGGGAAATATAGATAATTGCATCAAGGGGAGGGGGGGAGGGGGAGGGAGGGATTAAGGCAAAAGCCGGCAGGTTGGGAGGTTGGCAGGTTCGAGCGGCACCCGTCACGAGGGTAGCCGTCACGCTTCTCCCCATCCCTCCCCCCTCCCCCACTGCCCCATCCCCCCCTACCGTGTAACTCCTACCCCCATTGCTTTGCCCTAACTTGTGGTCTCCTATGGTTTGGTATGGTCTTTGACCCCCCTACCGTGTCCTCTCCCCCCGTTGGTCCGGCAGCACCAGCGCCTGCCGCGGCCCCAGCAGCAGCACCTGGTGCAGCCCACCGCCGGGGCTGACGACCAGACCGTCGGAGCGGGCGCGACTGGGGGTGGTGTGCAGCTGGGTGGGGGGAGGCGGTGAGGGAGGTGGGGGCGGGGTTAAGGGCAGGGTAGAGGCAGACAGTGGCAGGCGAGGAGGGGACGGCCAATCCCGCAGCGGCCATACACCTCACCCTCTCAGCCGCATGCCCTCCCCCTCCTTCACCTCCCCCCCCCCCCCCCCCCCCCCCCCCCCCTCCCCACCCTACCTGGAACAGCATGTACGCCCCCCTCGCGCTCTCCAGCACCCCCCTGAACACGGGGCAGGCCTGCAGGCTGCCCGGGTAGGAGCCCCAGCCGTCGAAGATGTCATGGTCGTCCCAGGTGTTCACCTGGGGGTGGGGGGTGGGGGAGGGGGGGAGTCAAAGACCAGACCAAACCATAGGAAGGTACAGGTTAGGGCAAAGCAATGGGGGTAGGAGGCGGCAGTGTGGGGTGGGTTAAGAGGAAACAACTAACTGACTGAGGGATAAGGCGTCAACATGGGTTGCAACAGTGTGGGGTGGGGGTGGGGGGGAGTTATGGGGGTTGGGCCGGAGTTAACGAGGCACCCGGACGCACCTACCCACCGCCCGCTCCTACCCCCCCCCTCCATCCCCCCCCCCCCCCCCCCCCCCAGGTGAACACCTGGGACGACCATGACATCTTCGACGGCTGGGGCTCCTACCCGGGCAGCCTGGGTAGGAGCCCCATCCGGGTGATGCGTGCTTCTAGGATAGTGTCTCCGAATGCGCTCACTGCATGAGTCGGGATATGGGATCGGGACTCGTTGTTTCACATATTTAATTATTTTCTCCCCCTCCCCCCCCCCTCCCCCCCTGGCTCCTCCCTCCCCGGCTCCTCCCCCCCCACCTGCGGTATGCACGCCAGCACCTGGCGCATGTGCTGTGCGGTGAAGTGGGTGCAGCAGTGGGAGAGGTAGTAGCCGCCCGTCTGCGCGGCCATGGCGGGGGTGAAGGGGGCGGACAGGCGGGACTCGCGGTCGGGGTTGTCAAGCCACTCCTGGAGGGGTGGGGGTGGGGGGGGGAAGGGGGGGAGGGGGATGAAGGGTAGGGCAAGGAGAGAGGGGAAAGATGGTCAGGGCCGCCACTGCCCCCACCGCCATCATCCCGCCATGCAACCATGCTCCAGCCAACAAACGCAAACACCCCTCCTCGCGGCCAGGATTGTTAATTCACACATACATTAGACATCACAATACGTTTCGCCTCGCAGCCAGTTAATATAACACATCACCATCACCAGCCCAACCAGCCCCCCCCTCCCCCCCCTCCCTCCCCCCCCCCCCCCCACCTGCAGCTCCGGCAGCTGCCACACGTCATCGTTGTACAGCTGGTCCCCGCCGCCCACCAGAGCGGAGAAGGGGGCCGCGTGGTGCTGCGCAAGCAGGTCGCGCCACAGGGGGGCGGGGCCGCGGAACCTGGTGGGGGGGGGGCGTGAGGGGATGGAGGGGTGACATGCACGCGGGGGTGACATGCACGCGTGCATTGGACGCGTACTGTTGTTGTGCTGCAGTGTATGACGTGCGTACCCGGGGTCCCCAGCGAGACACCCCCCACTTCCCGCCCGACCGCCCCCACAAAGGCCTGACCGGTGCCTCCGGTGACCGCACCCCGAACACGCTGCCCCTTCCCCCTCCCCTGCATCCCCCCTCCCCTCCCCCTCCCCCCTCCCTCCTTCCCCCTGCCCACCTGTGCACCTGCTCCTCGGCCGACACATCAAGTGCAAACCCTGCACAAGAGTGGAAGGCCCAGCGCCAGCCCTCCAGCCGCCCCGGCACATACACACGGAACCGCTCCTCCCCCCCTCCCCCTCCGCCCCCCTCCCCCTCCCCCTCCCCCGCTCCCTCCTGCCCCTGCCGCTGCCCCCCCGGCCCCGGCGGTGCCACCCAGTACTCCAGCCACTGCGCCGCCCGCTCCCGCAGCCGCACCCCCAGCTCGAAGCGCCACACCTCCAGCCGGCCGCAACGGGCCAGCAGCAGCGGCCGCAGCGCCTGATGAGAGCCGTGCAGGGGACCGTTGGGCAGGTCGGGGTGCGGGTGGGGGTGGGGTTGTGAGGTGGGTGCGGGTGTGTTTTCCGCAGCAGCCGCAGCGGCAGCAGCTGCCGCCACCTCCTCTGCGGGGAGCACTCTGAAGTGCAGCACGGGTGCATGCACGGAGAGGCCGGCGGCCTCCGCTGCCGCCGGGTCCCCCACCTCCTCCAAAACACACACGCCGGCTGCTGCTGCTGGTGCCGCACTCGCTGCTGCACCCGCCGGCTGCTGGGGGGCCTGAACACCACCACCACCGCCAGCAGCATCAAGAGGAGGAGGGCCGCTCCTAGTCAGGGCGACAGCCAGGGGGGCACCCGTACCGCCACCGCCGACACCATTGTTACCGCCGACCCCGCCGCCAGTGGTTGTGCCGTATAGTACGGAGGCCCGCCAGGTGTCGGAGGCGCTGTCGTACCCCCGCAGGCGGATGAGCGGGCCGACGGTGGGGGGGATGCGCAGCGCACCGCAGCCGCAGGTGTTTTCGCGAATGGGAGTGTCGTGGGGGCCCTGGAAGAGGAGGAGGAGGAGCAGGACAGGAGGCACCACAGGATGGTTTGCATGTAAAATGGTGTGTGGAAATGTTTGCGTATGGGAGGTGGGAGGTGGAGGGAGCAGAGCATAAGTTGCGGACAGTCGCTCTCAACACAACTCCCACCGGTACCCAACATTACCGACCAACAACTGCAACAAGTATGCGCCGGTTAGTTAATTTTCTTAAGTCTTGTTCCGCGCAAGGACGCCTCGCGGACCCATGGTTCGCGCTGCTTCACTGAACCACGGGTCCAACGTCCCCTCACGAGACTCATGCGTCTACACCACACCATGTCGGTTTCCCTAGCTGATCCAACTAAAGCGCAACAGGAGAAGCCTGTGACCCATTACCGTCCTCCTGCAAAGCAATATGTTGCTTGCCTTTCGCGACGCCTCCACAATTCGCCGCGCCGCCTCGAGCGGCTCTTCCGGCTGAGAGCTTGCCGTTGGAGGCTTGTGAAGGTGGTGCATAGCTTGTTTCCTATCCGTTGCTGCTACAACAAATACTAAAATGTTATGCAATCTGCCGTCGCGTTAGTGTGAAACCCGGGCGAAAGCAGACTCATTGGTTCACTTGTCGTTTACGCTTACAATAAAGTGATAGTTTGTGATTATGTGTTACCGCATCTACAGGATGTCAGGGTTGACACCTTGTGTGAAGGGGACATCGTGTTGCCCTGCATACGTGGAGCCACATGGGGGCAACCGCGACCTTTGGACGCGTAAGCTGACTGTGTTGGCTTCATCCGACTGTCTTATGCATTCACGCAAGCATCTTTGCTGTCCTTTCCTACGCGAGTACCGTGGCTGGCCGCAAATCCAGTGTGATCCTGCCATCCTGGTTTGCGCCTCACCTCCGACGCATGCCGAGCTAGGCGGGGGTGGGGCCATGACGCACGATAGCGGTAAACCACTGTGCATGATGACCCAACGGGTGCTCCTTAGTTCGCACTCAACATGGTGTGAACCCAACCCAACCTAACCTACGGTGTGTGAGTGGCGACCTGGGAGCCCACCACCCCGCCAATCCCATGGCTTGTGAACCTCCATGCCCCACTACGTGAAGCCAGTACGGCGCCCAACGGATACCCATCTAAGTGCCCATGTGCCCTCCTTTGCTCCTTACGCCACATACGTGGATCACATCGAGAGGCCCAATCGACATAACACCGGCCCCTTCCGGCGTGCATACCCTCCCTCACGACTTCTGCCCCTGCTGAGACGCGTGTACCGATACTACGCCACCGCCTTGCGACACAGCTGGCTATAATTCTCACATATCACAACCAGTCTAACGGCTGCTATACGAAAGTGCTATACGAGCGCTGCATGTATGCGCTGTGGTCCTGCCCTAGCCTACCCTACCCTGCCCTACCGTGCCGTCCAAACACCGCATATCCTAACCCACTCCTTGGGTACAAGGGAGCACCGCACCTGTTAACGTTTGATATGGTTCACCTCTCCTACCACGCACGCACGCACACTCACGTTCAGCTCAAAATAGCAGCAGGATCAGGAGCCATGCGGCCAACCGCCCGAAGCCCAACACGGGACACATACACCGGACGGCACGCTACGTGCCCTGCCTCCACCCCTCCATCCGCAGCCTCCCCCACCCACCAACCCTGAACCCAGCTCGCGCCCTACTCAGTTCTATCCAAATCCTCCTGGCCCGCCTCCACTCCCAACCCATGCCCCAACCCCAGCCCATGTCCATGTCCGTGCCCGTGACCCCCCAGACTATGCGCATGGCTCAGCCCCAGCCCCCCCATACCCCCATCCGAGCCCCCGCCCGCTCCCCCACCCCCGTTCTCCTTCAGCGACCCCATGCCGCCCAGCTGCTGCCCGCCCGAGGCGGTGCCCTTGATGGGCAGCAGCAGCAGCGCCCGCGCCTCGCCCATGCGCACCAGCGCGGACCGGAACAGCGGCGGACCCACCAGCAGGTTCAACAGGATGATGGCCATCTGGGGGCGAGGAGGGAGGGCGGGCGGGCAGAAGCGGAGGGGGGGGAGAAGGAGTGGTCATGGCGGCATTGGCGAGAGTCGCGAGACAGCGAGAGACAGAGCTAGGCCGGCCAGGCTGGAAGCACAACTGTGCCTCCACCGCCTCGCCCTCCCTGCCCATCCGCACCCTCCCCCCTCCCCTTCCCTTCCCTTCCCCCATTCCCACGGTCAGTGTTTCCTAGCGGCACAGTTTACCTAATCCCACCCTCCCCCGCCCCCCTCCCGCTCACCATGAACGTCTGGAAGTGCGGCCCCCAGTCCGGGAAGCGTGTGCCCGCCAGCCTCGCCAGCCCCATGGCCACCCCCGCCTGCGTCACCATGCTCATCCAGAACATCCGCCGCACCTCGCCCGGGCAGCTGCTGCCGTAGCAGCCCAGCCAGGAGCCCAGCCAGATGGCCGCCAGCCGGGCGCCGAACACCAGCAGCGCCGCGCTGAACATGTCCTTCAGCGCACCCTGGGGGGGGAAAGGGAGCAGGGGGGCGGGAGGGGGTTGCGGAGTAGGGGAAAAAGAGAAATTCCAATGTGTGTTGTGAGTAGGGGTGGGGGAGGTAGGATGTGGACCGCGGGGAGAGGAAGTGTGTTCGCTTGCTTGCCCTCCACACCAAGGAGCCGTGTGACGGCCGCACCGCCGGCCGCCGTTTACCCGCAGCAGACCACCAGCTGGTCACAGTGCCACACCTTCTCCCCCCCCTCACACGCGGCCTCCGTGTCCTCTCGCCCCGCTGCTGCTTTGCGGCTGCCGTCCCCCCTCCCCGTCCTGCAGCTCACCACTTTGAGCGATGCGCCCGCCAGTCCGAAGAAGGCCACATTGGTGAGCCCCATGATCTGGCTCACCATGGCGTGCAGCTCCTCGCGCTCCTTGTCGGCGCGCTCGTGCCTGAGGGGGGGGGCCGGGGTGAGGGTGAGGGAGGGGTATCGTGGGGAGGTACATGCTGCTGCGCTACAGGACCCGGTTACCCTCCTTTCCTCCTGCATGTCAATCCTATATCAGATACCGGTATCGCAACAATAAAACTTCCCGCCTGCAGGGGCGGGGTTTTCCAACACCCGCCCCACCCCACGGACAGAGCTGCCCCCTCCCTCCCTCCTCCTCCCCCCTCCCTCCCTCCTCCCCCCCCCCCCACCTCCTGTTTGCCAGCACCAGCCCCATGGTGACGCACGCCAGCAGCGGCTCCGCGTCCAGCTGGTGGGCCGCCTGGAAGATGCAGGTGGACACCAGCAGCACCACACCCTGCTTCACCCTGGGGGGGGGAGAAATTCCAAAGTGTGGTATGATAATGATACAAGTTGGGAGAAGAATACCCAATGAAGGGGACGACAATAGGGTACGGTAAGACACGGGGAAGCAGCAATGGCGGTAGGATCCCTTCCCCGAAGCGGACCAGCACCTGCAGCATCTACACAGCCCACACCCCTCCCGTTCTTTTCCACTCTCCCGCGTTTGCTCCTTTCCCAATCTCTGCCCACTGTACCATGCCCTTTTCCCCACGACCCCACCCCAACCCCTCACCCTAGTTCTACCGCCCACCCCACCCCGCCCCCCCGCTCACTCACTTGAACACGCCCGCCGGGCCCATGTTGGGCGCCAGCGCCGCCAGCAGCGCCTGCCCCCGCAGCGCCGCCCCCAGCAGCAGCGCGCCGCACACCCCCACACTGGCGCTCAGCAGCACACTCAGCAGCGGCAGCGACATGCTCAGCAGCGGCGGGCGGGAGGGGGCGGAGGAGGAGGGAAGGATGGACTGGGGGAGGGGAGGGAGGGGGAGGGAGGGGGAGGGGAGGGACAAGGGAGGAAGTGGGTTGGAGAGGCGAGTGGGTTGTGCTGGGGGGAAGTGCAAAGGAGACCCTCCACCAGTGCACCACCACCCTTAGACAATTCCTCTCTATTGCCCTCATCGCTACAACTCGTATCCACCGGTATAATACCCAGCCCGGCTCGGGTTACCCGGCACACTCCCCCCATCTCCGCCCTGCCCTGCCCTGCCCTGCTGCTCACCACGCGTATGAGCTCCACGTTGACCGCATACGCGATGATGACCACCACATCCTTCACCACCACCACCGCCATCACCAGCGAGCAGAAGGGGCCCTTGCCGTCCATCTCCTTGAGCACCGCGATCTGGGTCGGGGGGGAGGGGGGAGGGGGAGGGGAGCAGGCAGGGGCGGGAGGGGTGGATGGGGAGGAGCGGGAGGGGAGGTGGGTTGAAGGGAAGGGGCTGCGGGTGGGTGGGTGGAGCTGGGGAGGTGGAGGTCAGGAGCTTATAGGCGGTTAAATGGTTGAAGTGTTCGGGAGTGAGCGTCCAGCGCATGCGAATGTGTTGGATGAGAGGGGAGGCCACATGCCTCGTTCCTTAAAAGGCCCATGCTTGGACCAGGGAATCCCTCCTTCCTCCCTCACTCCGCCCCATTCCTGAAGCCGCGTGTAATCGCGTAATCGGCTAGAGCCCTTCTCACCGCCGATGCGGGTGACCGAGCCATCATAAGGGTGGCGCCGAGGGAAGCTATCGCCACCATGTGGGCAGCATCTAGTTCGCCGAGTTTCGGCAGCAAGGCACCCGTGTACTCGAACGCGCCGTAGCAAACAAGCCATGTCGAGATACAGATACCGAAGGTTATGCTCAACACCTGCGGCAAAGCACGCGTGGTAACTTCGTCTTACCCGTCCATTCAGTTGGGCCAGGTAGGTGAGTTCGCACCTGCTTTTTGCTTCTCGACAGCTCACTAAGATGCAGCTCCGCGCCTGCTGCGAGCCCAATTATACTAAGGCAGGCGCCTTCTATAATGTTCAAATCCACAACGGACTCAGTAGAGAGGATGCCGAGCAAGTAGGGACCGCAGATGATACCGGAGACGAGATACCCCGTGATTTGCGGTAATTTAAGCAAGCGCGCTGCATGCCCCATATAGTAACTAAACGGGGCGAGGATTGCAGCGACACTAAGGGCCACCAAGCCATGCTGAAAGAAGGGCGAAGTGGACACCGGAGGCGCTCCACTGCCTTTCGCTAGTTCTGTCATAGTTTAACTGTTCCCTGGCGCAACGCTGGCTGCGCTAGAAGTCAACAGCTGTGTGTGTCTTCCATTTGAAGCTGTCTAGTCCAAGTTGCCAATAAACAAATTACTCAAGTCTTTAACCGGCATATTAATTCTATTTGATATCTGACAATCTTACAATGAGGTGTGGTATCCTCACAGCGCGAAAGCCTGCGCAAGTACCAAGTAGCGAAGTCAAGTGAATGACCCTGATTCGCTAACGTAATAACATTGCGCCTACTCAGAACCATCCGGACACACGTTCAACATGCGACAGGACGTCTGCTTCACCATTGGAGATGGAACGCAACATGCTCCCCTCAGTGGTTCCGTACAACACACATGCACAGACCGTAAAGGCGACCATCCCCCACCGCCCGGACATCCCCTGTACTCTGTGCTCCCATCGCAAGAAAATTTAACCTACATTACTCAATAAGCTGCTTAAACTCCAGCCCCCAGAAGGCGGAGCTCTTCCCCTAGTTGCATGACGCCATGGGTTGGATGCATGGGGTATGCCACTTGATCGTCAACGCTGAAAATCCAAACGTGTCATATCGCCTGCTCCGCACGCCGCCACGCTATTCCTGCTGTCCATGGCTCCTTACGCAATGAGACCACGCCTGCGCTTCTCCTCAATGGCAATAGCGACCCGCCGCTGCGTTCACGAGCACCGAAGAACGTTGGACCATGGCGGGAAATGGGATGGGACAGGAATAAGATATGAGATTGCGTTTCGGTGTGGAGCTTTGGGGGGGGGAGCTGAGGGGAGAGGCCATACACACGGGGGCCCCTTTCCAGCGAAACCTCCTACGTCCGTGTGCTTTACGCTGAAGAAAATGACAATGAAACAGCCCAGTCATTTTGTTGATGGCAATACGCGAAGCACGCACCTTGAACTCCTTGTACTCGCACTTGTTGTACGCGTGCAGCTCGTGGTTGCACTTTGACCTCCACGAAAAGCCGTTCGTAAGACGGCATTCCTTGTAGTCGATGTACATATGCGCGCAATAGTCCCGGTAGTGGTACGGGACATCAGCTGCGTCCATTTGGTCCTACGCGGCGGCATGGAAGTCCAATGTGAAGCTAGAGCAGCAGGCTGAAAAGATACACGAGGGCTGCTAATTATTGTGCCGCAAGCGGTATGCGGGGACGGAAACAAGCGAGTACACCCATAGAAAATCGCAAGCCGTCAGCCTAGCACCGACATCACACCTGGGTGGCCTTCATGGGCGGAGGAGGAAACCTGTCGGCCATTTCTCACTGCTCTCGACGCGTTCCCCTCGTGGGCGGCCTTCTTCAGGAATGGACCTTGCTATGCCAAGGCCGACAGGGCTAGAACTAACTAACAACCTACTATTAAAGGCCTTAACACAGAATGGAAATCTGCAACCTGATGTTTCACCATGGGACTCTTGCGCGCTTGCTCGTACTACGCCTGATTGTGCATACCCATGCCTCTCACCTAACGTTGTGACATGTTAGGTTTGTAAAGATAAGCATCTGCCATTGTTGAAATAACAGTCAGCATCAGCATCCATGTAACTCTGCGATATGCATTTTACCCTTCGTCCACAGCTATTGCTGTCACTCGCATACTGTAGACTTAAGCCCTGTAAATAAGCGGCAGTACATATCCAGTATATCCAGAAATGGCTGAGCGGGTGACGCCTTGGCGCTCCAAGCCGTCGCAGGTGCGACATGCGGGTAACCTGGTCTGGAGCTTAGTGTCCAAACTCGCGGACACCTAGTCATGCAAAGCGGGATCCACCCATGGTTCCTACAGCTACGCCTTTGGACTCTGTACCTTTGCTTCAGTTGCCATTTCCATCTCTGGTTGGAGGCAGCCGTGTAGACGCTTCAGTATCTGTTGCCCGGCACCACCAACTCCCTCTCCCCTCCTCCCGCCTCCCTTCACCTTACACAGGAGGTTGTGGACCTCTTGCAGCTTATGGGCAATGTCCAACTATTCCTGGTACAGCGCCCAGGACCCACATCTTTCGTTGTGCGAGAAGAAGGGAGTGACGTCAAGCGAAAAGTGCAGATTGGATCACGCATTAGCTGCTCATGGTAAGCAGTGGCAGTGCCCCATCACACCCCATGGCAAGGCAGCGGCGCCATGCTCCCCCAACCAACCTGTACGACCCCCTGGGCGTTGAAGGACCCTTACCACCCTTGCAGCCATCAGCCCTCTCCTCAGCACCCTTCCTCATCCAACACATTTGCCCTCCTCCCACCCATTCCTCCCTCCCTCCACCTCCTGCATCCCTGCTTCCCTCTGCTGTAGCGATCCGTCGCTGCCATGTCCAGTGCCTGTGCCCCCACACCTCCTCGTGTCCAGACCGGCTTAAACACTATGCTTGCCTGCCCCTACCCGCCCCTCCCTCCCTCCCTCCCTCCCTCCCTCCCCCCCAGCTCCCCCACCATGGGTCCCGGCGGCACCTGCCGGGAGCTCTGCCTGCACACGCTGTTCGTGATGCTCAAGGTGCTGCGGGTGCCGGCAAGCAACCCGTTGCTGTGGCAGCTCTCACTCAGCGGTGAGGAGCAGGAGGAGGAGCAGGGGCGCGGGGGGATTAGATAAACTGAGCCGCGGAAACACTGAGCAGGGGCGCGGGGGGAGGAGGGGCAGCAGGGGAGCGGGTTGTGGGGGTGGGGGAGGGGCAATCACCGCCAGGGTGACCCTGTGCGGCGATGCCGTGTTGAAGCATCAGCGCTGGTTTGCAAAGCCTACATGTCGTGCGGCTCGCCAGTTTCCTCCCTTCCACCCTCCCCTCCCCGCACCCCCCGGCCCCCCAGACCGGGAGCTGGAGGAGGTGCTGCGCTGCGCCATGCAGCCCGAGCGGCCGCCGCAGGAGGCAGCCCGCACGCGGCCCGCGGCGGACAAGACACCGGCGGGGCAGGTCAAGCGCAGGGAGGTGGACGAGGTGGGTGATGCAGTGTGTCAAAGGGGGTCAAAAGCCATAGCGAACCAGAGGAAACCACAGGTTGGGGCAAAACAATGGGGATAGGAAGCAAGGGGCGGATGGAAGAAGGGACGGAGCGGGAGAAGGGGGAGGGACTAGGTGCGGGTGGCGCGGAGGGGTGGCACGGTGGGTGGCGCTGGGGCTGCGGGGAGCGCAGGATGCTGCGGGGCCCAGCCGGCGTTGCCTTGCTTGGAGGGGTGGCCTGTGCACCCGTTTGTCCATGGCGGAGAGGTCTTCAGAAAGTTGCATGACCGCTCAGGGCTTTGACCAATCACTGTGTGCTATGACTAATAGCTGTACACCGCCGCCGTCGCCGCCCCGCCCCCCTCGCAGGAAGACCCCTGTCCGATCTGCTACGAGGTAAGGCTGTGACACTGGGTGGCCTGGGGTGGGGGATGGTTAGGCTGGGGGCAGGACCGGATTGGTTGGATTGGATGGTTGAGGTGTTGTTGGGGCCACACGGGGGCACGTGGGGCTGCTGGTGGTGGTGAATGTGGCAGTAGGAGGATGGAACCGCGCGGCGGAGAGGCCACTTGGGAGAGGCCACTTGGTCCGCGGTCCGGAGCAGTACTCCCCCTGCCCCCACCGGTGCCACTGGCGCCGTACCTGGGTGGTTAGGCCCACGTGGGGTGGTGGTGGCGGCTGACACCTACCACCACCTCCTTATTCCACCACCTCCCGCCTGTTGCCTGCACCTTCCTGCACCTGCCCCTCTCCCTCCCCACCCCACCTCCGTTATTTGCTACCCCAACTATCCAGCGTAATGCGGATTCTGTTTCCAAATTAACCCCACCTCCGGGTTGTCACCCCCTCTCTCACACACACAGCGTCGTACGTTCCTACTCGCGGCCAGTTTTCTTAACACACAGCATCATGACACTCCTCCCTCCTCCTCCCCGCGCTGCAGGACATGGTGGGTCAGGAGCTGGACAACTTGGTGTGGTGCCGCTTTGGGTGCGGCAGGAACGTGCACGGGAAGTGCATGGGGTAGGTGCTGCTGGGTGGCTGGGTGGGGGGGTGGTGGAGGCGGAGATTGCTGGTGGTATGATGTTCCGGGCAGAGGGCTTTCAGGGATTCCAGGTACCCTTTATCAGCAAACATATGGAGTTACGGACAGTGAGAACGCTTCGTCGCCTATCAAACATCCTCGTCCCTACCCCCTCCCGCCCCTCCCCCCCTAAAGCGTGTGGATGGAGCACCAGATCCACTCGCTGGGCAAGGAGCTCACCTGCCCGCTGTGCCGCTCCGAGTGGGGCGACTTCAAGTGGCGCCCGCCGCCGCCCCGCCGCAAGACGCGCGAGGAGCGCAAGGACGTGCACTACGGCACTCACTGCGGCGCGTGCAAGAGGGTGGGTAGAAATAAGAACAACTGACGAACTGGTGGGGTGGGGGTGGGGCGTCTGAGTTACCAGGGTTATAAAAACCTCCTGCCGGCCCCGCTCACTCACCTGCGTCCCTCCTGCCCCAACTCGCGGCCCCCCAACCCTCCCGCCCTCAGGCGCCTCTCATCGGCAAGCGCTTCCGCTGCCTCATCTGTGCCGACTTCGACCTGTGTGAGCCCTGCTTCAACGGCGGACACCACCCGCAGCACCCCTTCGCCGTCAAGGACAGCCCCAAGTCCTTCGGCGCGCCCGCGGACCGACCCACCATGATGCCCACCGCACTGCCGCTCGCACCCAGACATCCCGCACCACCACCACCCCCAGCACCTGCAGCTCCCCCGGCTCCGACCTCACAACCGCCCGTGCCACCTCCGCTGCCAGGAGGGGGGACAGCAGCAGGCGGGGTGCAGGGGTTAGCGGCGCTGCCGCCGCCGGGTCCGGGTCCGGGTCCGGGTGGGGCAGGGGCAGCAGCGGCAGGGGGTGCGTCTTCAAACGGGGGTGCTGCTGGTGGGGGTGGGGGTGGGGGTGGGAGCTCTCAGACGTCTCCGCGGCAGTTGCAAGGGCACGCCTCGTACCCCTCGCCGCTGGGAGGAGGGGCAGGGGGCGGCCATGCGGGGCAGGCGGCGCAGGGGGCGGGACATGGGGGTGGCGGTCACACGGCGGCCAGCCACCGCTCCCGCTCGCAGTCGTACTTTGGGAGTGATGGTGGTGCCGAAGGGGGCGGGGGCGGTGGAGGAGGGGGAGGAGGGGGAGGTGTAGCGGCAGCAGGGGAGGGCGAGGGGCAGGGGGAGGGGGAGTGGCCGCAGGATCCGCTGGCTGCGGGGGTGGTGGGGCAGCAGCAGGGAGGGGGCGGAGGTGGGCAGCAGCAGCACACGAGTCCGCGGCAAGGGGTAGCAGGAGGAGGAGGCGCAGCAGGCGGGCAGGCGGGAGGAGCAGCGGCAGCGGGGCCAGCCAGGTAGGCGCGCCTCGACCCCCACCAACCACCACCACCACCACTACTGTTGCTGTCTTGCTTCCAAACCACCTCTCCGTACCTGGCCGTTTCCCCCGATACGGTCCGTCCGCAGCACCCGCCCCTCCGCTGCCACCGCTGGCCTCTCCTGCCCCACCCACTCCGCATGCCCAACGCTGCATCCCCAGACCTGTGTCCTGAAACCCATGGTGCATGTACCCCCCCTCTCTGTATTGTGGCACCCTGCCGTCTCCTATCCCCTTTGCTTTGCCCTAACCTGTGGTTTCCTATGGTATGGTATGCTCCTTGACCCCCCCCTGCTCCCCTGCAGGCACCCGGTTCGCGGCACCACCGTGGTTAGAGCGGGAGCCGCAGCAGGCGGCGGAGCAGGCGGGGGCGGGGCGGGTCGCCCCCCGGGTGAGGACCACCCCTCCCCGCCCTCCCTGGAGGCCCGGCTGGCCGCCCGCCGCCCGCAGCTGGCGGTGGAGGGGCTGATGGTGGGGCCGCTGGGGCTCATGCTGGTCGGAGGAGGGGCGGGAGCAGGAGGGGGGGCGGTTGGGGCAGCGGAGGTGGCGGACTTGGTGGTGAGCCGGGGTGGGGGGTTGGGGCGTGCGCTGGGTGGGGAGCGGCGTGTTGGAGTGGGGGTGGGTTGGGGTTTCGCGGGTGTGTGAAGCTTGGTTACGGGCACTTGGAATAAAGGGACGACCTGGTTGGTGTCTGAGATGGTTTTGACTGGTCGCTGTTAGTGTGTAGCCATCCTCCTGACCGCTCCCCTCACCCCTCACCCCCTCACCCCCAGGTCCGCCGAGCAGCCCCCGGCCAGCCCTCCCGCCCCGTGCTGGTCCGCCGCGCCCGCTCCACACTGCTGGACAGGGACAGGGCGGGGGAGGGGGCGGCAGGCGGAGCGGCAGGGGCGGGGGCGGGCGGCGGGGTGGGGCCGGGGCTGGGCGGCGGCGGTCTGAGCGGCGACCTGAGTCTGGGGCTGGCTGGGGTGCAGCTGAACACGGGCGGGGAGCGGGCGGAGGCGGGGCCAGGTGGGGCGGGAGAGGGTGGGGGGTGGGGGGTGACGTGTGGAGGGATGTAGGGAGGAGTGCAATGGCTGTGAAGGTGCCGTGCGTGCGTGCATGCGAGAGAGCCGCTTAACGGTTCGGGGAGGTGCAGTAGGGTTGGTTCAATGCTCTGGGCGCAATGTACCCCTCCTCACGTTTCTTTGATTGTCTCTCCCTGGTTTCCTGCTGCCTTTGCATCCTCCCTCCCAACCCTCCTGCCACGCACCCTACCCCCCGCAGGCCCCGGCAGTCAGGCCGCCGCCCTGGCCGCCACCTCGCGTCAGCAGATCCTCTCCACCCTGCCCCCCCGCCACCCCCTGCAGCAGCAGCGACCCACGCAGGTGCCCGCAGGCGGCGGCGGGCGGCTGGGGCCCCCGCACCCCGCCCCCCGCCCGCCGCGCATCAGCGCAGTAGCCTGGGCCCACCCCTCAGGGCCGGCGGCAGGGGGCGCGGCGGCGCTTGCTGCTGCTGCGCCTCCGCCTCCGCCGCCTGATCTGGTGCTGCAGGGGCGGGTGATGCAGGGGGTGGCGGGCGGGGGGCAGCAGGCGGGGGAGGGGCAGGCAGGGGGTGGGGGAGGAGCGGGAGCGGGAGGGAGGGTGCAGCTGGCGGCGGGGGGAGGGGCAGCGGCGGCGGGAGGGCAGCAGGGGGCGCATGCGGGCGGAGGAGGAAACCAGCCGGCTGCCGGTAGGTGGGGGTTGGGGGGGGGCTGTTGGGAAAGGAAGTGAGAGTTGTTAGGAGTATGGAGGCGGGTCAAGTGCTTTGTAAGTGCCGTGGCAAAGGGTCCAACGCATGTACCATGAGGGGCGGGCGTGCCCCGCCGGCCGGGTGTGGGCGTGTGGTATCCCGCTAGGTTGCCTTGCTGCATGCCTTGCTGTTCCCCTTAGCACGCCTTGATTGTGCGCCGCACGCATCCTCTTGCCTGGAACCCCCACCCCTCTTGCTGGCCCCACCCCCGCCTCCCCCTCCCCTGCCCCCCAGGTCCCCAAGGCGTCCGCTACCGCGGCCCCCCGCCCCGCTACATGCCGCCCCCCGACCTGCACCCCCACCCGCACCTCCACCCGCCCGGCCTGCGCCGCTCCCAGTCCGCCGGCTGCCCCACCCCCACCGGCCTGCGCCTGGCCGTCACGGTGCGCTCCATGGCCCCGCACCCGCTCACACCAGAGACACCGCAGCTGCCGGTGCTGGCGGCGGCAGCAGCGGGAGGAGGAGGACGCGCACCACCGCCGCCACCACCACCACAGCAGCACCAGCCTGCCAATGGGGGTGGAGGCAGCTTGTACGGCAGCGGGCCGTACGGACCGGAACCGTACGGCAATGAGATGTACGGCGGGGCGATACAGTACGACGACAACGTGTTGCTGGCGTTTAGTCATCACATACCCGGTCCTGCTGCTAGCTTCCACGAGTGGGAGGACGATGGAAGCGGAGGCGGCGGCGGGCGGGGCGGTCGCGGGGTCCTCAGCGGTGGCGGGTGGGCCAGTGCGGAGGGGCGCGGCACCTCGGCAGCAACCGCCTGGACAGCCGACTCCGCAGCTGGTGACGATGATGGCTACTACCGAGATGGCGGCGGCGGGGGTGACGAGGGAGGCGACGGATACTACGTTGCTCGATCCGGGCCCTCCGCAGGGGTGGCGGGCGAGGAGGAGGAGGAGGTCTTCCCCCGCGGCCCCGTCAGCCCGCACCTGCACCTCTTCTCCTCCCGACCCAACACCATGCCCTCCGAGCCCACAAGCAGCCTCTACGACGATGACGGCCTGTTGGGCGGTGGAGGAGGCGGTGCTGCTGCTGCTGCTGGCGGAGGCTACGGCGGCTATGGCGGAGGCGGAGCGGGTTCTGCAGCCTCCCCGGCTTGCAGCCGCGGTCTGGCGGGCGGGCTGCAGAGCCAGAGCTTCAGCTGCAGCCCCACCGCGCGGCGCCAGGGCGGCAGCTGCCTGGGGTCGCCGGCTGCGGTGGCGGCGGCTGCGGTGGCGGCAGCGGGTCCGGGGGGTCCCTGGGGCGGCTGTGGTGCCGCGGATAGGAACAGCACCCCCGGGTGTGGCGGGAGTCGTGGCGGTGGCGGTGGCGGCGGCGGGGGACGTGGTGGTGGAGCAGGGGCCGATGAGCTGGGGCCGGGTAGGGGTGCTGCGGCTGTGGCAGCACTTGGCGAGGAGGAGGGCGGGTGCCGCCGGGCGCAGGCGCTGTCAGCAGGCGGCGGCGGCGCTGCGTGTCTGGGGTCGTCGTTGGGGCGGGAGGAAGCGGATGCGCTGGGGCTGATTCACGGGGGGCTGCCCAGGAACCACTTCGGAGCACCGCATGGGTTGTACGGGGGCTGTCATGCGGACGTGGAGGCGGGTGCTGCCGACCCCTCCCACAGCGACGACATGGTGCTGCTGGCAAGTGTGCAGGTGGACGCGATGGACGACTGGATGGATACCATGCGAGCGCAGCAGCAGCAGCGCCTGCAGCAACAGCAGCAGCAACAGCCATCCGTCTCTCGACCCAGCAGCAGCAGCTTCACAGCTCTGCCTAGAGCAACAACGACTGCGGAGCCCGATGGCAGCGGTCGGCTGCCCGGCATTGCGCCGGCCGCTGCCTCCTCGCTGTCCTCCTCGCTGCTGCACAGGCCGGTTTCCGCGCTCCGCATGGACGGGCTGATTGTGCTGGGGGGCGGAGAGCAGGAGCAGCAGCTGGGTCCGCTGACCCATGGGTCGGCAATCGCGCCGCTGTCTGCCTCCCTGGATTGCGGCAATGACGACACGTTGGGTGCATTCATGCTGGAGCAGCAGCGGAGTGTGCTGCCGGGGACCCCGTCCTTGAGGGCTGCCGCTGAACCTCACAAGGCGGAGGCGGAAGGCGTGGGATCTGCACCCGGGCTGGGACCCGGGCTGGGAAGCAGCAGCCCTGCGTCTGGGTCCGGGTTGGGCTTTACGGCGTACGCGAATCCGGTATTTAACCGTCCTTACACCTTGGATATGAGCTTGCCGCACTAGTGGCATGTTGCCTGCTTGGTGGAATCCGGTGCGGTTGTTTGCTTTACCGGTACTTTCAGGGCTGTAGCCTGGGAGGGCCCTTGGGGTTGTGGATCCTGTGGTACAAGCCGTTGCCGTGATTCTGCGCGCACACCAATACCTACCTGCCGTTTGCGTTGCTGCCTTGGTTGGTTGCTTCTGTGATTGCTCAGGGTGGTGGTTGCTGGGGTGGTTCCCTCCTGTGATCTCCTTTGCATGAGCACCGTACTGCGACTTTTTGTTGAGCTGCCGCCAAGAAACGGATGTACCTGGGCCAACCTGGGCGCTCGTCGTGCTAGAGCCCGTGTCGACACATTGCCTGTTGCGCCAGCTGCTGGGGCTTTACAGTTGCCGGCATGGGACGCTCAATCATATCATTCAGGGGATTGAAGGAAGCACACTCATCATAAATTATACGACATTCATGTCGTACCATCGTACAGAATATACCATGCCAAATATGTACGGCTCATTCGTGCAATTCCTTTCTGCACCTAAGATTTAAGCTCGTCTTGGCGTCCATCGGCCGCTAACCGAGCTCCTTGTTTCACCCCATCACCCAATGAGGCGAGCTTCCGGTCCCGATCAGCAGGAACCCGGCCTTCTTCCCAATCACATGAACGCTCGAATCGCCCCTGTGGCCCCTTAGCAGCGCCTCTTTCCTTTGCAGCCATGAAAACGCCCTGCAACATACTAACGGTCATGTACGTCATTTGCACAAGTGCACGAAATATTGTTATGTTCGGTGCTATGTTCGCTGCTATTTTCCGTTGAGCATCACTGCCCGTACGATTCACCAGAAGGCCGTTGTGTCGATCGGAAGCAAGGTGGGGGGGGGACTGCAGAACAGCAGCACGCCATGCGTAGTACGCATTGCCGTACGGGCTATGTTGCATTTCTTACGGCCAACGACACCTCACATTGTCGTCGCCGCCAGCTTGGCCCGCATGAAGGGAGGGAAGTAATCCTGGCACCTGCACCGCATTGGAGATCCCAGTCAGCACACCAGTTGCCGTACACTACCCTATTACTTCCGAACACATGCCCCCCCTTTAAAAGCCCCCACGTTGTGCGGACTCCAAGCAGCCCGCAGCAGCACCCCCAGCCCTCCATTACAGCCCCAACCCCACCACCACGTGGGGCCACCTGTGCGGCACCTCCACCCCTCACCTGTCCCTCACGTCCTGCCTCATGTAGTCCCGTGGTGTGACGCGGCGCCTGCAGCAGGCCGCTCCGCAGCAGCAGTCGAAGGTCTCCAGACCGGTGCTCTCAATGCTCTCATCCATCACAGTCCCGTAGTCGATGCTGAGCTCCTCACCCGCCCCGATGTCCCGCATGGCGACCACTGTCACCGAGTCCTGACAAGGGTTTCCAGGGTTGCATATTCCATTGAAGGAAGGGAGAGGATCAGAGTACCGTAAGGTAGGAATGGAAGGGAGGAATGAGAGCGGGGGGTGGAGCAGGAGTTTCAGGGTTCCAGGGATGACCTTCTCTACTTCCAAGGCCGGGCGACACGTGGGTCTGCTGCTCCCCATGCCATCAGACAGGAAGTAAGGGGGTCTCATCTCCCAGCCAGCACACTGCTTCCCTCCTACTCCTCAAGCCGCCACCCGCGCGAGCCCACATCCGCCTCCCTCCCCTCACCCCACGCACCAATGATACGATCTCAGCACAGCCGCCAGCTTTATAATTTGTAATTTGTGTGCTGCTACTAACTCTACAAGTTTGACTATACGCAATCCTAAAATCCAGCCTAATGCGGAACATGCATCCCTATGCAACCCCACCCACCAGCATGCCACAGTTCGGGTCGCAGCTGTGGTTGATGTAGTCCGGGGTTTCGGAGCCCTCCTGCGTGGGCACCATCCACAGCGCCGGCGCCACCTGAACGAAGTGCAGGGTGGGCGCCAGCCGCTGCACGGCCAGCAGCTGGCGCCGGTCCACCACCTTGCCGCCAAAGTACAGCAACACTTCGCTCTTGGACACCGACTGCAGCGTGAACAGTCCCATGCTGTCACTGCTGCCGCTGCTGTCACTGCTGGGGGTGCTGGCGGTTGTGGTGAGGGTGGTGGGGTTGCTACTGGTGCTGGTGTCACTGCTGGTGCTACTGGTGCCATTGGCGCTGCACAGGCTGGCGGTGTTGTCGCCGCTGTTGGTGGTGGTGCTGCCATGGGTGCTGCCGGTGTTGTTGTTGTTGTTGTTGTTGCAGTGGCTGCCTGCATCCCTGCGGGCGGGGTAGACGGCGGGGTGGTGCCAGCCCACCTCCCGGGCCTTGCGGGCGATGTAGGAGCTGGTGTGGCCCGCGTTGTCGTGCATGAACAGCGGGTCACTGCGGGGCATGCATGGGAGGGAGCGGATGCAGGGGATGGAAGATTGTGGGTTGCGTGGGTCGCTCGTGGGTCGCTGCCCAGGACGGGAGAGATAGAAAGCAACAAAGCAACAATCAGCCATGAGTTAGTAGGAAGCAGGGTATGGGTGGCCCTATCTTATGATATGCTCGGTTGGACAAGAAACGGGTGCAAGGGGCGGACTGCAATGAATTGTGGATGGGCCGAGTAACAACCCGCCCGCAACACCTAACATCATGAGTTCATCACCCCTTATCTGGTTGCCTCAGCCGCCTCACAAAGGGGTGGGGCCCGTTCTACCCCGTTAATTATCTGCCATGCCATCTCAAACGGTTACCGCAGTCGCTCGGTTTTACACCCCTAGACCATCCTAGGCAGGCGGACTTAGACTGCCCCCTCACCCACCGGTACCCATCAAACACGAGCAGCCCGCGGCAGGTGGCTGCACCGCACAGACAGCGCATGCCGGCGTGCAGCGAGGCCTCGGTCTCTGTGAGCGCATAGTCGTAGGTGATCTCCTCCCCGGCTGCCACATCCCGTTTGGTAACCACCTTGTCGTCGCCGTCGTACCTGCATGCATGCGGGTTGAAGTAGGGTGGGCACGGCGGCGGCGGTGGCAAGCGGACACTCACTCCTGGTTAGCGGTCACCGGTTACCTCCGCACCCGCTCGTAGCGGAGCATCCTCAGCGAGTGTGCTGACCCCCACGCATGCCACACGCTGCTGCCCCAGCAGCGGTGCACTGCTGCCCTGTAGCAGCCCTTTGGCACTTACCAGCAGTTGCCGTCGCAGGAGTGGTTGAAGAACCAAGCGGGGTCCTCCTCGGGCTGCAGGGTGCTGCCATGGGCGTCATGGCCCACCATGTAGCTGAAGCGGCTCAACAGCTCGCGTTGAGGGTGCTCTAAGATCTGCCGCCGCGTGTAGCAGCGCAGCTGAGGGTCCTCAGCGGGAGACAGCCACCATACCGCGGTGCCGGCGGGTATCGGTCCCTTGGCGAAGAGGCTAAACTGGCCGCCACCATACTTATCGGCCGGTCTGAACTGAATAAGTTCATGCAACATTGCTGTTTGAGCGTATTGAAGAGGAAGAACGGAGGAAGGGTGCGAAGAGGGTTACTGCATGTCCTCACACAATTGCCCGGAAACCGTCAGGAAGCGAATATGAGAGCCGTCCACGAAGCCAAATGGAAATAAGAGGGCTGGTATATTTACGCACGTGTTGTTTGTTGGTTAGTATGCATTACAAAGCAGAGCTCTAAGTCATGCAAATGATCAACTCAGAGGTTTCTTTGCGAGGTGCGAATTAGACCGCACAAGGGCGTACCACTGCGCTGCTTTCTTACCCTGATTGCTTTAAGGCGCCAGAATACGTACAGCTCGAGCTGTTAAGTGCCTTTTTGCCTTCAACTGCTAACGAGACGGTCGCTCCGCAAGACGACACCAGGCAACGCAGCTATTGGAGTTCCATTATTGCATGCAGCTCTGTCTGCACAGTACGGTACCGGCGGTGTCCGGCGTCTGTCGGACACGGACGACGCGTACGTAACTAACGGGCAGTCCATTGCTCCATTCTACTAGACCTTGGAGTCGTATTATACAATTAAGTGCATATATAAATGCATATAGAATAACAATTAATAAAACTTAAGGTGATAATCGGTTTAGGGGCCTATCGGTCCTGAGCGTCTTCCTGTTTGTTGGCGTCATAACTCGGAGCAGTGACCGGACCAACCCTTACCAGCAAACGACTTGAACAAGTTACCCCTAATAACTAGGCACTAGCTCCAAGTTGCGATAACGATGACGGTCGAAGGGCAACTGCGCGAAGGCCGTGAGGTAGTGCAGATCGCCATAGCTCCAACCCAATCCTTTCACGTTTCATTAAAGATAAATGCTGCTTATCGTGGACGTTTGTAGGCGGTCTTGTCAGCTACCGATGTGGTTCCCAGTACTCCGGTAATCCGCGGCATCGATTTCGCGAGCAGCGAAGCCGACCTGGATTGCATCATGAGCTCGATGCTTACCACGGGCTTCCAAGCCACTTCACTAGGCCAGGCCGTCGACGAGGTCAACCGAATGGTGGGTTGCATCCGTGCGTCGGTACACGCATCATAAGGGTGGCTGCCGTACATGCAGGCACTTCGCATCCCTTCATAGGGGTTTTAAATCTAAGCTGACCTGCACAGTATGTACCAGTGTGCATGGACGGATACTGCAAAGCTATACAGTGCGGTTTTACACTTTGAAGGGTTGCCATGGACAGCAGCAGCTGCTGCACCTTCCGACCCTTCAACTTCTTGGTACCCGCGGCCACTGTCGCAGGTCACATGGCGGTTGTCGGACGAGCCCCTCGGCCCAGACACTCCTCCAGAACAAGCCGACCCCGCCTTCCGCGCCAACGCCCGCTGCATCATCTTCCTTGGGTTTACCTCAAACCTCACCTCCGCCGGCACCCGAGAGCAGCTGAGGTGAGTGGAGAGCTCGGAGACAGCGGCTGCTGTTGCAGCACGGGGCACACATGCGCATGCGGCGCGCTAATGCCCCGACGTGAGGATTGCCCAAGTGGTTAGCTGGCCCAGGGTTGGCCAACTATAATCATTTTCTCCGCTACTTCTCCGCTACGGGTGTTGCATGTCGGTCGAATATGGCATTGGAGCTGCTGGCCGGTTTGTTCATCAGGCTTCCTCCCTCCTCCCTCTGCCCCCCCCTGCCGCGCACGCAGGTTCCTAGCGCAGAGCCGCATGGTGGATGTGATGGTCACTACCGCGGGGGGCATCGAAGAGGACTTCATCAAGTGCATGGGGCACACCTACGTGGGGGACTTCCAGCTTAAAGGTCAGGCATGACGCGAGTAGATAGCCCCGAGCAGCAGCAAATGCTGAGGATATTATCGTGCGAGGTGGCCACGTAAGGTCGTCACGGGTTCTCCGTTCACACGGCCCTTTAGTAAGCATGCTAATGCAGCAGCCAAGTAATATCCCCAGCAGCAGCCCATACATGTTGGGTGACGGCGTGCTCCTACCTCGCGTGACGGCTGCGTGTATGTGTCGCCTCATGCTTGCGTGCATGCATGCAGGCGCCAAGCTGCGCCGGCAAGGGCTGAACCGCATCGGCAACATGCTCATTCCCAACGCCAACTACTGCAAGTTCGAGGAGTGGATCATGCCCATCCTGGATGCCATGCTCCTGGTGGGTCGGCAGGAGGGGCAGGTGTTGCAGGGGCGTTGATGGGCAGTTTGCGATTGCCAGGGGCAAGCAACGCGTTTCCGTCGCTGGCTGGCCCTGATGCGGGCTGTAATACCCTGATCGCATGGGCCCGGCGCCGCACCCTTACGCTCAACAAGGCACTTCGACGTTTGTCGTCTGCCGCTGTCGTTGCCACGCACAGGAGCAAAACGAGCAGGGGGTCAACTGGACGCCCTCCAAGATCATTGCGCGGTGAGGCCGGTCGCAACCGTTTTACGCCTCGTTGGGGCCGTGCCGTACCTGCTGCATGTGAAGCCCCTGCTACGTGCGTCACTGCAGCAGCATACATTGCAGACGCACAGTCCAACACAGACACGGGCACGGTTGTCTGCTGCTCGGGTCTACTAAGACAATACCCACCAAACGCGTCGCAACCCTCCACATGAAAAGCTAAGACCCCTACCTGCCCCCTCCTGCGCGCTCGCTCGCGTGTAGGCTGGGCAGGGAGATCAACCACCCCGACTCGATCTACTACTGGGCGCAAAAGAACGGCATCCCCGTGTTCTGCCCCGCTATCACGGACGGCTCCATCGGCGACATGATCTACTTCCACTCCAAGAAGAACCCGGGACTGCGGTGGGTGCGTGGGTGCGTGGGTTGGTGCGTGCGTGCGTGCGTGGGTGGGTGGATGCGGTGGGTGCCTGCACTCGGTGACTGGAAGAGACATGGGATGGCGCAGGACAAGCGAGCGACGCTTGGCTGGGGTGTTGCAATGTCGGGCGGGAAGGGAAAGGGAGGGGTGTCTGCTTATCTAGTAGATGCGTTGCGTACCGTATTGTAGGCGAAAGCAAGCTTTATGTACGGATGAGCGTAGTGCCCGTCGGACAATGCCTTTGCCTACAGCAGTAGATAGAGCAACAACTACGCACAAGCAGCCTCATACGTATGTGCTTCACTTGCCGCCATACGCAGTGTCGACATTGCAGAGGACGTGGGCCGTTTGAACGACATCGTGCTCGGCGCCGGCCCGCGCAAAACCGGCATGATCCTGCTGGGGGGAGGTGAGGCGTCGACCAGGAGTGACCCATGGGTCAGTGACAGGCCTCGGAAGAACGCCGCAGTAACGCATTCCGGGGTCGGCTTTAGCGCGTGACGAATACATTCCTAGCAGCGTATCTACCGCATTATAAGGCGCATTGACCCATCCACCGCACCCCCGACGATACCGGTGGTGATCCATCCCCTGCCCTGCCCTGGCCTGCCCTGCCCTGCCCTGTCCTGCCCTGCCCCCCAGGCGTCCCCAAGCACCACATCTGCAACGCCAACCTGATGCGCAACGGCGCCGACTTCGCCGTCTACCTCAACACGGCGCAGGAGTTTGACGGCAGCGACAGCGGCGCGCGACCCGACGAGGCGGTGTCTTGGGGCAAGATCCGCATTGATGCCCAGCCGGTCAAGGTGGGAGGGAGCAGGAATGGGAGGAGGCGAGGAAGGTGATAGCTGGCAAGGTGCCTTGCCTCATTCCTTGCCTGTTGCCTTCGCGCATGCAGGTGTGCGGCGATGCGACCATCCTGCTGCCGCTGCTCATCTCCCAGACCTTCCTCAAGCACTGGAGGCACAAGGAGCCACTCGCCAACGGCAGCACCAACGGCAGCACCAAGGCCCCGGCAGCAGCAGCCTGCGCTCTGCTGCATGAAGCAGCGAACGGCAGCGCCAGCAGCCAGGTGGGCCGCTAGCCCTGATGCCTACCAGCCGTCAACACCTGCCATGCATGCATGCATGTATTGCTTTACTTGCCTCGGTCGCTACCGTGCTTCAGTCGTACAGGTGACTGTACTGTGCACTGCTGCCGGGTTGTGTATGTGTTTCCATGCACCTGGGTGACCCTACCTGCATCCGCTTGCATACACGCCACCCTTCCATGCACGCCACCCTTCCATGCCATGCCATGCCGGCAGGAGAGTTGTGAGGACGACGACAGGGAGGCACGCGGGGCGGTTGGAGTGCCCCATCACGACAGTTGAGGACGAGGGGGAAACGCGCGCGCGCAAGCAGGTCATGATGAAGTGCATACCCCGATGCAACACGTACGCGTGTTCATGCGTGTGCTGGCACATAGGGGTCATGGCACGAGGGTGAAATACCAGGTGCACCCACCCTGGTGCCCCCAGTCTGCTATGAACGGTTGCATGCGCGCATGCACGGATGCTGAGAGATAGACGTAAGTGACTTACTTGTTGCGGGCAGGTGGCCAGCATCGCCATCCCGATGACACGCACCGTTAGCTAGATGGTCCGAAAGCTGCTGGTTGTGAGGCCACCAAGATGGCATTTCCGCGGTATGCATGCAGGTGGTGTGACGGGGGGATGATGCCTGGGGACGGGGAGCTAGCTCGTTTGGGCCGCCGCGAGGTGTAGATAGCCCGGGGAAGCCCCGGGGGTAAAATCCGTACATGGAATTTGATGTGTGCAGTGTGTCTTTATGATGGAGTGAAACACAGAAGGAAGGCATCGTCGCTTTTAATGCCGAAAGGGTGTACGTAGCTAAGCCCTCCCAGTGAAGTTTGGAGGTAAGATACATACATGGCTGCTAGTAGGCTTATACTGCCACAACTGAACTGGCTAGGCAGGGTCAGCAGAGGGGCTGCGTGCAGCGTGCATTTCGCCAACATGGCTAGCATGCATGTGTAGCTGCAAGCACGAGGACTGTGACGTATGAGTGGCTCTGAGGGGTACTTTACATTGCAACTTACTATGTAAGAGGTGCGGCAAATCAATTAGCACATGCAGCTACGCCGGCGGCACCATCCAAAGGAGTTAGTAGGGGAGGACCTGCGGGGAGCCTCGACTGTAGCGAATTAGAGTTTGCTACCAAATAGCATGTAGCACTTCTTCCCATCCAATTTTGCAAGCTGGGTGGCATGCTTACGTATGTGCCGTACCGCTTTGCGTGCGATAGAATGATATATTCTGTAGTTACGAGCACAGTGCAAGGCGATTCCTTTGCATTTTAACGCCTTCCAACCGGGGCGGGTGCCTCGGCTGGACGGAGGCCAAGCGTCGTCGCCTCGTCGGTTGCGCGTGACTCGTCCAACCGCTAACTCCCGCAGCTTAACTGCAAACCGCTCATTCGGAGGCTACCGAACCGCTGCCCTTTTGACAGATAAGCTTATGACCATACGTGTGTTGTGGGATATACATTTTGACAAACCTAAACACGTGCATTACAGTCCAGGAGGGCGCTCTTACGCTGCACTCCGAACAGCGCGACTTGGCGCGGAAGGAACTACATTGCTACAAGCAAGACTGGCAAAATGCTTTATTGGTAAGATACTTAGCCGGAATGCCAAAGGTTGCGTAACGTTGCGGCCTTCATGGTTCTCACAATTTGAATGTGTATAAGCGACAGCTCCATAAACCCTAATCCGCGTACAGGCCCAAGCCTAAAGCAGCCATCAGCGCAAGCGATCCACCATTACACAGCCAACGATTACCGCCAGGCCCAAGGAGCCGAAGCACAAATCGCCGTATCGCAACACCTCCTGCTGCCATCAGCAGCAGCAGCAGTAAGGGCACCGGTACAGGAACCAGCATCAAGATCGACACAGGCAGTGGTGCGGCGCCGCAAGAGCCCGTTCGGCGCCCGCATGCTCCACTTGCCGCTCCTGCTTCTCCGGGTGTCCTAAGAACTAGCGCGCCTCGGACTTCGCAGCAGCCACCCGCCAAGGATCTCGGAGCTACTGCGCACCCCAGCAAGCAGGCGGCACGTTCCGGGAAGGACAGCAAGGATGAGTCGAATGCCGCAGCCGAACAGCAGCACCGGGCGTTCATGGTGCGTTCGGTGCCCTCCTAGAAATATCTTCCAGCTTCACGAAGTGCCGTGCAGTGCTCGGATGCTCGGAGTAATGGGGGGCATAAGCCTGGTAGTACAATTTGCGGGGGCGGGTGTGAGGCAGTGCCGGTGGGGCCTCTCCGGCGTGCAAGTCGCCCCTTGTGTTCCTGCTCCGTGGCTCCCGCACATCGGCTCCCATGCAAGTGGGGATCGACCCCACCCGCCACCCACCACCCGGCACCCCGCAGGACCTGTTGTCAGCGGGCTTTGGCTGTGAGGCGCGGGAGGAGTGGCGGGGCGTGTGGCTGCAGGTGGGGCCACCAACCTCCTCACCCGCTCCCTTCCTGCTTGGAGAGGGGTGCTTTGTTCAGCGCAGGGGGGCTGGGGAAGGCAAAACATCCTGCTGCCATGCTCCATCCTCCCCTCCCCTCCCTCCCTGCCTCCATGCAAGGTGACCGAGGGCGCCCTGCCGCCTGAGCTGGTGGGCAGCTTCTTCCGCAATGGCCCCGCCTGCTTCCCGACCCCACAACCAGACAGCAGCGGCAGGGGCGGCAACCCCCGTGAAGGCAGCAGCAGCGCCGCGGCCCCCGGTGCCAGCTGCCACCCGCTGGACTGCGGTGGGCTGGTAGCGGTGGTGCACCTGAGGGGGGACGGCAGCGCGCTGTACCGGGCGGCACGCGTGCGCACCTGCGAGTGGGTGGGGTGGGGTGGTGGGGGTGGGGGTGGGGTTGGGAAGGAAGCAGTACAGGAGCAAGGAGGGGGGGGCAGGAGGGAGCAGGGCCACGGCGGCCGGTGCCGGTGCCTGTGAGGGAAGCGCGTTATGTTAGGGCAAGCAAGGAAAGCGGTGAGGCATGCAGCAGCTGGCTTTTCGGAGGGCTTTCCATGATGTCCAACAAGCCAATTCGCGTTACATACTGCCCAACCCTCTCATGCTTCGCGGAAGCACCTCCCTCAACCCCCTTGCTCGCCCACGCTGTCAGCCCCGTCGCACCCTCCCGTCCCCTGCCCTCCCCCCTGGCCCTCCCTCCCACCTCGCTCCTTCCTCGCTCCTGCAGGCAAGACGCCGAGGCGCGTGCGGGTCGCCGCCTGTTCCGCGGCTGGCTGGACGCTCCCCCCCGCAGCCACACCCCCGCCCCCGGCCCCCCCCGGCTGCCCCTGCCGCCCCTGCCCCTGCACAACCCCGCCAGCATGGGGGTGGTGCTGGCGGGGGGCCGCCTGCTGGCATTGCACACGGTAGGGGGGTGGGGGGTGGGTGGGGTGGGGCACATGCGTGGGGGCCCGCGCTTGCACGCAATGCTGCCAGACATGTTGGGGGGGGGGGTGAGGAGGTGGTAGCAGCGGAGGAGGGTGTCCCCTTCCTGGATGCAATGCAACTTTAGCGCCTCCCCCCACCCCGCCTCTCCCCACCGCGCCTCTCTCCCCACCACCCCGCCGCCCCCAGGCCGGTGTGCGCTACTGCCTGGACCCAGCCCGCCTCACCACCCTCGGGCCCAGCCTGCTGCACGGCGCACTGTCCCCCGGGCTGCCGCTGTCTCTGGGGTGCGGTGCGGCGGATGCGGTGCTGGGGCGGCTGCTGGTGTGGGGGGTGCGGCTGGGGATGGGGGTGGGGCGGTACAGGAGGGGGTCGGCAGCCGCTGGTACGGCAGCGGGGGGCAGCGCGACAGTGACGAACGCCAAGAGTGGAGCAGCCGCCTCCGCTTCCGACTCCGCAGCAGCAGCAGCAGCAGTAGCAGCCAAATGCTCAGCAGCCAGCAGCAGCGGTGGAGCTGTCCCTCCTCAACACTCGCAGCAGCAGCAGCAGCAGGAGGAGGAGGAGGGGTGGTTGCAGTGGCTTACCTCGCCCGGGGGCCAGGGCTGCACTGACCGACCGCGAGTGTGCGGGGTGACGGGTCGGCGGGTGTGGTGGGCTCATCGCACTCGGCTGGCGGTGGGGGAGGGGAGGCGGGGGGGCGGGAGGAGCGCCGGGGGGGAGGGCGGGAGGGACGAGGGGGGAGCGGAGCTGGGGTTGTGGGAGTGGGTGGGTGCGGCTGCGGCGGTGGTGCTGCAGCGGCCGCAGCACAGGTGGTTTGAAACGGAGCTGACGTTCTGGGAGGAGGAGGAGGAGCAGGAGGCGGCGGTGGAAGAGATTGAACGGCCGAACGGTGACTCGTCTGCGAACCTGGGTGGGCAACAGCAGCAGGGGCAGCGAGAGCGGGAGCGGCGGCGGCGGGTGGTGTACTCGGTTGGCGGGTTCGCTGCCGTACACGAGGTGGCAGTCAGCGAGAACTACTATGTGCTGCTACAGCCGCCGGTGCACCCGGAGGTGAAGGGGGGGTAGGGAAGTGAGGGGGGGTGAGGGAGGGAACGGAGGGAAGGGGGGGGTTGAGAAACGCAAACGTCTTTGAGGCGAGGCCGCGAACCATTTCGTTCTCACTTTCCTCATGCAAGCGCTCTCTCTCACACACACATGTACATACGCTACCATATTCCTTGGCTCCTGCGGCCTTTCTGTGGGGACTTCACCTTCCGACATCTCAGTACGTTCTACTCGCGGCCAGTTATTTTAACACACGCAGCCACCGCCCCTGCCGTCCACCGCCCTGTTCCGCCTGTCCTCATCCCGTCCTGCTCTGCTCTGCCGTACACAGGTGCTGCCGTACCTGCTGGGCGAGGAGAGCGCGCTGGGCTGCCTCCGCTGGCGGGAGGGGGAGGAGGCGGTGCTGCATGTGGTGCCCCGGCCTGGATCCGGAGCAGAGAGGTGAGGAGGGGGAGAGGGAGGGGCTGAGGGAGGAGTGCGGGGAAGCTGAGGGAAAGGGAGAGGGAGGGACAGGGCAGTAGGACATGGTAGGCTATCAAAAGGCAAGTACATGCCATGTGGACGCCTGCCGTACCCCGTACGCCCCTGTCTTGCCCAACATCCCTAGACAGATGCTAGGAGCGACGAAGCTTAGCACGCAGCCTCTGAGCGGCGCTCTTCCCTGCTCCCCATCCCACCAGGCGCGGTGAACAGCCTCTGCGACTGCCGCTACGCCCCGCGCTGTTCGCTTACCACTTGGTCAATGCATTCGAAGGAGCTCCGGACCCCTCCACGGGCTCCTCTTCCTCACCGTCACTACCACATCCATCATCACCACCGCCAGAAGACGGCTGGACGACTACTTATTCGGCGTCAAGCGCTGCAGCACCACCAGCTGCTGCTGCTGCTGAAGGAGGAGGAGGAGGCGGGGTCAGCTCCTCACACGTCGTTATCACATTGGATGCAGTGGTGTACGACAGGTTGCCGGCGGCAGTTGGCGGTTGGCAACCGCACCAACGACATGCGCGGGCGGAAGAGGCGGGAGGGGATGCCGGCTGGCGGCCTCGGTAAGGAGTTGCGGGAGACGTTGGCAGCAGCCCTCCGCACCTGGCCCCAGCGCTGTTCGCCTAGCTGTTGGCGGGGATATTTCAACTGCATGTGCCTGCGTTCCTCAGCTTTCCTGACAAACCCACCCCCGCTCCGTGCCCTCCACCTTTCACCCCCTTCTCCCATTCCCTCCTGCCCGCCTGCCCTCCCTCCTTCTCCCAGCCTCCAGCGCCTGCACCTGCACCTGGCCTCCCGCACCGTCACTCCGCTCCCCACCCCGGCCCCGCCCCGCCACCCCCACCTGGAGCTCCCCGCCTTCAACACCGCCTACACCGCCCGGCCCTACCGCTACGTGTACGGATGCAGGTACGACACCCATGTGTGCGTGTGTGTTTCGGAAGGCTGAGTGAGTGGGGCTCTGGCATCTGCCAGGCGCATCTATGCGAACATACATGCACACCTGGACGCGTCGCGGATTCCCATGCCCCTCAACGCTTTGCCTCCGTGGCCTGGGCCCTTGACCTTCCCCTTTCCCCTTCCTCGTTCCTCCACCTTCCCTGTCCCCTCCTTTCCCCTCGCAGTCCTGACTTCTCGGACGCCTCTTGCGGCCTCTCCAAGGCCGACCTCACCACCCGCCAGTCCCAGCGCTGGTGCCCCGGACCCGGCTACCTCTGCAGCCAACCCACCTTTGTGCCGCGTCGCCCCGCAGCCGCCGCAAACCACACAGGGCAGCACAGCAGCAGCAGCAGCAGGGGGAGCAGCAGCACTGCCAGCAACGTTACTGGGGAGCCGCAACCGCCGGCGATGGTGGGTCGGCAACGCAGCGAGGATGATGGCTGGTGAGAGAGGGAAGGAGAGGGGTGGGTTCTGAAGGGGAGTGGCGTCGTCTGGTGTTGGGCCTCGTGTCATCATGGGGGCTGGGGGCCGACGACGCAGCGGGGAACCACGAGGTAAGTCCCCATGCACCCAAGCCATGCTCCCCTGCCCCATGCTCCCAAGCCCCAAGCATGCGGGGCAGAACCAACTGCTTTATCGGCACCTCCACCAACCGTGTACGCACCCGACACATCTTCCCAACCCCACCCATGCAGGTTATTGTCGTACGGATTTGATTCCCGCCAGCGACGAGGTGAGCTGCTGGTGTTTGACGCGTGGGCGCTGGGGGCTGGGCCGGTGGCGCGAGTCGCCCTGCCGTACCCGCTGCCACCTGGGCTGTACGGCATATGGTCGGACACATGCTACGGACCGCTGCCGTAGTGGGCTGTAATGTACGGCAGCTTTGGTGGAGGCAAGGATGGTGGTGTCCCTGGTGGCGGCGGGTGGTGGTGAACACGGTACGGACCATAAGCAAGTTTTTCTGAAAATGCTCGCCGGCTATGCCATACTCCCACATACTGTACCCATGGGGTCGCGACTCGTGGGGTGAGCCCGATGCTTGAGCAGTAACTTGCGCCAGTGATAAGGAGGGCGGTTCGAAGTGTAGGTGCAGGACAGGCGACGCTGGAAGGGTGCAGGAGTTCCGCAGACATTGGAAATGCCATAGGATGTTGCATGCTGGGAGTGACTGCACGTGGCAGGAGCCCAGCCGGGCAGGGGGCATACGGGAAGCAAGCTAAGGGGATGCTGTCCGGGAGTGCCCTTCTAGTGCAGCCCTTACCAGGGAGGCCGGGGCGGTGGTTGTTGCGACCGTTCAGCACAACTCTTCTAGCAAGACCTACCTTTCGCTGCGCCGCCGTACGAGGCCTAGATGGGCCATCCGTCATGTCACATCTACGTCTTGGCTGGTATATTAGGGCCGTATGTCAACACAGGAGCCGCACGCGTGTGTGTTTCACTCCTCCCTACCTGCCCGTCCCCCCGCCAGTTTCCCCTTCCCGCCGGCCCCTTTCCTAGCTCCTGAAGGCTGCGTGCCATTGCATGTTCGTGGAGGCTGCTGAGCTTGCTAGCGTGGCTGTCGACTCGTACTCATCGCTGGCTCGTGATAGGGAACACATACGCACGCACAGGCCGATTGAGGTCAATTAATTTAGTACGCACAGGCATTTGCAGCAACCGTTACAGTACAGCGTGACGAACGGCCCAGGGCGCTGCAGTTCCACACCCCGCTGGTCAGGCAGGTAGAAGAGAAAGGGAGTCGAGTACGGCACAACCCAAAGAAACGCCGTACAAAGGTGAATATGCGTTCATACGAAACTACAGACCCCGGGGTCACCGAACATGGCATGCGGCACCCATCCATAAATGCAGGGTGATTCGTTAAAAATAGGCATCATAAAAATTATTACGAGGATGCCAGTTTAAAACTCCATCAGCAGTGGTGCGGGCAGCTAGCCGACCGGTCACCATACCGGTTATGCGGTACCCACATACCCGCCAAATGCCTCCGTTGATCAGGCCACTCATTGTGCGGGGGGAGGTTAGGGTAAACGGTCACGACTGTGTTGTGGCATGCATGCACGCCAACACCCCACAGACATGCGCACACAGAACAGCAGGCCCACGTATCAGCCCAGACCGGCACAGCATTGCTACGTGCAGCAGGTGGCAGGCAGCAGTGGCCGTGCGCTTGCATCGTGCGGCAAGGATGCGCAGCTTATCCAGTATCCTTATTTATGCCGGATTTTTAGAAGCAAAAAAGGGCTACTCCTTCAGCCTTAAGCAGATAAGGATAACAACACAAAAATTGCTACCATTGTAACGCCCAATCACATACAGCCCGTCGGTACCCCAAAAGATGATGCCGGTCAAAGTGCCAATAGTAGTACTGGCCGAGGAGGTTTTGATTCCTTGCAAAACGCATCGGCGTCGGTATTGCAAAGAAGACACGCCACGACGCACAAACCCACATACGCTACCATATGCCCTGGGCCAGACTGCCAAATCCCAAGGGGACCCTGGCTGCTTGTAACCATGAATAATCCTTGGGTACCCCCGTGGGGACAAGATGACTTCCTTCGGCCCAGCAGAGGTATCAACAGCAATGGAAGCACGACAGCACCCCAACAGACCCGGCGGTGGTCTCCTCCGCAACAATGGGAAAACAGCACTTCAGCACCCAAATCCACGTAGGGACCTGCAACCCTTATTTTCCTAGAATGAATGACCGATACAGCTGCTCCAAGAAGAGAACACTGGTGATGAACCTATTCCATGATGTCCTTTAATCACACCCCCTTCCAGACACATCACCCACCTCACGTCGAAGCAACTTGAGCATGGCGTCAAAATCCCCCATGGCAGGCAAAATTGGTACCATACGTACACAGACCACCCGATTCACCACAGATCTATTCCGCATAGCGTACATGGCATCACTGGAGGAACGTGCGCGCTGTCCTGTTAATGGTGCCAATTAAAACTGCTGGCCTGTAACATGGCAAACGGGGACAAGCTCTCGAGCCGCCACCTGACGACAGGCAGGGGAGAGCTCAAAGGGACCAAGGCATTCATAAATAGCTCTATTGATGTAAGGATACAACAGGCCATGAGAGCATGCATGCCAGTATGTCAGGCGTTTTGACGTCATATGCCGCGGAGATACTACCACAACGTGCACCCAAGCCATAGCAGCACACCACTACGCGCCTAGTACCACCCACGTATTACCGCATCATCACACGCATGCTCATACACGAACACGTAAGGCCGTCCCAGTTTTGCGCCTAAATGATTTCACACAAGCAAACAGACGCAGCTGATGTCCCGCGCGCAGACTCGCCACCTTCCCGCACTGTGTACCGCTGCTGTGTCGCCCACCAGTGGCAGACCACCACAACCAGTCGGGGCCAATAGCAACAGCAATCAATAGTGATGAAGGTGTTGTTGGGTGATTTACTAGTCACATGGCAATAATAATAATGAACCAACCCCCATTAGCAGCAGCAGCAGCAGCAGCGAGAGCGAACGCTTAAGAACACCCCTCGGAAACTGAGCTCGAGTCAAAACAGCCGCAACCGGCAAAGAGCCCCAACAGCCATACCCATCCCTCCCGCCGACCCCGTTCCCCACTCGGTGTGCTTTCCAGTCAAGCAGAAGCGCAACCCCCGGAGGGCGCAACCCCCAATCATGGCATGACGGCATCCATTGGCATCTCTACTGCAACAACCAACCCATTGCGGCCAATAGCCGAATCATTCTCACACGGACTTCTTGCCGCCGCCAGGTAGTACCGGTAACATCCTTTCGTGTATGTCACAAGCGTGCCAGCAGCGAAAGCAAGACCTCAAACTCTTTCATGCACTACACAACGGTATAGTTAGGTGTGTTACGCTCCCATTATGCCGCCTCAACATGCTCCCCACGACAACAACAAACTAGAGGATTGACAACTGGAAAGCCCGCCGCCCAGCACAGGTCCGTCCTGTGAGTTTTGTAAGGACGTGCAAGCAATACAACACCATTTCCCATCACAAACTATTGTACCTGAAAAGGGACAGGGGTTCGCGACAGGGTCGACGCAATCCCCAGACGACCATCGAACAATAGCTTGCGAGCGCTCCGTACCGTCGTCATAACCATCAATGACAGTGGTCAGTCTATGCCTCCCGGACTCACCCCCCCCAAATCAGTACCCAAGGCCTTGTCCGATGTTCCAGGACTAGCTCTCAAGAGTTGTCCGCTTCCTTCAAGCCCCCACTCTTCACGTTCTTCACATCTTTCAAATTACTAGTTCAGCAGCAGCACAGCCAACACACCGGGAGGAGGAGAAACACAACCCTGGCCAACCCCTATCTGAATACCCACAGCGGCAGGCACGACAGAGAAAAGGAATGCGCAATGCGTTATATTGTTGGTCCTTCAGACGCATTGTCCCAGCGCGCGCACACACATAGCCAGCTTAGCTGTAAGCTGCCCATAAGCATCGTATGTTTGTAACAGGGGAATGCAAACGATACAGGCTAGGAGCAGCAATGGCCGCTCGCTTTACCTCCACAAACCACCCAATCCGCGCAATAGTGCGGCAAGGACATGCACACCTACAACGAAGCAGCTCTTCCCGCGCTTGCGACATTACCCTGAAACCACCACCAACACCAACTACAACAACAACACTTTTCTTTCACCATCAAGCATAACAACCCCCTCACTCCCCCCCACCCCCTTGACTATCACACGCACCCCCTCACTACACGTAAGACTGTGTGCTCTTGCGCCGGCTCATCAGGCTCAAGCCCGACACACCACCCATCCCTCCCAAGCCGCCGCCGCTGCCACCAAACCCACCTCCTCCCCCATACCCCTCCATGCCACTCCCCCCCGCATGCTGCCACCCATCCGCCCCCAGCGTGCTGCCGCTCTGCACAAGCACCCGCGGCACCGGACCCGAGGAAGCCCGAGCCCCGGACAGCGCATCCCCACCGCCCACCACATACCCCAGCGCGCTGCCCCGGCGACTGAAGGACCCGCCGCCTCCGCCGCCAGCCCCCAGGCTACGTTGCGCCAGGGCTGATGCCGCGACCGCCGCTGGGAAGGGCGCGGAGGTGTGATGCTGCTGGCGTGTGGCGGGACGGCCCGCTATGCCGCTGGAGAAGGAGGTGGAGGACTGCGCCACCAGCACCATGCCGCTCAGCGCGCCCATAGCGGGTCCGCCGCCCGGGGACATGCACTCCCAGGCCAGGTCGCCTTCAGGGCCGCCGCCCCCACCGCTGCCGCCGGGTCCTGGACTGGCACCCGGGCTGCTGGGGCTGCTGGCTGCGGTGGCGGCGCTGTCGGGCTGCGACTGGAACACCCTGTGTTGTGGGTTGCGGGTGGGAGGGCAGGAGGGGCGGGGTGAGGGTGAGGGTGAAGGAACTGCATCACCGGCAGGCTTTCACGGAGCCGCCTACCAGTCTCCTCCGCTTCTCACTCCTACCGTCACCACAACTTCAAGCTAGTTGCATCGCATTCGTTGTCCTTCCGGCCCCAACACCACCATCTCCTCCCCCATGCCCCAAGCACATGCCCGCACCCCCTGCCCCTGCCCGCCGTCTCTCACCCCTTGAGCATCCGCATGAAGCGCCCGCTCCTGCTCCTCAAGCCCGCCTGGCTCAGCGGCCGCATGCCGCCGCCCGCCAGCCCGCCGCTGCCCAGCCCCGGCCAGCCGCCCTCATCCACCGGCTCATGCAGCCCCTCCGTCATCATCAACAAGTCGTACCGCTGCTGCCCGCCGCTGCTCATGCCGACAGCACCAGCGGGCGACAACACCGTCGGAGGCGGGGGCGTCGGCGTGAGCTGCGGGCCCAGCGGCGACGCAGCGGAGGCGATGGCGGCGCCTGGAATGACCCGCAGTGAGGGGCGGCGGGCCATTCCGGGGTGCGGCGGGTCCCCACCCAACAGGAAGGCCACCCCCGGGTGTGCAACCATGGAAGCTGCTGGCTCGCAGCTGCCGCCGTCCGGGCCCAGCTGCGGCGGCGGCACCGGTGGCGAGGGCCCCACCACCGCAACTGCTGTGGGTGAAGCTGCTGCTGCTCCTCCTACTGCAGCAGCAGCAGCGGAGCCGGACGGATCACCGACAGCGGTGCCGCAACCCGCAGCTGCCTCAGCTGCCTCAGCAGACATGCCGTTACCGCTGGAACGTGAAGCCAGGCCGATGCCGCCAACACCGCCGCCACCCAACGCGCTGCTGAGCTGCTGCGAGGGCGACGACAGCCCGCTGGCTGCTGCTGTTGCCGCCGCTGCGGGTTCCAGTCTGCTCCGGTTGCGGCGCGACATGCAGCGACTGGGGCTCCTGCCGGCACCCCCTGCTGCCCCCGCCCCAGCTCCCTCCGTGAAGGACTTGCCGCCCACCTGCATGAGGCCGGTGCGGGTGCCGGGCCGCACGAAGGAACTGGTGCGCGTGAGCGCGCTTGTGGAGGGGCGGCCGGCGGGTGTGGCGGTGGCGGCAGCGGGGGAGGAGGGTGCCGCGGGCGGGGAGGCCAGGGCGATGGGGCCGCTGAGGCTCAGGGTGTTGGCGCTGGTGCCGCTGAGGGGGGAGGGGCTGTTCAGGATGAGGGTGCTGGAGCGGCGGGAGCGCGCGGCGGCCGGGGTGTGCGCCCGGGCGGTGGGGGATGAGGCCTGCGAGGGAAAGGAGATATCGTTACGACGGCGGGTAAGATGCGGAAATCATGAGGGAAAGGATTATCGTACTTCAACAGGGATGCAAGATATGGCGTGCTTTGGACGGGAGATGTGGGTGCCGGGCAATGAGCGCAGGAACGTAGGGAAGCACTTGCATACGAGCAGACCTATCGCGCGGCACCTACGTTGTAGTCGGCATCCTCGGTGCCAGTCCCGTCGTACATGGGCGGCACGACAACAAAGTCGGGCGAAGCCATGGACGACGAGTCTTGCAGGGCGTGATGATGCTGCATTAGCATGTAGGTGTCGGACTTCCGTCGAAATGATGATGATGACATGCCGTTAGCGGCCCTCCTCGCTGCCGCAGGCGGTCTGGGAGCCATCTCCACACGCGCGGCATCGCTATCATTTTGGGCGGCGGCTGCTGCCTTAGCATCTCGAGTAGGCGCTGCTGCTGTGCTGCTCGCTGGGGCGCTAGGCTGGTTCGCAGGGGCAGCGTCACTTGTCGAAGGAGCATCAACAAGCCTTTCTTTTGGCTGCGCAGGCGCGGTTTCGGCAGGGGCGTTCGCCACCGATGCGGATGTCGCGTTACCGTTTGCTACGTTAGTTGTCGTTTCAAGTTTTACTGCCTGCGTCCCGTGCGACGATGAGAGCAGCCCCTCAAGCTCCGCCATAAGAGCTCGACTGCGACTGTGGTCCCCATACAATCCGTCCAACAGCTGCTTGGTTTCATGTAGCACAATGCTGGAGTGCCGGCCCATCCTCCTGGCCGGTGGAGCACCTGACGGTATCCCTGTAAACAACAAACATTCATAACTATTGCGTTGGAACTACCAGTGCAGCTTGTGAGGAGTCGGGTCATCATTGTGCCGGGACTGCCTTGTCAGGCTTCGAAGCCCAAACAAAATGCATCATACTAACGCCTGTTCTATTGGCCCCATTTGTGCGCATGAAGGGGAGCCCGGTCGACGTCAACCTAGCAGTCACACGCGCCCGGAACGCTCGTCAGCTCTTTACGCACCTTGCAAAGTGCCGCCGTATTCGGCAGCAACATCAACTGTTGCCATTTCTGCTCAATGTGCTTCCATCAATTAGTTACCGGTAACGAAGGAGCTCCTTGAAGCTCCAGGTAAGAAAGCAACCCAACGTTACAGTTTAGTCGTTGAAAAAGGATACGTAGGCCCGGTTGTGATTGGACAAAACAGAAAGTGCTGCTCGGGGCGTCCAGGATTCGGTCGTTAGAACCGATTACGGAATCGCGTAATCGACCCCACCACCGTGCTTTGCCCTAAAAACTACTGGTATCAATTCAAATTCGGTTCTAACGACCGAATCCTGGACGCGTTTAGGGTCGTCGCTCTGGGCCAGTCCGACTCGTACAGGTGCAGCCTTAGCAGTCCTAACTCCTAGATGTAGAGGCGTATTCGCGTATAGGTGCCCTGTGCTCCTCATACTTATTTCACCTACTTCTAAGCCACCGGGTGGAATTCTTCAAATAGCTGCTGCTCTCCTCTTAAGGCAGCCCGTGAATTCACACCACATCCCTAACGTGGTAGTCAACCCATATCCTTACACACAGCAGCCCGAAGAATAGGTGGTGAGAAACTCTGTTTCATACATCGAGGCTATTCTACCGGTTCAGACGGGCAACCGTTTTTCATGGCACGAACTCATGGTTAGGATCTTTCGCTGACTCAAACCCGCTGCAGCGCCACTGAACACCTCATCAATATGCCAAACTTTATATTAGTTAATCTTCTTCGCAGCATACTCCAGCAATGCTCAGCACCACTATCACGGCCCCACAGTGACCCCCAGCGCCGGCAACCCTAGGGAGCCCTTCGTCCACAAGCACCAATGCACACGATACGCGGCTTCTCCGCAGCAATTAACGCAGCATACTCATGCTGGCAGGGACCCCGCGCCCCCAGCACGATACAGCCGCTCCGTGCTCCGTCCGCTTGCTTGCATGCCATACTTGTCAGAGCGTGTCCAGCAAGCATTACCTGTACGACACCGCATGGTGACAGCAGCTTTACCCACCCGGGGTGCACTTGGGCCTTCCCCTCATGGACACATCGCATGTTACATTGCCATCGAAAGATGCCTGCAGAGCAAACCTAAATTTTAAGGGTGGGTATTCTCCTCCTTTGGCATGATCGCTGGCAAGCATCTCGCTGAGCACATTGCAGTTTAGGCACAGGCAGAGGAGATACCGGTAGTCAAGCTGGCAGGCTGTGAAACGAGGTTAAAGGTACACTAGGCGCCCCCTAGCACCCCTCCTTTACAACCGCCAACCACCAAGCATGCAGTACTTGCGTGCATATGCGGTTCCAACTCCATGGCCAATCTCCTGGCCGCCTTAGAAGGCAAGCCATGCACATGCACTGGTTCAGAAACAAAGGAAGGCGCCTCGGAGCCGCTGCACATGCGTGGAGAGCCGAACAAACAGTACAAAAGGCTTGCATCCTGCAGTACGATACATAAGCTTGCATGCTGTCATAAGGTTCTAGTGAAATGCTACCGTACTTGACGGTATCCTTAGCATTTTACTTCCTCGCCCCTTTCTTAGATGCCTCCAGGGGTTGTGCCCCGTTCCACCTCCCTTCTACTCACTGTAGCTGCTTGCACGTGCCGTATAACTCACTGCTTGTCCATGTCGTACACCTCACTGCTTGCCGGTGTCGCACACCTCACTGCTTGCCCATGTCGTACACCTCACCGCTTGCCGGACCTCACCGCTTGCCCATGTCGTACACCTCACCGCTTGCCGATGCCGTACAACACACTGCTTGCCCATGTCGTACACTGCACTAATTGCCGATGTCGTACACCTCACTGCTTGCCAATACCGTACAACACACTGCTTGCCCATGTCGTACACTGCACTAATTGCCGATGTCGTACACCTCACTGCTTGCCAATACCGTACTCCAGGCGGTACAGCGCCGCCCCCAGGGTTGACTCCCTGCGCAGCACCTCGAAGCTGCAGTGCCGCACAACGCTCAGCAGCACTCGCGCGTGACGTGCCAGACCGGCCCAGTCCCAGGGGTCCTGGCCACCGCCTGGGGCCTGCACATGGGGAGGTGCGTGGGAGGGTGGGGGTCGTGGGAGGTGGGGTTGGCACGCGAGCAGCCGTGTGGGAGGAGTTGATGCAGCATTGCCACGACGGAAGCGTACCGAGGACAAACGCAGGTCTGCAGCGAGTCTGGTGGTTTCGGTGCATGCTGGCAGGTGTGCATGACTGCAAGTGACGCTGCTGGGGCTGCTGGCGGTACTGCCGCAGCCGCTATGTGGGACTGCTCACCCGTGCGACATTGCAGGTGGGGTCGATGGGGTGGATGATGAAGGGCCCATGCGCGCCCCAGCACCCCCGGAAGCGCATGCCCTGCTCCCGGCTGTAGCCCCCGTACTGCCTAGCGTCCAGCAGCACCACCACCCCGGGTTGCAGCAGCCGCGAAGACAGGTCCAAAGCGCGCAAGAACACACGCAGAAGCAGCTTCCTGCGCCGAAGGGAGGGGTAGTGCAGGGCCTTGCAACTGAGTGACCCATGGGTCGTTCAAAACGATTGGTAACTAGCTTCGAGACGTAGAAGGCATGTCACAAAGGTAGGAAATTAAGAATGTGGTTGGAGGAAGGAGAGAGCAGGTAAGCGGCGAGGCCCTCCTAGCCGGCAACCGTCCGCTGCTGGGTTCCTGCCCCCCACCTGCTCTCACGCACGTCCGGCAGCCCCTTAGCGCTCCACTCCCGCTGCTGCTGCCCCCCCTTCTGCTGCTCCTGCTGGAATGCCGCCAGCACAATCAGCTCGAGCGCCACGGAGCGCAGGTTGGGCGGGCTCAGCAGGCCCCGCTCGCCCAGACCGCACTTGACCCAGGCCTGAGGGCAGCAGGGAGGGGGAGCGGCATGTTCAGGCGTGGTCAGGCAGTCAGGCGTGCTGTCAGGCTAAATCAGGTGTACGCTTAGCTACGCGAAGGGAGCAGAAGCAGTCAGATTGCAGGCGCGCAAGTCCGACCGCGGGTGCAATGTAACGTATTGTACTGCACTGGGAAGCCCCGTCTCTATGCCTTACTCGCAAGGCGGGTCTCGGTCTTGCCGCACCTCTTGTTGCACGCATACACGCGCCATACATCACGCCATGCGGATCCTGTCATGCTTAAAACAATCCGCCCACCTTAAACAAGCGTACAGCCTGGTTAGCGACTGTGTGTTGGTCGCCCACGAACTTCGTGAGTGACTCCACCACTCCCCGCTCCCTCGCCCCGTCCGGCGGCGCAGCAGCCAGCGCCGCTATCTGCGCATCCGTCATCCCCAGCAGCGGGGCCACCAGCGCCGCCACATGCACCTGCGCCTTGTCGACCCCGGCGGGCTGGCCCTTGGCCAGGTTGCGCAGCAGCAGCACGTCCATATCCACACCGTCCGCCTCGAATTGCAGCAGGTTCTTCTCAATTTTGAGGTTTATTTTCTCTACCCCCAGCTTCATCATGAGGGTGCCGGCGACCTGCGCGGAGTTGGGTAGAAAACAGTGCCATAGAGGCCAGTGCCTTACACCGCCTACTACATGCAGTATAGGCGTGTGGTTGGCATGGAAGGGGACGGTGCTCCTGTGCGTGGCGCCTCATACGAGGTGCGTGCGGGGTGGGTCGGGGAACCGCGGGTCCTAGCGGCATTAGCGCCTAGGCAATGCCACGCGGATCCTGTCATGCTTAAAATAATCCGCCCACCTTAAACAAGCGTACAGCCTGGTTAGCGACTGTGTGTTGGTCGCCCACGAACTTCGTGAGTGACTCCACCACTCCCCGCTCCCTCGCCCCGTCCGGCGGCGCAGCAGCCAGCGCCGCTATCTGCGCATCCGTCATCCCCAGCAGCGGGGCCACCAGCGCCGCCACATGCACCTGCGCCTTGTCGACCCCGGCGGGCTGGCCCTTGGCCAGGTTGTGCAGCAGCAGCACGTCCATATCCACACCGTCCGCCTCGAATTGCAGCAGGTTCTTCTCAATTTTGAGCTGTACTTCCTTTACCCCCAGCTTCTGCGCGGAGTTGGGTAGAAAACAGTGCCATAGATGCCAGTGCCTTAGACCGCCTACTACATGCAGTATAGGCGTGTGGTTGGCATGGAAGGGGACGGTGCTCCTGTGCGTGGCGCCTCATACGGGGTGCGTGCGGGGTGGGTCCGCGGATCCTAGCGGCATTAGCGCCTGGGCAATGCTGTGTCTGCATGGCCCAACCGTGTTCAGTTTAGGCCATGTTGATTGTGGGAAGCATGCGGGGCTGGAGTGCATCGATACCCAGTCGTGTATAATGAGTACGGCATGATAGGGCCACTGACTCCCCTATGTCCGCCTTCACGGGTCACACACAGAGAACAGAACAGAGCGCCCAGTAGCAGGCTGTATGGCATGTAAATTCTCAGCAGGGTACCCGCCCTGACCGATAACAAGGATTAACGGAAATGCTTCGGCTTCACGCGTCACATTACATGCGGCTCACGCAGCTCGTCCCGCACCTCACCTGCCGCATAAGGACAACACTGCTGGCAGGGTCGGCGGGCAAGTTGTTTGCAAAGACGGGCAGGTCCACATCAAACCGCCCCCTGACGCTGGTTTTGCGGCCGAAGGAGCCGCCCTTGTGTACTCGGTCCACACTGACCTGAGCGGCGGGGAAGCAGCGTGGTGCTGGGTGCGCTAGCTAGGGTGTTGGGGGCTGGACAGCCGGGGGACAGGCGGTCATGTATGGGCACGTACACCCCAACATTCGCCAACACGGTTGCCTCCTCGCAACCCAGAAGGACTTCAAGAGATCAAGACGCAAGCTGTACCCATGTCATACGTACCTCGTCCAGGGCATGCAGGGTGCGGGCAACGCGGTCCACAGCTTCCCTGCTCGCCTCGTTCTCCTCGTCCGAGGGAGTCACCAGGTTCGGCAGGTCGTTGAAGCGACGGAGGTAGGTCCCGCACGTCGTTCCATCCATGAAGTACACTTTTGAGGGCGGGTACATATGCCTCGCGCAGTTCATGATACTCCCTTCCCTGACACCCTCACAATCTTCCTCTTCCTCTTCTTCATGCAGGTTCAGCTTTGTAAGGATAGCCTTCAACTCCTGAGAAGCCTCGGCGCCCATTCCGCTACTGCTACCGGCGCCGCTGCCGCTGCTGGCACTTGCGTTGAGGATGTGTGCGGAGGCGGCCTCCGAGCGCTGCTCGCTGCAGTGCGGGCAGGCCAGGCGGTCCGCGCTGCCCTCCGCGTCTGCAGCTTGCAGGCAGCTGAGGTGGATGGCCAGGTGGCCGCAGCCGGGCAGGCAGGCCACCTGCGAGCGGGAGGTGAAGAGGTATCCGCGGCACAGCAGGCACTCCCGGTGCATGGCGTTGGGCGCGCAGGTGTGGGTCTGCGGGGGGCAGGAGAAAAGAATCCAGTGTGTGGTGACAGCGGTAATAGCGGTAAATTAGCTGACTAGGGGGAAGGGTCTGGGGAGCCAAGTTACTGGTGGTATAGGTAACGGTGTTACTCCACGGCTGTAACGGATGATTGCTGTCTTCAAAGAAGACGCTTGAGGACATCTGTGCAAGCAGTCTAAACATGTGTCGCTTCTCGTTGGTTGGTAGTTGCGTGTACGGGGGAACGATAACTTGCTAAGCATTAGGGTTTTAGGGCCCGCCCAGCAAGGCAACGTGCAAGCCTGAATAGGCACTGCGTGGACCCTTTACGCACGTCTTCTCAGAAGCGGTGCAGCGTTGGTTCCGTGTCTCACCGCGAAGTGAGTCGTCGGCAGGCAGGCGTCACATGTGTCGCAGTGACGGTACTGCTCCCGCTCCCCCAGCCGGCAGATACCGCACTTGTCACAGTGCCACATGTCCTTGTCGTGCGAGTACACGTGGCAGACAGTGCATGCGTGCTTCCTTCCGAAGCTGGCTCCACAAATGTTACAGCAGCTCTTGGAAGGAGTTTGGTTATCGTGGCTGCACTTCAGGCAGCGCAACCGCTGGATGCTGCGACGGTCCAGCTTCGATCCGCAAGTCGCATCCTGTTTGTATATTCATAATGGGTACATTAAATAAAAAGATGTTTATTCTCATGGCTGCTGCACGGGGCAGCGCCTGTGGGGTCGAAAAAGTAGCTACCAGCTAGATGGCATGAATGGACGTTCGCTTACTATCTTGCTTCAATCGCTTCCATCGATATTTTGCCAGACGTAAGTGCAGACGTTCTGTAAAACGACGCCAAGGCCCGACTCACCCTGTCATGGCAGACATGACAAGCAAAAGGCATGTCGTCGCAGCATGGTGCCAAAAGCAGGCAACCTCGTGAATAATGCCCGCAGGGGCCCGACATCACACTGGTAAAGGTAAAGCAAAAATCTGTAACGAGTAGGAGCGTGGAAAGGGTTGCGCTAACGAGCTAGGCGTTAGTGTTCCTTAATAAGCTGAGATCGGTTGCAGATTTATGGAACAAGAATAAAGAAATGCAATGACTTGAGTTGTATGTAATCGGGGTGGTACGGGCCACCCGCAACGCGCAGGTACAGCATAGGTGGATTCACAGCGTCACAGGTGGTTACGGGTCCGCACAGGTCGTCACGGGTGGTGGTAAAAATAAATCCATAGCTTCTGGATCCTGTGCCTTTGACATCACCGCTTTGATGGCATTCCCCGGATACAGAGTGATAGAGAAGGCCGAGTTAATGAGCTCCCAGGCGTTCGCCAGTCTGTCGTACACCCTGTTGGGCAAAATTATTGGGGCTCCGGTTTGGGGCTCCGGCTCACATGTTTTGGGAATGTACAGTGGCAAGAGCGTTATGTGACATGATTGGGTTTGAAGTTGGTGAAAACATTGAACTGACCAAGGTGAACTTATGGTTAGGAGTACCGCCATTAGGCATCCATACGGACCATACCCTAGTGTGGGAAATAGTATGCCTGGCAGCTCTGAGTGCTCTCGAGGTGGGGAGAAAGTTGATGTACAGAACAGGACTCGAGGAAGGAAGAGGAGGAACGGCTACAAGACAAGAGTTTAATGTGATTGGTGTTGAAGTGATAGCGGATTTTTGGGCATGTATTCGTTCTTTTGCCACGTTGAATATTCCCCCGAGAGGTTGGGGTAGAATACCTAGACAGCACCCTTTTCTAGCGACTAACGAGAGTGGTTCAGTGGTATGAAGACCACCACCAGCTGAATAAAACTTTTACCCCTTACTTGAAGAGGGACAATTGATCCCAATGACTTAAGTTTGTGGCATGGCCTACAAGGCCCATAGGGTTGTGCGTCGCACTTGAGTCGTTCGGACTCCCCTCTCGCATTCTCCGGCCCCCCTTGTAACTTTCGCACCCTTATTTGTTGGAGTGCCAAGGGCTCTGCTGTTTTTGCCTTCTTAGGAAGTACTATTCCTACAAGCAACATGTGCGTACGAGATGGCATCCCCTTCGAACGGCCTACGCAACATGGACAACAAATACAATCAGTCCAAAGCAGCATTTTGTTCCATACAAACGAAAGCTCCGCACTCAAGCCCCCTTAGATTGGGCGGGCCTGTGGTGGCTTCTTTTGCCGCCCGGCGCTCATGGCAATATTTTCCTTGGGTGGGCGGGTAACGGTACTTCTAGTACCTAAGGCTTGGGTGAAGACTTGGGGAAGGCATCGTGCAGTCATCATGTGGATATCGCAGGTTAGTTAAATACAAGGCTGGGGAGTGGTGAACGGGGCCGGGGCCCTCAATTGCTTATCGTGCTACAAGGCAGGACTGCCCTGCCGATGGGTGTCTGTGGCACTCGAGCACGGCGGGGTTTGCTGACCCACGGGTCACCCTGATAACCCTCCAACACAACAATCACGCGAGGACACATGTTGAGATACGGCCGTCCCAGCCCAGTACTGAACCGGAATGCAGGATATGCACTTAGACTGAAATGCTTATGCTTTCACAAATCAGGCGCTACCGCCCAGCTGTTTATGTGCTTACTTCCCTGGCATGTACACCTCATGCCCGCAACCCATGCTAGCTAGCTGTACAGATACATACATGCATGAAAGCACACTACGGAGTCATAATATCCTCGCAAAACCCACCGTTTCCGTGCCAGCCTCCCCTTCCCGCACCAAACTCAGTGTGTCGTATGTTCCATAGCACAAGTGCCAGTGCCGTTCTACCGCAGGTTCGGACAGTAAGCGAAATTATCAAGGGCTATGCTCCAAGCCCTCGCCCCCCCCCACCAAAGCCTCCTTTACTGCCAGCCTTGCTAGAACAGCAGGCAACGCTGCCACAGCACTAGCGTGCCGACCGCATCAGCAGAGGCGAGCAGCGACTCGTCGAAGCTCCAAGCAACCGCCGTGACGGGGGCCCGGTGCGCCTGCATGCATGCATGCGTGCGCAAGTAAGCATGCGGACAGCGCGAGCAGGAACAGGGCGGGAGACCTAGGGTGCCCTGGAGAAGCGGAGGACCCAGGGGCCCCTGCCCATGAGGCTGCTACGCAATCAAGCAGCCCGCGAGTAGGACGGGCGTACTGGAACTCCAAGCCTCAGCAGCATGTACTACCGGTACACATATCTGCGCAGCATGTACCGGTAAACTGCGATGCACTCGAAAGCCCGTCACCTCCGAAGGCTGTCATGCACATGCAACGCAACACAATAATGAGGGCATCTCGGGTCATGTGCCGCCCAAGACCCTCTCCCTTGCCGAACTTCCTTTTACCCCACCTTCAAAACGGTTACAGTCAGCGGCCGATCAACCGCAGCAGCAGCCCCGGCCACCGAGCCCCGCCCTCCTCCACCTCCCCCTGCACCCCCGCCCGCCCCGGTGCTGAAGCTGCGTGCCGTCACATCCACTATGTAGACCGAGGTATCATCGGATCCGTACGTGATGAGGGGGACGTCATGAATGACGGAGAGGGGGCACACGGAGGGACGCAGGCGCAGCCAGCTGGGCGCAGAGGAGGAGGATGTGGAGGTGGGGGAGGTAGGGGAAGGGGGTGGTAGGGAGGAGGTGGAGGATGCGGAGGAGGCTTGCGACACAAGGGGGCTAACAACGGCGGAGGCCGCGGAGGGCGGCGGGATGAAGCGGCGGAGGTGCAGCTCTGCAGTGTGGCGAGTCTGCATGACACGGGTTGGGAACATAGAGCGGGACACAGCGGGGAGGGGGCAGCAAGGGCGGGTGCGGCATCTCCTGGCGATGTTTGTGAAAATGGGATCGGCAAGCTAGCTAAGCACCCAAACCACGGCAAGGTTGATGGCGACTAGCTAGCACCAATTGCGGCGCAAGGGGGTTTCTTGACCTCCGTGTGTTCGTGTCAGTAGTTATGCTGTTGTTCCCCACTCCAAGGTCACTCCTCAACCCTCCCCGACCATGCTGCAACACAGCAGCAAACGCCGCAAACCACATCACACACCCCATCCACCTCATTAGCTCGCACGATGCACAGTGAGCCGTCCTGCAACGCAACCATCAGCACGGGGCTGTCCGTGGCACGACAGAAGGGCAGGTACTGCAGCGCGGTCACAGGCGCGGGCGGGTGGCCGGGCAGCGGCAGGCGCAAACGACCCGTGGGTCGCAGCCGCGAGAGCTGCCGCTGCTGCATCTCGCATGCGAAGAGGTGCAGAGTGCCGGCGGAGTCGCCCAGGAAGACGTGGTGGTTGCTGCTGTCCAGAGCTGCGGATGGGGAAGGAGGGTAAAAACCAACATCCAAATGTGTTGTGACATCGGTAAACTAGGTGACAAGCCTGGGGGTAGGGGCGGGGTAAGGGCTGGCGGTGCGGTGCGGCAGGTAGGGAAAAAGACAAGGCACAAGACAAGTTCGGAAGGAAGAGAGCGAAGGCGACCTGGGATGCAGCATTGTACATGTCAAACATACCGTGGAGTGCACACAGCAAGAATGGACACTGCATGGCACTACTGGGTTTGTTGCATGACCTCTCAGGCTCCCACCTGTCACCTGCACTCCCGACCCCGCCTGAGCTACTTGGTAGCGACTGTGGAGGATGCCTGGAGCGGCATGATGAATGGGGGGACATGCGGTGGTCATGGGTGCCAGGGGTTCGACAGGTGTACGGGGTGGGGTTTAGCGTTGGAAGCACATAGGTGGCATGGCAGGGTTTCGTATCTTCCAGCTAACGCCCTGTAAGCACTAAGCAGTGAGGTGCACCTTTAGAGAGACACTGAAGAGCGAAACAAGGAACGGATGACACGCAGGGCATCAGTATCAATGTCTGCCCGCTTCGCTACAACCACCGCCCACCATTGCTGCAATTATAGACCTCCACAGTGCCTCCGGAGGTGCCGACCAACGCAAGACTGAAGTTAACTCGATGAAACCTGGAAAGAGGGGAGAGGGGAGAGGGATAAAAAGGAAGAAACGGAAGAGGGAGGGGTAATGAGGGGTGCAAGGCGGTTGGGTAGTGAGGAGGTGCCCCCAGGAGGAAAGAGGGAACACGGGCAGGCGGTTGCAGGCGGTGCCTGCCATGAGCGCGGAGGCGTGTTTGCGTGGTCCATGTGAGTGTGAGCCTTTACAACACGTATGTGTGCGGTACAGCTCGCCACATTTGGGGGGCAGAAGAATACGCCATGGGGGCGTTTCTCTTCAGAACAAGCGACCCCAAGGCCCCCCCCCCATCCAACCGCTCCCCACCTGCCACAGAGGAAGGCTGTGGTGGGCATGTAAATGCTGCGAATGCATGGCAGCGCGGGGTCAGTGGCGTCCCACACGCACAACGAGCCGTCCAGCCCGACCGACAGCAGTTGGCTGTTGTCGTACGCCCAGTCAACCGCTTGTACGGCCCTGCCGTGCATCTTGCGAGCCTGTCGAGGGCGAGAGTTCCGGTGTTAATTATACGGTATGTGGCACGGAGCATGCTTTGATTGGGGACCTGAAGGGACGCCGTTAGCCGACATTAGTGCAGCACAGCCGCCCCAAAACCAGTAGTGCCCAGTGACAGGAGGGGATTAATAGGGAAACATAGACAGGCGGCGACAGGAGAAGCCCCACCAACGGGACCCCTACCAGACCCACCCTGCATGCGCCTCACATGCACACCGAAATCGCACGGTTTCCCTTTCCCTACCCATCTTGGGACCCCTCCATAACCCGTACGCAAAGACGCCCTCCACACTGCTGGTCATCATGTCGTGAGCTCATCACGACCCCTGCCACCCCTGCAAGCAACCTGTCATGAACTCGGCGATGCCTGCTAACCTTGATGCAAGTGGGTTGCGCCGCCGGCCCCGCAGCAGCCGGCGGCAGCGCCACTCGCCAGATTTCCCCGTCCGAGCAGCCGAACGCCAGTAGGTCCGACCGCAGCGCCGCAAAGGAGACCGCCGTCACCGCGCCAGCCGCCTCCGCCAGCACGTGTTTCACACCTGGGAGGAAGGAAGGCGGCGGGGGCGTGAGGTTGCCAGATGGGGTGCAGAAGGGGATGGAAAGAGACTATGTGCAAAGGGAACAAGGGATGTGTGCATAGGTGGAGCACGCCCGAGGTGGGAAGTGTGCAGGGAGGCTTGTTCGCAGGGTGGGAAGGAGGCTCTTCATCACCGGTCAGGCTGCCTGGCTAGCTCCGCTCCTCAATTGCTCCATCCTTGCTATCTTCCGTCTGCTCTACCTGGTGCCCGCTGCTTACGGTCTGCAGCCGTGCTGTTGTGGCCCCCGCCCCCCGCACAGCCCCTGTGCAGCCGACCTCCTTGCGTGGCCCTGCACGCCCCACCCGCCCACATGCATGCTAGTCACCCCCACACACACCCACCTTCGAAGGAGTACTTGACCGTTGCGGGCAGCGAGTGCGGCGAGGCCGCGGCGCGAGGCAGCCTGCCGGGCGCTCCCAGCAGTCCCCCGCCTGCTGGGCTGCCCGCTGCGGCCGCCTGGAGGTGCAGCTGCTGCTGCTTGCGCGCCCGGATGACCTCTCGGAAGGAGGAGTAGGTGCCTGCCGAGCAGGACCACAGCTGAAGAGGGAGGCAGGCGAGCGGATGGTGGTGGGGATAAGGGCACGTGTGAGGTGCAGGGGGCAGGAGGGAGGCGGGAGAAGGGGAGAGTGGTGGGGACAGGGGCGAATGGTTATCCAAGAGATGTAGGCGGGGTTACTGGAGGGACGGTTAGGGGGCCGGAGGTTGCAAGATGAAGAGTCGCTGATGGGAAGGCGTGGCGTGAGGGGCGATGCTGTGCGCTGCTGTTTTGCAGAAGGAAGCTGTGCCGTCGGTTCGACTTCTCATGTATGACATGGGTTTGTCCCATGGTAAACAGTGGGATACAGTAGTCAAGCAGTGCGTTATTTCCCGTGTAGCCGTACGCAGGTGCAACAAGAGCACGTATTTCCATCTAGTTGGTGCAATTACCCAATTGACTCAACGGGTAGAGGATTCCAGCAGGACGCTGCCAACAACCCACCTCCCTGGAGACAACGGCATCAGGAGAGTGTGCCAATAAATATGATCGGATTCTTTCTGCATGTTCGGGAATCATGTTGATGTCTGGCATGAGTCCTGAAGCGACCAAGCCGTTACGTTGCTAATACAAAGCTGTTGTGATAACTGTAGATGCGTCTTAGTTGCATCGATGTAGAAGGTTAGTGGGAGGCCTCTTGTGGCGAAATGCCGTTTTAAGTGACAAAGCAAATAGAACCCCAGCCCTGCCAGCCAAATGCTTGACATGAATTGTTGACAAACATAGTTAATTTTTAGTGGAAACGAAAGCCTCGGGCGGAAAAAGGCTCCGAACCCTGAAGCAGCTATGCAACGGTGTGGCAGTTGAAGACCAAAGAAGCCTCCAACACCAACGGGCATTCATTCATCTCCTCCTTACTGCCAAACACTTTGCCTCTACTGTATATTCTGGAGCTCTAGATGAATGGGAGCTTAAGGCCCAAGGTACGTAGCCTGGTATCGGCAATCTCGCAAATTTCCAAGCCAACATATCATACGGCGTACTCAACTCTTGGCACCCAGGAGCAGTTGCCACTACCACGAACGCGAATGCAGGGCGGACAGTGCCGGCGCCAACGTACTGGTCCCTGCTACCGAGGGCAGCAGGCCACAGTGTCTAGTAAGGCCACAGCAGCCGAAGTGGGAATTTTAGGGTGTCTTGCCTGCGACATGTGACGATGGGCAGGTGTTTGGGTTTCATATCACAACTAGGGGGGTGACGCCCACGAACTTACACCACCAACCCACCAGCAGCAGCATCCCTCTGAAGGCAGCGCACTGCGTTTCCAGTGGTGCGTGTGTCGCGTTAATATTCCACGTGGGCGCCGCCCTACCTTGTTGTTTCACCGTTTCACTGCCTCCTCGACTTCACCACCGCATCACCCTGCACCGCATCAAATAGGACCATCTGCGGCCCTACACATGCCCATCATGCCTCACCTCCCCCGCATCATGCATCCGGAATCATAACATCTGCATCATCCCTCAGATGCACTACCACATCACCTCACAACAATGCGCCTCTCGCTCTTCTTCTTAAATACTCCCCTGTAATACTCGCATACCTCTCGTTTCACCTCTCGTTTCACCCTGTATATTCCCTGTTTGCTACTGTGCACACAAGGCAAGCTGCCGGGACCTTCAGCCTTTACATCCACTCAGGGTCCAGCGGCGGCTCCTCCGTGGAGGACGCAACCAGGGTGATCACCCCCTCGCTCGGGCGGCCCCGGTATCCCAGCAGCCAGCTGCCCGTCAGCTTCTGACGCAGCGGGGCGGGCAGCCCGCGCACCTCCACGTCACGTGCGGAGCTCTGGGTGGACTTGACGTAGTCGTACAGGGTGATCTCGCAAACATTCTGCAATGCCATACGATTTAAGCGGCGCAATAAGTATAGGGGTATACAGCAGTAGTGGGATTTGGGGCCATGTTTTGGGAGTGAGCGATGCATGACAGCAGGGATGTCAGCTAGGCCACTGTAAATGGACCCATGGGCCACGAGTGGGGCTAAAGTAATTCGCCAACTGCCAAGGCTATGAACATCTTTAACATCTTCATGTATCCTGTACCTTGTCGGTGATACCGGTAAGCACCTTTCTGAGGAACAAGCATGCATGCCTTTGTACATGTCAGACGGCCGCTCGCTCGCTCCCCTTCCCCCGGTGCTATGCGACACCACTACCTCCTATCCCCTCCGCACGTTACCTGATTGGATATTCCCCATGTCATCTCCTGGCCATCCAACTCAACTCGCAGTTTAAGTTGGGTGCCCATAAGCCCGCCCGGCGGCACTTTCGGCCACCAGTACCGTACATACTCCGTAAACACGCGCAGCTTTTTGGTGGGGCTGGAGTAGATGGGGGACGTCAGTCGCGTCCGTGTGGAGGGTCGTGGAGAAAAAGCAAGATACGGCCGTGGAGTTGATGGTGCTGGTGGTGCTGCTGGTGGCGAGGATTTAGAAGGCGTTGCAGCTGGAGTTGGTTCGCTGTTAGGTCCGCTTTTTGCTGGCTGTTCTGGCTCCATACGATCATTGCGACCATCGTTGGGACGGCGATGGGCTGACGCTCGGATATTACTTACTTTGAGCACTCGGTCCTGCGTGCGTAGGATGAAGAAATGTGAGGACATGTGTGTGTCATGTCAAGTGCGAGTGTTCCTTTTCCTTCCACTTTGGCTGGCAGTAAGATAACCGAAAGCGTATAAGCAATAAATTCATGTCCTGCATGCCTGCTCGCCTGGTATCCTCTGGGATGCGAAGGGGTACCAAAGGCCGCATAACGCGCGAGCGTTGTCAACCTCGGCGCTCCATGAAACGGTGGAGACGAACGAAGAGAGAAGGAGCCGTGCACTTGACAGGGAATGCAGGGAATGCAGGCTTGCAGCATAGTTGGCGATTGGTTCGCGTCTCAACTTGCAAAACAGCGAAAGGTTCCTTCAACGACACAAATGTAAAGATAGAACGTCAGTGGTAAACACACCCTCAGTGTGCGTTTGCAACGATTAGAGCAGGGTGAACTGGCTTTCAGTTGCAATTTCGTACGAAGCTTACGAAGATAAAGACTGCCGGACTTCCGAACAGTTAGTTTTCGTGCTGTATTCTTATTGACAGCTTGGGTTATTCCTTGAACCCGCTTAATTCGTATGACTGTATGTATGTGTTACAAGCTTCGTACCATCTTAGCATGGCGCAAATCGCGTCTTCCTTCAGGCAGGGTTTCCGTACGGGCCGTATACGGCTGTCCTAACTGTCCTTCGCCTGCAATGCAGCACCTGTATTGCAGCTGAGCCGCAAGTGTTGGAAACATCTAGGTGGCTGCAAGCAAAGGTGTCAGGGCGGCGGCACCACCTGACGGCGTCCCTGTGCAACTGTACCCGTGCTTCTCAACACAAATTACCCTGCTCCTAGCACAGCTGTCCTGTCTTGCTTGCATTCCGGACCTCCCAGTGGTGCAGCTGCTGTGACCCGCGGCGGCAGTGCCACATGATCGGGCCTCAGCGGACAGAGCCCTCCAATCCTTCCAATGACCCTCCTGCTGTAAAATGCGACATCGGCCACACTGCCGGTACACTGCGCTACATGGCTACACCATGGACGTGTAGTGTACCACACCGCTGTAGCCCACGCCCAAACATCCGTGCTGCCGCCTAGTACCACGCGCTCGCGAACGCAAGACCAGTACCTTTTTGCGACACCCAAAAGAAGTACTGCTACCTAAACCACACCGTATGGGTCCCCCAGCAAGCAAATGCGAGCATGGACGCCCGTTGCACGTTAGTCACGAACCCAAGAGCATTCTAAGAAACATGTGTCGGAATCCCTGCCTTGTGGCTTGCTCATAACCTGCTTGCGTACCGGTATGTATACAACATACATTTCACCCCAAAGGGTGCCAGCGGCGGCAACATTAAAATTAGACAGCAACCCCCGCCGTAGGGACACGTCTCCATTTCCATCTAAACACTCCTGCGCTGTATAGCATGTGAACTAATAGCACTTTGACACGACCATACTGGGACAAGTCAGCGGTGCTATCCCTGTGTCTGCTAACAGCTGAAGACAGCACCTACCATTCTACCTACAGAAGCGGGCGCCCCGACACGTCCTGCAATTTAAACTCTTTAATAGCCCAAAATACTGAAGGCGCAAGCCGCATTGTCAGGCGCGAGCCGCGAAGCTATTCACTCATGGCTGCACTGCCATGACATGCAACCTACAGCAGTGCGGCAGGCCTCAAATTAAATCACGTGCCATGCGACGCCATTTCTCTGCTATGCCCCCACTAGCATTCACGTACCTCTCCTACACTATACACCTACAAAAGACTACAAGCGGCACCCTAATGTCTACCTAGCCATCTATGAAACAAGCAACTCTGCGTACCAAATCTCGCCTACGGACTGGAACACCCCGCATGGCTCTCATGCCGCTCCTCCATCCCCACCTCACAGGCATACAATGCTCTCCCACAACAGCTCCCACTCTAGGCGTTACCCAAGAACGATCTTTACAACCCTGTACAGCGCTGACCCTAAACCCCTAATCCTGGTACCGCTCATCGTCATTCGTTAGGTCCTCGAACTCGTCGTACGGATCCACCCCCTGCTGCTGCTCCACGTGCTGCTGCTGTTCTGTAACAGCACCAACCGCCGCCACCGCCCCATCGCTGCGCCGGCCTGCAAGCACTAAGCCCGTCAGCGTTGTTTGCGTTTGCGGTTTCCCACGCTTCGTACTACCAGCACCCGCATCGCCCTCCTTGGCACCGCCCGAGCCCCGCCGCTTGGCACCGGTAGAGGGCCGGGAGCCACCGCTGCCCTTTCGCTTCGCCTGCTGCTGCTGCTGTTTCGGGGTCCCCGTTGCGACACCGCGACCATCACTCAGCTTGGCCCCTGTCACCCGAGTCTGCACGTTCCCGGCAGCGGCAATGCCCGCCCCTTGCGCAGCAGCATGCGAGCCGTGACTCCGTTGCCGTCCCGTCTGTTGCTGTTGTTGCTCATGCTGTCGTTGCTGCTTGGTCCGCCCTGGCATGGCAGAACCACCGCCGCGACCACGACCTCCCGCTTCTCCGACACCTCCCCGCCCCTGTCCGAACGCTCCTCCTCCACCCGGGCCAGGGCTTAAGGCGGCGCCGACGGCAATAGTCTGCTGCCGTATCCTCTCATTGGTGGCGATGGCGGCGCGGCGCTTTGGTCGGCCAGTGGCGCTCGGCTCAAACTTCACACCGGCGTCGTTGTCATTCTCCTCATCGCTGTCGCTGTCGCTGTCGCTACCGCTTGACAAGCAGCCGCCATCCTCGACAACAATCTTACTACCCTCCGCCCATTCCTCCTGCCTGCCATCTGCAGCCCCATCCTGCCACTGGCCGGCGTCGCCCTCTCCCACGCCTCCTAGCTGTTGCTGCTCCTCCCCGTCGCCTTGCCCGCTGCCGCCACCACTGTCGTCACCGCTGCCAGCATCCTCCTCCTCCTCTTCCTCCTCATCGCCTGCGAGGTCCACGCTCCCCGAATCCACGTACTCCGGCAACGCAGCATCCTGGGTGTACACGTTGTACGCTGCGACATCCTCAGCCGCCGCATGCGTCTCAGCCTCCTCCAGCGGCAGCACCAACGCTGGCGCCGGAGCTGCCCCAGCTGCCACCGCCTCATCCTCATCCCCAACGCCAGCCTCAGCTTGCGCAGCGTCACCCAAGCCGCCGCCCGCAGCAGCCGCGCCAGGCACCTCACCAAGCGCGGCCGCATCCTCCAGCGTGCTGTAGTACTCCTCGCCTTCGCCGTTGCCACCGCCAAACTCCTCGCGATCATCAACGTCGAGCTCGTCCCCCATGCCTCCATCGCCATCCTCATCTCCATACGGCATCAATGCGTCGGCGCCACCGTCAGCGAAACGCATGTCGGCGCCCCAACCGGCGCCCTGAGCGCCACCAGCCGGCGACTGCTTCCCTGCAGACGGCTGAGCACCGCCCGGCTGTGGCGAATGCTTGTGCTGGGACGACCACGGCAGCAGCAAACTCCCCACAATGTCTTCGGTGGCTCGGCACATCTCGGCGACACCGTTGCAAACCTCCTGTATAAAGCTGCCCTTCTTCACGGCACCGTTCGGCGCGTGCACCGTATCACCATGTGCTCCTCCTGAGCCCTGCGCGACCCTCTGCTGCTGCTGCTGCTGTTCGAGCGCTGCATGGGGCTGGGTCAGCTCCTCAGGCGGGTTCGGCCGCTGTTTCTTGCGCGCTGCCTCCTGGGGCCGCTCGACGGGAAGGTCCTGTCCGCGCACATCGCAGGAGGCTTCGCGGCAGCGGCCGGCGGTGTGCTGGCTGCCCTCCTGCCGCTGGGTTAAAGAGATGTCGTCGTCGCTCTCGGTCATTGGGGGCAGCACGAGGCCTGATGGAGCCAGGTGCTGCTGCAAAGTCCGTTGTTGCGGCGGCGGTTGGAGCGGCGGCGGTTGGAGCGGCGGCAGTTGAGGCTCACAGGCGGATGGAAGATTCTGTTGTGCCTGCCCTGCGGCGCACAAGGCGTGAGGAGTAGCGGGCGATGGCGTAAGAAGGGAGGGTGAAAACTGGTTCAGGCATGCCGCCAGGACTGTCGCCGCCGTTACCTCCCATGCTACCATGCTCTTAGATGCCTTGCACAAGGCGATGCAAGGCGATGCGTTCGGTAGGCGGTACTTGGAACGTAATGTTGGAACCAAGGACCTTTGCCATACACTATTTGCACATTGGCAACTGCTGTCCCTTCGCACTTGCTGAGTACTCCCCCCCAGTTGAGAGCTTACCGGTCTTCGCGGCTAGCGTCTTCTGCCTAAATATCGTGCTCTTCAAGTCCTTCCCATGAAAACCTGGGCAGCACCAGGCGAAGTAGGGGCACGCAAGCATGTCATGTTTAGCGTAAGCATATACCAAGGAGCAGCAGCGTCAGGCGCAAGGCTGACACCAGCACAGGCCAGCTGTGAATGCTGTGCCCATCCCTAACACGCCATGCACGGGGTGCGTCCCATCGATTAAACCCGACCATCCTCGGTCGCTGCGAGAAACCCAAACGGACATGGCAGCCGTTAAGCTTTGCAACTCCACAAGTCCAGTCCGAATCTTCACACTACAATACCTGACTACAACAACCTGGAGCCGCTGAGCTTCCAATCCTGCAAGCACCCTTACCCAAAATTACACATTTCCAGCCCCTTCCTTCCTCACCTGCCTGCGGCTGCCCTCGCTGTTGGGATTGCGGCGGTGCGGCAGCAGGAGCCAAGCCAGCCGCTGGCCCCGTGGTTGTGGCCTCGGGTCCTGGCTGCTGCTGCTGCCGCTGGCCGCATACCAGGCGCGCAGGTTCAACAGCGTGCAGCGGTGCCGTCTGCGGAATCATAGACAGAGCGGGCGCGCCCAGCAAGCCGGCAGCCGACTTGAGCACCCCACAACCTCGAAGCCCTCCTGCCCGCCCGTCCTGTAGGCCCGGCAGCCTGACGTGCTCAACCCCTCCGCGTTGCTGGCCCGCTGACCCCGGCGGCTGCCCGCTTAGGTACTGGCGAGCGCTGGGGTCCAGCAGCTGGCCGCCTCCCGCACTGCCAGCCATGGTGGTGGTGGTGTGGGAGGTACCAGCGGCCGCGGCTGCCGCCGGACATGCCGCCGGTGCTCTGATGTCGTCAGCCATCGCGGCGAGGTCTCCATGTGGGGATGTACGGGCCAGGTCCAGAGCTGCAACCCTCGGCCTAGCGCCGGTTGCGGTGCCTGCTTCGTGCTTTGAACCCAGCGCCTGCGCCTGCGGAGCTGGGGCAAACTGTGATGCTGGCTGCTGTCTCTGCTCCAGGGCAGGCGGGATGAACTGCTGGCTGCTGCCGTTTGCCGCCGCGTTGAGGCGATTCTTATGGTAGTACGAAAAGGCGGGGGCGGGCTGAGGTTGATTTGCTGGGGCAGCCTGGTGCTTGGAATGGGGTGATCTCGTGCTGCCGCATGCATGCGCCACAGCAGCCGAGCCCACGACAAGGTCAGGGCTTTCCAGGATGCCGACGCCCCGCCAACTGCCAACATTGTCGTCGAGGTCATTGTCCTCCTCATCTGCCGCATCGCCGGCAACGTCAAGAGCGACTGCGTCGCTCGGTTGCCGCTGGCGTGGCGCTGTCGGGGCAACGGCTGCGGCCGACCCGTGAGCCTGTTGGGGAGCAGTGCGTGCCGGGCCGGGGAGGGAGCTTACAGGGGCGGGACAGGAAGAAGCGGGGAGGCACGACGGATTAGGGCTATATTCCTTTGAGTAGCAGTTCCAGCTGACGGGAATACGTTGTAAAGTGCATGGGAGTGGTGTATAGATTGAAATTTATTGAAGCACTAAGAGAGATTGAAGCGTAATGTGTTACAAGTTATGACAGCGGTATGAAGCCATATTGGGGCATCGCGTACTGAATCTTGTCCAATCGCTGTTTTTGATGGCAACGGATGGCTCCATCATATGGGCGCCGAGTATGGCTGAGCAGCGTAAGCCTGGTAAACTACTGGGCCATAATCACATAAATCCCTAACTTTAACCCATGAAGAAAACTGTCTATACGTAAAACCAGTTCCCACCCAGCCCATAAGCCACGGAGATCACTCCAGCATGGAATGCACACGCAAGTTAAACGCCATGCACCCCGACCCCTGCCCCTACCCACGCAACCGAGCACGGAACCGCATATACGGATCGTCCGTAAACCCGAACCCAACACTTGCTGTATATCACAACCACTAAGACCTAGCGCTTTCGCCCACGACGCTCAAACACCTTGCGCTGCGGCTGCTCGCAGCGGGATGCAAGCTCTTCTTGGGGAAGGATAGGCTCACGCACCTCCATTGGCGACCCGTCGCCATCAAACCAGCGCTTGTGCGTGCGGACGACGGGCCGCTGCTGCTGCTGCAGCGGCGGTGGCGGCAGCGGTGGCATCAAGCCCTGCGCCTGCTGCTGCGCCTGCGGGTCCTCTTCGACATCTCCCGAGGAGCCGAGTAACCCATCTTCCTGCTCCCAGACGCCCGCTGCGCCCGGCGACTGCGTATCCTGCGCCGTCGTTGGATGCTGAGGAGGGTTGCCTTGCTTGCGGCGTTCATGGCGGCTGTGTTTGTGGCCGTGGTGGTGGCGAGGGTGATCATGATGCTGGTCGTCGTGGTGGTGGTGATGGTGACGATTGCCACGGTGATGACCATGGTGGTGCTGATGGTGCTGCTGCAGCTCGAAGTCGTCCTCACCCTCCTCGCCCTGATGCATGTCGATGGCGCCGTCACCACCACCGTCCTCACCACCGACGTCGGCACTCCCCGGGACAAAGCCATTCGCCAGCAGCACCTCCACCTGCATGCCCGCCTCGCCAGCCTGGTGCCCGCCTGATCCGCCGGCACCCATGACCTCCTCCTGCGCCGCTGCAGCCGCCACAATGATGTCGGCTGCTGCTGGTGCGTCAGCGCCCTCCTTGTTGCGGCGGTATCGGGAGCCACCCGAGGGCCCCCGCTTGTGCTTTCGCTTTCCAACGTGGTCTTCTGAACCCTGAAGCGCACCGCACACCTCCGCACCGATGCCCTCAGCCCTTTGCGCAGCAGACGTCGAAGCAACCACCCCATGGGGCAGTTCTTCGGGATCTTCTTCTTCCTGCGCCTGGCTTGGGCCTTGGGCCATCACCGCGTGTGCTGCTGCAACCCCTCCCGCAGCCGGCGGTAGCCTGCCGCCAGCCGCTACGCCGGGCTGAGCCGCCTCTGCACCATCTTCCCGGCCACGTACCACCTCCTCGTGGGCTTGAGGGCTCGGTTTCACGACAGGGGCCGGCGGGGAAGCGCCTGCCAGCATAGGACAAGAAGTGCAAGAGAGGCAGCGCAAGGTCAAATGTCTTCATTGCTGCAGGAACCGAAGGGTGTGAGAACACACTGGCTGGGGCGAGGTTTAACGAGAGTTCAACCCATCGTTGTTTCGATGCACCTGTACCGTGTAAGGCCACGCCCAAGAACGCGTCACCTGTAGGCGCAACATACACATCATGCAAACCACATGGGGGTGGATGGGCAATTAGTATGACGTATGGTCCCTTTTACTCTTACCTGCATTCTGGGTCATCGTCGCCTTCACCGCGGACTTCGTGCGCCTCCTGGCGGTCTCAACGAGGGGAAACCTGCAAGGACGAGCGTGGAGTGAGCGCATTACGTGAGCACCCAACATGCCCCTCTGCGTTGCTTGCTCATTTCGCTCCTCCCTCCCCTCCTCCCGGCGCGAGGGTAGCACTTTACCCAAACACGTGATGGAGACGCGACGGAAAACACAGAGACATGTCCCTAGAGGCTCACATACACCTCACCCGCAGAAATGGGTAAGGCTCCTGCTGCCACTGCCCCCGCTGCCCGCCACGCGGTGCTGCTGCCCTTGCTCTCCCCCCTGGTGCACAGCCGGCTGCTGCGGCTGCTGCGGCGCGGGCGGCTGGGGCAGCGGCGCGGGCGCCGGCGGCTTGCTGTCTTCCTCCATCAGCTCAACATCCGGCCCTCCGTCCTCGGCATCCGGCCCTCCGTCCTCGGCATCCGGCCCACCCTCCACGTTACCACCCGGCCCACCATCCACATCCATGGCCTCCGGCTCATCCGGCTCCTGCCCTACCGGCTCCTGATCCTCCCCAGCACCCTGAGCCTCGGCATCCTGGGTAGCCGGAACAGTGTCGATGTCTTCCGCGGTCACCGCCGCCGCCGCCGCCACCGCCTCCTCCTCCTCATCCGCCTCGTCCTCCGTAACCAGGGACTCCTCCTCATGCGTCTTTGCCTGCTTCTGGGGCTCGGCCTGTTGTTGCTGCTGCTGTGACTCGGCCTGCTGCTGCTGCTGTTGTTCCTGGGGGCCGTCCTCCTCCTCATCCTCGCCCTCCTGCGTCTTATCGGGGCTAGCCAGGTCGACCACCGCAGCAGCCGGGTCGCTGCCGGCCGCAGGAGCCGCCGCGGCACCGCTGCCAGGATTCGCCAACTGGAGGGCAGACAGGGGTAGGAAGCAGGGCAGCAGTTAGCACGGGAGAATGCTGCGCCCACATTACTACTAGGAAGCAACGCCGTATGATCCAGGGGTACATGCATTGCCCAAGTTTACCACCATTTAATAACCTCCGCCTCTCCCTCCCTAGGTTTCCTGCCGTACCTTGCGCCGCTTGTTCCCGCCCCGGTTCCAGTCGGGTAGCGGCCCAGCCTCCGGGGGCGTGTAGCCGATCTCCTTGGCCTGCTTGCGGGTCAGCCTCTGCCGCGGCGACGCGGTCTGCAGCACATCCTCGGGGTTCTCGATGGGGCCCTGCAGCCGGGGCGCACAGGGCAGGCAATAGCGGGGCAACAGCACGTAACAAGCAAGATACACCACCTGCTAGATGATACTACCATCAGGGACCAGTAGCCTGCTCTTACGCGGGCAGCTGCCGCTACAATCCGCTACGAGTTCTGCTTCATAATGCGCACAATGGATATCCAGACCCCGCCCCAGCAGCAATGCTTCGTGCGCATCCGCACAACTACGCCGGGCCGCGCCAGGCGGCCAGCAACGCATCAGCCGCCCCCCCCCGCATCAGCCGCCCCCCCCCCCGCATCAGCCGCCCCACCCCAGCGCACCTCGCCCTCGCCGTCCGAGCCGCTGGACAGCACGTCATCATCGTTGACAGGCTCCGGCTCGTTGGGCCGCTCCGTCACGTAGCTGAGGTACTTCACGGGTGACAGGTAGCGCACGCCCAGCCTGCAGGCGCAGAAGGCGGCAAGGAGAGGGGGTCGAGGAGTGCATTAGCAGTAGCGCAAGCAGAGCATACCTCACGTGATGCCAGCCATCTGGTATTGGCTGGCCAGTAATGCACTCTCCAACCATGTCTTCAGCGTCTTCCATACATGCAAACCGCAGCAAGTCCCACCCTGTTCCATGGCAGCTACATCCCGCAACCCCCAAACACGCGACAGCACCAAGCAAGAACAGCACCCCCACACCACCCCTTGCAGCACTCCACTAACCGTTCAGGCTTGCGCTCGTACTCGTCCACCACGCCCTGCGCCACGCTGCGGCGCGCGTCCTCCGGCGGCAGGCGGCCCAGCATGAGCCCGCAAATGAAGGCGCGCAGGTGGTCGCGCAGGCGGCCGGCGTTGCTGGGCTGGAACCAGTCCTTCTTGAGGAAGGTGTTGGGATTGGCCGCCTCCGGCTTGGGCTCGACCGCGTGGACGTCTGCAAGGGGAGAGAGAAACGGGTGGACGAAAACCAGGATGGGCGAAAGTGCCGTGACAAATTCCAGCAAGTACAGGTTCCGGTGGCACATGTACCGGTGTATGAGTTGCGAGAAGGTGAGAAAGCTACGCAATAGCGGTGCGTAAAGGGCAGTTAGCATGCCTGCCAACGGGGTCTACCGCGACAACTGATTGGCACACGCCGACCCTTGCGGGCCCCCATGCATCAGCCCCAAACCTTTCCCCCCAGCCACCCTCTATCCCTCTCCGGCAAGCGGCAACCCACCTTTGGCGTTGCTGTCCTGGATCACAATGCACGCGGGGTTACCCGCGATGAAGAACTCCATGTAGGTCAGCAGGAACAGCCCGCAGTCGTGGCTGTTGGTCTGCTTGGGCAGCCGCGACGTCAGCCGCACCCCCGGCAGCCCCTGGGGGGTGTCAAGCGGCACGGCGGGCGGCTCCTGGCCGGCGCTGCGGAAGCGCTCAGCCCAGCGGCGCGGCACCGAGTCAAGCGTCTCGTCGGCCATCAGTTTGACCCACTCGTGCCGCAGGTAGGAGCGGAGCGCCTGGAAGACAGGCTGGGAACCGTGGCTGCCTGCTGGGAGGGAAGTGCGTGCGTGCAGGAGGAGGGGTGCTTAGTATTGAGAGCGGTACGAAAGGTGCGGTGTTGAAATGGTGGTACAGTGTAGGAGGCTGCGTCAAGAGAGAGGCCCTATAAGAAGGCGACAAACAAGCTGCACGATTACATGCAAGGTCCCTGCCGGCCAGCCAAGCGCGTACCTCAACCCCGGCCCCAGCCCCACCTTCCAGAGAGTCCAGGTGCAGCATCACGGGCATGCCCGCCCCCGCCGGGCCCTTCAGCCCCTCTGCCCCCGCCGCCAGCCCCGCGCCCTTGGGCGGCGCGTACGCTTTGTCCTGCACCACGTTTGCGGGGTGGCAGATGAGCACCAGCGACCAGTGCAGCGCGTCATGCACCGGCACGAAGATGTAGTCCTTGGAAAACAAGTCGAAGCCCTGCGGTTGGGCGAGAGAGGAAGAACAGGGAAGGCAAGCAGAGCGTACATGGCCACGTGGGCGAATGAGCATACCGGTATTAGCGGATGGAGGATACGGACGGGTTGCCGCATAATCCTTATTGTGTCTCTGAGGGGAAGCAAGGAGACAGTACCAAGGGACACGAGGCCTAGACCGGCGTATCCCAGAGGAGTGGCCCAGCCTCCTACCTTGGTCCACTTCTTGACCCGCTCGTGGTTCTGCCGGTTTCGCTCCTCCGCCTTGGCTTGCTTGCCTTGCTGCTTCTCCATCAGCTTCTTGAGGAAGAAGGTGTTGAAGATGTGGTAGCGCGCGCGCAGCTCCTCGGGCAGCTGGTGCTCCAGGAACCTGCGGGGCAGGCAGGCAGGGGGGACGGCAACCGTCCTGGTTGCATAACTGTACGACTGCAGTTTGAAAGACCTTAAGGAAAGGGCTTGCCATAATTAGCAACTAAGCGTTGGGGGCTGAGGAATGGACAGAAGCATGAGGTAAAGGTTGCGACCGAATAAGAAACCAGGGTTGCGTGAGAACCTGGTTGCTTTTAAACGCTAGCGCCATGTCAGTCTTAAGGACCTCCCTACCCCATCCTAGCTGCCAGGGTTTGAGCCCCGGGCTCTGGACAAACACGCTCCAGAAGCACGGCAACGGGCTCTATCCCCCTAAACCTTCCCACCTTAAACCCCATGCACCCCTCACCAACCCGCCGCCTCTCCCGCCAACCCACTTGGTGTAAACGTCGATGCAGGTGTCGTTCAGGAACTCCCCCTTCTCCAGCCGCGCCAAGTCCTCCCCGTTCACCTCCACGCACTGCTTGCCGCCCTCCGGAGGGTAGCAGCACTTCAGCCCGGACAGCTGCAACGCAAGGGTGCGGAAGTCGTGCATCACGACCGACCCGCGGCTACGGCGGGCCGCCCGTGTCGCCCGTGTTGACCCCGCAGCCGCGGCGGCGGCGGCCGTCGATGAGGGACCCGGGCCGGCGGCGTTGGCGTCGCCTTGGCCCCCCTGACCCCGCTCCCGAGCGGTACCAGCAGCAGCAGCGGCAGCCTCTTCATCGCTGCTGTCCACCAGGTCGATTGGCGCCTGCGGGGAGGCAGCACGGTGTCATGAGTACCGGGGTGGTTAGGTCCAAAGCCATACTACGTTGTTGCGCAGGAGCATCAGGTCAGGACCGACCCATACTGCAAAAAAGCGCAGCTGGCCAACCATCAATGCAAAAGGAGGTTTTAGGCCTAGCGTGGGGGATTTATCTACAAGCAGTGCATATATATACATTGGTCCAACATTGGTCCAAACTAACAAGTAGCGAAGACCCGATACCAACAGCAATCCTGGCCGTGCAGCTGTAGGAGCGCTTCCCCGCAACGTCCCTTCTCCTTCCCCAACGCCATGCCCCAAAACACACATGGGGGACAGCTCACCTGCTCTTCCACAGTCGGCGGAACGGAGCGCCGCTGCCCAGCACGGCCTCGCAACGTGCCGGCGCGCGGAGGCGGCTCGAAATCCTCATCTGGGTCGGACTCCCGCCCTTTGGCGCCCTGGGATCGCAGCTGCTGCTGCTTGCCCTGCTGCTCCGGCTGCGGTTCAGCGGCCCCCCTCCGTGGCCGGCCTGCGACGCCTGCTTGCCCAGATCCGCCTGCGGCTGCACTACCGGGGACGGGCTGATAAAAGTTGAGCGCCGGTAACCTGCTCGGCTGCGTCTTGCCGTTGGGCGGTGGCAGCGCTCCTGGTGCCGAGTCCTTGGCGCCGAGGGGCTGCTGCTTCAGCGAAGCAGGCTGCGGAAACCATCCAGGAGGAAAGGCATTTTTCACGAGGGTTGCCTGGCGGGGACGGCAGGGCAGCAGTAAAAGGGTGCATGCTGCACCACGCACTTGCGCACCGGTACGGGTTGCACATTAACGTGTCCGCAGGGGTTGCCAACCGCGCAACCGCTAAGGATTAAGGAAGCGTCATCTGTCCATAGCATGGGGCCCACCAATGGGTGCTCATGTACCTCATGCATACACGTCTCTCTACCTCGGCCTCACTTACCAGAACGCGCCTACTGCCAGCTTGCCGTCCGGATTGCTGCTCACGCCGTTGGTTGGCCCCATCCAACGCAGCCTGCTGCTGCGACTGACATTCCTCGCATGCGTCCTGGCCCTGTGTCACCCACATTCGCATTAGCTAACGTAAACTCGAGCGGACGAAACACCAAGCTCGAACAACCTGCCGCCCCACCGCCCTTGTACGACTCACCTCAGCGCACGGCTTCTTGCAAAGACAGCACTCCCTGCAAACGCAGACACACCAGGTCATTGTGTTGCATCCGCACTGCCTTCTTAGTGATGGCACACCTACCACTGTGGCGCAGGCGCGCCCAAGCCCCCAGGCGGTGCACACGCCGCCGGCTTCGCAGCTGCGAACAAATAATGCAAGGTGAACCTTAATTTATAGACAAGTGGATGACAGCTTGAGGTGTTCATGGGATAACAGGGGCATGGGGCATTGCGGAAGTACGCAGCGTGCGCAATTGCATGTATGGTTGTAGCGACAAGACATGACGGCCACCATGGCCAGCCCCGCGAGAAGCAAGGGGAATCGACACCCCTCTCACCTTGTACCGCTGCTAGTTGCCGTACCCCGGGCGACTTCCCCTGTGGGACAGAAGGCAGCGTCATGACACCTCTGAGGGGACTGTAAGCAGGGGAACCTCGTGCTATCCTTATGCAGCCCCAAGAGCCTCACCGGGGGAAGCTGACGAAACGCGCTTCTTGCTTGTGGCCCTTGCTGGAGCAGGAGCTGCCCGGCAGCAGCAGCGCCATCACCCCTGCTTGCTAACTGCTGAAGCTGGTTCTGACAGGCCTGCAAAGCAGAGCACCTGTGCTCTCTAGGGACTGGCTTTAGTTCAGGGGCCAAAGCAAGCTTACCTGATTTACCCATCCGCTGCTCGGCTCCGCTTTTGGCTCCGGCTTCGCCTCTAATTCCCGCCAGCGCTGCTCGTAGAGCAATTTTTTTACTTGCACGTGCAACAGCCCGGGATCTACCTTGATTTTAGGGTCGAGAAGCAATTTAACCGTTTTCTCAAGTTCTTTCTGCAACGCGCTGCTTGTCAATATCTTGTTCGGCCGCCTTGCATCTAGCTGTTCCCTTGATAGCTTGCTTATTTCCTCCTTGTATCGCCGGTATTCCTCCTCAACTTCTCGTTTTGGTGCCATCTCCTTGGCTTGCCGGGACAAGGCGCCAACGTAGAAGACCAGGACCGCGCCAGCGCCGGTCACCAGGCTGTCTACGACATTTCTCCTACAGCGAGACCCCTTCGGAATTCAGTACTGCGACGGCATCCCACGACTATTGGCGGACAACTAATTTAGGCCTAAGGATTGCGCATGACTCTGAATATGCTATACATGGATGAAACGTGAGCGAGTTGTTACGTACTATTGTGTTTTTAAGCGCAAGTTTGGATTGTCACTAGCGCCTAACAGTAACAGTGAAGAGCGGTAATTAAAGAAAAGAGTATCTACAAGTACTGATAAGGAACAGTATACACATACTGGGGAAGAGTCATATACCATGTATGCTGCATCGTGCTATGTGCTGTGCACCACTGCCGTACATGGTGCTTTCAGAAGTGTGGAGAGCGGCACGCGTTTTGCATTAACTGCCCAAGTAAGCCCTGACAGCATAATCTCATATGTCCTTCTTATGCCGTGCTCCTTTCTGAGCTGCGCATTTGACGACATTGTTGCTTATGCTGGATTGCACTGCCTACAGTCAATCAATCACTTTGTTTACCAGTAAAAACAGCTGGTGGCGTAGTGCAGGGCCGTGTGCTTGGTGAAGCGCCTGCACTAGGGACGGGCTGTGGACATTACAGTAGCCTAGCGGCTGTGGGTTCGGCATACTGCAACGCCCAAGGGTTCATTTCGCGCGCACGAGGGTAATCAACCAATGTATGAAACCATATACCATATAGCATCGCCATGCAAGGAAGTGCACGGCCCTCTCCTCCCGTGCCTTGACCTGCTCATCGTACTTACAGGGCTCCCAAGCGCATGACACTGCACGATTCATCACATGCAGCTAGACGATACCCCACCTGTAGGCCACCAGCACGCCATACATTTTGCCGGAAAGCAAACAGCCCTTTGAGGAACAATTCCAGCTTACACAGCATGGTTACCCACACATGCACTCCTCGCTACAAATCGTGAGACCTTCTGCGAATCCACTTAGCATACCATCGAATTCCTTCGTAGCACTTGCCTCCCACCCCACCCCACCACATCGCTGCTCATAGCGATCACGTGTTGCATGCAAGTGCACACCGCGCCGATGTCACACAAAGCACGGATTCCTTTGTAAGATTGTTACGCTGCTGTTACTAAATCGTGGCATGTTCCCTCTTGACGGCCGTGGAGTTCACCATCGCAGCGGTGGGCTGTGCTAGTCCTTGCAGCAGCGCAGGAGCAGCAACAGGTAGCCGACACACCCGGACCCTCTCTGTATGCATGGATTCGCGGGGCTCTGGTTACCGTGTCCAGTTCAGCAAACCGCCCTGATGCTAATGTTTATGCGGGCGCAGCGCATGTAGGCTTGTACGGCGCTGTCAGTACCACCTGCCGTACCCGCCACCCCGCCGTCGCGGGCGGCTCCTGGCTGGCAGTCGTCGAGTGGTTCCAAGATCCTGGGCACCCCTGCATGGTGGAGGTTGAGCCAGGCGGCAGGGCGGGCATGGAGCGGAAAGGTTAAACGCAGGGGGCTGCAATAAGGCGTCTTCCCATGCGGGGAAGGAGTGTGGGATCACAACTTAGGGAGGTCCGCCAGTCAGCACACGTAAGCTCATCTGCAGCACAAGCTCACCATTCCTAGTACGTGTAACGGCTCACGCCTCCTTCCAACTCCACGTCCACTCCCACACCCCCCTAAACCCCACACCCCTCCTCTAGCATCCACAGCGCTGCCCCCCTGTCCTTCTCCCCCCCTCGCACCGTGGTAGCACCTCCTCGCCTGCCCCGCCAGCACCAGCACGTCCCCTCCCCGCAGCAGCAGCGCGGTGGGGGGCTGCTGCTTGCTGGGCCCCCCCATGAGGAAGACAGCGGGGCAGCCCAGGCTGACACTCACGATGGGCTGACCCATGTCGCGCTCCACGTCGTCTAGGTGCCCGCCCAGCACGTCACCTAGCCGGGCGGCGGCAGCGAGGAGGTGGATCCAAATACAAATTGAAGTTATCATGTTGCTTAGGTTCGCACTGGTTCAAGGGAGGCATGGAGAAGAGCACAACCAAGCAGGGTGCCTCTGCAAGAGACAGGCATACACCAGGTCATGCAGGCATGGCGTCAGCATACGGCTAAATGACTGCATTGAAGCCTCCCTTTCCTTGCCTTGCTGGTAGAAGTTCACGATCGCCGCGTCGGGCTTGTACTCTCGAAACACTGCGGCATTAGCTGGGTGGGAGAAAGGACAGCAGCAGGAGGGGGTCAGCCAGTCCGCCTATATAAACTTAGGACAGCTGCAAATGCTGTCCCGAACACCGAAAGCAACTTGCTATCATGCAAGCTGCACTGTCGCAGTGACAGCCGTACCTGCGAAGCCACACGTTTACCCGCATCAAACTCTCGCCGAACAACCCCACCCCATTCGACGCCACTCAGCGCCATCGCCCTCCCGAAACTCCACGCTTCCTCTCTCAACAACGGTTAAACGCTTAATTTCCTCCTCTTCACACTCCACGCAGCGGTCGCCCACCTGAGGCGGCAGCTGCAGCCCCATCCGCCGCAGCAGCAGCACCTGCCAGCGTCTCTGCTTCCCGTGCCACACGGGCCATCCGCAGCGCTATGGACTCCAGGGAACCAGGCAGCGGCCTGCATGACACGGGGCCGTGGTGGTTGGGGTTGGAAGGCGTTGAAAGGAAAATGGATGAGGGCTTACATTCACGAGTGGAATGTCAAGGCCTTTGCAAACACCAGCCATCTGGGTGCTCGACTTCCAATTGGGTGCTCCCCGTTCATCTGGGTCAACCGTGCTTTCCTGCTGTGGGCCGGGTCTCCCCCGCCCCCACCTGTACGCGCGTGTGAAGTCGTACTGCCGCTCCGACCAGTCAAACTGCGGACCCAGGGTCGCCCACCGCAGCTTCCGCATCAGCTGCTCGGCAGCGGGACCCGCACCCCCCGCACTCCAGGCCTCCTCAAACGAGGGCACCGAGCAGCTGCCGCCGCCGCCGCTGCTGGCGGCGCCGCAGCCCCCAGCGCTGCATGCCTGGCCGCTGCATGCATCCCCTTGGCTGCAGGCGCGGCTCGCAGCGCATGTCACTCTGGAGGCTTCCAATGGGGCCCCGCCGCTACCACAGCACGACGTAGAAGCAGCGTTGCTATCATGACCGCCGTCGTTGCCTTGCCGCACGCAGCCCTCCACTCCTTCACCCCCATCCTCCTGCCCTCCCGCACAGCTCCTCCCAGCCCCTCCGGCATGGCAACAACCGGACTGCGCCTCCGCTTGCGTTTGGCCACCCTCCTGCTGCTGCCGCCGCTGCTGCAGAGGCGGCTGCGGGTGCAGGCAGCGTTCCGACTGTTGGTCCTGATGACACCCAAGGGGGCGGGGTGCGGATGAAGCAGCCGGGCAAGGGGAAGCTGACACCGCAGCAGGAGCAGCAGCAGGAGCAACAGGGGCAGAGGCAGCAGCACCGGCAACCCCACCACAGGGCGCTGCCTGCAGAAGAGGCTCCGCCTTCGGCTGCTGCTGCTGCTGCAGTACGGCAGGCTCGGGGTAGCGGTGCGGCTTGGGCGGGACGCAACCCACCCGCCGACCAGCGCCTGCAGCACGGGGGGAGGCGGGGGAGGAAGGAACGAGGGTAGGGAGGCACGTGATGCGCGCATGTGCAGTGTCTCAGTACAAGTCAGGGATGGCCTTGGAGCTCACCAGAAGGGGTCACGAAGGGGTTGCCTTTTCCTTAACCGTATTGTCGTCCCCCAGCTGCCCCCAGCCCCCACCCCCCAGCATTCTGCAACCCCAGCCAGCTCCACCCCTCACCCGCCCGAGGGTCGTCTCTGCGGTCCCAGTTGAGCTTCAGCCCCGCCTGCGCCGCGCGCCATAGCCCGGGTAGAGGTCCGTACTGCAGCTCATGGTTGGTGCGGGCGGGCGGGTTGGGGAAGTCAACCAGGGAGGCCGCGGTGAGCTGCTGCTGCTGCGTGGAGGAGAGAGCGCCGGGCAGGAAGACTAAGCCTGCGGGGGGGGATCAGGGAGGAGGATCACAGGAGTGTGGTGGTAGGACGGTGAGCATGGGGGCTACAATGGAAGGCGGCATGTCGGTTTACTAGCCATAGTTTGTATGTGACTGAGGTGCGTGGGGTTTAGGTTGTTTAGGGAGTGAGGTGGGAAGAGCGGAACATGATCGCACCTGGATGCGCTGCGAAGGTGTACACCGGGCCTTCGTACCCTTGCACGTCATGGCGGGTGAGGCCCACGCGCATCGCAACATCAGATGTGCTTTGAATGTCCAGCACATCGCTCATGTCAGTAGGGCGTGTTATCATCTTGCCGGGCCTAAGCTTGCCGCCCCTGCAATTATGCAAAGCTGCAGCCATCGCTGGCATACGCGCGTGCATGTTCAATTACAAGGACGCACTTCATCTTCATTTTCCGCTCTCGGTGGAGCTGGTATTTCTTTTCCGCATCCCTGAAAGCGGTGCGCGCGTGCACTCCATCCTCCGCGTCTACTTCTTTAGTGTAATCCATTGCCGATCCTCGTCTTGGAAAACTAACAAATGATAAGATGTTACGCGGTTGCGCGTAGAACTGGCAAGCAGAAGCGGCTAGCTCTACTTCCCTACCCAGGATAGTGCCTGGCGTCTACTAGCCTAAAGACGATACCGGTAGTTCAAGAAATATGTCACACGCATTGGTTAGACGTCACACAGGTCGAACGCTAACGCAACGGCATTATCATCGTCGACAGTACCACCACGCAGTAGCATAATCCAACCTTATCCAACTCATTGTTTCATCGCAAGTGAAGTTCTACTGTGCACAACTTTATCCAAGGAGAAGGCAGAAGAGCGCATGTTCGGCGCCCCCGGGGTCTGTGGACCCGTGTGAAACCAGACACCTCCGTTCACTAGCCTCCTCGTTGCAAGCGGCAAGAACATGGTAAGCTTGGGAACGGGTATGAGACCAGTATTAGTTGCAAGCGTTGGGACATTTTGTACTCCTTTGTGCTTGCATGTGGGTGGGGCGTGTTGTACGCCTGCACGCGTCCCTCGCCCCTGAGGTCTGACCCTTGGAGTGTCACTGACGCTCTTAGCGCTAGATCTTTCATATACACCTTTCTCAACCTTGTGCCTCGGCCTTTCCTCTGCAGGACGCGCTGGAGGCCATTTCTTTGGATTGTGCCGTACTCGATTCCCTTTCTCTTCCACCTGCCTGACCAGCGGGGTGTGGAACTGCAGCGCCCTGGGCCGTTCGTCACGCTGTACTGTAACGGTTGGTGCAAATACCTGTGCGTACAAAATTGGTTGACCTCAATCGGCCTGTGCATGTGTATGTGTTCCCTATCAAGAGCCAGCGATGAGTACAAGTCGACAGCCACGCTAGCAAGCTCAGCAGCCTTCACGAACATGCAATGGCACGCAGCCTCCAGGAGCTAGGAAAGGGGCCGGCGGGAAGGGGAAACTGGCGGGGGGACGGGCAGGTAGGGAGGAGTGAAACGCACAAGTGGCACACGTTTGCGGCTCAAGTATGCCCGCCAAGACAAGATGTGTTATGTGACGGACGGCCCATCTAGGCCTCGTACGTCTACCAGACCGAAGCGATCTCATGGCCTGCCCAAATGGGTGTGCGGCATGGAGGGCTGACGGTGCTGCTCATCTTCAGTACTCCACCGACAGCGTTTTTTGGGTGGTGGCGGATCAGACTTCTCTTCTTCGTTAACAGCTGCCTCATTGGTGCCGCTACCATGCCTTAATTCTTTACCAATATTGCTCATGTAAATAAAGCCCTGTAGTTGCGTCTTGGTAACATTGGCAAATCGCGAGTCGTTCCTCAAGCTTTCTGTTAAGTGCTTGACAGTAAGTCTTCCATTGTCTACAGCTATACGTTCTGCAGCTTGTTGCAACGCAAGCAGTTGGTCATCAGTCCAGTGGCGTTTGCCCATGCTGCTTCATAGCAACACATTAACAACATAAGTATTCTAACGGTACTGTGAAGGCTTCCTTGTGCATAACTACAACGACTATCCGTGATCAACAAGGGATGCCAAACAGCAACTGTAAGAAAGCACGTGTACGACCGCCCCTTTCCGAACAGCAACGTTGCACCTAAACAACAGACAACAGGAAAACACGTAACGTAGTTGTTTCGAACATTCAATGATCCAAACCATTTTACCAACCTCACTTCCATTACCCATAACAATGTTGTCTGCGCGTGATAACAACTGTTCTTCTAGATTCCGTGGCTTACACATAGCAATAGTTTGGAAACATTGTCAATGTTATGGCTTCGTGCGCGATGTTGCCTAAGTAGGAAATTTTGTAAGGACCTTAAGTCCCGGTATTACCTATGGCTTTTTCCTTGCTTCCACGGCGCGGCCTATCGGAGCGCCTAGAACCAAGGGCAGGCCAAACACGATTGGTCAGTATGGACTCTTTACTGGTTGGTCCTCCAGTGTAATCCTCGCTTCCTATTCACTCAAGAAGGATTGAAGCATCGCAAGCACAGGGGCCAGCCAGCCTCGAGGTAGGGTACAGCAGCAGTGCGTTGCCCTTTCTGGCTAAAACATGCCACCCAGCAGTCCTGGGCTCCTAAGGGACACTACAACACTGGCAATGTAAGGCACACGCAATCAAGCAACCGTCGGCGCAACTCCATCATCAACCCAACAGGTAGGGCCCACACACATACGCCCGACATCCCAGTACGTTCCTACTCGCGGCCAGTTTCCTTAACATACGCCCCACACATACAGCAACGAGGCATCCTGTGCAAGTACCGGTAGGTCTCAGTGTGAGTACCACCACCGCTTTGGAGCAGGTTTGCTGTCTCCCCTTTCCAACCCCTCTGTTGCTCCGCAGCAGCATGGTGGACATCATCACAACACTGCTGGCATGCACCTTCCTCCCCACCTCGCTCACTCCTCCTTACTTCGACAATAAACTATGAAGAGTCTTTGGACGAGCAGCAAGAGCTGCAGCTGCAAGGTCCTGAGCAACCCTCTCAGCCATCGTTTTCGGGGTTGGGGCGGCAGGGCTTACTGGGACAGCCGGGGTTGCGGCGGCATGGCTTATTGGGAAACCCGGGGTTGTGGCAGCAGGGCCTACTGGGAAGTCCGGGTTGGGGGCAGAAACAGGGTAGGCAGGCGAGAAGGGCAGGCAGGGGCGCATGCTGGCAAGGGAAGGAGAAGTTACCATTCTGGTCTGGCCTTTCCATAAACCCACTCGCCCTCCTCTCACTCCACCTCGCCTCCCTCCCGCCCTACCTCAGTTGGCCCCAAGGACACCCCCGCCCAGGTGACTCGCCGCGCCTCCTACACCCCTGCTGCCAGCTTCCCCTTCCGCCCCCGGCTACTGGAGAGCATCTGGGCGGACTTGCACCCACCGGAGCTGGAGGAGGGGCAGAAGGCGAGCAGCAGCAGCGGCAATATTGGGGGTAGTAGCAGCAGGCAGCAGCAGCAGCAGTTGGGCGCGTGGGGCTACTTCACGCGGGCAACAGCAGCGGCAGCAGCCGGGCAAGCAGTGTTGGTGGGGGCCCTGCAGCAGCCGCCTCTCCTTGCATTGTCAGTGGTGGTGGGTTCGCATTGTCGGGTCTGATGCAGCAGCAGTGGGGTCGTTCGGCGTTGAGCGGTATGCAGAGAGCTGCAGCCAGGGGGTGGTGCTGGGGGCTCTGAGCTGGCTGTGGATGCCCTGGATGGGTTATTTAGGGGGAGGCGGAGGGAGAGGGAGGGGATAGCAGTGGGGGTGTTGGCGACATGGACGGTGTAAACGAGCAGGCGGGGTGTGGGATATGGACCTGCGTGCGATCGAGAGTGGGGCCCTGGGGGGCAGGGGGCTGGGCAAGGGAGTAAGGATCATGGAAGGGGCAGTGCGACGTTCAAACCTTTAACTGCTGTGAGCTGGGGTGTTTGGGCTGGGCCTGTAATCAAATGAATGGCGTCTGTACCAAAACAGTCTGCTACAAGATAGCGATAGTCCCTCCTTAGTCCATACTAGCCATTAAACATTACTGGGCTGTCTTGCTCAGCGACATAACCAAGCACTTACCCCATGCCGTACAACCAGCATGCATACAGTGGGTGAACCGGACAGACTGAGCCACCTACAACACTGCTGTCAAGCTGCAAGCGAGTAATGTACACGTGCGTAAGTACGGCATCGTATGCAAATCGTAGGTATGATAAGTACGGTAGTCCAAATAGCATTGAACAAAACACAACCAGACATTGGTCAGCGAACCCCAGCGCAAGTCCCACAGCATGAGACTCCTAAGGCAGCCGGCGTGACTCAAAGAACCCCCATGACCCCCATAACCTCAAGCAAGCCGAGTAAACACAGCACACGGGGAACATGGCAAGCACAGAAACAGTGCAGCCATGGATGCATCCCCAACACAACCATAACACACAGTGCAGCGCTCAGGAAGGGTATGACCTAACCTAAGGCACGCCTATGCTTCGTTCTTTCTGGGAGGTTTGTAGCTGATGACCTTCATGTTCCATGGCGCGCCCGCTCACCTAGCAAGTTTAGCGGGAGGGGGCATATCAGAAAGGAGGGCGCAGGAGATTAGGAACAGGTAGCAAGAGCAGCAGAGTTGCGTGGTTGGAAGCACGAGTAACAGGAGTAAGGCAGTACCGTACTATATCCTAAAGGTCGGAGACCATAGTCTACAAACGCTCACTTGCCAATTCGCTTTATGAAGCACCAGCATAAACACAACGCATCAAGCACAACACGCTCCGCCAACACCCTCTCACCCTGTGCATCATCTAGTTGTCGACCGGCGGTGCCTGATCGTCTGCTGTGTCGGGCAGCAGCATGGACGCCTTCTTCAGGAGCTGCTGCAGCTTCACAATCTGATCCTGCGGGGAGAGGAGGCATGTCATGGTTCGCTTGACGGCTGGTACCTAGCCCGCTCGCTTGGAGGGCTATGGCACACATTCAAGAGGGTGAGTTCATGCTACTCGCCACCCTCCGACCACCTCCTACCTCTTCCCCCAGTCTACTGCACCCCTCCTCCCCACCCGCAACCATGTTCGCTACCAGCCTCCCCTTCCCACCTTGTCCACCGGCCCCTCCATCACCACCACCGCCGCCGTCACCATCTTCTTCCCCTGCGCCGCTTTATCCACCTCGCCCTCCAGGTAGCTCTTGTCCCCCTCCAGCAGGATGTTCACCTTGTTGGCCTTGGGCTGTTTGCGGTGAAAAGGGGGTGCAAAAGGGGGGGTGCCTTTTGCACCCCCTTTTCACCGCAAACAGCCCAAGGCCAACAAGGTGAACATCCTGCTGGAGGGGGACAAGAGCTACCTGGAGGGCGAGGTGGATAAAGCGGCGCAGGGGAAGAAGAGGTGACGGCGGCGGTGGTGGTGATGGAGGGGCCCATTCAGACAGAAGGGAAATAATCCAAGCAGTGTTGCTACTCGTGTGGGTGTTGTTTTGGCTAGGCTTGTGGACCTACAGCGACATGACCCATGGGTCATTCGCAAACGGGGGCAAACAAACCCAGGGCGCGTTTGCCCTGTTACCTAGCCTGCCATGGGTGGGCGTATGTGCCAAGATGGCAAGCACAAGTGGCCCTTCGTTCATATGTCCCTTCTTACCGCCCCCAATCGACCAACCCACGTAACAACATGATTTTAGCGGTGGGTACTGGTATAACGCAATTTTTCGGACAGGGCATAAGGTCATTAATATGGTTTGGTAGCTTAGCAGGGCTTTGCGAGGTCAGCCAAGGCAGAGCCGCTTATAAAAACATCATATTCAAAGATGTTTCACGCGAATGCGAATGGACTCTCTGTCCGTCTCGCCCTAACAATATATCCCTGCAGCATATCGTTGCAAGGCATAATAGCGTATGAGAATTGCCGCAGCACACCTAGCCTTCTTTGTAGCTGCGCGAGCTTTCGTAGCGTCAGCCGGACGCTTCGCAGCAGCAGCAGACGCGCCGCGAGCGCTACCTCCCGCTTCTCTTCCTGGTGCGCCTCCTTTGTCCTGAACAGCAGCGGCAGGAACCTCGCCTTCCATAATAAATATAGCGGTAATCTAGAAGCTACCAAATAAATATAATGCAAACAGTACAGAGGCCCGGGATAACTTCAGAAAAGATGAGCGCGGGGCATGCGCCGTTCGCAATTCGCAAGTCCGTACGGCGGACTTTATGCCGCATGACGGTGCCGAAAAGAGGGAGGGAGAATACAGATAAACGATGGGGTTGTTCGTTTGTTCGCATAGCGGAGACCTGATAGCAATGCTTTAGTCAACCTTTGGAAAAGCTTAAGAGGTGCACACCATCATCCCCTGGCTTTGCTGTGTATGTTGTGCGGAAATTATGGAAATGTACAGCAAGGGGTGTGATTGATTGATTGATGTATGATGTTACATGGTGGGAGCCCTATCAGGGCTGTCACAGACCATGTAAGGTCTAAACGAGCCGGAGACCCATAGCCGGGTGTGTGCTTGTTGATCGCCCTAAACCCAACGTTTGTTCACACCGCTGAAATTGAACGGACGTACGGTACTGGAACCCTTCACTACGGAAACTTCGGAAAGCGGCAATGCTTGAACGTGCCATGGGTGTCTGGCCGTGTTCCTTACAGGGAACTTCGGAAAGCGGCAGTTGCCGGCAATTGCCGCTTTCCGAAGTTTCCGTAGTGAAGGGTTCCCTATAACGAACCGGCAATAGTTTGTGTAACGGCTAGCCAGTCGCCCGTCGCCTCGTGTCACCACCATTGACAACGGTAACCCTGCCCCTGTACTCACGCAGCTCCTCCTACCGGTAGCCTTGACAACCGCGTCTGCCACACGCCCGTCACACGCACAAAGACAAGAGCAAGTCTACTGCTATAATGCTTTCAAAGGGCCAAAGCCGTGTGTGCAAGCAAAAGCGTCCCCAAACCCGCGGCATACCATAACCACCGTAATGCACCTAGCTAAACCAGCTGCCCTTAGGCCGTGAGACGTGTGTCCCTGTTACAGCCGCAAACCCCTTACCTTGCCGCAGTCAAATGACCCCCCCCACCACCGGTGCTCAACAGAGCAGACCACCATCAGCGGCGCAGCTCTCAATCCAATGAGCTAGCCCTCCCCATCACCACGCCACTCCCCCTATCAAGCCCGGTTCTCCAGGTCCTTCACCTTACTTTCAGATCCGTATGATGCAGTAGTGCTCACTCGTAAGCACTCGTACAGACGATCAAGCTTGACATCCTTGTTGCCGATCTCGTACCCTCGTACCCTGTCGTACCCGGTTCCCTTGCCGTGCTCTGGCATGTGCGTGTGCTCCCTGCATGTGCGTGTGTGTGCATTGGGGCCGGGTTGGGGGGAAATGGGGGTTAGGGGGGAGATGAGGGTTAGGGTTCTGGGGGCTAACGTGTATGGGTTACTCTAATAGCGTCGTCCTGTGCAACGAAACCCGCTCGTTCCTGCGTAGCATCCCCACCTCCTTTCCCCCCCAAGTACCCACATAGCATTGCTCAGGTAGTCTGCCTCCTTGACCACGGGAACGCCCCCCCGCCAGAACAAGAAGAACAACAGGAGCAGCAATGTATGCTTACTGCCATGGATTAGAGTGAGACCGACACGTTTGTTCATCAGCCTGACCCATGGGTCATCTCCAACCAAACAACTGCCGTACAGTTATGCACCGTGGGGGCCGTCGTACAATAGATAGCTAAACAACGGCATAGAATAAAACGACGGCGGCTGGGCTACTACCCTCCTCTATCTGTCGTCCAGGACATTAAGCAACGTACGTGCACAAAGATAAGGTGACACAAGCAAGAGGAAGTAAGGGAAGAGTGTTTGCTAGCTAGTTAGATCACTTGCTTTGGACACATACACACACAGTTATTTTAACACACACAGTAGAGTAAGAGCGTTCACGTACACACACGGCACGTGTTCCTACTCGCGGCCAGTTTTCTTAACACACGGCACGTCACCAGCTGGTTGCAAGGTTGGTATGCATGTACACACACAGCTCACTCTGTTGTTGCACTGTCTCCTAGGCCGCCTGCTTTTGGCTACATACAGTGATAATGCACAAAACATGCTGCTGAAGACAAACATACACACACGCAGTTTCAGCAGTATTTTGAATTACGGTTCAGGTTTGGCCACCTCTTGTTTTGCCTGTACTTGCGGTTCACATGCAAACCTCTCCCAATTGCTTGCTCTTGTCCTACTCAACTACACACGCATATAGTAGTACCAGGGCTACTGCCCATGCAACGTACGACGGTAGCTAGTACGACACAGTGTTTCTATCTTCCCTCCAGGGCGATCGTGGAACCCCACGATAAGTGACGTTTTAGGCCCAATCTTTTCGACAGCCCTCACGTTCGACCCCTGAAATTTTTCGTGTACGATCCGGGGCCTCCCAAGGGCCTATTTTTTCGAAAACCGTTTTCGAAAAGGGGCTGCTAGATTTTCGTGCCTTGACCAGCGGTAGTACAGCAGCCTAATGGAAGGGCCCAATTCACGACGTGCCCGTACCCTAAAGTGTAGCGCAGCGCTTCTGCTAGCCGTAACCCTTTTGCTCTCTTGGGGGAAGGGTCTCCCCCCCGACCTACTCACGCGCCCACGGTGGTTACTTGTGCGGTGGTAGTGTGCCTCCAGCCACTAGAAGTGGAAAGACCTTCCCCCTCATCACCCCACTTACCTTTGCCATGACGGATCCCGGCTGCTGCTAGCTAACCCCAACGGTAATTGCAACCCGCACCACCACGGTTATCATGCTAGGGTCCGCCACCGCTTTTCCTTACAAGGCAGCCTGGCAGCAGGGGCGACAGCCGATTGTTGTAAGCATTGCATGCTTTTACACTTGGCGCGGCGTCGATTAAGACACGCGTTCTGGGCGTTGTTGTAACGCTCACAGCATTCAGCGCTTGCCCACCTGAAAGACGCATACATCCACATTTCAGCCCAGCCTTTATACGGAGCTTCTTAAACATTGCTTGTTTGCTTCGGAATTCCAAGTCGCATGCAAATCGCTTAACATAAATGTTCCCGCCAAACCACAAGTAAGGCGAGTCTGTGCTCGCAGTTGCAAACTAATGTTGTAATGAACAAGCTTATTACATAAGGTTGAACACAAAAGCTAATAGGCATTGCCGTCGTGTAAGTCATGGTCGCAGTTCTTGCATGTACGACGCCCTTGGTAACTGCGAGCCAAGACTAGTAGAGGTATTCCCCCAAGAACCAGGTTGGTCTTGGCCTCTGCGGTGCTCGACAACGAAGCAAGGGAAGCCATATCAATGCAGCCCTTTGCACCACTGCACTGTCTGCGCCTTAGAAGACCCCTGGGACCATTCTGCTCCCAGGGGTCCTCCAGCATGCAGGACTGCCATGTACGCGTGTTGACACGTGTCCCCCTACCTCTTCATCACTTCACAGCTTTGGTTTGGAAGGAACAATAAGCAAAGGTATGGGCAGCAGTATACGTGCATTGGCCATGTGTGGCGTAAAAGTTCCATGTACCCCATCAGCTAACATATGGGTGGTCAGGGGTGCAGCAAGTTGGTAACAAGTTGCCTTACTTGTTTTCCCTAGTTGGGCGTTGTGCAATGTTCCCGTTACTCGTACGGTGTATGTGCCCAAACCCTGCCATGCACAAGCTATCCCTCCTAACTTTTAGCATGGTTTGGCTCAGCCAGGTTCCCGTTATGCCGCTCTAGCTAGCCATAACCATAACAACAAAAGGTTGAGCCCACAAAACCAGGTATCTGTGCCCTGTCTGTGCCATTGGAGGCTAGGAACAACTGAATTGGGCAGGCTCGGCGCGTGCCTCCGGCTCCGGGTTTCGGACCGTGAGGCAAAAATGTGAGCGTCGATCCCACGATCTTGAGCATGTTTGGCAAACTTTCATCGTGAGGCTCTACGATTACCGGCCCTGAAAAAGCTCAAAGAACGTTGACGATTTTGGTCATTTTCCGCCTTATGAAATGTGCCATTTTCAGAAATTTTTCGAAAAAACGAAGTAAGATAGAAACGCTGGTACGACAGCAGTTCTATTAAGTAACACAACGATCCTGCCGTCTACTACCTGCTTACACTCCTGCCTACTGGAACGCCGTCGGCTGTGTGCAGCTCTGGCGCCGCATCTGTACAGGGAGGGGCGTAGCATAGCAGGAGGAAGAGGGTCAAACGTGCAAAGACACAACGAGGAAGCGTGACAGGGAGCATGACAGGATAAGAGCACCTAACAGCTTGCCCCACAACACCCAACTGCAGAGAATCTATACAACGTACCGGGTCTGCCAGCAAACCAGACTGAGCAGTAGCGGTGGCGGTGGCAACTGCAGTTCCAGTCTCACTACTTGGGGCCAGCAGTGATGCAGGCCACAGTACAGCTGCCTGCTGGCGTGGGCCCGCACCACAGAGCGCGCCCGAGGCAGAGCCTTCACCCCCAGCAGCCACCAGCGGAGGCGTGGAGGCGTCGCAGGTTAGGACGCCCCTCACACGGGGCTCATTCGCCACCTGTACGGCAAGCAAGGAAAACAACTGGACGATGGCACGGAAGAGTTGTACGGCAGAGCGTGCACATGCAAGGAAGCCCCAAAGACATAGATGCCCTACGGTTGGATTGCCACGGTACAGAGGAGCCGCTACATTATGAGGCCGCCCTTGGTAAGCATGTATGGGGGGTGGCTAACAACTAACGGAAAGACCACGCATGGCAACTCACCCGCCGTGCTGCAGGAGTGATGTCACCCGCCACAGCAGCAGGGGGACCTGGAGACAACCGGGGCTTCTTGGAAGGAGAGCCAGCGTCGTCCTCCACCTCCATGCCAGCATCCACGGCAGCCTCCTGGCCCTCGGTACGACAGGGCGGGTTGGGAGAGACATGGGGTGCTGCATGGCAGGTTGGGAATGTCGTGCGGTACGACAGGGTGCAGAAGGGCGAGAGGGAGGGGCGCGGCGTGCGTGCGGGGCGAGTTGGGAGAGGCGTGGAAGGCGTGCGGTACGACAAGGTGAACGGGAAGGGTGCGGGGTGCGTGCAGGACGAGTGGGAGGGGTGCAGCGTGCGGCAGGGCGAGTGCGTGGAAGGTGGGCGGGGAAGTGGAAGGGCGAGGGGAGTTACACCCCGCAATCCTATGCTGCCGAGCCCAAGACCAACAGACCGGTCTCCTGCAGGGCTGCTGCAGCTGTGGACTACGGCTAGCCCCGCCTCTCCTGCAGGCTCAGAGGCGTCCTCTGCCTCCCCAACAGTGGCCGCCACCCGCCGGGTTCCCTCCTGCATATGGTTCAAAGGGAACACCAAGGTATTGGCATCGTTTTGTACGACGTGCTGTACGATGTGTATTATGGCATGTGCGTACGACATCACCTCCGTAGTACAAGCAACTTTCTGCATGCATTTGATATGATACGTTTACGTTTGTGCATAACTTCCACTTTCCCTCTTTCCGCACCTCGTTGTTACCGGTACTTCTCTTGCATCGACCACACACCCCACCCATCTCTTCATTTGAATCGCAGACGATTTCCTGACAACGTCTTCACCAATTGGACTTTGGACTTTGAAAGCTGTATGGTAACGTCTTGGCTGGGTAAGGAAAGCATATGTAGTCATGCATGCAAATACGGACATACATCACCAGCCCTGCAAATTCCCACAACAATATGCTGTGTGGAGCCACAGCCAAAGGTAGCAACAATGACTACATGCTGTCAAGCAAATTGCAAAAACCTACAAGGCGCCTACACTTTCAGGGACAATCCCCGCCATAGTCTTTGTCCTACTCCAAGCACATACCGCCAACCCGCCACCACACTCTCCACGACCCTCCTTACAGCGCGTCAGCAACACGCCTCCCCTACGCCTCTCTCCTGCCCCTCCCGCCTCTCTCAAACCCCCACTCGCTGCTCCCACTCCAGCTCCTCAATGTCCGCCGCCAGCGCCGCGTCCACCGCCGCCCGCACCGCCGCATCCAGCTCCACATCCGCATCCGCCTCCAACACCTGCTCATCCTCCGCATCCGCCCCCTCCGCAGCCTCCACCACCTCCCCAGCATCCCCGCCCTCAGCTAACCCACCCACGTCCTCCTCCTCTGCATTCCCCTCCACCACCATGAATCTCACCTGTTCTGGTTAATCACCACCCGGGCACCGCCGCGCCGCCATTGCTCAACACCTGCGCCCCCACCCGCGACGCCTCCGATACCTCCAACCGGTCCACAATCTGCATTCCCCTCCCTTCCCCCCTCCCTTCCCCCCTCCCTTCCCCCCTCCCTTCCCCCCTCCCTCACAACTCTCTCCCAGACACCTCCATCCTCCGCCTCCCAACCCTCTCCCTCCCACTGCAAGGCGCCTCAACTCCCCCCCCCCCACCCCCCCACCCCCAAAGGGCCCCCGCCCCTCAGAAGTCCTCCCCCTGCAGCACCCTCAGAAGTCCTCCCCCTGCAGCACCCTCAGAAGTCCTCCCCCTGCAGCACCCTCAGAAGTCCTCCCCCTGCAGCACCCGGTACTCCCGCGACCCCAGCGGCGGCCGCCTCACCTCCAGCGGCGGCACCACCACCTGATACTGCACCACCACCATCTCACCCCCGCCGCCCCTGCCGCCACTTCCCGCCTCAACACGCCGCCCATCCCCGCCGCCGGTGACACCACCCGTCTCCTCACTGCCCGCGGGCGCAGGTGCCGTTGCAGGCAGCCCCTGCCCCTCCCCTCCACCTCCCTGCCCCTGCCCCTGCCCCCGCCCCTGCTCCCGCTCCTTGCGCTGCCCCCCCGCACCCGGCCGCATGCAGCACAGCAGCCGCCTCCAGCTGCTGCCCCCCGCCTCCGCACCGCCCCCTCCACCCCCCTCCGCTCCCCCCTCCGCCCCCTCCCCGTGTGGCTGCTCCACACGCAGGGTGAAGCTCAGCTCACCGCTCTGTGTGTGGGGGGGTGGGGGGGTGGGTGGGGGGAAGAGGAAGAAGTGGGTGTGGTGGCCTGGGAAAGGTGGGAAAGTGAAAAGTGCGGCACCCAGCTGCGCACCCCGCCAGCACGTTCAACGTCAACCATCGCCTCAGCAGCAGCGACAGCAGCAGCCATCCCGCCCCTCCACCCGACCCCCTTCCCCCTCCCCCCCACCTGCGCCCGCTCCTCCACCTCGCACCAGTTCCGCAGGTTGAGCAGCTTGCGCCTGCCGGGTCGGTCGGCGAAGGTGCGGTCCAGGTGGTTGCGGGTGCGGCGGTTGGTGAGGCCGGCTCGGCCGCTCCACTGCAGCAGCCGCACCAGCGGGGTGGGCGGCGGCGCGTTCACGATGGCGCTGCTGATCACCTGGGGGGGGGGGAGGGGGGTCAAAGACCATACCAAACCATAGGAGACCACAGGTTAGGGCAAAGCAATGGGGGTAGGAGGCGGCAAGGGGGGGGGAGGCAGGGGGGGAGGTAAAGAGGAAACAACTATCTGACTGTGTGATAAGGATTGATAGGGGTACATATTCCGCATAGGCTTGATTGTTGGGTAAGCATACAACTGAGGGGAGGGGGGAGAGTGAAAGGGAGTGAGAGGGGAAGAGAAGGGTTGAGGGGCAAAGAGGAAGAGCCACTACCTAACCGTGTGGCAAGCAAGGCATCAGGGTGCGGGTAACACACCACTTTCAGGGTCACCCATAACGTGACTTGATTGCCGGAAAAGTATTACCGGTAAATGTCAAGAAGGTTATTGAAGTATTGCTAGGCCGGCTGCCTAAATTACCCCCCCCCCACCCCCCAACCCACCCACTTGTATCATTATCACACCACACTTTGGAATTCCCCCCCCCTCTCCCGCACCTGCTGCATGTACCTCCAGTCATGTAGCGGCGGACGGCCCGGGGCCCGAGGCCAGCTGTACAGCCGGCCCGCACCACACAGGTGCACATCGCCGCTGATGATGCTGACCCTGGGGGGGGGGGGGCCAGGAGGGGTGAGGGGGAGAGCGGGTGGGTGCTAGTAGTGCAGCTGGGTACCGTATTCCGCACAAGCCTCCCACCCACCCCCTTGACATGCTTTCGTGCTCCTTGAATCGGACATACAAGGCATCACCCCTTGCAGCACCCTCCCCCCCCTCCCTCCCTCATCGCAACGTTGGTTTCCTTCTCCCTCCCCCCACCACACCTGCAGCTCCTGCTCTTGGCCAGCATCTGCATGTGCTCGATCAGGAAGCGCCGCTCCCCCCGGTGGCCGGGGGCAACCCAGTGGTCGCGCAGGTCGTCAAGCAGCTCGGGCTCACCTGGGTAGGCGGGGGGGAAGGGGGAAGGGGGAGGGAGAAGGGGGAAGGGGGGGTAAAAATAAAGAAAGAGAGGGGGGGGGGTAAATATGAGAGAGACGAGCTGAATGACCGGTGGGTAGCCGTGCCACCCTGAAGGGGGGAGCTGGGTACAGCACGCGCACGTCCCAATTCTCCTGACACATCGGTCTGTGTTAAGAAAACTGGCCGCGAGTAGGAACATACTGTGATTGTCGGAAGATGAAGTCCCCACAGAACCGCCGCAGGAGCCGAGTCTGTGTGTGTGTGTGTTAAAATAACTGTGTGTGTATACGCGGTTGTGCTGGCTTCACATACACCTCGATTTCTACACACGTGTTCGTACACGCGTGGAATCAACAGGTTCAGCTGGCCAGCTGGCCAGCCCGGTTAGTTGCACATGATGTTCAGCTGCACCAGCTACCGGTACACACACACACACACAGGGAGGACTCCATCTTTCGGCAATCAAAGTACGTTTCGCCTCGCGGCCAGTTATTTTAACACACACACAGGCCAGTTTTCTTAACACACAGGCTCCCCATACGCCGGCAATCACAGTACGCTCCGACTAGCGCCCAGTTCTCTTGGCACACGGGCTCCCAAGCCGTACCGAATTTGTCCAGGATTGCCGCACTTGCGCCCGTCTTGGCTAGCAGCGGGCGCAGGAAGGCGGTGCGGTCGAGCCGGCGGAAGCAGGACATGAGGCTTGATGGGGGGGAGAAGGAATACCCAATGGGGGGGAGAGGGGTGATTGGGGTTTCGAGGGGGGAGGAAAGAGGGGAGCGGGGGTTGGTAGGGCGAAAAGAGGGAGGGAGGGAGGGAGAGAGGGTGCCCCCGCCTGCCTCACTCTACTCGCCCCTCAGCAGACGGCCCGCACCCCGCATTGCAATCACGACCCACTCCAACCAGCCAGCCCTTCCCCTCACCTCACCTCCCCTCACGCACCGCTCAGTACTGCCCCCCCTCCCCCCCTCTCTCTGTGGTATCGGTATCTCTCTCTGTGGTACCGTATCTTTCCCCTCTCCCCCCCCCCGCCACTCACACGTGCGAGCCCGCTATGTGCGGGTACACCAGCGGTACGGTGGCCACCAGGGTGAGGTGCCGTACGGAGGGAGGCAGGCGGGTGGCGGCGGCGAACAGCTCCGCGTAGGACTCCAGGGGCAGCACCTGGAACCTGCAGGGGGGGGGAGGGGGGGGGGAGGGATGAAGGCTACAGCAAGCAGGTTGGAAGGGTACTCGTCACGCTTCTCCTCCCCACCTCCCCCCCCTTCCCCCCCAGCCCCCCCCCCCGCCCTACCGTGTCCTCTCCCCCCGTTGGTCCGGCAGCACCAGCGCCTGCCGCGGCCCCAGCAGCAGCACCTGGTGCAGCCCACCGCCGGGGCTGACGACCAGACCGTCGGAGCGGGCGCGACTGGGGGTGGTGTGCAGCTTTGGGGGGGGGGGCGGTGAGGGAGGTGGGGGCGGGGTTAAGGGCAGGGTAGAGGCAGACAGTGGCAGGCGAGGAGGGGACGGGCAATCCCTCAGCGGCCATACACCTCACCCTCTCAGCCGCAAGCCCTCCCCTCCTTCACCTCCACCCCTCCCCTCCTTCACCTCCCTCCCCCTCCCCTCCCCCCCCCCCCCACCTGGAACAGCATGTACGCCCCCCTCGCGCTCTCCAGCACCCCCCTGAACACGGGGCAGGCCTGCAGGCTGCCCGGGTAGGAGCCCCAGCCGTCGAAGATGTCATGGTCATCCCAGGTGTTCACCTGAGGGTGGGGGGAGGAGGAGCGGGGGAGGGGCGGGGGGGAGTCAAAGACCATACCAAACCATAGGAACGTGCAGGTTAGGGCTAAGCAATGGGGGTAGGAGGCGACAGTGTGGGGTGGGTAAAGAGGAAACAACGAACTGACTGAGGGATAAGGCGTCAACATGGGTTGCAACAGTGTGGGGTGGGGGTGGGGGGGAGCTATGGGGAGTGGGCCGGAGTTACCGAGGCACCCGACGCACCTACCCACCGCCCGCTCCTACCCCCTCCCTCCATCATTTCTTTTTTTTCCTCCATCCCTCCCCAGTTCCTCCCCCACCTCCCAGGTACCCCCCCCCTCGTACCGATGGGGTACGAGTTAGGCAGGGTTAGTTTCCGGCTTGGTTTCTGCGGTTGTTTTAGGGCATGGTAGGGTCGGGTGCATCCACTGGCGTATTAACCACCGTCACGTATTCCCGCCACCTGCCCAGTCATCTCAGCCACTTGTCTCTAACCCTCCCTTTTCCCTCCATCTGCATGCACCCTGGGCGGTCCCCATCCCTGCTGACCCCCAGGCTTAGTAGTGATGTGGGGATCCGGGCCCGGACCGCACGCTGCTGCCATACTTGTCTTCCTGTCACACGCACCCTTGTTTGCACTCTCACACGTACTATTCCCCTCCACCCCTTACGGCCCCATGCGCCCCATGTTTCGTCGTACTTCGCATTCCACTTATTGTCCCTTCCCAACTGCCGCGCCGCCGCGTCCATAGGAATCCCTTCCACGTCATATTCGCATGCTCTCGTTTCCCGTCTCGCCTCTTGATTACTACGCACCCCCTCCTTAACGCGCCCTGCCTACTTCTTTCCCTCTTTTTCCGCATATTGACAACGCTTCCTCTTGGATACTGGACCCGCTCCTGGTGCGGCTCTGTTGGTATGCGTCTCCAATCCTTATGGCCATGGCACTTCGGGCCTCCATCTCCAGGTAAGTTTCCCGTAACGCGTCTCGATAACATGTGTGCTCGTATACCCCATATGCGTGTTGCTTTGCATTTCGTGACCGGCGGCGCGGCGCATGTCTCCCTAGTGTTACCACGCAAGGCGGCTTCTCCCTCAAGTCGTCTCGGTTTACGGTAAGCAACGCTTCGGTAAGTAATTTGAGATGCGTGCTTCTAGGATAGTGTCTCCGAATGCGCTCACTGCATGAGTCGGTATATGGGATCGGGACTCGTTGTTTCACATATTTAATTTTTTCCCCACCTGCCCCGGCTCCTCCCCCCCGGCTCCTCCCCCCACCTGCGGTATGCATGCCAGCACCTGCCGCATGTGCTGTGCGGTGAAGTGGGTGCAGCAGTGGGAGAGGTAGTAGCCGCCCGTCTGCGCGGCCATGGCGGGGGTGAAGGGGGCGGCCAGGCGGGACTCGCGGTCGGGGTTGTCGAGCCACTCCTGGAGGGGTGGGAGAGGGGGGGGGAGGGGGGGAGGGGGATGAAGGGGAGGGCAAGGAGAGAGGGGAAAGATGGTCAGGGCCGCCACTGCCCCCACCGCCATCATCCCGCAATGCAACCATGCTCCAGCCAACAGACGCAAACACCCCTCCTCGCCTCCTCGCAGCCAGGGTTTTTAACCGCTCATGTCAGTAGGGCGTGTTATCATCTTGCCGGGCCTTAGCTTGCCGCCCCTGCAATAATGCAAAGCTGCAGCCATCGCTGGCATACGCGCGTGCATGTTCAATTACAAGGACGCACTTCATCTTCATTTTCCGCTCTCGGTGGAGCTGGTATTTCTTTTCCGCATCCCTGAAAGCGGTGCGCGCGTGCACTCCATCCTCCGCGTCTACTTCCTCAGTATAATCCATTGCCGATCCTCGTCTTGGAAAACTGAATGAATGAATGATCGTTACAATGGTGCCCTAAAAGGAAAACTATCAAATGATAAGATGTTGCGCGGTTGCGCGGAGAACTGGCAAGCAGAAGCGGCTAGCTGTACTTCCCTAACCAGGATAGCGCCTGGCGTCTACTAGCCTAAAGACAATACCGGTAGTTCAAGAAATATGTCCAAACGCATTGATCAGACGTCACACAGGTCGAACGCTAACGCAACGGCATTATCATCGTCGACAGTACCACCACGCAGTAGCATAATCCAACCTTATCCAACTCAATATTTCATCGCAAGAGAAGTTCTACTGTGCAGTACCCTATCCAAGGAGAAGGCAAAAGAGCGCATGTTCGGCGGCCCCGGCCCCCGGGGTCTGTGGACCCGTGTGAAACCAGACACCTCCGTTCACTAGCCTCCTCGTTGCAAGCGGCAAGAACATGGTAAGCTTGGGAACGGGTATGAGACCAGTATTAGTTGCAAGCGTTGGGACATTTTGTACTCCTTTGCGCTTGCATGTGGGTAGGGCGTGTGGTACGCCTGGTTTCCTTGCTCCCTCGCCCCTGAGGTCTGACCCTTGGAGTGTCACTGACGCTCTTAGCGCTAGATGTTTCATGTACGCCTTTCTCAACCTTGTGCCTCGGCCTTTCCTCTGCAGGACGCGCTGGAGGCTTTCGTCCGGCACGTCTCAGCAAGTCCCTGGAATGCTTTCGTTCTGCCACCGCCGCCGCCCATCTCCTCTTTCAGCTCCACTTGCTGGTCGGGTGGAGCGGTTGCTGTATCTGGCGATATGGTGGTGGGGGGACCGCCTTGCCTGTCTTTGTTGGTTACATAGGTGTGGTTGGTTGGCTTTCCGACATGCGGGTTGCCAGGAGTGCAGGAGTGCGGTTTCCATAGTAGTGAGTGAGGCCTGTGTGTTAAGAAAACTGGCCGCGAGTAGGAACGTACTGGGACCTGTGGCCTGTGTGTGCGTCGGTGCCGGCTGCATGCTGCCCAGCGCATGGGCATCAGCTATAAGAGAAATGAGTGATGCCCCCGGACCGCAATAGAGCCGGTTGGGCGTGTAGGACGCTAACAAAGGCAGGATGCTAAGGACATGACGTGCATGGTAGCTAGCTCGTGTGTTTGGTTTCGTTGGATGGCGTGGCTGTTTAGTTCGTTGACATTCCTTGCAATCTCATGTCGCTCTTCATCATAGGGTCAGCACCCGCGCACGGTGTTGCCTTCCTCTATACATTTCCTGCCATCTTAATTCTTTTATGTATGCCTATTTATTTATGCAAACGCCCTGCACGTATGGGTACCGCATGCCATGTTTGGTGACCCCGGCCTCACCCCGGCCTGACCAGGGGGGTGCGGAACTGCAGCGCCCTGCGCCGTTCGTCACGCTACATTGTAACGGTTGCTGCAAATGCCTGTGCGTACTAAATTAATTGACCTCAATCGGCCTGTGCATGTGTATGTGTTCCCTATCACGAGCCAGCGATGAGTACGAGTCGACAGCCACGCTAGCAAGCTCAGCAGCCTCCACGAACATGCAATGGCACGCAGCCTCCAGGAGCTAGGAAAGGGGCCGGCGGGAAGGGGAGGGGGACGGGCAGGTAGGGAGGAGTGAAACGCACACGCGTGCGGCTCCTGTGTTGACATACGGCCCAAACATGCCAGCCAAGACGTAGATGTGAGGAGGTGCGGATGGAGGACTCGGAGGCAGTTGCCCAGAGGCGGTCGGAGGCAGATGTGCCCCCTACCACACCGGTATTTTGTTGGCTGAGTTTATGGCATGGCCTGTACAGCCCAGCCATTGAAGGAAGCGCCTACCACAGTGCCTCCGACCCCCAGGTACCGACAAGGCCGAGTGGGGCAAAATGAGACCGGACGTTCTTGTTATCAAGGGTCTAACAGCCCACAACGGCACCCTGCAGAACCGCCAGAAACGTACACGTAACCCTAGGCCCTACACCATCTACATCCTCGAAATTGGCTATGCAGGAGACCTCCGCCATGCCGACAAGCAGCATCAAAAGGCCGAGCAGCACAAACACCTCGCCGAGCTCCTCAGAACAGCTGGGTGGACAGTGAAGTGCACACCCCAGGAAGCCATCAGCCTGGGCGTTGGGGGCACCATTCGCAAAGACCTTCGAACCGCACGCACGGACCTTGGAGTCACACCAAGCAAAGCCACCAAGTGCTGCGACGCACTCCACCACCACGCCGTTAACCACCTCAATGCTATCGTGCGCTGCAGAAGGGTCCTGGAAAACAGCCCAAGGGCTACCCCGCAGGGAAACGGGTAACTGCTCCCTAAATACCTAATCCGCCGGCGGTGGTGTTGGCTTCCAGGGGATAACACCCCTCATTGCCTCACCCCCTTAACACACGCCAGGACTTGCCCGGCGTATATATTATTATTATAATTACAGCCCATTCAGTTGTGCGTCGCACTTGAGTCGTTCGGACTCCCCTGTAATAATTGCATACATGACCGTAAGCCCACGCACGCCGGAAGGCTGCCCCTGTTGTCATCGGCGGAGCACTGCACTGCTGCTGCTGCTACTGGGTTAACGCGGCAAGCGCGCATAGCGGCCTGGGGCTCAGCCGGAAGCCCCTATGACTTCCCCTATCCCCTCCCGTCCGACTGCTGTGACACCACGCACGCAGTAATAGTAGTAAGCCTTCCATTAGCTCTTATCCAGGCGCTCCTACGAGAGTGCTGCACGTGCCAATTAGCGCTCACGCAACATAGATCTTATGAGGTTTTGTCTCTAGAACTTCACCCGCTTCCTGGACTTAAGCCTGGGACTTTTAAGAGCAGCTAAATTTCACTGCATAAATGCGCTTGCTACTTATGCCCGCGTGCTTGAACTGAACGGATGCCTAAATGGCGCGACGCTTTGGGGGATTGATGGTCGGTGGCAATTAGGACAACAATCATTGCGTCTTCCATTGTCCAATTACTGTTAGAGTATAATCGTTAACAATCTCTAATTGGGATGTTCGACATTGACGACATAAAAACAAAGCGTCAGAGCGCCGTTCCGACGTTCCAATAGCATGAGTGACCCATGGGTCCGCTCGTCATCTGTGACGATGCGGCGATCCGACACACGCGAGTCGCCAATCGCAACGCACAACACCTAATATCACACAACCTACCTACCATCAGCTTGTTTGCTCGCAGCAAGAGGAAAGGGAAAGGGAAAGGGCTGTTGAGGCACGGGATCGAGGATGTACGGGAAGTCGTCGCAAGGGGCTTGCAACTTCCAGAAGCAGAGGCGTTCCGGAATTATCATGAAGGTTCTAACTGGCCCTCCCTTCCCTTCATGCAGTGTATATACACATATGCCAGTGTTATTCCTTCCATATACGCGCAAGTAACAACAACAAGTAAGCTAACGCTACTGCTAAATTACACGAACGCTAGGATCACCGACAACGACGTACAGAAACAGCAGCTGATCTGTTTCCCTACGACACCTAACATTGATATCGACACCACAACGCCCAACCTCCTTCTGTTTGCGATAATCACGTATCCTTCTTCTTCTTCTTCTTCCCAACCTAGCCCATCCCAACCAGGATGCCTGCTGAGGCACCTGCCATCGGAATAGATCTGGGCACCACCTACAGGTGGGGTAGCTAGGTTGTGGTCATCAAGTCCACGGGTGCTCTCATATCGTTTTGTGATGATAACCTGCTATTGTCCAACATCTTCTGCTGCTTTGGCCAGTCAGCTAGATAGCTAGCTGCGTCACGTGTTTATCCTGGTAGCGCTCTTCTGGGCCCAGCGCGCCTCCTTGTATCCTTTCATTTGCAAAATGTCGCATCCAGCAATTCAGCTGTCCGGTTCCATTTTAGGATCGCATCGCGAGCGTTGTGCAGTACATTTAGGTCGAACGGAGCCCGAAGCTTAAAGCTAATTAATGTGCTGAATGCTCCCTGTTGCCTAACTAAGCTCTTCAATGATTCCTTCCCTCCCTTCCCTGCTCCTGCCCGCCCCCCTCGCTCCCCTCCCCCACTACCCACAGCTGCGTGGGCGTGTGGCACCATGACCGGGTGGAGATCATCGCAAACGGCCAGGGCAACCGCACCACCCCCTCCTACGTCGCCTTCACACCCACGGAGCGGCTGATCGGGGATGCGGCCAAGAACCAGGTGGCCATGAACCCGCACAACACCGTGTTTGGTGGGTGGGGGAGCGGGGAGGCGGGCGAGGGGGGTGGGGGAGGGGATTGGGGAAGGTTAGGGGAGTGGGCGCGTGGTAGAACCAATGTAGGAGCGAAGTTAAACAAAGACCGATGTGAAGTGTGTGGGGGTCGGAAGGTGGATGCAGTGGTGGGGGTTTCCTTAGCGCACAGGCCCACATGGGGGGAGACAAGGGGGTCTGTGGGGTGGCGCACCAGGACTCCGGAGGCACGACCACCACTCCGCAGTGTGTGAACCGCGCAATCAACCGCACTGCACCAATGCATCCTCTGACTCCCCCCTTTCCTCCAATCCTCCCCCTCTCCCTCCCCAGACGCCAAGCGGCTGATCGGCCGCAAGTTCAGTGACCCGGTGGTGCAGGAGGACATGACGCACTGGCCCTTCAAGGTCGTCCAGGGGCCGGGGGACAAGGTGGGGGGGGGGCAGGGAGGGCGGGGCGGAGGGGTGACGAGGTTTGTGTGCGGGTATGTGCAGGCGTGGATATGGGAGGGAGGGGTGGAGGTGCAATATCCGAGGCGGGCAGGGCGGTTAACAGGTCCTCCTTCCCCCCCTTCATCAGCCCCTCATTCAAGTCGAGTACAAGTACGAGACCAAGACCTTCGCCCCCGAGGAGATCAGCAGCATGGTGCTGGGCGCCATGAGGGACACGGCGCAGGTGGGGGCTGCAGGTATAGCGGCGAGGGAGGGAGAGGGAGTGAATGGACCCATGGGTCGTTCCTCGATCCAGTAAGATAAACAATGACTTCACGTGGTGTATACGTACAGCACGATCCCCCGTTAGCGCAACATTTTACCCTTACCATCTTCACCCCTGTCTCGCCCATTATGCCAAAAGCCCCTTCCCCTCCCTCCCCCCTCCCCCCCCAGTCCTTCCTGGGTGCGGACCGGCGTGTGAAGCAGGCGGTCATCACGGTGCCCGCCTACTTCAACGACTCGCAGCGGCAGGCCACCAAGGATGCGGGCGCAATTGCGGGACTGGAGGTGGGGGGGCGGGGGGTTGGGTGAGGGGGTGGTTGAGGGGGGTAGCTTGAGGGGGCTGGGAGGGCAGCTCTCCACTGCCCCGGCAGCCGGCTGACCTGCTAGGAGTTCCCTTGGCTACCGCTGCCATGCCTGCCCGCATGCACCCCTTCCCCACCCCACCTCGCTCCCTCGTGTCCTCGGATCGTGTATGGCGGCACGTGTTACTTGCCGCGCCCCACCTCCCTCCCCCTCCTCCCAACCTCCCCTCCTCCCAACATCCCCTCCCAACCTCCCCTGCTCCCAACATCCCCTCCTCCCAACCTCCCATTCGCTCCCCGTCCCTGCAGGTGTTGCGTATCATCAATGAGCCCACCGCAGCCGCCATCGCGTACGGCCTGGTAGGGGGGAGGGTATGGGGGGAATGGGGTGGGCTTGTGGAGTGGAGCAGGGGGGGAGAGGGGGGGACTTTACTGCATTCCAACCCAGATTTGGGCAACACAGAAGTGTCTTGAGATGTGGCTGGCAGGTAGGGCCCTAGCTAGACGCGGTGCGGTGGCTCGATGCCTGCTTACATCCTCGGTTGACGCCACTACAACACTACCCGTGTGGCTGTCCTAGCTAACTGCGCTATCGTACATCCTTCCCGCCTTCTCTCTAGGCGCGCTGGCTTGCTGCGTGTAACCCTTCTTTCTCCCCCTCTTGCCCCCTCCCTTCCCCTCCCCCCCCCACCCGCAGGACAAGAAGGCCAGTGCGGAGGCCCGGCTGGGTGAGCGGCACGTGCTGATCTTCGACCTGGGGGGCGGAACCTTCGATGTAAGTGCGGTTAGGTGGAGGGGGGGGAGGGGACGGGGGAGGGAGGGAGAGCGAGGAGGGATTGGGAGAGGCCAGCGAGCGGAAAGGGTGGTAGCGGGGGTTGGGGTGGGCGGTAAACAAAGGCAGGGTTAGGGGAGGAGGCGGCGGCGCCTGCTGACGTGAGTGGGGCGGGGAAAGACACCTTTGGTTGCTCCCGGGAAAGCCGGGGTGAAGGGCGGTGCATGGGATGGATGGTTGGATGGATTGGGGTGGCTGGATGCATGTGACTCGTGTTCTTTCAGCTCGGCATCCCGCCGGGGCCCCACCCGCCTCTATCTGCTGCTCACCCCTCTCCTCTCCCTCTCCCACCCCCTCGCCCACCCCCACACGGGTTTCCATCCTGACGCCCCCTCTCCCAGCAGCACAGCGCCTCATGTCGTCCCCTTCTCCCCGCCCCTTACCCACCCCCACCCCCAGGTGTCGCTGCTGGCTATCGACGAGGGCATCTTCGAGGTGAAGGCCACCAGCGGTGACACGCACCTGGGGGGAGAGGACTTCGACAACCGCATGGTGGCGCACTTTGTAGCGGTGAGGGGGTGGGGAGGGGGCGGGGGAAGTGAGGGGGAGACGTGTGTGTTTGGAGGTGGGGGCGAAGACAACCGCAGAGTGGCGCATTTTGTGGCGGTAAGAGTGAATGAGGGGCATTACATTGGGGGCGCCGTGCGTGTGTCAATTTAACTGGCCCCCGTAGCTGTACAAACCATAGCTGTCGACCGAGGAGAGCCATGTGTTTGGGTGCGTGCCTCACAAGCTCTACACAGCAGCCCTTCACTCCCTGACCACCTCCCACCCACCCGCACCCGCCCCTCCGTACCCCTCCCCACCTGCCTCCAGGAGTTCAAGCGCAAGCACGGCGGCAAGGACCTGAGCACCTCCCCCCGCGCCCTGCGCCGCCTGCGCACCGCCTGCGAGCGAGCCAAGCGGGTGCTGTCCTCCGCCACACAGACCACCGTGGAGATCGACAGGTGGGGCGGGGGGGTGGGCGGGTGGAGGAGGAGGAGGAGGAGAGAAGGAGGAGGAGGAGAAGTGAAGTGAAGGGTGGGGTGGCGGTAGTGTGTATAGGCAGGGTGTGGTGGGACGAAGGGGGGTCAAAGACCATATCGAACCATAGGAAACCACAGGGCGAAGTGGGGGGGGGGGGGGCGGAGGCCTTGTGCCTTTGAATCGCCCTCTGACCGGCCACGGAGTGTTGTGACCCACGTCGCGTCTTGCGTGATGCCTATCCACACCCCGGCTGTGCAAGTATTTTCCATCACACTGCCTGGGCAGCCAAGCGTGTGATGGAGAGTACTCACACAGCCAGGGTGTGGATAGGCATCGCGCCACAACATGCAGCGTCTATTAGGTGCTGCATCAGGGGGGGTTGCTCGCACACGCACACGGCCCCGTCCCCAAGGAGAACGAAGTGAAGAAGAGGGGGGCAAGGAGGAAGCATGGAAGGGGAAAGGTGAGGGAGAGTGCAGCATTAGATCCTCGCAGCACCAGATGCAACGCAGCAGTGCGGGTGTAGGGATGGAGCAGGTACATGGGCGCTCGGTCCCCTCCCGCCCACCCATGCTTCACCCCCGCACAACACCGCCAAGCCCTGCGTCTCCCCACCCCTATATGCCACCCCCACCAACCAACCCCTCAGTCTCCCCTCGGCCCCATTCACCTACCCTACCCCCTACCCCACCCGCAACCCAATCGCTGTGCCCTAACCTATGGTCTCCTATGGGTTTTGGTATGGTCTTCCATTCCCCTTCCCCAATCTTCCTCCCTACCAGTCTGTTCGAGGGCATTGACTTCATGGCCAGCCTCACCCGTGCCCGACTGGAGGAGCTGTGCATGGACCTCTTCCTCAAGTGCATGGAGCCGGTGGAGAAGGTGGGGGGGGGAGGAGGAGGGGGGCCTGCAGGGGGGCCCGGGGGGGATAAGGGAACTGACGAGGCAGGGGGCAGGGAGGGGGAGGGAGAGGGTTGAGACCATTGCCGGAGGGATTCTTTCGCAACAAGAACATGCCCTCTTTCCGTTACATGCCGCTTCCGTCCTTTCCTTGAGGGTTCCGTTTCCCAACCACCCTTGCCATGCGCCGCACTCACTCGACCAGCTGGCGCAGCGGCATTGCTAGCAGCCCGGCTGGATACTCCAATGTCTCCAAACGCATCGACCCTTCCAACTCCCTTCCAACTCCCTCCCCCTCTCCCCCCCCTGCCCCCCCTCAGGTGCTCCGCGACGCCCAGCTGGACAAGGGCCAGGTGCACGATGTGGTGCTGGTGGGCGGCTCCACACGCATTCCCAAGGTGCAGCAGCTGCTGCAGGTGCGGGGGGGGGGGCGGGGGAAGAAGAATACACAATGAGGAGAGGGAAGGGGATGTCCTTGGGTCAAAAGAGGCAATGAGCTGCAGCGTACGTATGGGCTTCACGTGGGGGGCTGTGTGCGCACATGCACGGGAAGCTGTTTGCTGATGCGCGCAGGTAGGGCCAGCCCCGACCCTGCCCTACCCCGTGCCGTCCGCTCGCTCACGCAGACCCAGAGGCCAGATGCCCGCAGACATCCCACATGCCAACATCCCCCATCCACCCACCATACCTCGCCCTGCTACCCCCCCCACACACCCCCCAGGACTTCTTCCACGGCAAGGAGCTGTGCAAGTCCATCAACCCGGATGAGGCGGTGGCGTACGGAGCTGCCGTACAGGTGGGAGAGAGGGGGAGGGGCTGCCGTACAGGCGGAGGGGGGGGAGGAGTGGCTGCCGTACAGGTGAGAGAGAGGGGGGGAGGGGCTGCGAAGAGGTGGGAAGAGGGTTTTGTTCTGTTCAATACCGGTATGTTGCGGTCACTGTACGTTCCTACACTTTGTTTAGCTCACGCCGTTGAACCCCCCTGATTGCCTGACCCGCAACCGAACAATACCTATCAAGCTATCAAGACCCGTTCGGTCCCACCCAGCCATCTCCCCACTACTCCCCACTACTCCCCTGCCCCCCCCCCTTAAGGCTGCCATCCTGACCGGCAGCGGTGGTGAGAAGGTGCAGGACCTGCTGCTGCTGGACGTGACGCCGCTCAGCCTGGGTATTGAAACGGCGGGGGGGATCATGGTGAGGGGGAGGGGAGTGGCGAGGGGATGGAATCGGGGGAGTCGGGGATGGGGAAGGGGGAAAGGAGAAAGGGAGGGGAAAGGAAGAGAATGGGATTGGAAGGGAGGAAGCTGCATGCCCCGTCTGCAAGGGTGTGTTTTGGTGTTCCGGTGTTCCTTCCCGTAATCGTTGTAGCAGTGTCTTGTTGTTGGTCGGAGTAGTTGCACCCTCCTCCCTGAGCACGCCTTTCTCCCTCCTTCCCTCCTTCCCCTCCTCCCCCCCAGACCACCCTCATCAAGCGCAACACCACCGTCCCCGCACACCGCGAGGAGATCTTCTCAACCTACTCCGACAACCAGCCGGCGGTGCTCATCCAGGTGGGTGGGGAGGGGAGGAAGCGGAGGGGGCAGCGGAGTGGACCTCGATGACCAGTGGGGTGCAAAGTAACTCCACCAGTCCTACCCTCGGCGGCCACTCTCCATCCGGCTCATCCCCCCCACCTCCTCCCCAACTCCCTCCCCGCCCCCCCCCAGGTGTACGAGGGCGAGCGCGCCCGCACCCGAGACAACAACCTGCTGGGCAAGTTCGAACTGAGCGGCATCCCGCCCGCACCCCGGGGTGTGCCCAAGATCAAGGTGGGGGGAGGAGGAGGGATAAAGGGGAAACGACCAACGGGAAGGAGGAGGGCGCAGAGGGCAAGAAGGGAAAGGGTTTGGAACGGGGTTCAAAGGGAAACCAAACCAATTGAGAAGAGCCGGGGCCCAAGCGTCCAGGTAGGTGGATGCGTGGCAGTAGTGCAAGGACAACGTGGGGAAGTGGCGTGCACGGCTTCAAAAAGGAGAGGCAAAGGGGACAGAAGGGAAGGGTGTCAATGCATGCGGGAAGGAGTTCCCGCTGTACCGCTACCGCTGGGGCTCCTGGGCAGTGAACCCAACCGCCCCCCCCCTGCCGCTGCAGGTGGCTTTTGACATCGACGCGAACGGCATCCTGCACGTGACGGCGCAGGACGAGGCCACTGGTGGGTGGGGTGGGGTGGGGTGGGGGGTGGGAGAGTGTGTTAAGAAAACTGCAAGGGTGTGGATCCGGCGGGGCGTCGGGGCTAGGAAGTGGGTGGGAGCGGATGGGTTGGAAAGATCGCCGTTATCAGCGGACACGTGGTGCTGGACTTTAATGGCGTGAAGGGCTCTCAACCATCCCTCCTGCCCCGCCCCGCCCCCGGGGGTCCCCCCGCCCATACACCCACATACACACACACGCACGCAGGCACCGCCAACCGCATCACCATCACCAACGACAAGGGCCGCCTGAGTGCGGAGGAGATCCAGAAGATGGTGGCGGAGGCGGAGAAGTACTCCAAGGAAGACGAACAGACGCGCAAGCGGGTGAGCCTGTGCGAGCGAGCTAGTGAATAAACGAGCGAGTGGCTTCGGCGACCTTGTCCGCCACACATTCTACCGCACCACTTCGTTGTTCGTCCATACACTACCTCCTACCCATTTTTCCTCATGCCGAACCCCTTATTAGGCCCCTATTTTTGCCTTGTTCCTTTTCCAATTTGCCAACAAAGCCCCTTTCCTTCCCTCCCTCGTTGTTTCTTTCCCCCTCTCTCCCCTCACTCCCCCCCTCAACCCCCTCCCCCCCCAGGTGGAGGCCCGCAACCGCCTGGAGGCTTACCTGTACGGCACCCGCACCGCCTCCCGCGAGCCCGCCGCCGCCGACCGTCTGAGCCCCGACGACAGGTCCCGACTGGACTCCACGCTGGAGGAGGCACTGTCGTGGGCGGAGCGGAACAGCCTGGCGGAGGTGGAGGAGATGGAGCACAAGCAGCGGGAGGTGGAGCAGGTGGGGGAGGGGAGGGGTTGGGGGGGAGGGGAGGGGTTGGGAGGGATGGGAGGATGGGGTAATAAGGGAGAGGTATGGGGTCACCTCATTGACTCATATTTCCACTTCCTTTTCACCTGCATGCGTGCCTGCCTGCCTGCCACCCTCTCAACCCCTTACCCCACTCCTGCTCTCCCCCCCCCCCTTGCAGGCCCTCTCCGACATCCTGGCCAAGATGCACGGAGCGGGCGGGGCAGCGGGTGGAGCAGCGGGCGGGGCGGAGGGTCACACGGGGGCTGCAGGAGGTGGGGGCGGAGGCGGTCCGAAGGTGGAGGAGGTGGACTGAGGGAGGAGGGTGGAAGAGGGTGGAGGAGGGCTGAGGATTGAGCGAGATGAGGGCCGTGAGAACTGGGAATGGAGAGGAGGGCTGGGTAACAGCTAGAGGAGCTGCCGCCCTCGTGGGCTTCGCAGCAGCGGCACACGGGGACTACCTGCCGCCGCCGCTGCTGCTTGAAAGTAATACGACTCGTGGTACACTACTGTTGTTGCGTTGGCACACTGCGCGGGGCGGGTTGGCGTATTTGCGTCTTTATGGGGCGCGATTGGTGTGACAGCGATGAGAAGCGGGGCGCACATCCTACTAGCGGCCAGTTTTCTTAACAACATGTGTGCAACGGTGCACCGGTGTGATGCTGTGCGGCGAAGAGTGGCGGGGGGGGGCAAGGACAAGGGGGTTTCAGCTTCCTCAAAGCTGGAAAAGGGCGGAGCCCCTCCTCTTTAGTACAGGAACGTATTATTACCACTGGAATGATTGCGATTATTACAGGGGAGTGGAACGACTCAAGTGCGACGCACAACCCTATGGGCCTTATAGACCTGGAATGCGCTCCTGTGACTCCACGGCACCAGTTGACCTAACACACCTCGTTATACGGACGCTGAACCCCCTTGTTTACTGTAGTTTTAGTGCTCGTTGCATGACTAGACGGGCTCAGAGCCCCTTGTCCAGCCGAGGCCGGCCGCCTTGTTCACCCATGGCGTACATAGTGTCCTCACTCATTGCACACATTGTTAGGTTACGCCTGTTCAATCGAGTACTTAGTAACGTCTTATCATGCTTGATAACACCCACGCCTTAGGCTACAGAACCCAAATCGACGGCGTAACTGCCACATGGAAGTGCTTTCAGGGTCCCGCAGAGTTTCACCTACATTACTAACATGATGAGGAGGTCAGGCTCCTCAATCTCGGCATCGTGCTCAGAAGGACTTCAGCCATTGCGCCGTCACATGACATGTTAGCTTATAAGCGAGGTATCCCGTACCCGTTTGCGTTACAGTTCATACGCATAAACCCATAGCAAAGGCGTGCAACATCGTCCCAAAGGATTGTGTGGGCTCTGAGTAGCACAGTAGATGCGAGCATGCTCCCGCCGACTTTCACAGGTAGCCCTTTGGCCACACGCCGCTGTTACCAATTCACTAAATACTGTTTACGGTACCAGGACAAACCATAGAGGAGCGCTAATCGCTGTTGCCGAGGTGGTCCTTGTTCAATGGCTGGTCAATAAATCGTTTGTTGCGAAATTAAGTTTGTTTGGCTTCCAGTTATTTTTACTGAATACAGATAACAAATATCTATTAGGTGCAATAAATAGTTTTGTCTAGATTGTATGTTTTGCCGTTACGGACGGACACACGGACACACGGACACACGGACACACGGACACACGGACACACGGACAGGGGCAATCCTGGGGGGCGAAGCCCCCCCGAAGCCGCTTCGCGGCGGGGGCTCCGCCCAAAAACAGGAGGTGGGCGTGGAGAAGTGGGGAGTGCGGCTCATCAAGAGCCACTGAATCACGTTATGTGTGCTGCTGCCGGGCAGGCCGCTGTTGTTTGTAGGATTGTTGTACAGTCGTCGTTGTTACTGTTGACAAATAGCACATGCCGTGAAGATGCTACATTGTCAGTTGCTCCTCACTGTTGGTGCACCACCCCGCATTACGATTGCAGCTGGAAGGGAGAAGCTGCGTTGTGCCGTGGTGTCGTTTCTGTATGTTGTAGTCACGTAATCCATGTACGGCTCACAGTCGATGCCATTCGAGTCACGTTGCAGTTAGGAGCGAAGTCTCCCTCCTAAGCGACGAAGGGACGAGGATGTTGTAGGCAGGCGCAGAGAGCCCGGCCCCCCAGGCGCCTCAAACAGGTTGTCACAGGTTCTGTCGTCTGTATGTTGTTGACCTTGTTGTTGCAGGTTGGCGAGTAATGATTTGAAGTGAATACAAATAGGTTGCTGCGGAGCATACTATCTCCTGTAGATACATACATTGACACGGAAGGGTTTAATGAACTGGTTTATGTGCATACTTACATTCCCGGTTGACAATCCATGACCCATGGGTCACCTGAATGGCGTACTCCTGGAAAACGCAGGCGGTTGCGCTCCTGGTTTAAGTTGGCGAACTGGCTGTTGCGTTGAGGAATGTTGCTGCTGATGTATGTTGCTGGAGGATTGCTGGATGCAAAGCCGCTTATGCGCCGAACAGTACGTACGTGTACCTTTCCACAGCGCACACACCCTCCCAGAGAGCCATTGACCCCATTGTTGCACGATGCAGAACAACCAGGGCCGCAAACTGAATTCAACATGAAGGGAGCAAGGTAGCTGGTGGTGGGGGAAAGCACTCTACTGTAGCGATGGTTCATTTACCCGTATGCCCTATCCTCCATGACCCTGGTATGCCAGAAGTAAATGGTACCGGTATGCGCCCGTAAGCGTGGTGCCATGTAGCTGGGCTGGGGGCTTTAACCTGCTGTTGCACGCCGGGCTCCTTAGTCCGGCCCCTTCAACATCTGCGGGCGGATGAACTTCCGAGGAACACTCTGGTGTGGCGCATGGTTGCTTGCGTCTACCGTAGATGGTCTATCTCTTGTCAATCATGCCCATCATGCTGTGGACATTGTCAGGCACCTCTACAACATCTGCAGCCCCTTCCGTTTATGGGGTAACGCCAGATCCACCACTATGTCCCCCACCCATAACGCTTCTGTAAGGACAAGTAAGGAAACAAACACCAAGTCCGAGAACTGAGCACCCGTACCACCCAGCAGCATCAGCAGCACAACATTCGTATACCTGGCAATGGCCATCGCATCTGCCTGCCTGTGTGTGTGTCGGTCAGCAAACTCAGCCGGCCTACACGCTTCAGCTCCTCCCCAAGGAGAGCCTGAGGCAGCAACACACGCCTTCAGCCGCACCGGCAGAAGCAGCAGCAGCAGCAGCAGGGGTTTAGGGATGTGCAAGCAAGAAGTATAACGAAAATAACGCCATCAAGACACGGTAGCCTTTTCAGTCCCTGCTATTGCGGGTTTAGGTTGTCCGTCGCAAGGCTGTACACAAATCCGATAGAAGTCCGGAAATCCGCAATCCATAGGTCAAAAGGCTATGGCCCCTAGAGGGGATGGAAGGAAGGCGCGCTTGCCGCCCGAATTCAATATATTAAAGACTCGCTTGAGTAATACGTATTAACGTGCCGCTGCAATGAAGCACGCCGCTGTAACTCCCCGCAACGCAAAACAAGAAGCAAGCTACTGACCCGAATGACCCGCACGAAATGGCAGTAAAGTAAACCCTTCACGGCGCTGCAATGTCCGCAACCTTTCCATCAACGCCAGCCTGCACCTGCTGTGACCAGCCTGGCTGCAAGAACCCACGCAACACCCGGCAGCCAGAAACAAGCCAGGAGGCACCAACGCCCGAGAACAGGAGGCCCTGAAACGAGCGACTCAGCTGCTGATTCCGTTACGCGCCCATCCTACCTTACCCGCACATGCACAGGCATGCATGCATGTCCATGCGCGCGCATGCTCCCGCACCGGGCCGTGCATAAGTCACCTCGACCTTCTGGGACACCCCTGCTCCTCCCTGAAGGAGGAGTGGCGAGTCACCAGCGCAAGGCGTCTGTACGGCGTGGCGTGCACTACCGCAGGCCCTCTGCAGCCGGACATGCATGTCACGTGGGCGTTAAGGAAACGGGTCTGCGTGTGTGTGCTGTACTCGACCGGAAGCGAGTACGCTACACAACAAGAGCCACACCAGTAGCAGCAGCCCCTCAACAGGCCCCAACAACTGCCGCTTCAATCCTATCCCAACCTCACGCGGCCCCAACCCTCTCACCCTCAACACGGTACCCCCCCCCATCACCGCCCACTCATGCCCCTTTCCCCATCAATTCCCCGCCTGCTCAACCCCGTTCTCCCTCGCCTCCACCGCCTCCTCCTTCCCTCTCCCCTGCCCCGCCTCCTCCCCCTCCCCCCCGCACCCCAACGACCCCGCCTCTCCCTCCCCTGGCGGCCCCGCCTCCCCCTCTCCCAGCTTGCACCCCGACAGCACCGCCGCCACCGCCACCGCCAGCTCCCCACTCCCCGCCGCAAGCACCCGCCGCGCCATCACCCCCCAGGGCCCCCCCGCCGGGTCCAGCACCGCGCCCCCCGCCTCCGCCACCATCAACGCCCCCGCCGCCGCATCCCAGCAGCCGCCAAAGTTGATCTCGAAGAACGCGTCCAGCCGGCCCAGCGCCACGGAGCACAGGTTGAGCGCGCAGGAGCCGGTGCAGCGCAGTGCGCGGGCGCGGCAGGTGAGGGCGCGGATGCGGGCGAACATGGCGTCCAACGTGTTGTCGTCGCGCGCGGTGCCGACCTGGGTGGGGAGGGGGGGTGAGGGGGTGGGAGGAGTTGAGGGGAGGGAGGGCGGAAGCTGTCTGATAGGATGTACTGAGCAAGGGACCGGGGGAGCCTCTTGAGGCGAGCTACATGCAGGTGGCCCAATGAGGGGTGAGTAGGGCGAGAAGGCTTGAAGAGGGGGTGCGGGAAGGGGTGTGGAGCAGGTAGGGGGTAGCAGCTGGGAGGAGTGGCGCAGGAAGGTGGGAAGGAGGCAGGGTAAGGAGAGCGCGGTGTGGGGTGCACGTCAGGAATCTACAGCAGCGTTTGGAGAGGTTGCGGGGGGCACATGCGCGAGGGCAGTAGGGCTGCACACACGGTCTGTGTGTACCGGCGGGCAAGGCGCCCGGGGTGGGCATGTGGCCCCCGGCATGCATGTCGGCATGCACGATACCACCCGGCAGCGGGCCCCAAGTGCGCGTGCACCCAGAGCATCCAGTGGCAAGGCAACGCGGGCACCCCTCCTCCGCTCACCCCCCTCCTCCTCCTCCTCCTCTGCGCCGCCCCCTCACCTCCGTTCCCACAATGGCCGCCGCCAGCTGCGTCTGCCCCGACGTCGCCATGCGCGCCCCGTTGCAGAAGGCGCCCCCTCCCTCCGCCGCCACGAACAGCTCCCCAAGCACCGGGTTGAACACCACACCCGCAACCACGCGGCGTTGCACTGCCAGGCCGATGCTGGCGGGGAGGGAGGGGGAGGACGGGGGATGAGAGGGGCTGGACGAAGGTATTGAAAGAGACGGTGTGTGGGAGACGAGAAACGCAGAAGGGAAAGAGAGAGAGGTAGCAATAATAGCGGAGGGCAAGGAGGGGAGGTGCTGGGGAAGCAGGGTGAAGGGTGGCCGGCGGGTGATGGGATTCGGGACACCCGCATCACGCGAAGCGGCAGTTGCAGTTGGGCGCATTGCAGCGCATTCCCGGTATCCGCCGCAGCTGCAGGTGTGCCTTGTGCGTGCAAGAGCGGCGAGGTGCAGGAGACATGCATGCGTGCCCAGTCAGCGCATAAGTCCCGACACAATTGGGGCTTCACCATTTTTTGTGAAACACACAGGGTGTCGCCTTGGCAAATGAGGTTTAGTCTCCTTCCACCCCGCCACCAGCCTGACACGCCCCATGTGCACCCCTGACACGCCGGGCACGTGCCGCCCCTTTCCCCTCCCGCTGCCGTACCTCGTACATACGAAGGGAAAGCCGTGGACGAAGTTGGTGGTGCCTGCAGGGCGGGCAGGGAGGGGACAGTGAGCTTAGCTGCGCGCGAGGTGCCCCGACACACTGCGACTGGGGGCGAGGGAGTGGGGGCCGGGCGCCGCCGCAGCCGCCAGCGGACACATCTCTCCATCGCCGCCGCCAGGACTCATGCGGAGTGTGGGGGAGTGCGGGGTGGCAGTAGCGGGGGACCCCCTGGACTCCCCCTGCTGCTGCTGCTGCCTCCCTGCTGTTCCCTGTGCCCCCGCGTGCACCCTGACGCCCGTCGGGTCGCTCTTCCTGCGCCTACCCTCCACCACAGCGTCCACCTCACACTGTAAGGCATGATGAGTCGTAACCCCAACTTCCGTCCTGTCGCTTTCTATCCCTGTCCCCTCATCCCTTGTTAGTTTATGTCCCTTCACTCCCTTCCGCACCATCCAGAGGATCCACCATCCAGGTGGGCCCCTGCCCCAGCTGCAGCCCGCTGCCGCAGCCCGCCGCGGCGCAGGACTCCTCCCCGATGAATGCGTGGTCGGGGAAGGAGCGGCGGATGCGGCTGTGGATTAGGTCCTGTAACAAGGGTAGAGGGGAGGGGAAGGGTTGCATTCGTTGTAGGTTCGTAGGGAATGGTGCAAGAAGCACCGTTTATGGTTGCACCGTTAACGTTAACGGCGCCCTGGAGTCCCCGCGCCGCAACATGACCAGCGTGCCACCCGCACCTCGGCCGCCTTGTCTGTAGCTGTCACAAGGTCGGCATGGTTCAACTTCTCCTGGACCTGCTTGGGTTGCTTGAATGCTTCGCGGATAATCTCACCAGCTGCTAGTGCGGCATCGATAGCAACCCGCAAATGATCAGCATATTGATGGTTAGATAGTGGTTCCGGTAGGGATTGGCACATGTTCGTTGTGAATATACGCACAAGAGTGCGCAAGTGAGAGACGGCAAGCGTAGGAAACGGTGCAATGGAAAAAGAACAAATTGTTTCATAGAAAGCAACCTGCTAGCTTGGCATAAGACATGCTGTTTGTTGAAGGATCACACGAACACCTCAGCGTACCGCCGTGCAGGGATCGTCACACGACCGGAACGCTACTTGTCCGAGCCGCATCCCTAGCTCGTTAGATACATGTATGCGCTACATCATTTACAGTGATTGCCTTACTTGACGGTGCTTCTGCTGGTGTTTTTTCTGCTGGCGGAGGTGGACTCTCGTCTTACTTGCTATGACAGGATGCTGGCATAGTTGAAAGTATGACAAGTCGAACAAGTAGGTTCCTTTTGTCTTGCTGCATGGCTTACACCCTGCTTGTTTCAAGGACGCTTCAATTGCCACTTTGCAGACGGGGCCCTGTTTGGGCTACCGGACCGTTTCGTAGCAGTTGAAATTGAAACTGAGGTGAGCCATGGATGCTTTACGCATGGCGAGGTGCATGGAAGTATGGCTGACCTCCATCTTCCGCAGGCTACGCCGGCTTTTGACGCCGCGCAATACTCTTTCTTCGGGGACCTTTCCGCCGCTGACACCGGACTTGAGGGCGCTCTTGAGGTAATTTGAATTCTCTTGTCGGCCTGGCAGAAAGCCGTTCCTTACGCAGCTACGATCCCTTTAGGACGGACTTGAGGGCCCGCCGGCTGAGGAGGGCATTTCCAGCCAGGATTACGGCTTACATGGTGCAGAGGAGGATGCAGTGGCGCTGGGAGAGGAAGAGGATCTTTCGGTCGCTTCCATATTCCGCAGCCAGCTCAGGCTGGGAGCGGAGAAGACTAAGTCCGTGCGGGTAGACCAGGACGAGGATGCCGCCTTGGACGCGCTTTTGACCGACCCCCTGTCGGTAGCGCGAAAGCAGGTGAGCCTCCAGAATGCAAATGCCTACCACTTACCCACACACAAGCCCTAGTTCGCTTCTTCACTACTACGAATCGGGACTAGTACGCCCCCAATGCCTCCCTTCCCCTTTGCTATGATGTTGTTCGTGGTTACCCCCACGCAAATGTAAGGAACTACCAGCAGTCCAGTCTGTAGCCACTCGGTCAAACAGCCCCAAGCCGATTTACCCACCTTGCCCAACACCCAACAAGCGTGCCTGTCATCCCACCTGCCGTCCGCCCCTCTGTCCCTGCTAACCACAGCTCCAAGACGACTACTATGACCAAAACAACCTGCCAGCGGAGCTGTACTCTCCTTCCGGACCCGACACGCGGCAGGCTGCAGGCAGCCAGTCGCTGTTCGGACCCTCCTCGGACGCCACCTACGGCTCCTTTGACGGCTACAACCCAGCTACTCAAGCAGCAGAGCAACACGGCAACGGCGACAGCGCGGTCTCCGCGTCACAGTCACAGCAGCAGCAGCTGGCTGGGGAAGGCCCTGCTGCGGGCCCGCCGGCTGGGACCTCGCTGCTGCATATGCTGAAGAAGCCGCAGCCGCCCCCGCAGCCCGCAAAGGCGATGACCCTGGAGGAGCTGGAGGCTCGCATGCTCAGCAGCGCAGCAGCAGCGCACTCCCCGGAACCCACTCCGCCTGCAGGAGGCCTGCAGGCAGGAGGACCTCCGCCCATGCCACCGCCGCAGCACCTGCAGGGCATGTATCACCACATGCCGCTACTGCCAGGGCAGCCGGTGCCTCCAGGCGACAACGCTATGAGGCTCATGCCGCCGCCGCCTCCGGGGATGGGCCCGCCGCCCGGCTACCATCCCAGCATGAACGCCCTGTCAGCGCCGCCTGGCATGCACCCACACGGGTCCATGCCGCCGCCTCGACACGTGCCACCGCCGCAGCACCCCCACATGCAGCATCACGGACTCCCCGGGGTTCATGGTCCCATGCCGCCGCCACACATGATGATGGGCCCGCCGCCCCCAGGCTCCCCTGGTGCCGCTGGCATGTACCCGCCTCCTCCTCCCGGCGGCCACATGCTGCCCGGCGTGATGATGCACCCCGCCGCGCACAACGGCATGCCGCAGCACCCCCACCATCAGGGCATGCCGCCGGGGCCACCACCCGGGGCCATGATGCCGCCGCCGTACGGTCCCGGAGGCTTCATGCCCCGCCCCATGCAGTACGGCCCGCCGCCGTCGGGTATGGCTGGACCCCCGCCTTCCATGCATGGTAAGTACAACTTCGCTTAGGGCCATTTGTAGGAGGCAGGCCCTGCTGATGGGGACGGAAGCTGGTCCGCTTTGTCTGTTTGCCGCGTGCTTTTTTTGCAGCAATGCGCACAGAATCCATGTAAGCGACAAGCTACCTGCACTATACCCCATAACTGACTATGCGAAATTCGGCATGGTCCGTCACTCCCTTACTCTAACCGCAATACGCGTGGACCCCCTGTTCACAGATGGTTACCAGATGCGGCCCATGTCAGGGCCCCCGGGTGCTCCCGGACCCATGATGGGCCAGATTCCTGCCCGCCCGACTGGCCCCTACGGCCCCGCTCCTGGCCCGGCGAACTCTGCAGCACCCGGCCCGCAGCGACCACCTGCCACGACAGCAGCGACGCTGCCGCCACCGCCCAACACGTCCACTGGAAGCGCGGGTCAGCGGCCTGCCCCTGTGCTGGGCCCGGGTGCTGCCGGGCAGCAGCGCCCTGCTCCCCAGGCGCGGAGTGGAGGGGACCTTGGACAGCAGGTTAGGCAGGGTAATGGGGCCGGGTTGGTGCTGCGTAGTGCATTACTTGTTAGTAAACCCCTTGTCCCTGTCACCGCATTAGCCCTTGAAAACTGTTCATTGTGCTGTTGTATTTTTTGGCCCTCAGTATCTGTTCTCCCTTAATCATATCTGCCGGCTAAGCGTCCTTCCCTATGCTCTGTGCCGCCCTTACCTCAGTTCGCTCGCGGAAGCTCGGGTCCCGCAAGCGGCTCCGCGGCCGCCGGTGGAGGTGCCCCGGCAGCCCTCGCAGCCGCCGCGGGAGCCGCAGGTCGCGCGGGCGGTGCCACCAGCGGCCCGGGCGGGCGCCTGGGTGGCAAGTGGATGCGTCCCGAGGACGTCGAGTACGTCGTACGTAGCATGCTGTACAGTGTCGCCAATGGTGTGCCGTACGTGGAGGACTACTACTTCCAGGCCTTTGTGCACAAGTACGTGTCGCGGCCCTCGCGCCAGCAGCTCTCCCCCGGTGCGTTCCCCATGGCTGCGCCCTTTGTTCCCGAGGCGCTGCGGGACCTGTCGGAGGAGCAGATGCACATGATGCGGCTGGACCCCAGCGCGCGCGTCAAGTTTGTGGAGGGCATCCAGGGGCTGGGCAAGATTGTGCTGTCCAACATCCGCACGCCCAAGGTGGGTGGGTTGGAGCATGGAGGAGGAGGCTGTGATGGTTGGGTGCGGACGGGGCTGTGCGGTTGCGGGAGACTCCAGAAATCAGGAGTGAAGAGGGAAAGTGGTGCTGGGAGTGGGCTACGTCTGGCCGACTGTAGCGGGGCAATATGCAGGGGCGCGTGTTGATTTTGTGTCCGGCTTCCCCCTTACTCCCATGATCTAATGGATGCCGTATCGCCACTTGCTCCCGCAGGTCCTGATGGACCTCTCAGACCAGGGCACGTCAGGCGGGGCCGCCAAGCAGCGTGCGGCTGGGGAGGAAGGTGCTACCGGCGCGTCCAAGGTAGGTGTTAGGGGTCGAAGGACCGTTCACGTACTTAGCGTGGCACACCCGGCTCTCTACGCTATTCGATTGTACGGGATACCACACCAAGCTTCCTATCTCTGGCTGCAGTGACAGCTGCAGACCTGCCGGCATTTTTTCTCGTTCTACTGCCCCTTACGATTACAAGCAAATCCGCTAATGCCTTTCACCTGTGCCGGCCCTCTGCCGCCCTTTCCATGCCACGCAACGCAGTCGGGAGCCGACGAGTCCGGCCGCGCTGCTCGCCCGCTGGAGCAGGAGCCGCTGCTGGCCGCCCGCATCATGATCGAGGACTGCATGAACCTGCTGCTGGACATGGACGACATCGACCGCCTCGCAACACACATGGCCGCAATGGCGCAGGCGCACCAGCGCGCAGCAGCTGTCGCGGCGGCGATGCCGGTGCCAGGTGGAGCCGCCGCTGCTGCGGCAGGCGCCGCGGCGGCGGCTAACGCGGCAGGCGGTGCGCCTGTCGCGCCGTACGGACCTTCCTCGGCTGCTCCGCCGCCTCCCTCGCAGCTGCGTCAGCGGCGGGAGCTGCTGCTGGTGGGCATCAACGGGGCATTCCGGCTGCCCGGAGCGCCAAAGGGCTCTGCGGCTGCAGGCAGCACAGCTGGTATGGAGCACGTAGCGCTGGGCGATGGAGTGCTGCTGCGCATCCTGGCGCTCAGCAAGGGCCGCAGCGTGGTGGCACGAGCCCTGATGGCCATTGCGCCGCCAGCCAGCCTGGCAACCAAGACGACAGCCCAGGCAGCCCAACAACAACAGCGACCCGCGTCCCAGGGGGCTGCCGGCAAGAGTCACGCGGACGGGTCTGCCGCCCCTTCCAGCCAGGACGTGCAGCAAGGGAGCGATGCAGCTGCTGGCCTGCTGGGTGCAGACACGCCCAGCCCTTACGTGTTGCTCTGGGCAACACTCCGCAACGCCTGGTCGTTGTTTGGCAGCAGTCTGCAGGGCGTGGATGCGGCCACGGAGCGGCCCATGCTGGAGGCCACTGCGAGGCTGGCGGCTGCCATGCGAGACGCGCTGCTGCGGCTGCCCACGGCGCGTGACGTGGTGGATGCGGCGGCGGCATTCAACGCGGGCTGCCTGCAGCATGCCGAGGCGCTGATCCAGGGGGGCAACGCAGCGGCCGCGAGCTCCATGGAAGCGACGTTGCTGCCGCTGGCGCAGACGAGGGCGCTGGAGGCGCCGGCGGCGGGCACCCTGACGCCTGCGCACTCTGCATGGCTGGGCGAGGCCCTGGCGGCGCTGGTGACCCGCGCCTCTCAGCTGGGTCTGTCTGCTGCACCGGCGGGTGGTGAGGATGTGGACGCTCTCCTCGGTAATGACCGAGGAGCCAAGCCAGGGAAGGAGCCAGCGGCAACGGAGAAGGAGGCCGCGGAGCAGCTGCGCGAGGCGGTGGACGCGGAGTGGGGCCGGGAGTTTGGTGAGCTGCATGAGCGGCTGTCAAGGCACCTGGCCACGCTAGGGAGCATCCACTCCATGGCGCAGGCCAGCGGCAATGCGGAGGCGCTGGCGGTGGTGCGCGCGCTGAGCTGCCGGCAGCTGGTCAACGCAATGCTGCCGCACGTGGCTCCCGAGCAGCTGCTGCAGCTCAGGGGGGCGATGCAGGCATTCACTGCGTAGTGCGATGCTGCGTGCCTGGCTGCAGCCCCCCTTGCCGTGTGCTTTGGGGTGTAGGAAAGCTAGATGTGGTAGGGGAGGTAGGCGGTTCTGTGGGTCGGCGTAGTTTTCGGTTGGCATTGCCCCAGAGGCCACTTGGACCTCCATCTTGGACAATAGAAGCTACCACCAGTAGTCTTTGACATGGACGTTTCTGCTTTCGACCCTGTGGGTTAGTGGGTACGACCTGGATTCCAGCTTGTGTACATCTGCTTTTGTGTTTTAAAGGGGTGGTCCAAAACGGCATGTTCATTGTACGGTTTTCAAAGGAAAGAACAAATAGGTGTGGTTACTGCCTGTGCCATGCCTTTTACTTTTATAGGCTCACGCACCTGGTCTGTTTAAGGGCCCTTCAACAGCTTTTACGGTTTTAGATTTTGGCTGCCTGGACTTCCATCGCCCGCTATGGTGCCATCTCATATTTTCTGCCGTCCGAAAACGTGTGGCCTGTGCTTTCTGCTGTCTTCAAGGTCGTGTCCCTCATGTGGTGTGACGGCTTGATTTCCCTCGGCGAATCAAGTCGGAGCGGTATCTGTGCTTGTGTGTTTGTGCGCTGTCGACGTGCTCTACTTTTTTCTCTGAGCCGCGAAAGTCATTGTTGATGTCCGATGGTCATCGCCGCCCTTCTGGTAGTCCGTGCGGTATTTGAAGGCAACATGAGTCAAGCTCTTTTACTTCCTGCGGACAAGGCTGGTTTGCATTTGCGGTTTGTCGGATTGCCCTCCTAACAACTGTGTTGTTGAGTTGACCAGTTAAAGGTTACAATGTGGCCCATTCATTCTTGAAGGACGAGGCCATCTTGCAGCCAATTGTAGCTATGGTGTTGATTGGATGGTGTCGGCGAACCTGTACGTAAGAGCGTAGGCGGGGACTCATCCCAGCTTCCCAACCAGTCTATGGAGTGGTGCTTGGGCTTCTGAATGGCAAGGCTGCAGCCTCTGTCCAGCCCGTAGGGGTTAATCGTGTTTGGTGGCCTAATATGGCCTTCCTGCCTTCCTGTAATTACAGTTTGTCCCCTGTCATGCCCGAACAGGAACGGCACGATAACATAAGATCCGACATGACATGATCGCATATTCCGGTATGCGGCGTGATTAGCTGACAGTGAGGGATGGCCTGTCAACAAAAGTTCCAACGGCTTTCACCGCCTGACATGGTCCACAATACATGTTACAACATATTACAACAGTATCTACCGGAGGACGCTAGCTCTTCCTGGCATGTTACACATTGTGACTCGTAGCCCAACTAGGCTTATCTGCAACGGTACAGCCCAAATGTACGGCGATCGCGCATGCGCCTTTTGGGGCTAGTCGTCACGCTTGGGCCATACATGAAACGGAGACGGCGGTTCATTACTGTTAGGCCTTGCTTGCGGATGCTGTTAGGCCTGGCAGTCGCTAACTTTCTATGAGTTAGGAACACCTATTTATGTAACGCCGTTCGTATCTATGCTTTGATTTTGTGCATTAATTCCATAGTCTTGGCAGGATTGTTGCTTGCGGGCGGGATTGCTAAAAAGGGTCTAGGCAGCCGGCAAGTGCGGTCTTCTGCAAGACGAAGGGCTCACCACCACGCTGCGATATAATGCCGAGCATAGCTAGAGCAATAGCAGCACTCATCCTATTCATATACATCTTTGGCTTGGCTGGCGTTATCCAAGCCGAATACAACCGTGAGCATTGGCGTGAGTAATTTGCGCGCCTTTTCCATGCGCTCCTTTTCCATAACACCTGCGAAAACCTTATCAAGTAATCTTCGCAGCATGAAAGTTTGCCTACGATCTGAGCTTAATCGTATCGCCGCTTTACTTCCTTGCGCCTTTCCTTGTGCCGTTCAGATCCTGAGCCACAATCGGTGCGCCGCGCGGCCTTTTCGGCCACAAGCAAAGCGCCTCCTTCACCGCCGACACCTCCGAAGGCACCGCGGGCCCCACGCGCTCCACGGCGCCCGACCCGCCCACCACGACCTCCCCGCCCGCCTCGACCACCGCGACGCGCCCCAAGCCCACCCTCAGCCTCTGGCCCGCCACCTGCCTCCCTGTCCCTGTCCCATGCACCCTCACCACCGCCTCCACCACCGCCGCCCCCACCGCCGCCGCCGCCGTCCTTCCCGCCACCTCCACCACCCGAATCTCTTCCCCTCCCACTGCCGGTACCGTCAAGTGAGGCCAGCCGTGTTCCTGCCACACTAACCGCTTTTCAACTACTGTCCCCTACTCCCACCTTTCATTGATCGCGCCTCCTTCCCACTCTCCCAGGCAGCGTCTGCCCCAACGTGCCTGCTCTGCTGGGCGCCGTCAACGCCTACCGCTCGCTGCACCAGGCGGCGCCCCTGCAGTGGGACGCGGCGTTGGCGACGGACGCAGCGGCCTACGCCGCGGTGCTGGCGGGCAGGAGCTGCGAGCTGACGCATGCAGACACGGATCAGGGGGAGACGTTGTACCAGGTGTGGCGTGAGAGCTGTGAGGGACCAGGGTGCTCGTGCCTGATGAGGTCTGGCCTCATACCAGCAGTGTGCACGGAGCATGATGCGCACCTCTTCAGGGTCTTTTAAGTGTGCCGTACATGCCCCCCAGCTAACAACTCGGCGAGCACGGGGTTGTCTGTTATCCTACACGTGACGTGTGAAACTGCGTTGGGCATATCTGTTCCCCGCTTCCGACAATTGTTCCGGTCAGTGTGTTGCCCACCTCACTTGCCTCATGCGCCTCATGCGCCTCATGTGCCTGAGTGCATGCCCGTCCGCTTGTTCCGGACAGTCCTGCCGCCGTGCATGCTTATGGAGAGCCTCTCTAACTCCTGTTGAGACACCCGGCCAGAAAAGCAGGGCCCACAGCCCCCGAATGGCCCTGACTCGGCCTCACTCGCCAGGCACCCTGTCTGCATGCCCGCCTGCCTGCCTTCCTGCCCTGCCCACCTGCCCTGCCTGCCTGCCTGCCCCTCACATGACTCGGACGCCACCCCGTCGACCCGCGATCACACATGCGGCAGGCGACCTCCTACCCGAAGCCCAACGGCGACTGCCTGACGGCCATCAGCGCCTGGTACAGCGAGGCGCAGCGCTACGACCACAACACCAGCGCGCCATTCGACGTCAACTGGCCCCGCTCGGTGGGGCACTTCACTCAGCTGGTGCGTGTGTGTGGTGGGGGGGTGCGGTGCTGCGTGGGCGTGTGTTAAGCCAACGGAGCTGCGGAACTGACTCCGACCAAGGCGCTGTCGCAGTATGTAGTCCATGCATGCTTTAGAATGTGTGGTGTGAAGCACGATACGGGTAGGCCAAGGGGCGGTAGTAGGCGTACTCGTGCATGCCGTTGATGGGTTGGTGGACTGGTGCAGGTATCAGCTGTCAGATGTACATGGGGCAATACACGGGGCGCTCACCCAAGTGGACTTCTGGAGGCGGGCACAGCGGCATGGGGCACAGAGCATGTAGCGTCGCCTTGCGTTGATAGCAGCTGCACCGTGGGCCGCCATGTTCCTTCCCTGCGCATGTTCCTACAAAGCAAGAGCTCCTGCTTGGAATCTGGCTCACGGTCGCACGCGTGCTCCATCCTGAATCGCTTCCTCCCCCTGCTTGCATCTTTTGTCATACACGCCCTTACCCCGCATGTGTCACATGCGGTGTGCACGCAGGTATGGCGCAGCACGACGAAAGTTGGATGTGCGCTGGGTACGGCTGATGTGCCGCACACCTTCCCTAACGGTCTCTTCGTCACCTGTGGCTGTAAGGTGGTGGTTTGCCGCTTCCTGCCGCGGGGCAACCTGGCGGGCAATGAGGCCTTCAGAGCTAATGGTAAGTGAGCCGACGGACAAAGCAGGTGCATACATAGGGTGCGGCCTTAACACGCCCCATCAAGGGGTCTCTGGGATGTGTTTCTGCTCTAAGCTTGCTCCATCTCTGCTTGGCTTCTCTCTGCTTTACCCGCTTGCGACACTAACTCACGTGCCGTACACTGTTTTACAGTGTTGCCGCCCAAGTGAGGGGGCGTGTGCGGACCTGCATGCGCGGGGAGTCTACGTGAGAGCCGCTGACGGGTGGCACACACGCACAGCCTGGGAAACTAACAAGCTTCACCCAAACCTGGTCCGTACGGCAGCAAAGAGATGCGTTGCTTGGTGCGCGTGGCTCCGATGTTGGTTGTGTGCGTCTTATCCTTATGTCGCAGTTTGTAGCTCGGGTCGCAATCCGCCCGTGTAATGGGCGTTGGCTTAAATATAGGGACCAGGCACTGACTGAACGGCCGTTACAGTTTTTTCTGTGAGCGGATTAATGCACGTGTGTCCAACTTCACTCTGTCTCGTTTCTTATGTCCTAGCAATCAGTCGTGATCCCTCTTTACCGTCCACCGTTCCAAAATTTTGATTGATTTAGTCGTCACGCTGCTTTGTCCACCTCTCTAATTTCCCCTTGGCTGGGAGACACCACAAGTACTGCACTGTGCGCTGTATCCCTCCTACAGTTTTATGGGGGTGAATGTCGCGAATTGTCCTTTCTACATTTGCTTAGTAATGCGGTTGCATTGAAGAAGTCCTTTGCATGTGTCGGGCAGGCGCAGTACCTGCTATCGTCTTGGCTTGAAGTTGTGTGTACCGTTTTCCTAGTGGTGTCACAACCTTTCTTTCCTAGTTTCTTATGAGTCTACTTTGAGGAGCTATCCTACGAGTCGCTATGGAGGTTGCTTTTGGCATACCCCGGCCTTGCCCTCATGAAGAAGGGCCTTACGCAATCTTGGCGGGAACCCCTTCCCACTTGCCTCCAAGACCATGCGTACGAGCATCCATTCCCCTATGTAACTAACGGTTTTTCACATTCACGTCATTGGAGACGCACATGCATCCTACCACGAGCCAAGGCATGCAATGCGCAGAAGCATCAATCCTAAAGCATACATGTGATATGCGACGCGCCTTTCCGACCCATGGGTCACACATGGGCACGAACTTCACTAACTCTCAAGGACATACCACATGTGCTACATTGCCCACGACAGGTGTCTTGCCTCGACAGCATATGGCTGGTATTCGGTATCTACGGCTGGCCGCTGATGGCAGTATCGATAGCCAATACCCGTGAGGTGTTGTGGATAGCCCACAGGCCTCACAGTGCGGCGAGGGCGACAGGGCGAGGGCAACGGGGCGGCGGCGACCCGTGGTTCTCCCAGCACCATCCCAAACCTGCTACAAAAGGGAGGTTATACGAAATCGGTCAGGAGGAGGGATCGATGTGACCCGCCCCAGTTGGCGCCCCAGACAGTAAACGCAGGTGCATGATATGTATGCGCGATTGCATGCAGATTCAGGACCTTGCATGTCATGGCTGACACACCTAGCCGCCGTACCTTTGGAGCGAGATGCCGTGCGCTGATCAGCTTGGCTGCCAATGGTGATGGCGGTGAGGGGCTGAACGGCTGCGGAGAGGGTGGTAAGGGACGACATGGCCTGGCCCCTCTCTGGATGACGACGAACGAGGGGAAGGCTTGCGATGGGTTGGGTTTGTATGTTACGCATGATGGGTATACGAAGAAAAGAAGGAAAAAGCATAGACACTTGTTGTCCCACGGCGGCATCAGCGTGGGCCAGGTGGAGCAGCAGTACGGCAACACGGACACCTCGGATCTGGTTTCGGAGCTGTGTACGGCAGGGGCTGCGGAGCTTGGGGTGCAGCTGCCTGTTGCTTGTTTGTGGGAAATGACCCCTGCACCGACCCGCCGGTTCACGAGCTACCATACCTCCATACGTGCGTCCTGAATGATGCAAGGTACACGCGAGCTCGTCAGTCGTTGCCCCTTAGCAGCACGAATATAGACGCTCGTGTGTTAGCCGGTTACATGACACGCAACAATGGGTACCAAGCGCAGGGGTGCGAAACAGCACGTTGGCGTTGTCCCCTTTCAGCACCCCCCCTTTCCGTAAGAACATGGCTCTTGTGGTCCAGTTAAAAGCAGCTCAACCGTTGCAGGCCAGGCCATGTTGCTCCTCCGGGGTGCCCTATGGACCGCAACAGCTCACAGCCATACATGGTGCCACGGGTAAAGCCGGCAATGTGTTTCTTCCCTCCACCTAGCAGCAGCCGGCGCTTCGGTGTGCACTTCGGGAGTCATGGCCAAGCCGGACGGGTGGTAATTTCTTCTTCCTCCCACCTAGCAGCAGCAGCAGCAGCAGCATGGGATGTACCCACCAAGCCCCACAACTCACTCATGATCCCAACCCCAAGTCGCACTGCCTAGCCCCTGATCTTGCCACCAGAAAGGTAGCCGCCACATCTACTCTGTACGGCACACCATGACGCCCAATTGAACGCTGCCGTACTCCGAACGACCCCAGTGAACGCGATTCCGAGCACTCCTCCCTCAGCTCTCATCTCCCTACTCCAAACCTGTTCACAGCTCCTCAACTGCTCCTCCAAGCAACTCGATCAACCCTGCCACCCCCCATACCACTACTTGCTACATTCCGCCCCTCATCTGCCAGCTCTGCTGCGAGCTGCTACCTCAGCGCTGCCGCTTCCCCTCCTGCTCCCCACCCGCAACCACTTCACCGCGCTTCCGGCGCCCCAGGATTCCGCCTCCGCCCCCGGTGTCCCCCATGCTGCCTCCTGCGCCGGGTCTCATGACGTGAGCTGGCAGCAGCGCAGCAACCACGGAAGCTGCTGCGGCGGCAGCTGCACTTGCAATGGTGTCTGCTTCCCCCTCACCCAACCCAGCATAGCCTGCTAGCTGCATGCGAATGGAGGCTGCCACTGCCTCCCTCAGTGCCGCATCCCCGCTGGGGCCAGCCGCCCGAGCGGGGGTAGCCACTGCGTCGGCTGCGTCGTTGCTTGGGGCGGCAGCTTCAGCTGCTGCGGTGGATGGTGGGGCTATTGCTGCCACCTGGTGCTGCTGCTGCTGCGGCGGCGGCGGCGGCGGCGGCGGCGCCGGCCCCTGCCCCTCATGAGGCTCCTCGATTTTCACCCGTGGGCTAAGCTGCAGCATCTGCGGCTGCGGTAGCGCTGGCAGGCCTCCTCCGGCCTCAGGCACGACCCATGGGTCGGCTTGCAGGGTCGCAGGCATGGGTGCGCCTTCCCTGGGCTGTACCGGCCGCCAGCCGCTGCCTCGTGGACTGGGACAGCGGCCAACAGGGCCACCAGGAGCAGGAGCAGGGCCAGGAGCAGGAGCAGGGCCAGGAGCAGGAGCAGGAGCAGGGCCAGGAGTAGAAGCAGGGCCAGGAGCAGGGCCAGGAGCAGGAGCAGTGACAGCAGCGTCATGGGCTGTAGCACCGGCACCTGTTGCTGACCTGGGGATGCCGCCTGCCGCTGTGCTTCCTTGCAGCTGCTGCTGAGCCTGCAGGTCCCCTCCGCAAACCCCGTCATCACCCGCCACCACATGTGTGACGGCTACTGCGCCCGCCATGGAAGGACCTGGCGGCGTGGCGGGTGCAGCGGCAGCAGCGGGTGTAGCGGCAGCGGCAGCGGCTCCCGACCCCACACCTGGGCCGACTGCTGCTGCTGCCGGCTCTTGTTTTACCCGTGCATGCAGAGGCTGTGGAGGTGCCGGCGGGGGTCCAGGTGCCGCACCGGCGGTACCCTGCACCGCAGCCGCCAGGACCCCGGACATGCCGCCTGCCGCCGCCACAACTAGTCCAGGGGAGGTGCTGCCTGCGCCTGCTGGGGTGGCTGCCTGCTGCAACTGCTGCCCGCCGCTGCCCTGCACCTCCACCACGGCCCTCCCATCCCGCACCACCAGCTGCAACCCCCCGCCCCCGCCGCTGCCCCCCTGCTCCCCCAGGCTCTCCAGCAGGCCTGAGGCGCCACGGAAGTAGCAGCGGCCCTCACACTGCTCCAGCCGCACCTCGTGCCGCTGCAGGGCGCGCCCGGACGTGGCGGCGTGCAGGGTGAGGGCGGTGTGGTTGGAGGCAGCAGGTAGGACCGCGCGCAGCTCCTCTGCGGCGCACGACAGCTGCTTGCGATTCAGCTGCAGACGCACCGGAGGGGCTGCTGTGGCTGGGGTGGCGGCGGCAGCAGCAGCGGCGGCGTCCTCCTTGTCCTCCTCCTCCTCCTCGTCCTCCTCCTCCGCCGCCGCTGCTTCGTCGCTGCTGCCGCTGCTGCAGTCATTGCTGTCTTGAGCCGCGTCATCGCTTACATTGTCGTCACTGCTGCCGCTTGCGCTGCTGCTGCCGTTGCCGCCATCATCACCGCCGCCATCACTGCTAACCTCGCCGCCCGCTGCCTCATCCGCCGCCTCCTTCCCCGCCCCCTGGCTGGCCCCCGGCCCCCGGCGCGGCCCCACCTGCTGCAGTGTAACGCTCACACCGGTGATGACGTCACCGCTCCCGGGCGCCTTCACCGCCGCCAGGTGCAGCAGGTCCCCGGCCTGAGCGTGCCGGGACCTGAACCAGGAGGTGAGGCCGGTGATGGTCCATTGCGTAAACCGCGTGAGACAAATTTGTGACACGTCATGGTTCCTGTGGGCTGCTGAGATAGCTGACCTGCCGCATCCACTGTCCACACCTGGGCCTTCCGACCAAGTGGGCCCTCTCCGTGGAACCCGTTGGCTCCGAGCAGCTGCACCACCGCAGCCTTAGGTACACGCACCTGCGATTTCTTGAGGAAGTACTGCGTCACCTTCAACGCCCAGCTCCTCCACCTTAACTCGTGGAGCCGCAGCGTTCCCATCCGCTGCAGCTGCGACATTGCTGTCCTCCATCAGCTGCTGACTGCTGTGGCTGCCTGGTGGTGCAGGGTGGGTGAAGCAGCGCTGCCGTTGTGGCAGACGGCGAGATTGTCGCAGGCGGCAGCTGCTGCCCTGCTTAGGCTGCCTTTGTAGGTGTAGAGCCCTGTGCGCCTGCTTTTAAACAACCAAGCAGTCCAGCAACTATTGTTATTTAAACTGTGCGGAAAATGGTTAGTCTGTGGCGTTCTTGTTCGCCGCGCTTAGGAAGGCGTCGGAAACGTGCAGAACTAATTAGAACGGGCAAGCAGCGTCAACTATACGTTGCTTCAACTTTTTCAGCAGTAAGCAGTAGGAATGAAGTGCGGGAATGAGCCTTTGAGGCAGAAATGGGTCATCCCAGCGCTTCCCGAAACCAGCGAACCTCGCCATATTAACACGTAACATTGTAACCTAGTAGAAAAACTGCAGTAAACACAAACGGCGTTACTTTACGTTATAAGAGTCTACCGCAACTCTGGTAGCGGAGGTGTGTCTCGACCGTGCCACCGACCCGCCGGGTCACCGACTGCCGGGTTGCGGCCTCACGCGCACACCCGTACGACGCAACGTGCCATGCCACCAGCCCCGCTCCCAATCACATACCCGTGCACTACAAAAGGCTGTGGTGGACTCAATCGGCTCATTCACGGCTCGCATCCTCCTGCTGCCTGTGGCCAGCATTGCGTGCAGGTGTGCTGAGTAAAGAGCTATTCCAGGAATCAGGGCACCCGGACTGCACAGCACTGGAAGTAAAGAAGGAGCTCCACACGTCTCAGTCGAGGTGTACATGACTGCTTGGTGAGTCTCGGACCTTCGTAGGGCAACCGTGTACGGCAGGGGCTGCGAGCTTGGGGTGCAGCTGTCGGGAGGAGAACAAGGTGGAGAGGCTGAGGGCGTATGCTCGCAGTGTGGTGCATTACGGAGAACGGTAGGATGCAACACGGGACGCCATCATCCCCGCTCCTAGTCACGCCCCCATGCAACTTCATGGCTGTCGTGAACGCACTCGGTGCATGCACTCGCTTTCCCTGCCCGCCGAGCACACCCTTCTGCCGGTGGCTTGGCAGCAGTGCATGCAGGTGCTCCTGCCATGTATAAACACTTGACGTGATTTTGTCGTTTCTCTTTCGTAAGCGCATGACTGAGCGAGTCCCGGTAACGGTTGTTTGTTTCGGACCTGGTTTCGGAGCTGCGTACGGCAGGGGCTGCGGAGCTTGGCGGGCAGCTGGCGGGCGGGGAATGAGGGCCGTATGCTCACAGCGTGCCGCACTACCCCACCGCGATTAAGGAGGGGAGGGGAGAGAACTAATGGTACGGGAAAGCAAAGGCAGACTTCCCCGCTATCCACCTGCTGCTGCCACCCGCCTCATCCTCATGCCGTACGCTCGCAGTTCCCCTGGCGCACGCACGGCGAGGGCGCAGGCGGAGGCGCGGCCCGACCCCTGGCCCCACCACACCGCCCCGCCATAAAGTGGTGCGGTGGAGATGGAGGCCAACGGCTGCAGCGCAGCACGAATGCCCTGCAAGCACTGGCACGCGTGTCTCACACCCTACCGGTACATCAACAAGGCAACTCTGTACTGTAGCTAGTACCCTCCTGCTCGTCCCTACCTGCTCTTCCCTCCCGAGCGGCTGTTGTATCCACACAGCAGCAGCAACGACATTAACTCTCCCTGCCCAGCAGTTGCACCAGCGCACCCGTCTGCTGCTGCTTCGGTCCCTCCCTCCCTCAACCACCTTGCCTGGCTGCCCCTCCTCGCCGCCCAACTGCCCTCCCTCGCCAGCTTCCCCCAGCGCCCCACCACTATACGATGTCGGCAGAGGGGTTGAGGGTGCAAACAGCTTAGCCCCCCCGAGGATGCAGATGCCGTACGCCGGTTCGTTGGTGCCGGGTTAGCAGCACCCCAGGTTCGCTCCCCAAGGTCAACGCCCAGTTGTAGTCCTAGACGACTGCCGTACACAAGACACACTGCATACGCCGCATGCCTGGGTTCTAGTTGGCTTACAGCTCCCCACGTTCCCGGTCTCCGTCGCCTCCCGGTGGTCTCTACATCTAATTCATATCCATGCATATACAGTGGGCACGGCTCATAAGAGGAGAGGGCCGCTGCACATGCACACGAGGAGCCCAGGGAACAATGCATGCATTAGGCAGTACGACACACAACGTGCATCCTATTCTACGCTTTCCAGCGGGGTCCCCTTTCTCAGTGCAGCACCACGACGTCCCACTTAACAGTGGCCTTAGCATCCTGCTTCTCAACAATGCATGTAGGGACCGGTATACGGGGTTCTTACTTCCATGCCTGCCGCTCGATCCGCCTTCCCTCTTCTCACTTTCTGACACACAGCTTACCCATGCCGTACAACTTTTCATTTGCCAATGCCGTACACCTCACTGCTTGCCAATACCGTACTCCAGGCGGTACAGCGCCGCCCCCAGGGTCGACTCCCTGCGCAGCACCTCGAAGCTGCAGTGCTGTACAACGCTCAGCAGCACTCGCGCGTGACGTGCCAGACCGGCCCAGTCCCAGGGGTCCTGGCTCCCGCCTGGGGCCTGCACATGGGGAGGTGCGTGGGAGGGTAAAAAAGAAATTCCAAAGTGTGGTGTGATAATGATATAAGTTGCTGACAATCCCTGGTGGAATCAACCGTGAGTCGAGCCGAAAAGGTGGGGGGGTGGGGGTCGTCGGAGGTGGGGTTGGCAGCCGTGTGGGAGGAGTTCTGCAGCTTATTGCTGCTCGCTACCTCCCAGCGTTACAGCGGAACCCCACAACAAGTCCCATTGTCCGGTCGCCACCGGGACCACTCACGAACCCCCATTGTTTTAATTTGAATAAGTCGCCGACAGTAACCAAGCAAGTTAGTCAAGCCGACAGTCCCACGGCAGAAGCGTACCGAGGACAAACGCAGGTCTGCAGCAAGTCTGGTGGTTTCGGTGCATGCTGGCAGGTGTGCATGACTGCAAGTGGTGCTGCTGTTGCTACTGGCGGTACTGCCGCAGCCGCTATGTGGGACTGCTCACCCGTGCGACATTGCAGGTGGGGTCGATGGGGTGGATGATGAAGGGCCCATCCGCGCCCCAGCACCCCCGGAAGCGCATGCCCTGCTCCCGGCTGTAGCCCCCGTACTGCCTAGCGTCCAGCAGCACCACCACCCCGGGTTGAAGCAGCCGCGAAGACAGGTCCAGAGCGCGCAAGAACACGCGCAGAAGCAACATCCTGCATGGGAGGGAAGGGTGGTGCAGGGCCTTGCAAATGCGTGACCCATGAGTCGTTCAAAGCGACTGGTAACTAGCTTCGAGACGTAGAAGGCATGTCACAAAGGTAGGAAATTAAGAATATGGTTGGAGGAAGGAGAGGGCAGGTAAGCGGCGAGGCCCTCCTAGCCGGCAACCGTCCGCTGGGTTCCTGCTCCCCACCTGCTCTCACGCACGTCCGGCAGCCCCTTAGCGCTCCACCCCCGCTGCTGCTGCCCCCCCTTCTGCTGCTCCTGCTCCTCCTGCTGGAATGCCGCCAGCACAATCAGCTCGAGCGCCACGGAGCGCAGGTTAGGCGGGCTCAGCAGGCCCCGCTCGCCCAGACCGCACTTGACCCAGGCCTGAGGGCAGCGGGGAGGGGGAGCGGCATGTTCAGGCGTGGTCAGCTGCAGGCGGTCAGCCATGCTGTCAGGCTAAACCAGGTGTACGCTTAGCAACGCGAAGTGAGCAGAAGCAGTCAGACTGCAGGCGCGCAAGTCCGACCGCGGGTGCAATGTTTCGTAAAGTACTGCACTGGGAAGCCCCGTCTCTATGCCTTACTCGCAAGGCGGGTCTCGGTCTTGCCGCACCTCTTGTTGCACGCATACACGCGCCATACATCACGCCATGCGGATCCTGTCATGCTTAAAATCCGCCCACCTTAAACAAGCGTACAGCCTGGTTAGCGACTGTGTGTTGGTCGCCCACAAACTTCGTGAGTGACTCCACCACTCCCCGCTCCCTCGCCCCGTCCGGCGCCGCAGCAGCCAGCTCCGCTATCTTCGCATCCGTCATCCGCAGCAGCGGGGCCACCAGCTCCGCCACATGCACCTGCGCCTTGTCGACCCCGGCGGGCTGGCCCTTGGCCAGGTTGTGCAGCAGCAGCACGTCCATATGCACACCGTCCGCCTCGAATTTCAGCAGGTTCTTCTCAATTTTGAGCTGTACTTCCTTTACCCCCAGCTTCTGCGCGGAGTTGGGTAGAAAACAGTGCCATAGATGCCAGTGCCTTAGACCGCCTACTACATGCAGTATAGGCGTGTGGTTGGCATGGAAGGGGACGGTGCTCCTGTGCGTGGCGCCTCATACGGGGTGCGTGCGGGGTGGGTCCGCGGGTCCTAGCGGCATTAGCGCCTGGGCAATGCTGTGTCTGCATGGCCCAACCGTGTTCAGTTTAGGCCATGTTGATTGTGGGAAGCATGCGGGGCTGGAGTGCATCGATACCCAGTCGTGTATAATGAGTACGGCATGATAGGGCCACTGACTCCCCTATGTCCGCCTTCACGGGTCACACACAGAGAACAGAACAGAGCGCCCAGTAGTAGCGGGCTGTACGGCATGTAGATTCTCAGCGGGGTACCCGCTCTGACCGATAACACGGGTAGTAATGCTCCGACATAACGCATCACATTACATGCGGCTCACGCAGCTCGTCCTGCACCTCACCTGCCGCATAAGGTCAGCACTGCTGGCAGGGTCGGCGGGCAAGTTGTTTGCGAAGACGGGCAGGTCGACATCAAACCGCCCCTTGACGCTGGTCTTGCGGCCGAAGGAGCCGCCCTTGTGTACCCGATCCACACTGACCTGAGCGGCGGGGAAGCAGCGTGGTGCTGGGTGCGCTAGCTAGGGTGTTGGGGGCTGGACAGCCGGGGGACAGGCGGTCATGTATGGGCACGTACACCCCAACATTCGCCAACACGATTGACTTCTCGTGCGCTACACAGATTCCCACCAGATGTATCCACGACCAGGGTTGCCTCCTCGCAACCCAGAAGGACTCCAAGAGGTCAGGACGCAAGCTGTACCGCACACCCATCTCGTACGTACCTCGTCCAGGGCATGCAGGGTGCGGGCAACGCGGTCCACAGCTTTCCTGCTCGCCTCGTTCTCCTCGTCCGAGGGGATCACCAGGTTCGGCAAGTCGTTGAAGCGACGGAGGTAGGTCCCGCACGTCGTTCCATCCATGAAGTACACTTTTGAGGGCGGGTTGACACTCCGCCCGGATTGTAAGACAAACCCTTCCTTGCCGTCCTCTTCCTCTTCCTCTTCCCCTTGCAGGTTCAGCTTTGCAAGGACAGCCTCCAACTCCTGAAAATCGTCGGCGCCCATTCCGCTACTGCTACCGGCGCCGCTGCCGCCGCTGCTGCTGGCACTTGCGTTGAGGATGTGCGCGGAGGCGGCCTCCGAGCGCTGCTCGCTGCAGTGCGGGCAGACCAGGCGGTCCGCGCTGCCCTCCGCGTCTGCAGCTTGCAGGCAGCTGAGGTGGATGGCCAGGTGGCCGCAGCCGGGCAGGTAAGCCACCTGCGAGCGGGAGGTGAAGAGGTATCCGCGGCACAGCAGGCACTCCCGGTGCATGGCGTTGGGCGCGCAGGTGTGGGTCTGCGGGAGGCAGGAGAAAAGAATCCAGTGTGTGGTGATACTTGTAGTGGTAAACTAGCTGACTGGGGGGGAGGGTCTGGGGAGCCAAGTTACTGGTAGTATGGGTAACGAGTGGCAGGGGGGGAGAAGAATAATGGGTTGAACGATGCCGGTAAACAAGAAGACAAGCTCCAAGTGGGGGCAGGTTGGGGGGGAGGGTCCAGGAAAGCCGCTGCGGGGTGTGGTGAAGCATTACCCCTGGTAGGGGTTAAAAGGGGGGGAGGATGGATGTGGGAGAGATGGTTGCAGGACATGTGCGCAGCAGCAGGCCTGAGCCAGGGTACAGTGTTACTTCTCGTTGATTGGGAGTGTACTGTGAAGCGGGGAGGCTGAGATTCTAGGGCCCGCCCAGCAAGGCAACGTGCAAGCCTGAATAGGCACTGCGTGGACCCTTTACGCACGGCTTCCTAAAGCAGTACAGCGTTGGTTCCGTATCTCACCGCGAAGTGAGTCGTCGGCAGGCAGGCGTCACATGTGTCGCAGTGACGGTACTGCTCCCGCTCCCCCAGCCGGCAGATACCGCACTTGTCACAGTGCCACATGTCCTTGTCGTGCGAGTACACGTGGCAGACGGTGCATGCGTGCTTCCTTCCGTAATCAGCTCCGCAGTAAACACAGTAGCCCATCCAAGTATTTGGGTTATCGTGGCTGCACTTCAGGCAGCGCAACCGCTGGATGCTGCGACGGTCGAGCTTCGATCCACAAGGCGCATCCTGTTTGGACAAATTGCACCAAATGTGTTATAATATTGGCTATTAAATTGATTATACGGGGCAAGCGCATGTGGGCACATATGCATAAGGTAGCTAAATGGCCTGGGCCGGCGTTTGCCTGCTTTAACTGTGGCTTTTCCAATTCCCTGTCAATCCGAATCCATTAACCTTCTACAAATTCTCGCCTCGTCATGACAGACATGACAAGCAAAAGCCTCGTCGTCGCAACATGGTGCCAGCAGCAGGCAACCTCGCGAATAATGATTGCAGCAGGGACCGTTCATCAGAATAATAGTTACTATTTCTATACAGTCCTGGGAGTTTGATCCTTATCAGGCTTGCGCTGACGAGCTAGACGTATGTGCTCCTAGAGCAGCTAGTGCTCCGCTTGGCAAATAGCTTGTTATTAGCCTGTGCAGAAATGGGACTCTGAATGAACCAAGTTCAACGCAGAACCGTGCGGGCCCAATATGATGCAGATCGGGGTGCTACGGCGTGACCTGCAACCTTGTTGAAATACACTTGCGATGTACCGGTACACAGGTCCTGACTCCCTTGTAATAATCGCACGCGCTAGGAGGGTGCAGGAGGGGCACGTATCCATACCAGTACCTGGATATGGCACCTTTGCGGCAGCGGCAGGTCCATATAGAATGCCAAAACCAATAACCCCATTTCGCAAACCCCACCCTGGTTCCAAGCCGCGTCCAACAGGCTCTGTTCCTAATTACCAGGGCTGCTTACGCCTATGCGCTAAAGCCCCGCTCATGCTTTGCGAGTACAGCATGTGTAGCTAGAATACGGCAGAGGTGTGACAAGACAGACGGCGTGCATCGTGTACTTCCCGTCCATCACACCGCAATAACCCTGCGACAATACCCGGCGTAACATGTTTTTGAACTCGTTACAAGGGAAACTAAGTCGAATCTGCAAGCCTGCCACAAGCAGCGGCTACTACCCAAAAGGACAGTAACACCGTAACCGTTAGTACTACTGCTACATGAGTTAAACGACCTAAACAAGCATATTAACGCAAGGTCAACGCCTATGACTGGCTCTTACATCGGCTATGCCTGCCTTACAACACCCAACCTGCTGTAACCCCGGCACTCCCTAACCGCTGCTTTACATCAGCGATAACAAAAATGATGGTCACTAACACTTAACAACGGCGCCGTCGCAAGTCAACAACTGCTTTGTTGCAGCAGACGTCAAAGCGGCCTAGGGAAGTTCCTCCTACACTACAATAGCATAGTACTTCCCGCATTGGCCCTCGAGAAAGGTGTTGCCCTCCCTCATCATCATGCAAGCCGTTTGCTCACACATAGCAGACAGCCAAAACGGATCGGGCAACATGCCAAGCCAGCTATCGGTACCTTAATTGCACGCAAAGTCATGGGCACATTCAAGGGTATGCCACGCCCGAATACATAGCTCAAGCTCATCTCGTCAGCGAAACGTATTGTAGAAACACCGCAACGAGCAGGGGCACAAGGGGTGCAAAGCAGCATGCACCCCTTGTAAACAAAACGAATCACCATTTAGCCGGGTTAACAGCAGCGGCAGCAGCAAGATGCCAGCACGCTCCTATAATAGCAGCCCACAACCGAGCATGTTGCAGACATCTGCACACGCGCGGTAAGTTACCAGCAACCTATACCCCGAGCCTGCCGCCCGTCCCTCCACACGCCCCACAACGTACCCCGCAGCACCAATCCCCCATCAGCGAGCCACATGCGACACACACAGGGGCACTCGCGGCCACACAACACAGGGGCACCCCCTCCGCATGGCCTAGTCCCACGTCCTTGCGCCACGTCAACGGGGCACATACCAGGATTAGTAGTTCGAAAAGATATACAAAGTCAGCATCCACCGCCATCCGTCCATCCATCAATCCACCACCATCCCTGCAAGCCACAAATAGTGCTAATCCCGTACCCTACCCCTCACAAGACGCCACCCGCCTTCCCTCCGAGCAAACTCCTCGCCCACCAAACACCAACCAACTAAACCAACCTCCTGCCTCTTCCAGCACCCAGCGCCCTTTCCCTTTCCCTCCTGGGATTGGGACTTAGTTGTTTGCATTTCTTATATAATTTTCCCCACCCATACCCTACCCTCCCGCCCCCGCATCCCTCAAGCTCAATCCTCCTCATCACTCGCGCACGACCTGCACTCGTCCGGCCGGTACGACCGCACCGGGTCATACGGCTTCGGCACGTAATCCGTCGTGTACGTCGAAACCCCCTGGAACGGCCCCGTCCGCATGTTCCTCGTTGCTGATGTGGGCCGCCCCGCCGTTGCCCTGAGCCCCCCTGCCAGCGGATGGTAATCACTCTTGTAGGTCGTCACGCCGTCGAAAGGACCGCTGGCGGCAAGGGTGCCATTCGCGCTGGGACCCGCCTTGTGAACCGGTTGCGTGCCCCAGTTCTGGAAGCTGCTCTTGTGCTCCGTTGTGTCCTCAAACGGACCCGCAGCGGGCTGCAGCTTATGCGCCGGCTTCACACGCTGGTACGGCACGTCCTTCTTCACAAACGCGTCGTTGTACGTGCTGTACCCTTCAAACGGCCCCGTCTGCCTGGGCTCGTCCACTGGCCGGCCCGCACGCTCGTACTCTGGTGCCGTACGCGGCCTGAACTCCGTGCCGTACGTCGTGGAGCCCTGAAACCCGCCCGACGGCAGTGCCGTACCCGTGCCCACTGCTGGGGGTCCAGCACGCTTGGGCGGCCCGCCTTCCTTCTCCGTGTAGTGTCTGCGGTATTCCGTGGAGGGGACTCCGTCGTACCACCCCTCGGGCCGCATGGTGGCATCTGCATGGCGGATGCGCTCCGGTGGCCCCGACTGCTTGGGTGTGTAGGTGGTGCGGTGGGTGGTGGCGTCCGTGAAGGCGCCGCCGGGCAGGGCGGTGCGCTGGCCTAGCAGGGGGGCGGCGGCGGGGGCGCGGGCGCCGGGCCAGCGGCGGAAATCGTCCTGAGGAAGGGGAGGAGGGCGGAGTGGGAGGGGGGAGGGATGCAGTGAGGCGAGGATAGCTAGGGTGGCTGATGGCGGGCTGTGGCGGCTGATGATTCTGAGGAGGGGACACAGGAGGGCTGGGCTGCAATCATTCACTGCGGCCACCGCTCCCTCTCGGTGGCACACCGGCACCCGCATCAGCGATGCCCGGCATGTCACCGCCCATCCCCATCCCCATTTCCCTCTCCTCTTTCCTCCGACATCGACCCTAGTCCCGACCCCCCACACACATCCTTCCCTGCTTTCAACCCCAACGCTGACCCCAACCGCCCTCCCAGCGCTGTCCGCACACCCAGTGGTGCCCCTGAGACCGGTCCCACCGTGACCCACCGCGCACCCCACACCGCCGCCCGTCCCGCTCCACGTCCGCAACCCGGAGAACGCCCCCTTCCACCCTTCCCTGTCGCTCCCCTTTCTCGGGCTGGGCCCCCCGTTCTACCAAACCTCTTTCCATCCTGTACCCCTTTTCTCCTACTCCCGTCCCTCCCATCTACACTAGCGCATAACCGGCATAAGCCCCCCCCCCTCCCCCTCCCCACACGCCACCCACCTTGTACGACGTAACGCCCTGGAAGGGTCCGGACCCTCGCGGCACCGACACGGAGCGCCCCTGCACGGGTGTGGGCGGTCGCGCGCCCGCCCAGCCCGGGTAGGAGTCCCGCATGGTGGTGGTGTCCTGGAAGGGGCCGGCGGGCGGCTGCAGCCGGTTGACGGGTCGTACCCGGGCGTACGGCACATCCTTGGCGGGGAAGTCCACTCTGAGGGGTGAGTTGAAGAAGAACAGGGGAGGGCAGGGGAGGGGTTAGGGGAGGGGATTAGGGGAACTGGAGGGTGGGGTACGCCAGGGTTGGAGGATGGTGGGGAAGGGGCAAGGCTCACTGGGGAGAGGTTTGGCGGTCATTCGTTGCTGCAGGGCCGGTGTCTTCACTTACCCGTCAACCTTCATGCACCCTAATGATGCATACCCGGGTATCCGCAAACGTTTTCCCACGTTCACCGGGCACCGCTTCCGTTACTTACTTGTATGTTGTCCAGGGGCTAAAGGGGAGGTTCTCCTTTTCTCCCGGGGGTGGCCGGAAGGGCTGAGCTGCCTCGGCTCCTTCAGGTTTCTGTACCGATAACCGCGACAACAGACGCACTTAGCTTCGCAGCGGTTTTATGCGTACGACAGCACAGCACCAGTACATACCTTGTAACTAGTTCCATAGGACGTGGTCCCGTCGAAAGCGCCGTTGGCCCCAAGTTGGCTTCGTGGGTACGTTGGTGAAACGCGTTCGTGGGGAGCACGTTTCTCCCAATATTCCTGCATATCCCAGTCCTTGTGTTAAGAACAAGCAGAGTGGTTTGCGTAGCGTGGTCGCGTTATCCTGGCTTGCCTTTTGGTACTCTGTTAGGAGCGCTCCTTCTGTCCAAGGCTCCTTCTTGTTCCTTCCCTTGCAGCATGGCTTCTGCATTTAGGAATAAATTAAATACTGCTAAGGAGGAGGTCGTACTGAAGTCGCCAACGACGAACGCGGCCCACACCATCCGGCGACACTGCTGCCCTACGTTCCATGCAGCTCTTCCCGAACCCACTACAGCTTGGCAGGAAAGTCTCAATCCTAATGGGTGTGAGCCGAACAATTGTGACGAACCTTTTTTGGCTTCATCGTTAATGTCTGCGTAAGAAGCGCCTGCTGTTCCTCCACTTTTGCTGCCGACATTGTTCCTACACTAACTTCTTTAATTTAAGCTAAGCGATTATAGATGACGTCGTTACTCTATGGCTTGTGCAAATACAACTAAGCACCATCAATCACTATTGGCCTTTGCAACGCCTAAACTTCACCACTGACATTTCGTTTATACTGGATAGGCTTAACTGTAGCGAGTAGCTTGGGACTATTCGATGTTCTCGATGTACGGAATACGGCCAGCCCGAAGTGCAACGGCCCGAAATATGCGAATTCCATGCGATACATGCATACATTTTTGTGGCATGCAAGCTGAGAGTATCCCTAGCCGCTCGGTTACTGACTTTCCATGCTCACTTCATAGCGGATAGCGTGAGCGGATAGGGACATACCCCAGCGTGGGTATGCCAGATAGGTTGTCTTAACACTTTTACACCTTTATAAGACATTGATGGTAATGCTTCGATGGGATATACTTCACAACATTTGCCACCATTGTCGATGACGCCAAATGTCACCGTTTGTGACCAAGCACTGAAAGCTGCCGGTAAGATACACCCCGTATTAACAGCAACCGACATAACAAGCACGCAGAGTGCCTCCGGTGCTTCCGGCTACCTAACGAACGCGGTTTGCAACAGTCCTGTTGGTCCGGTCCGTAACACCGACCCGAAGGGCCCATCAACAGGTCCTACCGCTCCGCCAACCCCTTGAGGGTGCCTCAGCAGCTTTGCATCTGTGTATTACTCCGTAAATACAGCCCCGGCTATGCGTCCTTGCCAGCATCACAACCTGCAGCTCCCCCTATCGTACACAAGCATTGCCCACCTCCCAGTCGACGTCCATCTCACCCGCCCAAGACGAGGTGCAAGGGAGTATAGTAAAGGTGGACTGCAGTTAGATTGCCGCCATGCTTAAGGGGCACACCAACAAAAACCCCTTAGCCCCCACTACGTCCCCAGCCTCCACCTTAGCGCCCTGGACGCAAACTTAAGCACTCCCCTCCATCTTGAGTGGCTCCCCCTCCTTGGACTTGAGCTGAGCTGCCACCTCGTCAATCGAGGCATTCAGCTGAGCAATCTTGTCCAGCAGGTCCTCCTTCGTCTGCTCCGGGTCCTTAGGCTGCTCGTCCTCCAGGAAGCGTGGCAGCTTTAGCCGCTGGTCGTCGCCAAGGAGCGCTTTGGAGATCTGGGCGTGAGGGGTGGCAGTTAGACCTCAGGCATCAGGAGGTTCGAAATGACCACATCCAAGCGGGCCTGCAAACTGCCCACCTGGGGAGCGAACAGGAAGCCCAAAGCGCCAAATACTACGCCTCCGACGACGACACCTGCAACGAAGCTGTCGCTGCTGCGTCCATTGCTCTCGGCCCTGTGAGCGTTTTGACGGCAATTGGTCAGTCACCAACGGGGCCCTTATTATTCAGCCAAGGCGCAAACCAATATTAGCGTATGTCCAAATGCATATAGAGCCTCACCGCACGACAACTGCGGTCCGCGGGCGTGCGAGCGGCAGGGCAGGGCGCACCCGGTGCGCCTGCGAAGCCCGCTGAGAAACAACACCTACAATAGTGAAGTTAGAGAAATAAGGTTCCTAACAAAGATGCTTTGACTAGCGGTGACGTGCAACGACTGCAAGTCTAGACGGCCGCCCTTGAAGGTACAAGCAGCAATCCTACCTTGTTGACGCAGAGCAAGAGCCATGTTGTAAAAGCGTAAACTACACTGGAAGGCTGCGCGATTGGCAAGGATCATGAGTGAAACAAATGGTCTCGGAGCACAGATTGGTCATTACAATTGATACGAGGTTGCCAAGTAGGCAGCTTACAGTGTCACGCAACTAGCTGAATGAGGGGAAACCCGGTTAGATTTCCATTGAAGACTTTCGAGAACCACTCCGAGCAACATCACCCTCGGAACGGCCCGCACTTTGGACCGTAGCCTTGACGTTCGCACCGTAAACTAGATGCCGCTGGTCATGCCAACATTACCCACGATGCCGCTGCACTTGTCGACAGCGGCGGGCGCGCTGCTGGCGCTTGTGCTGCTCCTGCCAGTTATCATGCTCATGCTGCGGCCGCGCACATCCAGCCTGCTGCTCTCCAGCTGGCCGCAGCCGCTGTGGCTTTACCTCCAGGCCCTTGCCGCTGTGGGAAAGAAGGGCAGCAAGAAGGGCCCCGGCAAGGCCATCCAGGTGCGCTGTCCACTGAGCTCTCTCCGCTCCCAAGTGCTTCGATTTGACCTCTTTGGATCTCGTTCCCCCGACCTCGGGTCACGGCCTCTCCCCGTGCTGCACCAGCCCAGGCGCCCTGCAGTAGCCGTGGCATGCATGCCAGCGGTCTGTTATGACCCTTTCCCGCCTCCTCTTCCCAAAAGCCCCAAACCTCCCAAGTCTCAACCCTCAACAGCACTCCGCTAGGCCTTAGGCGCCACCCCTCCGCCCCTGCTCCTTCCCTTCACCGCACTCCACCCCCGCCTGCCCCCCTCCCCCCCCTCCAGGTCATCCTCTCCCGCCCCGTGCGCAGCTCCCCCGCCCGGCTGCGTCGCTACCTGGCACTGGCTGGCTTCCCCGAGGGCGGCAGCGGCGGGTCGCTTCCGCTGATGTACCCCATGGTGGAGGGCTTCAGGCTGGTGAGGCGGGGAGGGGGGTCAAATTAGAGCAAACCATATGAAGCCACAAATGGGCAAGTTACCGGTATTCGGGGAATGAGGCAGCAGGGATTTACAAGACAGGAGGACAAATGGCCCCTACCGAAACCGAGGCAGGGGGGAGTGAGGGAAAGAAGGGCGTAACCCATGCGTGAAAGGATGTGGGCAATCTTTGCTGCGGGGTCCCGCGGTGGTTGTGAGGGGGTGCAGGAGGCGCGCGTGTGCAGCGGGCGTGCGGAGGGGGAGGCGAAGGGGGGTAAGGAGGGAATGCCTGGCTGTGATGACTAGGCAAGGCAAGGCAAGGCCACCCGCCGGACCTACTGCGCCCGCCAGCCCATGCTAGGAGGGTGGATGGATGGATGTATAAAGCGGGAGGCCAGGGGCGGAGGAACAGGGGTCGGGCAAGCACTGGGCAGCACCAGCAACGTTCCAGCTGCGGTGTCACGTCGCCGCCCTTTTCCACGGCTGGGCGGACTGGGGCTGGGTGGTGGTGGGCCCGCCCAGCCAGACAGCCCCTAACGCATCGTATCCGGAATGCAGTGTGAGGTACGGTATGCCTCCTGCTCCTCTCCCCCCCTACCCGCTCCCACGTCGGGACATGGGGCTTTGTACCTCACCTGTCGGTAACTTTGCCCCTCCCCCCTCCCGCTCCCCTCCCGCCCACCCCCCTCCCCCCCTCCCCTCCCCCAGGTGATGCAGTGCATGCTGCTGCCCGCCTTCCCCGTCAACGTGCTGGGCAGTGTGCTGGGCGGCACGCGGGTGCTGGCGCTGAGGCAGCTGGGGGCGGAGGAGAAGCTGATGTACAGGTGGGCCGATGGGAGGGGGGCTTTACAGCGGGGGCAGGGAGGGGTGGTGTTTACCGCGAAGTCTGCAGGTGTGAGGGTGCGGAGTACATGGCCCTGTATGTGCGCAGCGCCCCTGTCGAGGTCTTCCCGCGGGGGGAGAGCCCTCGCGGTGCTGTCGGCCGCATCGCATACCCCTCGGTACGTCTATCATCATCAGCTTCCCCCGCTCAGATTTTACCGCCTTGTCCCCTCGCCCGCGTTACTCTGCCATAGAGCAGGGCTGCGGTAAAACAGCCCTCCTCTCCACCGTCACCCCTGCCTTCGCCATCGGTGTCCTCCCTCGTCTTTCCCTGCTCTACTTTACCATACTTCCTTCTCTCTGTGTCTTCTTCCTATGGTTTGGCCCCCCCCCTCCTCCCCTTCCCCCCCAGCTGCCGTGTGGACCCCGCCTTCCGCACCACCCCCAAGGGCGATACCGAGCTGGACATCACTCTGGAGGCGCACGCAACTGCCTCCGCCCCCGCCTCCTCCGCCCCCGCCTCCTCCGCCCCCGCCTCCTCCGCGCCCGCCTCCTCCGCGCCCGCCTCCTCCGCGCCCGCCTCCTCCGCGCCCGCCTCCTCGGGCTATGAGCTGGTATGGCGCTGCACTACCACCGTCATCATCCTGTCGCCGCGCAGGGGCCGGGGCAACGGCGGCAGCAGCAAGGGCAAGGTGGGTGGGCGGGTGTTTGCGGGGGGAGTTAAAGGGCCGAAACCCCACCACTCCCTTCCTCGCGCTTCTCCTCCCTCCCTCATCTCAACACCGCCCTTACTCCACCCCTGTTCCCCATCCACCTCCCCTTAACTCCCCTCCCCCCTTCCCCCCTAACCCCCTCCTCCCACCAGGACTCCGCCCCCGCCGCCGCCCCCTCCGTCCCCCCCCACCAGCTGCTCGCCACCTGGCGCCTGGGTCCCGACACGGGCCGCCGCTACGGGCTGCTCAACGGCGACCTGAACCCCATCCACCTCTACCCCGCCACCTCGCGACTGTTCGGCTTCAAGCGGCCCATCGCGCACGCGCTGTTCCTGACGGGCGCCGCGGAGGCCGCACTGCGCAATGCGGGTGAGGGGGTGGGGGTGGGGGAGGCAGGAGTGGCAGGGGTGGTGTGTTAAGAAAACTGGCCGCGAGTAGGAACGTACTGGGATGTCGGAAGATGAAGTCCCCACAGAACCGCCGCAGGAGCCGAGGAAGATGGTAGCGTATGTACATATAGAAGTCCAGTACTGGTGCTGAGAGTAAGTAGGACGTAAGAAGCACTCTCGTAAAACGACCGGACCTAAGGCCCGTAGTAGTAAGTTATATTGTATGTAGTAGCTGACAATATCGAGTAGAGTGTGTGTGGGGGGGGGGGTCAAAGACCATATCGAACCATAGGAAGCCACAGGTTGGGGGGGCGGGTTGGGTGAACGCGGATGTTTGTATCCGCCAGGAATGGTGGATGTGTTTGGGCCGGAGTGGGTTGGTAGTGGCGGCTGGCGGCACCAACAGCAGCCACGGCACTTGCTGGTCAGGCGCGGGGGCTCGTATGCGACCACCTGGCTGTGTCCACACCCACAGCATGACGACCACCCAAGCAGCTTACAGTATGACAACACAGTGCGTGCATCAGCGCAGCGACGCTGCACCCGCTCACATGTGTACTCGGCCTGCTGTGCAGGCCGCCAACCAACCGCCTCCCTTCCCAACGTCTTCGCGCCTCACACCCCTGCCACCGCCTCACCACCCGCACGGCCCCAAACCCGCCCCCATCCCGCCCCGCACCCCTGCATCCCCCTGATGACGCCTTATCATACGTCGGTTAGTTCTTTCCTCTTTGTTCCAACCCCTTCCCCCCCGCACCCCCCAGGCCTGCAGCTGCGCTACCCCTGCGTCCTCTCCGCCGACTTCAAGCGCCCCACGCTGCTACCCGCCACCCTGCACTGCGCCTGGATCACACCCGCCGCCACCCCCGCACCGGGAGAGGGGGCAGCCGCGGGGGGTGCTGCGGGCTTCGACCCCGCCGCTGCTCTGGCCTCCCCCGAGGGCGCTGGCTTCGTGGTTCTTACGGAGGACCGGTGCAAGGAGGTGCTGGTGGGGGCGGTGAGCTGCCACGCAGACAGGGTGAAGGCGGAGATGGGGGGCGGCGGCGGCAGCAGCGAGTGATGGAGAGAAGAGGAGGGAAGGGAGAAGTTGGGGGCTGACTGCGTTCCAGAGCTGGCAGCAGGTGTGCTGAGTGGGGCGGGTGTGCGTGGGCCTTGGCGGAGTGAGGTAGATGTACGGCGGAGGTGGAGGCGGGTAGCAGGCTGCTGGTTGGTGATGAGTAGGGAGTAGGTAGGACGGGTGGGAGGGATGCGGCTAGACGTGGTTGCAAGGGTTGAATTGAAGGGCTATTCCTGGCTGGATGGCTTACTGCATGGAGTAGACGTGTGCTGGAGTTGGCTTGCTGCTCTTGTTGTTTGGAGATTGTTGTGGATTGCTGGCTGGGAAACGTTGTCCCAGTTGTTGTTTGTGCTGTTGGGAGAATGAAGGAAAACGGGTGTACGTACAGAGCCTTCATTGCTAGTTAGGGTTATCGTCGTTGGGGCAAGTTGATGCAAGTGCGTTGTGTTTGCTGCGCTGGTTTGTTGACTTGTTGGCGCCCTTCAGTGTGTCATCAGTGTCTCACGAAGTGTCTCACAAAGGGAACAAGCTGCCTCCTGCCAGAGAGGTGCCATGTGGGCCCGGTGCCTGAACAGGAGATGCACGACACGTGTACGGCGCTTGCTGGAGGCAGACGGACGGACCAAGGTGTCCGCAACGGGGTGGCTCCTCCTCTTATGTTGCAAGCGCATCATCATCGTCATTATCATCATCATCATCATCACGGCAGGGCGATGTACTTCCTTTGGGTGTTAAGCATGGGATGGTCCTCAGTTAGTTTGTGGTCAAACGGTTGTCGTTCCCGCTGTTGTTCTCGTTGTACAACCGTTGTTGCGGTTGAAGATTAGGGCCTTTAATTGTTTACGGATGCGGGGCAGTTAGGTTGTTGGTACTGCCGCCTTTGTACAGTTGCAGGTTGTACAGCATACGGTCTCCTTATGACGACCAGATGATGTGTCAGAAGAGCTGGAAAGATGGATGACAATTGCACATCCTTTGTGTGTTGGCAGGTTGCGAGGTTGCGAGGCCTACACGACTGGTGTCCGAAGGGGGAGGACTAGCATTGCAATGTCCCAACAAGGGGCTACGGGACGTCGTCTATCTGGTTGGCATGTCTTCTTCTTAGCTGTTGTGACGAGGGTTGTCAAGTACACGTGTTAGAGGCCAGGTTGCAATAGGATCAGCGCAGGCGGGCCACGTGTAAGCACCGTCGTTGTTTTATCATTTTCCCCAAGCACCCGCCAGCCTTGTGCGGACTTAACGTTACGAGAGAGCAGGAGGTACCGGTAAGTAAAAGGCGCGGAAGCCTCTTACGAAGCGTAGGCGGTGTTCTGAAAGCGGGGTGGGGGCCTTTATGCTTCCGGCACCCAGGGGGCAGTGGCCCAGTAGCAGCGGGAGGGGGCAGGCCCGCCGGAACGAGAGCGCCCAGCCGCATCTGCAGCAGCGGCTGCGAAACACGGTTACCGGTGCTCCCTCCCATGCGGGCGCTGCTGGGGTGGGGCGCTCAGGCGTTTGCCGCCCTGTGCCCTCCTGCATCGCCCTCCTCTTTCACCCTCCTCCTCTTTCACCCTCCTCCTCTTTCACCCTCCTCCTCTTTCACCCTCCTCCTCTTTCACCCTCCTCCTCTTTCACCCTCCTCCTCTTTCACCCTCCCGCATTCCTGCACTAGCTCGGAACGCACTCCATCTCGTCTTGCCTTCCTACCTGTATTCCCTTTCTCCCCATCCTGCCCACCCCCATGTCTCATGGCAGCCTCGCCCCGCCGCTCCCATCCCCACTCCCAGCGCCTGTGTACCCAGTACCTCACATCACGATTACCGTGTGTATGTATGCCATGCCAGCGGAAGGAGGCTGGCGTGCTGGCGTGTTGCTCGGGGTGTGCTCTGCGGGCTGGGATGGGGCCGCGCGGAATGGGGCGGAATGGCCGGCGCGGGGAGGTAAGCTTCCGCCCTTCCCGGAAGTTTGTGCCAGGTTTTGGTGGCGGCCGCTGGGCAGCAGGCCCCGAAGTGTCGTACGGAAAGCAGCAGCAGCAACAGGACATGATCGTGGGGACATTGCCGTGGTGCTGTGGTGGTGCTGGATGCCGCTAATCCCCTCCCTGCTGCCGCTGTTGCTGCTTGTGATACTTAATGTTGGTTGATGCCACTCCTCCTTCTGCCGCCGCTGCTGACCCCCCCTCCCTGCTCCTGTTGCTGCGTCCTGTGCGCCCCCGTGGCAGGTGCGGCTGGCTGATGCACGCGGGGTGGACCTCTGGGGCGAGCGGCGCTGATGAACAAGATGGCCAAGAACGCGGCCAAGTACCCCGCAGATCGCTGCCGGGGCTCATCCGCAAAGTACGACCCATGGCCGCAGCAGCAGCAGCGGCCGGAGGAGGAGGAGGAAGAGGAAGAGGAGCAGAAACAGCAAGAGCAGGAGGAAGAGGAGGAGCAGCCGAAGCAGGAAGAGGAATAGAATCAGGATAAAAGCAGGAGGAAGAAGAGGAGAAGCAGCAGCAGGAGCAGTTGGGAGGAGGAGCAGGACAGGTTAAGGAGGAGCAGGGGGACATAGGTGGGAAGTCTGGGAAAGGGTGCTAGGTAGTGGGAGAAGCGGTGGGGAGGTATTCGCGAAGCGATGCCTGGGTCCCTGTCCAATCATCCGTTACACGCAGCCCGCCCTCACCCGAGTGACCCATGGGTCACCCGGAGGGGGGCTCACCCTTGCCACTCACGATGTCAGCGAAGAGTAGCTATGGTGGGTGTTGCAGACACGCCGCTGCTGGGAGTGTCATGTGAGCTCATGACGAAGACGTAGAGGCGGTTGGTAGCGCGGAGCACGCGCGAGGTAGCAGCGCCGCGTGAGGGAGTTAGAAGGAAGGAGTATCAAGTTGAGATGCCTTGAGGATGAATGATACCTCCTCTTCCCTTTCCCGTATGCCTCCTCTTCCTTTGACCGTTCCACACATCTTGGTGTCATCATCCTCACAAAACTGGTATAGGCACCACCACTAAATGGAAATACGTTGCCGTATAAAAAGTTATAGCCAACTGCTTACGTGCGCTTGCCGTGCAATCCCTTGGACGGCGGCTGGATGGAGTTCCTAGCCGCGCATGTATCTTCAAATTTACCCCTGTAGTGGCCATTCGTTCATTTTACAGTGGCGCCTGTAAAAAGGAATTGCGCTAAAGCACAAGGCGCGAAAAGCTGCTTCAACCTTGAGCTTCTTGTAACTACTGGCAGCCAGACCTGCATCAGCCCTAAATAGCTGCAACAGGTTATAATCAGATGGCGGATCGGAGTTATGATTCAGAGCTACTGGAGCACGTTTGTGCGCGCGAGTTGCCGCCAGAAATACTAGTGGCAATCGTGCGCTTCCTGCCGGCCAACGAACTTGCGCTGACAGGCCGCCTAATCAACAAAGCTATTGCCGCGCATTTTCGCGGTCCTCATCACACAACCGTACGGCTGTCGCGGCCTTCTCCCCCGCACGCCTTCGCGCAGCGTTGGGGCAGTCCGGGTGCCATGCGCGGGCTGACGCTGAAGCAACGCCGGCAGCTGCTGTGCCTCACCGCCTCCTCCGGCAGCCTGGCCAACCTTCAGGTGGCAGCAGCCCGCGCGGGATGTGTGCCAACGGACGAGGTGCTCGAGGCAGCGGCAGCCGCTGGGCAGCTGGAGGCATGCCAGTGGCTGCGACAGCATGGCTGCCCCTGGGGTAACGCTCTGGCTGCAGCTGCAGGGGCGGGGCAGCGGGCGGCTTGCGAGTGGCTGCTGGCTGCCGGCTGCCCCTGCTGGACCCGGGAAGCTGTGTACGCTGCGGCTGAAGGGGGTCACGTGGGCCTCATGGAGTGGCTGCTGCTGCGGCAGCAGCCGGAGGGAGCCATGAGAGCCGGTTCGGAGCTGCTGCGGGCAGCCGCGCAGGGTTGCGACCTCACGCTGCTGAAACGCCTGTACGGTGAGGTCGGTGATCGACAGGTTAACCAGCTGGACAAGCAGCTCATCCTGTCAGCCGCCGCCGGCAGCCCCACCCCCGATTGGCAGGCCAAGGTCATGTGGCTGGAGGCGCTGGGCTTCCCACAGCACTCCTCTGCAGCCGCCGCAGCCGCCGCATGCCCTGATGCACTTAGCCGCCTGACATGGCTGCAACAGCGGGGCTACCCGATAGACGTGAGGGCGGCATATCCGGCCGCAGCACTGGGCGATATCGCCATGTTGACCTACCTGGAACAACTGCTCATCCGACATGTTTGCTTCATAACACGCCGTGCAGCTGCGGGCGGCCAGCTAGCCGCCCTGCAATGGCTCCGCATGCGCGGTTGCATGCTCGCGGCGGAAGCCCTGGGACCTGCTGCCTTTCATGGGCGCCTTGAGCTGGTTGCCTGGCTGGTGGGTGAGGTGGGAACGAACATGGGGGTCGACACGTTCAATGATGCAGTCAGCTCGGGAAACCTGGAGCTGCTGAGGTGGCTGCGGCAGCGCGACTGCCCCTGGGATGATGAAGACACCCTGAACAGCGCCGCGGGGGCGGGCAACGAGGAGGCAATTAAGTGGCTTGTGGAGCAGGGCTGCCGCTTGAAGGTGGGTGCGGAGAAAAAGTGGGGTCAAAGACCATACCAAACCATAGGAAACCAAAGGTGGGGGAAGGGTGCTGCACAAGCCAAATTGCTTGGGAAGTCGAGGAGGAGGCGTTTGCAGCCTCTGAAAGCATCCAGTCCCAATGCAAGGCCACCCAACCTGTCCTGTTACCTGTTACCGCCTCATGCGGACCCAAACAGCAGTACGCTTAGTACCTCCTCCCAACACCCACAGGAGGACGGTGAAGCCTACACGCATGCCGCCTGCAACGGCCCCCTGGCCACGCTGCGCTGTCTGCGGCGGCTGGGCTGCCCCTGGGGCCCGGTCGGGGAGACCTTCGCTGCCTGCGTCACCCAACGTGCCCCCGTTGAGGCGCTGCGCTGCCTACTGGAGCTGGGCTGCCCCGTGCAGGGGGGAGAGGCGGTACAGTCGGTACTGCCGTTGAGACGCGATGAGGATGCGCCGTACATCAACGAGGTACTCGCACTGCTGCACGAACATCACCTCGTCTAGTTTCCAGTAGCAGCAAGAAGCACAGTAAGGACAGCAGCACTGGTGGTGGTAGTGGTGGTTGTGATGCAAGCGCATGTACGGCGGTACGGCGGTATGACTAGCACGCGCAATCCTGTACGGCAGCAGTGGATGGGTGGAACTGCTTGCTGCGGTACAGTGCTGAGTTCCCGGCTACGTGATGCTGCAGGGCTGCGTGGTGCCGGCTTTGTTACAGGGCAAAACGATGTAAGGGGGAAGGAGGCCGCACTGGCTGCTCGGTGCGGGGTGAACGAATGAATGGATGATTGGTTAACCGTTCGCTTGGGTGTCAAGGAACAGGGCGAACAGAACGAGGCCCGACATATATCTTTGCGGGTGTGTGGCTGCTGTGTGCAGTGATTTCCCGAATGTTACAGAGACAGGAGATGGCAGTTGCTGGTCTAGGCGGTTAGGTGAGAGAGTGTGAGGAGAGCCAAAACGTCGCAGTGATGGTTTGTGCCAGAGGAGGAGGCGCAGGGGTGGGTTGGTGGCTTGATTGGTTGCTTGGGGAACGACAGCTGGGACGACAGGTCGGAAGCCTGGGAAGGCTAGAGTGAATGGCTTCGATCAAAAGGCCAGGTCAACATACAGGCGATAAGAGGAACCCCCCAACATGCCCTGCCTGTTTTGCATGTTGCTTAGCAGCAGGCCATACCCACGGCATTGGGTTTGACACCGGGGGTATAGTGTGAGGTGCGTGGCTCCATCATTCTACCTCCTTGAAGGCAAGTTAAGCTCCTTCCATGCAGCTCATGTGCCCTATTTGGTGACAACCAAAGTCGAGTCCTGTTGAGAGATCTTGTCGGCCCGACCCGCAACACACCTACACCACACCACGTCCGCCCTGTCCTCGGGCCAGACGCAAAATCCGCCGTTTTAAATTGAACTCTCAACTCCCCTTGTACACCACCCACCTATTTTGCTCGACCCCTCAGCCCTCACCCCATGCAACCCACACACGCACGCATGCATCCCCACTTTACTCTCTCTTTTCCGTTAGATATTGGAACGGCATGGCTTGTCGGACTCACAAACACCAACCGGTGTTAGGTAAACGTTCCAAGGGGGGTACCGAGGGCAACCCCCCCATACACCCAACTTCCAGTAACCACAGTACGGCCTCGCGGCCAGTTTTCTTAGCACACCACACACGGCGGTGGGGAACTGCCAGCAGCACTACCGTATTGCTCACTGCATCAATCGCGCTTGGTAGCGACGACCGCATCCCTTACGATCCGTCTAGCCAGCTCCTCCCTCTCCTGTACATGCATGGCATTGGTCGGCAACCATGATGCAAACCATGGTGGAGCCTGGTGTCACAAGGTCAGTTTCTTCCCCCTTACCCGTATGCATGCGGCCTGGTGTTGCCCTGCCCAGCCTGTACTGAACGCCACTGCATATCCCATCCAAGAATGCCATTGTGTGCATCTCAGGATACCCCGGCGCACATGCGCCTAATCAGGCGAACCCCTGGGGACCCCAAAAATCGCTGCTGAATTTCTCCGAAACCGCCATGCAACCATACCCGCTCACCGGCCGCTATGGAGGGCCAGTTGGAGCGAGCAAGGCGTGGGCGTGTCAGCAGCGGCACGCGGTGGGCCCGATAGGTACTGCAGGGACGGCAAACCCCCCACCTGCCCACCCCTTTGTCCCAAACAGGGACAGACTACAGCCATGCGGCTGCTCTCGCCCGCCTTCCACCAATCTACTCCGCAGGAAAGGGGAAATGGGATGGGGCTAAGCGCCGTAGGGGCACGGCCGGGAGCACCGGAGCTATGGAATGCTGCTGCATTTTAGCTGCCACCAGGATACACCTGCGGGTGGCAATGCAGCACGCTAGCCCCTCTGGCTTGCATGGTGAAACGGGGGAACGGACGCAAGCATGAAGCGATCTCCCTGCGTCGGGTTTTCCTTGTCCTTCATGCGCGCTAACAAAGCAGCTATACGTGAAGTTGGTTTCGAATGCGGCTTGAGCGGCACAAAAACGGAGATGAATGCGGTGTTGGAAACGACTGGAGGCCGAAACGGCCGTGCGGAGTTGCAACCGAAATCCGCGGCCCGGAAGTACGATGTACCTGCCTAACACACAGTTTTTGTTGTCATGGACTTGTCTTGCATATGAACTAATCCCACTTGGTGCTGTTGTCGGTTTGCTGAGCTGAGCCGAGCGGTGTACTGTCGGATATGACGGTTTTTCCGTACTGGCTCGAGGGTTTCTGTACTGCCGTCTGTCCTGAACCTGAAGGTGCCATTGACCTTCCCTCCTTGACTGGCCGTCGTGCCCAGCCCTTTTGACCCACGGGGGGCGGGCACCTTTGGAAGCTACAAGGCTTGCCAATGCAAGGGTGTATGCTAAGCCGCACTTGAGCCCTACGGCCCGCGGGTCTAGGGGTCAACCGTTTCTGCACGAAGTGCCATTTATGTGCACTGGTAGCACCCGATACAATGGCGGCAAGCCGCAATGAGCCGTATGAATGATGGAAAGAAACCTAGCGGGAATAAACGCGTTGGTGCACCGATGCTGCCAAGTGACGGCTAAGACCCCCGTTACCTGTAACCACAAGCCGCGCATGCATAAGCACTTGTGTACTGCAACCTGTAATCGCGACAGCATATACCTATTGTCCAAGCAGTCGCCGCGCAAACCGAAACCTACGCGTAATCCGTGTTCCGGCGATCAGATTCTTGCGCCAAGTGCAAAATGTGTACTTTCTTGGTGTCGGTGACAAGCAATTCGCAATGCGTCCAAGACTATGTACTGCTGCCTAACTGCTGGCCGGTTCGGTCACACATGAGCAGGAAAGGTGGTGCATACAATATATACAGATTCTTTATCCTACTCGTTTCCGCAAGTACGCTTGGCTTCCTGCATCGTCGGTTCACCTATTTTGTACTGCCGCCCTGATATACAAGTCAGGGAAAGACAGCATTTTGAATAGAAAGCTACTTGGTAACTGATTAGGCCTAAGTTGTCACTGAACTCGTTGAAGAACTCCAAAGCCTAAGCTAGAATCATGCTACGCTCTCCACAGCTTTCTCCACCAACTGCTGTGCATGGCGCGCCGGCAGTCATGGGTGATCAAGAATTATTCTCCGAAGTACTCAAGGTGTGTTTAAGGAGCTTACGTAGTGTTGTATCCCCTCTCGACTGTACTGCCACTTGTCGCCAAGGAGCCCTGTCACCATTAGCTACCCCTTAGCATTCATCCTTAGGGAACTTCACTTTGGGCGTTGCCTGTAGGCTGTTGATTTGCATAACTTTGAGTAGTGACCTGGGTTTCATCGTCGTGCCAGTCCCCGCAAGTGCACCACTTGCCATGGCTGGCACAAATCTCTTTGAATGCGTGCCAGGCACAAATTGATACAGCCATGGGCTTGCTTTACTGTGGCCTTTGTCGTTTGCTGCTTGCTGCTCGTCCTACGCTCTACCTTGGCTATCTCCCCAACTTTGTCGTCTGCGACAGGTACAAAATAAGATCTTTTACTTAGACTTGAAGCAAAATGGTCGAGGGAAATACATAAAGATTGCCGAGAAAGGTAAGTTGCGCTGGGATTTCGCGTTGCATTGGGTGCATGGGATCAATCAAAGGGGCTAACAGACTAGACAATGCACATCTACCAGGCAGGTGACAAAACGCTTGAAGCGATAACTGTTATGGAACGTTGACCACGGAGAGTACGGAGGAATTCTCCGAGGCAGCAAGCATGACAGTTGATAGTAGCCGAAGGAAAGCATATAGGAGTTTGGGCTGCTGATTTTCCGTCGCAGGTAAGAATGGGATACAAAGTTGCAACGCCTTTACTTTGCCGTGCCATGCGCCTGACCAACCTCCAGCCGTGAAGTCTAACGAAAGCCGTCTAAGCAGATAATAATCTAGGACGTAACACCCACAGTTCCAGCTGAGCCTAGCTGGTTAACCTCATGTTTAATTCGCCGCATGAGAGCCCCAAACGGTAGTAGGATGCCCATAACGGCTGGTAGAGGGAAGCCTGTTCGCCTGAAGTCAGTAGCTTAAGCATGCATCAACCATAAGAACACATGTGATTATTGACGTTGTGCGAGAAACCGGCTGGCGTGTTACTTCAACCAACCGAAGTATTGCATGTCAAGTGTTATTGTAGAGCAATTGTGTGATAGATATTCCTGAAAGCATGAATGAACTCCATCATTTGGAGTACCTTGGCCTAAGCTTTTTCCTTTCCTCTCTAAGAGCCCACAACTCACGACATGTTTCCACTCTCGTGCGCCCCCCCCCCCCCCCCCGCAGGCAAGTACCGACCCAAGAGCAGTGTGGTGGTACCCCTGTCTGGCTTGCATAGCTTTATCCAGCTATTCGACTTTTACCTGAACTCGGACGGGTACGTTGGGAATAAAAGCGTGAAATTGCATGTCGAGGGCAGCAGCACTATAACTGACCCATGGGTCGGTTTCGAGGTGCCGGGAGAATGCATGTGGAATGTCGGATGGGTAGAGTGGTGTCCATGGCAACTCGCGATACCGTCATGCATGCTCCCAGTTGTTTGCCGTACGGCTGCCTTCCCACATAATGCACTACCTGGAGTTGTACCCGCACAGCACAGCAACTGTGTGAGGTGTGCTTGTCACCAGTAACTTCCTAGGCGAGCAGCAATAGCGCGCGCGTCACCGTACGCAGCTCATCAAGACCGTTTGTCCTCACTTCGGCTCCCCCGCCCTCCTGCCGCCCTGCTGCTATCTTCACCCCAACCTGCCTGCGCCGTCCTCCAGGGCCGGACCCCAGCCCCGAGATGTGGTGGTGGAGTCCAAGGTCTTCAACTTCAGCTGCGGAGAGAACGACCGCGGGCGCTACCTGCGCATATTCGAGAGCGGTGGCGGCTACCCAGCGGGTGAGAGCCCCGGGCCCCGGGCGGCGCGGGAAGCACCAGCAGTGGCTGCCAGGGAGCTCCGGGTTGGGTTGGGGGGGATCTAGCTGCGCACAGCTGCTCATGCACGATAGCAGTATAGCGGAGTCGGCGACCCCAGCTCGCAGCACATCGGGAACTGGAAGGAAGGAGTAGTCAGCCGCCAGCGCCCTCCCGTCATGCGGCTTATTGCGCAACCAGGTCCAGCACTGGTCCCTGCTGTGGAGCTGCCATCACCACCTCACCACCTCTCACCCCCCCCCTTCCTCCCCTTCCACACATTGGAATTCCTTTTTCCCCCCCCAGGCGGCTCCAGCCTCATGGTGCCCGCGGGCTGGGCCAACGCCAACATCCGCGCCTTCCGGGACAGCTTCGAGAAGATCGCCAACTGGCTCAACCAGAGCGGCATGCCGGTGGGTGGGCGAGGGAGGTTGGTGGGAGGCAGGTGGAAGATGGGCAGTGACTGCACGACCGGCGGCATGCATGCATGGGCACGGTGGATGTGGTAAGAGCTCTGGAGCTTGCCCAGGTGGAGACATCCCCTGCCGGCATATCCGCAACCACTAGGTGACCTCAGCCCCCCACATGCCTCCCCACATGCCCGCTTACCCTGCCGAGCATCACCCGCTTCCCCATTCCTTCCCCTCTCCTCCCCTCCCCTTCCCGCCCCTCCAGAGCACCGAGATGTCTGCCGGCCTGGCTCTCTCCTCGCAGCCCGACTGCGTCACCCTGGACGTGAGCAAGGAGGGCGGCCCCGTGCTGTCGGTGGGCTCCAAGCACTACTTCTTCGACACGCGCCTCAACGACCGCGGGCGCTACCTGAAGATCAAGGAGGTGAGCGGCAACATGAAGACGCTGCTGGTGGTGCCGGCGCATGCGGTTGGCAAGTTCCAGGAGGCCATCCAGCTGGCCATGATGGCGCAGCCGCGACCCGACCACCCGGCGGAGGTGGGGGGGCAGCAGCAGGCGTGAAGGGAGGGAGGGAGCGAGGAGGAGCAGGGCAGGAAGGAGCGCTGAAGTAGCTGATGCATGAGAGTGGGTGAGGGCGGGAGGCTAGGAGGTGGTAGTGTGTTTGTGGTGGCAAGGCCGATGGTGGGGGTACGTTGCGTTGATGAGTGATTATGTAGATAGTGATACTGGCGATGGCGATGGTGGTGGTGGCGGTGGTGGTGCGGTTGTGGAGTAAGTGTGTGTGACTCGAGGAATGTTGCGGGAGGTGATTGGGGACACACTCAACGACTCGCAGTACTGCTGCCTCGCCGTGTCCAGGCGAACATGAGCGTACTGTTGGTGTAGAAGGAGAAGAGGTGGCAGCAGCAGCAGCAGTAGTAGTTCACATGCACACTACACACCGTATGTAGTTCACATGCAACTGACATAAACTGTCGTATAACGACTGCGATGCTGTAGCGCGGATATTCCACGCGAAACGGGGTCTCAGGAGGGGGGATTAGATAAACTGAGCCGCGGAGGGGGGCCAAGTGGGCTCAATGTTTGGGGTCCGTTGAATGATCGGCGGTAGCGGGTTTCAAACCGGCAGGTGGGGTGCAGCTGGCCTCTGGTACGTGTCTGGGGGTGGGGGTGGGAGTGCTGTTCGGGGTGCGAGGTGCAGTACTCTTTTTGAGGGCCGATGGCGGTTCACGTGATGACGGCGAGGCCTGGGGGTGAGGCTGCGGAGGCGGCCGCCTGGTGTGGTGTGTCTTGCGCGACGGGCCCGCTCATCACCTAATGGTGCGTTTGTTTTTTGGGGGGGCCTCTCCTGAATGTTGAAATAAAGAGGTTAGTAATAGCTTTTGACGTGTGTCTTTTCCTGACCGCTGTCTTCATTCGGACGCGGACAACGCGCACGTCATTTACCTGTTCCGTCGGTCTGTTAAGGAATGGCGCTGCTGCTGCTGTAGCGGGGGATGTTAGTTAGGATGCTGCTGCTGTTGCTGCTCCGAACAAGAACATTCTCATGACGCACGGAGACACGTTTCATCGTATCATCGACTGCTGGCTTCCGGCCGCACGTCGTCAGCTGGGGTGGTATGCGTGGTGGGTGCGGTGGGCGATGGAGGGCTGGGGCGTTTGCAAGGGCTGTTGGGGAAACGGGCAGACGTAGCTTGGGCAGCGCGTTAGCCCTGTCGCGGTTGTGTTGCGGTTTCGACAGGGGAGGGGCCGCATGCTACCCGCGGATGGCAACAAGCAAGGCTGCCGAGGGCTGTCTAGCAGTGAAGTATCGTGAGGTTGCACGTACTCGTTGTAAGGGTGCAAGGGCATTCCTGACAAAGACAGACGATCTGCTTGCATCTCATGGCTTGAGTCATGTTACCTGCTGCATCTCCTCTGATGTACCTCCGATATATGGTAAGGCCCTTCCATGGCGCTTTGCTGTGGGGGCTTAGGAACCTTTTCGCCATTTGACCCCCCGAGGGGACCTCGCAAACGGCTGGGCTTCTTCCCGATCGGAACCTTTACAGCGCCTTGAAACAGGAAAGGAACGTCTTTCCCTGGTGAGAAACATTTGCAACGAAAGAAAACTTGCAAAAGTGGTGCCGTACGTCGTCTTCATGCGTCCTCTTCATGCAGCGACGTCTTCAGCGACCACCGCCACCGCCAGCAAGCGTCTGGCTCCTCCAGCGGGGACCACCTTGCTACTACCGGCACAACCAATCTTCAGCCACCCATCCCTCGAATGCCCCCACATGCGCATGCAAGTGAGATACAACGCGCCTCCTACGACACAGCACCTACTACCCGGTACCCGGTACCTCCCGGCCTGCAGGCCTGCTGCTGTCCAGAGAACCAACCCACATATCCACCACAACCGCCTTCACGGCTTGTTCCAAACCGCGCCCGTCGTCGCACCGCTTGCCTGCTTTGGCGAGACGCACCTCAGCGACCACTCTTCAACCACAACGCCAACCCAGCTGCTGCAACAGCACACAACGCATCCCCCCTCCCAGTGCCAACCAGGAAGGCTTCTCCAGCCTTGTAGGCCACCCTACTGTCCTGAGCCTCGCCGCCTCCTCTCCCCTCCTACCCCCTGCCCGACACAACACAACGGTGCCGCGCCCCGCACCAAGGGAAGCAAGGTGCGCGCACAGGACTGCCCGCCCGCCCCCGCTTATTAGGTAATGACGGTGGGGTTGGTGCGGCCCGTGAACTCGGCCAGCTTGGACAGCTCCAGAGCCACCTGGGGGGGAGGGCAGGGCAGGGGGAGGGGAAAAGAGGGGGGGCGGGTTGAGGGGAGGAGGGAAGATGAACATGGATGTGAAGCACCGTAAAACTCACGCCCATGCGATCCAACTCATGTCTCATAGTGAGAGGGGAGGGAGGAGGGGGTAAGGAAAAGACCCGGATACCTTATCCTGGTCCCTATCCCCCATGGAAAAGGCAGCGAAGGAGAGTGGGCGACGAAGGTGAGGGAATTGTCGAACCCTCGGAACCACCGCCTCTTTCACCCCCGGTGGAGCCTTGCCATGCACAGCTCATCACTCTCTTCCTCTCCTCCCCCCCCCTTGTTCCCCTCCTGGCCCCTCCCGGGATTGGGACTCGTTGTTTCACTTATTTAATTTTTCCCCCTACCTTGATGATGGGCCCCAGCGCCTCCTGCGCATCCTTGGTCAGCAGCGCCGGGTCGGCGGTGTACTGCTCGATGTAGAGGCGGATGGTGGCGCCGCTGGAACCGGTGCCGGACAGGCGGAAAATGATGCGGGAGCCGTCTGGGGGCGGAGGGGGGGGGGGAAGGGGAGGAGGTGAGGGGGAGGGACGGGAGGGGGGAAAAGTGTTAGGAAGCTTAGATTGGAAGAAATGAACAAGTGGTGGCGGGAAGGTGCCGACAGAGAGGGGCGAAGGGCCAAGGGCAAAGGCAGGCCTGGCAGAGGAGCCCCAATCCAACCCCCCAGCCCACTCCATCACATCCCCGCACCCAGCACGCCCAACACCTTTCCCCCCTTCCTCCCTGGACCCCCCCCACCCTTAAAAGATGCTTCGTCAGTGTCTCTTTTCATGTTTTACCCACCCTCAAAGATGAACCGCAGCCCCTGCTTGGACGCCTTGGAGCCATCGATGGGGTCGGTGTACTCGAAGTCGTCCGCCAACTTGAGCTTGAAGTCGCCGAACGCGTCTCCCGGCTGAGCCGCCGCAATCACCCCGCGCAGGTGGTCCATCATGCGGCCGGCGTCGGCGGAGGAGCACTCCTCGTAGTCGTAGCGGCTGGGGGTGGGAGGGTGAGGGTGGGGGGTGCGGGTAGGGGAGGCGATTGATGTGGATGTAAAGAGCAGAAATAAACCATGTGACAAGGCTCTACTACGGTACCATGTGTTGGAGTGGGAGAGGGAGGGGTCAGCTGTGAATTGCACTCTACCCAGGCATACATGCAGCAAGCGCTGACAAGCCCTCTCGGCATTTTTGTGCGCTTCGGTGCCTCTTATCAGTACCACTCTGCCCTCTCTTGCTCCCCTCCCTCCCCCCCTCCCCTCCCTCTCCCCCACCTGAAGAAGTTGCGTCCGTACTTCTTCCAGTGTTCCAGCGCCACCTGCTCCACACCCACCAGCGCCCCTCCCACCGGCACCTCCCGGTTCCGCGCCGCCAGGATGCTCAGCCAGGCCAGCACCGCGAAGATGCCGTCCTTCTCGCGGATGTGGTCGCCACCCGTGCCGAACGACTCCTCGCCGCACACACTGCACTTGCCTGGGGGCAGGGGTTGAGGGGAGGGGGGTAGGGGGGGTTGAGGGGAGTGGTTAGCACGGGCGATGTAGCGAGCTGATGTATCGACTGCTGCTGCATGCAGGCACAGCCGTGCTACCACTGGGGGTGTCACTGGGTGCATGGGGCCCCTTCTTCGGTTACTTAGCCCTCCTCCCCTCCCCTCCCCTCCCCTCACCCGCCCCCGCCCTCACCCGCGTCCATCAGGTTCCCAAAGAACTTCCAGCCGGTGGGCGTCTCGAAGAACGGCAGCCCCAGCGCGGAGGCAACACGGTCCAGTGCGCCGCTGGTGGGCATGGAGCGGGCAACACCCTTTGGGGGGGGGCAGGGGGGGACGTGTCAACGTAGTGACATGCGATGGCATCACATGGACAACCTACGCGGCGAGAATGGTTGTGTTTGTCTCTCGGCCCTCCCCTCCTTCCCCTTCCCCCCACTGTCCCCCCCACCTTGAGTCCGCTCTTGAAGTATGGGATGCACTCCTGCGCGTTTGCCGCGATGATTGCCACCGAGTCGGAGGGGTTCATGAAGAACTTGCGGCCCAGGATCATGTTGCGGTCGCCGTCGCCGTCGCTGGCGGCGCCGAAGGCAGGCGACTCGTCCGACCACATGATCTTAACCTGGGGGGGTGAGAAAAGCAGGTTTTCAGAAAGACGATACACATGGGCTTCAGCTACCTTGTGACAAACTGACTTAGCTCCACAGCTATGCACATGCACGCCCTGCCCATTCCTCTTCCTATGCTGGTCTCCTGCCCCCCCCCCGTCCCCCTCGTGCATAGGGGGTTTCGAGTCACCCGCCCCCCTCCCCCCCGCCCCCCCCCCCCGCTCACCAGCTCCTCCGCGTATGTGAGGTTGGGGTCGGGGTGCCCGCCCGCGAAGTCGGGCTGCGGCTCCCCGTCCTTGACGCAGCTGGCGGGGGCGCCCAGCTCCTGAGGGGGTGGGGCGGGGCGGGGTTTAGGGGTTTAGGGTTAAGAGAAGGACAAAACCACAAGTGAGGGCCAGACAATAGGAATAGAACTTGGCAGGCGCGGGAGGCGGCTGGAGTGCCACATATTGAGAGGAGCGCCCCCTCCTCCCTCCCTGTCCCTCTCAACACATGGGAAATTCTTCTTTCTCCCCCTCCCCTGTCCCCTCCCCCATCCCTCCTCCCCATCCCCTGCCTCCTCCCTCCCTCCCCCCCGTCCCTCACCTGCACCAGGATGCGCTTGGCGTAGGGCCCCGTCACCGCGTGCATGGAGTCGAACACAAGTCCGAAGTCGGGTCGCGCCAGGAAGGAGCGCAGCAGCGGGAAGTCGAACACGCCGCGCAGCGTCTCCAGGTAGTCCTCCACCGGGTCCACGACAACCACCTCGAACTCGCCGAAGGAGGTGGAGCCCAGCTGAGGGTGAAGGGGGGTGAGGAGGAGGTAAGGAGGAGGTAAGGAGGAGGAAACTGATGAGCTGTACGACGAGGGTTGCTTCACCATGGGTTGCTACATGGGACCCGGCCCATCCACCCCACCACCAGGATTAGGGTAGTCAAGCCAAAGCAAACCAATGGCTTTGCTTATCAAGCCTGTCTCCACCCCCCTACCTTGCTGAGGTCCACATCCGGGATGTCCGCCATGTTGAGTACGGCAACCTTGGTGGTCTCGCCGTAGATCTTGTCGGTGATGCGCTCGGGGGCAGGCTCGCCGCTGCTGTAGTTGAACTTGATGCCGAAGTCGGCATCGGGGCCGCCGGGGTTGTGGGAGGCGGACATGATGAGGCCGCCTGGGTGGGGGGGAGGGATGCGAGCGGGGGGGTGGGTGGGAAACCACTCGCTGGTTTGAGCGGAGCGGGGTGTGTGCTAGTGGGGTCGAGGGTTGTGTGCTTGCGTGCGTGTGAACCAACTGTATGGCGCATGCTTTGTGACATTCGTGTAGTGTACTTGTGGAGGGAAAGTTATGGGGAAAGTTATTTGTGCATATGTCCTATTGCCACACCCCGCCGTAACACTAAGCCCAGAGTTTCACCAATACGTTGAATACATCCCGTTTCCAGCGACACCAGATGTACACAACAATTAGAATGCCGGGGAAGAATCTATACATCTCCTGAAAGAAATAACGCCTACAGCTACTGCTATGTCAGGCATTGCACAAAATGCGCATGTTGGGCATCACATGGCGGTTAGGAGGGTTTTGGGCAAATGTATGGGCATATGTCTTTATTAAGATGCGCTTCCATGGCGATAATTGGTAAAAACTGCACGCTAACGTGATGCCGTGCGGGAAGCAGGTGTCCTACAACGTATGCGCCATCGTGCATCTGACCCGCCAAGTAACACTCACGAGGTAGCTAGCGACGACTAGTCAACCCAAATCTGGTTAAGGGCGTCAAGCATACCGCACCATAACTCGTTTCGGCCGAGTAACATGTAACCATGCTGGGTTTGGTAACGTCAGAAGGGATGGCAACAGCCCAATCCATACACCCTCCGGTTCTTAGCGCAGCGCACCTACGCCCAGACATGCCCACCTACCGTAAAGCTTGCGGCGACGAATCATAGCAGACGCCGCGGGCGTGGCCATAAGAGCGTTTTGCCCAACGATGACCCTCTTGAAGCCGTTTCCGGCAGCGAGCTTGATAATGATTTGGGCAGCTTCCTTTCCAAAGTAGCGGCCATCACCACCTAGGCCAAGCGACTGACCCTTCACCTCATCGCCCAAAGCGGTAAAAAGGGACTGGACCCAGTTCGCAAGATAGTTTTCCTGCATGAACTCCTTCGTCTTCTTCCGGAGACCGGAAGTGCCCGTCTTCTGCCCATCATAGGGCTTGGTGGGCACCTGCTTGACGATGACACCCTACAGTAACAAACAAGCGTTTCCTGTTGTAACCAATGGCCATCGTCACCCCAATCACTGCAATGATCGACAAGCTGGACACCAAAGGCTACCCACCGCGACGCAACCCATATCGGCTGTTACGCGCAGTGGTGCTACGCGACGGGCTGAGCCAAGCGGGCGGGCCTGTGCGACCCTGTGAAGAGAAGTTTGTGACGATTATATATGTAAGTTCACAGGACAAGTCTCATTGCGAGTAAGTTACTATGTATAAGGTCTGTAATATTTGAAGGATCACAGCAAGTAGCTGGATCCATCAGCAACAGTAGCGGAACGACAAGCGCGCTAGGTGCAAACAGGTACAACTTGCCTGGTGAGCGCGGAGCTACGAGTGCTGGAAGGTAATTGAGTTAGCCGCATCCTTGTCGTGGTAGTCACTGGGCCGAGGAGGTGCGCGACATCCACAGAAGATGCCCCAAAAGGCACGGTACATGCCCATCAGCGGTCTCGGAGCCCTAGATTTCCCATTAGGAAAGACATTTTCGTCAGCTTAAAGCATCATAGGAACCGATCAGTCAGATCGGACACAATTGCACCTTTATACTTGTAATTGCCTCGGTAGCCTAGCCTTTAACAACTTGTTCTCCCTTACCCCACGATGTCACTTACACTCAGGAAGCAACAGTATACCTCAGGACGACATTCGCAATGTGATCGGCAAGTAAGGCGCCTGTGGACGCAGTTAGGGTTCAGCCGAATGCTTAAGGCCAACAACGCTGAGAGCCAGCTTGCTTACTGTGCAGATATGCAAGCCAAACCTCCGTTTAGTACTTCCTTATCGACCAGGTGAGGTCTCTCATTGAAGCGTGTCTCCCGCATGTTTAGCTTCGATCGCGTCGGCAACTAGTATACCTGGCTTCTCCTCCCGTTCGGCCACCGCAATAAAACGCCTTACCTACTCCTTACTCCTCCCTCACAAACACATCCACAGCGCTGCCCTTGTGACCAGGTTTGAACTAACGCGCCCTGCTCATGTGCCCTGACTCCTCCTCCTTCCTGCCCTCCCAACGGCTTCCCGCCCTGTGTAGCCCCCGCCCCCAAAGGCCCATGCGTCCGCACCGCGGCAGCCCCCAACACGCCCTCCTCGGGGGGCAGCGCGCTGGACATCCGGCAGCTGTCCGACATCATCACCTCGCAGGCGCTGGAGAGCGAAGAAAGTAGGTGGCATGGGTGAGAAGCGGCGGGGGTAAAAAATATAATGAGACACGGCGGGGGGTTGTTCGCAGCATGTGGCCCGATACCCGGTGTGTCCAGAGAGTGCCTGCAGCCTGCAGCGGTGCGGATGTGGATGTGGATTACGGGGTTATGACGGGTACGGCAGCAGCTGCACGGGAAGCCCAATCCCGCCGAAGTCCGGCCACCCCGTCGCATGCATGCGGGGGAAAACTCACTTGGGAACCAGGGAGCTTTTGCCCATCTAAGCTTAGGCCGGCTCAGCTGGCTCGGGCGGGCTTAGGCTTAGGTTGGAGTACCGGTACCGGCAGCAGCTGGGGCTGCTGGGTGGGCTTCTAGGAGGGTGCTGGGGCGGGGATCGGGGGGGAGCATGGAGGATGGGTGCCTCTGCATGGCATGGACGGCAGTGCGGTATGGGGCTCCGGGGCGGGCCGGCTCCGCCTTCCTTGCCGCCGCGACACTGCACCAGGTCCCTTCTCCCTATGTCACTAACGGGTTGTAAGTCCGCCGACACCGCAAGAGGGACGTGGGCTGCCACAAGCGTCACCCGCACTTGGCGCCCCTGCCGCCCACCTCCCCACGGACCCTACCCGCTTCGGGGGCATATGAGTGAACCTACAGTAGCCCTTGCTCATCCTTAACCGCCCCCTCCCTCCCCCCTCACTCCCACACCCCCGCACGCAGAGCAGCACAGCCTGGCTGAGCTGGCGGGTGCGCTGGGTGAGAGTGTGGGGTCGGTGAAGCTCATGGTGTTCCGGCAGAAGGCGCTGCTGGGGCTGGGGGCGGAGGAGGTGCGGCAGCGGGTGCAGCAGGTGGCGGAGGTGGTGGAGGTGAGAAGGATGGGGGGGGGGAAGGAAGGGGGAGGACTGTGGAAGCAAGGATTTCTGGTCGGCAGTGTGGGCTCTAGTGGCGGCATGCGGGCCCCTTCTCCAAGCCCTGCAACCCCTATGCAAATGCATGCACCTTTCCCCTATTGATTTGTCTCATTGTCATGTGGCAGAGGGGCCTGGTTCAGCCCGTCATGTCGTGACCTGTCTTCCAACTCGCTCAGCCTCTGATGTGCACCCTTGCTACCGCAACGCCCGACTTCCCCCAAGATGCGGCCGCACCAACCCATTTCTCCTCTCGTTCCCCTCGCATATCCGTACTCCTTATCCCACTGTAAGCAACCAACCTTGAATAACAACAAAACCATGTCGTGGGTTCGTACCTGGCTGCTGCGGCTGCCGTACTCCCCCCCTCAGGTGCCGTACGAGAAGGCCCGCCAAATGTGCGTCATCCAGCCCAGCCTGCTGACCGACACGCAGCGCCAGGCGGAGGCGCTGCGGCAGGGGCTGCGCATCATCTGTCACGACCTGCGTGCGGAGAAGGAGGAGATTGTGGAGCTGCTGATCAGCAACCCCTCGCTGCTGCACGGGCGGCAAATGCGTCTGTCGGCTGCCGACATGGCGCACCTGGCGCTGTTGCGGGAGCCCAGGGGCAGGATCGTGGACTGAGAGGAGGGAGGAGGGAGAGGAAGGGAAGAGGAGCAGACAGGGGGTAAAGAAGGAATGTGAGTCCCCATAGCCTGGAGCCAGAGCGGAGGGGATGCGGGCGCAGGGAAGTGGGGCAGTGGAGCGGTGTGGGAGGGTTGTAGAAGTGGAGGGGGGAGGTGAAGTGGAGAAGGGAGAGGAGGGGTTCGTACATTATGTCGAGCGTTTGGGTGCGTGTAGTATTAGGATCACATGCGCGAGGGAGGGAGGGAGGGTGTGCCGTGAGGATGACTGATGGAGGCAAAAACACTGACACTGACACTGTGCGTTTAACGGGAGGCACTAGCAGCTCCGTTTGCCTTGTACACCGTGATTGCTTATTTTCACATGTAGGAGTGGGACGTGTGGCTACGTCGGTGGCCCTGGTCGCTAGCTGGCTGCAGCTTGTAATCCCCGCCGTCCTTCCCTCCAAAAGACTGCCTACCCGGCCCTGCTAGCAATACGCTTGGAGGAGAGCGGAAACCTGGGACGAAGGCGTCCCCTTTCCACAGCGCTTGCGGTACCAGTAATCGTTGCAGCCGGGGTGAGCGCGGACAAGCCCGGGTGAAAGTGCCGCTGGGGACATCAATTACAAGGCTAGGCGGGTAGGGTAAGCTACCAACAGCATGCAGGACACCAAAAACTGTCAGTAATTTCCGAAGACGCGGGGTCAGTTGGATTAGGGTCGAATGGATTCCGCCATTTCTCGATTGGGTACCACACCCAAAGTCTCACGCCCAGACTTCAGCAGTAAGCACGAGTCCGAGAGGGCACACACGAACAGGCATATATCCGCTGTGTATATAACTGACGAGCTGCTATCACTAGACGCACACGCTACTAGAGCCTCCGAGTCTTTTTCTCCGCTTCCTTCCTTCCTTCCGCGAGCCATTCCCGCCTGGCTTTCCAACGTTGCAATCCTCTGCAACCAGCAGCTCCGTCCGACCGTCTTTGCGCATCAAGAGGCCTACCCACTCCACAAAGCTACGCTCCGTCGTGAAATGCACATTCGCCGGTCTTGGGCCAAAAGTTCAAAGCCCTGCACCAATAAGCTGGGTTTTTGCCGTAGTTTGCCGTACTCTGCACGCCTTTTTGAGTTATCAGCCCCCTCCGACAGCATCAGCAGCTACGCAACAGGCAGGCGGGCAGCTGGCTATACCCCTTACGTGGGGTCAAGGGCACACATCCGTGCCTTCAATTGCAGCAACGCCCCCTCATGCCACCCTTATTGCAACGACACATTTGCCGAAGCACCTTCCAATCCAAAACACCGCCACCACATGTCACTTCAAAACCCAGCCTACCGACCACGTTTCGCACACCCTGTCATCCCCGCCCCAGGTTGTCTCATACCTCTCACCACACATGTCGGCCCACCCAGCCCGACACAAAGGCAGCCCACACGGGACAAACAAGCGCTCGGCCAAACTCTTCCAACCCACGAGCTTTCCTCCTCACCAGCCCTCGCGTCATCTTGTCACGAGGCCTTCTCGTCACTTTTCCGCCACTGCTTCTCCTCATCAATACTACGTCCGTCTTCTCTTTACTCCGTGTTGGTCGCCCGCGGCCTCCATCAGCGTGCGGTGTCAGTGCGGCAGGGGCACGTCCACGAGGCGCGCCAGCAGCTGCAGCACCTCCCCGGGGTCGTTCAGGTAGAAGGGCGCGCGAGAGGGCTTCTGACCCACCGTGCAGGCAAACACCTGGCGGTCAGCGAGCAAGCGGGGAAGGAGGGGAGTAATGAGAGGACATGGAGGCAGGGGGGCACACGTACACAAGAACACTTTGGAGGCATTCAGAGCTAGGGTGCTGCGCCAGCACAGGTGTACAGCTAAGCCGTTACGTACTGCGCATGGTAGCAAGCACTGCCCCTGCTTACGGTAAAGTGTCCTAATGTGCCCTCTTCGTTCCGCGGCATCCTGAATGCGGTCATCATGTACCGCCAGCACGCCACCAGCAGTGTCCTTCAGCAACCTATTTCCCGCCTGCAGCCCCCCTCCCCTCCCCTCCCGCACCTCCGCAGTCATGGTGGGCGAGGTCTTCATGTTCTCAATGGACGTGTACATGTCCTCATCGCTGCGGTCGTCACCAATGCACAGCATGAAGTCCGGACCGCCCAGACCGCTGTCCGCAGCCGACCCCACGCTCTGCGCCAGGCCGCCATGCGCGGGGCTGGACGAGGGTGAGGGCACGCACACGGGCGCGTCGGCGCAGGAGGCAGCCAGCAGCCGCTCCAGCGCCCGGCCCTTGGACACCCCCTGCGGCTTGATCTCCACGTAGCCCTGGCCGCCCACGATCTCCACCGGCTTGTTGGAGAGCACCCCCTCCAGGTGGTCCAGCAGCTCCTTGGCCTGAAGGGCGGGGGAGAGGGAGGGAGGTGGGGTACAAGAGGAATGAGGTTGTAAACAAGGAAACGTGAGAGAGTATGGGGTGACGCTGACAGGACGTTCTGACTCAGCGGAGTGAGAAGCGTCCAGCAAAGCCTGATGCCGTACCGGTATTTGGAACCGCCATGTGAAAGGCAGTTCTAATTATGTTGCTGCTGCGAGGAACCGCAACCTACAACAGCTCATGGGACCCGCAATCTCCAACCGCCCCTCGCACCCTCTCATACCTGCCAGGCTCCAAAATCCGGGTCCGCGTCCCGGTAGTTCCACACCAGCGCGCTCTCCTTGGTCTCCACGCTGGAGCCGTCCGTGGACTCGACGTACTGCTGCAGGATGGGCGCCGCCATCTTCTTCCAGCTGAAGTCCGCGTGCGGCACCAGCGTCTCCCAGGAGCTGCTGCCGATGGGGCGGTAGAAGAAGCCGTTCTCGGCAACCAAACCCAGGTCGGGCTGTGAGGGGGGGGGGACAGGGAGGGGAGAAGGAAGAGATGAGGCGTGACGGGGATTGACGGTTAGGACGCGGCCGGATTACAATAAATAGCCATGAGCTCTCAAGCAACATGCAGCATGTAGGATGCGGCTGAACCCTTGTTAGGCTTCAAGGCTTGGGCGCACAGCTACCGTGCATAGATCACCAAAAGCATCCGTGACTTCCCGCTTTTTGTAGCCTTGGAAAGGTCTCTGCATGCTACCAACCAGCGTGCAGAGCACCGCGTCCCCAAACACGCCCCCCCCCCCGCCCCGAGCCACCCACAATGGAGGCGAACCAGGAGGCGAGGTCGGCCTTGGGCGTGCTGCTGAATAGGAAGGTGCGGTTGCGCTTGTCCGCCGCCAGCGCCCGCAGCACCGCCAGCAGCTGCTCCGAGGGCGCCAGGGTGAGCGACGAGGTGGAGCCGCCCGTCAGCGTGCCGTCGTAGTCCAGGAAGAACGCGCGGAAGCGGGAGCTGGGAGGGGAGGGGAGGGGAGAGGGAATGGAGGGGGAGGAGGGGCCATGCAATGGGTTTTTGCTGCTCAGTGCTCCTGCCAAGCTAGCCTTCCCGATGCTGAGACACGCCATATGCTTGTGCGCATTGTAGCAACGCCGCACCGGTAGAAAGAAACTGACTCCACCGTCGCAACATACCGCATGTACATGCCACGCCCCCAGGTGTCGACCCCCAACGCATTCCTGGTAATCATGAACCGGGCTAGGTGTCGGTATGCTCCACCCACCCACCCACCTGGCATACGTGGACGCCACCACCCGCTCCTCCAGGCGGCGGAAGTTGGCGTCCAGCGCCACCATGCGGAACGTGTCGAGGCCCAGACCCAGGCCGTAGCACTTCATGGCCACGTGGTTCTTCGTCACACGCTGTTCGGGGGGTGGGCGGGAGTCGAATGGGGTGTGGAGGGGATTGACCGGGTAGTCCGCAAAGGGTCGGAAGGAGTTGACTCCGTCTCGCGTGCTACTCCCGCACGGGTGGATACCGGGAGCAGCGCACCCCTGGTACCGCGTGTACCACGTTCATGACTGATGCTGGTTGTTAGGACCCAGCTACCAGCATGCAACCTCTGCGGCCATCCTGTGCTTCAGGCCTTCTTTCACTTTCGCACACCCACACGGTGTGCATGGCGGCAGTGCTGCTGGTCAACTCGTGCTAGTGGACGCCCCTACCCTTCGTCCCCCCCCCCTTTCAGCAGGCACATCACCTCTCCCATTCCCCCGCCCCGGCCGAGTGCAGCCGCTCCTCCACTCCACTCGAACACGCCGTCTACTTGTTCCGGCCCAGACGCGAAATGCAACGAACACCCCATCCACTAATCCCCTTGCTTGCCTTTCCCATTCACCACATTGGGAATCCTTCCTCCCCCCCACCTGCAGGTCCGCCACGAAGCTGGTGGCCCAGTACGCCACCGTGTGCTGGCTGACGTAGCGCCAGTGCTTCTCGTGCCGCAGCTGCCGGTGCTCGTGAGGCAGCTTGATGGCGGCGTAGATGCCGTCCGCGGTCGACTCCACAGACCAGGGGTTCACGCGGATGGCGCCGCTCAGGGAGGGGGAGCAGCCCACGAACTCTGTGCGGGAGAGGGAGGGTTAGGGGTGAGGGGGCAAGAGAAGGGCGGGGGCGGTGAGGAGGGTGGGATGAGGGCGGGCCGAGTCAGGGTAGTGGGCCTGCAGTGCAAGTCCAGATACTGCATTGGAACAACGACTGCTTGCTCGCCGGGAAAGAAGCCAAGCAGCTATAGCCTGGCAAGACGTTGTTTCTCGTCGTTGCTTGAACACTGTGAAGCCCGCTCATGGGTAGCACTTCGTCCCCACCCGGTACCTCGATGGCTGACATCCACAAGGGCAGGCGCGCCTTTCCCAGCCCTCCGCATCCATTCCATCCCGCACCCCTACACTCCTTCCCTCGCATCCCCTCCCCACCCCATCCTCCTCCTCACCCGAAACCACCAGCATGCTCTCCCGCTTGCCGCTCGCTCCATTCACGCTGCCGCCATCCCAGCTGTCCGGCCCCTGCCGGCACACCACGTACTCGTACGGCACCAGGTTCATGCCGTCGCGTGTGGCCGTCACCACCGCACAGTCCGCGATGGAGTAGAAGGCCATGCGCTCGTGCAGCGGCACGTGGCGCTCCAGGTAGTGCACCGGCTGGTAGGTGCCCATGCCGTACTTTCGGTTGATCGAGTCCACCAGCGTGTTCACGTAGCGGTGCAGCTCCGTGACGTCACGACCCGTGGAGCGAGGCGGGTTGGTAATCTGGGGGTGTGGTGGGGGCGGGAGAGTGCCTTGACGTGCTAGTTGCCCATTACGGTGGTTGCTGAGGGTCTGTGCTGTAACGGGCGTCGCGTCGTGCATGTGGACTGCATGCGGGGGCGTTGCATGGAAGCACGTGCCATGGTTCCCTACAATAAAGCCCGGTGATCACAAATTCCTTTTCCTCCCTCTCCCCCAACCCCTCCCCCCTTACACCCTCGCCCCACCTGCACCAGTACGAGCCTGCCCCGCCATTCGATGTGGTTCTCCAGCAGCCGCTCCAGCGCCTGCAGCTTCAGCTCCACCCCCTTGAACACGTCCAGGTCGTCGCAGCCCACCAGCACCGTCAGGCCCGCAAACTGGGCCAGCAGCTCGCCGCGCCGCCACTTGAACTCGTCCCACGAGAAGCCGTCCAGGTAGCGACGGGGGTTCACACCTGGCGGCAAGCGCATGCAAGGCATCAGGACGGTCTTCATGTTTGTTTCAAACCAAGTGGAGGACGTTTTGTTGTCCTGAGCGCTGCTGGGAGGAATGGGGACTATCCGGGAGGGGCTGCGTTGGGTGAGCGGGGTACCGATCGTCAACTACCGACAGAGTGGCCCCGCCCGCTCTCACCGGTGGGCATGATCTTGATGCCCACCGTGCGGCCGTAGTAGTCGATGGTGATGGAGCCGCGGGACGTCTCGTGCTCCAGACCCAGCATGCGCGAGCAGCACGACAGGAAGTGGCGCGCGTAGTCGAACGTGTGGAAGCCTGGGGGTGCGGCAGAGGGGGGCGGTGCAAGGACTTGAGAGCGGAGGAAACGGAGGGTGTGGGAAGGTTTAGGGCAAGTATATGGATGGGATGACGGCTTGGCGTGGGCTGTGACATCGGCAGGAGTACCGAGCTGTATTGCGGCGGGTCCAGGTGAGATGCGCGCGTAGCATGGCCTGGACACATCCTGGATGGTCGCGGCTCCTACAAGCTTGCCCGTGAATTTGAAGCCCTAGGTATACTCCGTGCAAAACGCCCCTCTACTCATTCCCTCCCCTTTCCTGAACATGCTTCCACTCCTCCTCCCCAGTGTGGTCACACCACACTTTGGAATTTCTTTTTCCCCAGTCGGGTGCAATTCGGCTGCCCACATCTTAACCTGCAGTGTGGCCCCTCCACGCTCTTCCATGTTTCCCCTTTCCTTTCCCTACCAGGCTTTATCGTGGCACTTGCAACATACGACTGCCGTTCAAAGCTATACCAACACGTCGGTCCCTGTGTCTGCTATCAATCTAGCCCCTACAGTCTCCAGCTGACGAGGGTAAACTTAGCAGCTGGACGTACAAATCGTAGCCCTTGACCGTTACTGGCGCGGTTTCCACCGCCGTCACCACACCCATGGGTCACAAGGCTACTTGGTTTCTCCCTCTATCCCACCCACCGATGAGGTCAGCGTTCAGCAGCGACCGCAGCAGCTCCTCCCGCTTGGGAAACGTGCGGAAGATCTCCGAGGAGGGGAAGGGCGAGTGCAGGAACAGCCCGCAGCGTATCCGGTTGAAGCGCTTCCGCAGCAGGCTGGGCAGCACCAGCAGGTGGTAGTCGTGGATCCACACGTAGTCCGTGTCGGTGGCAGACTCCTCAACCACCTTCTCGCAAAACACCTGTGTCCGGGGGGGAGGGGGGGCGCAGCGGGAAAGGTGCAGAATGTGGGCCACAAATCCGCAGGTGATGTGATCGTGGAATGTGCGTGGCTTGGATTCATGCTCTTTCCATCCGCACCGTTTCGGTACGCCGCCGATACACAGCCCAAGCATGAAGACATAGTCCTCACCCACCCATTCAGCCACGCGTAGGGGCCCCTAGCGTATGCATGGGAACAGCAGCCACACCTTATTCGCTTTGACGTACGCCTGCCACATCTCCTGGTCAAATCTCCCCGAGCTTTCCGGCGACATGGGGAGCACGTAGTGGAACAGCGGCCACATCTGCTGCTTGCAGCACCCTGCAGGGATCCAAGGCCGAGACGTGAGAGCAGGTTCCAAGCTGACTCTTTCTGCCCTCCATGCATTCGGTGGAAGCGTATTTCCGAAAACAACATGCATGCAGGCCCCCACACCTTAGGCAGCATGCACAGCACCCATCGTAACCACCCACCCTTGTAAAACTTTTCCTTGACGTCCTTCTCCATGAACACGGGGCAACAGTTGTATAGCCGCTTAACTTCGGCGGCGACCGCCTGCGAAAGCCCAAAAATGGTTTCGTCGCCCATGCTTGCACAGTAAGCCGACAGAAGAGCCTTCCGTTTTGCCAACTTACGTCCTGCTCCTCCACCGCCACGTCCACAGGCAGCGAGCCGACGTACATTACTTCAAGGTCCGTCGGTATGCCCTCCTACGCGACAGAACGACATCCATCTTGACGACACGAAGGCCCTCGGCACCGAAACAAACATGCACAACTGCATACGCACCTTCGCTTGCCCTACAAGAGCATCCTCATCCCACTCAAACTCCCATCCGCTTGCACCGCGCTTGACCCTCAGAGGCAGGTGGTTGGATACAATAATAAGCCTGTATGTAATACGAAATACATCCGTATTCAAGCTGTCAATATACATACGATTCTTCCAGTCACTGCGAACCTGGTGGTTCTCCCCTCGTGGCTCTCCATGCTGAGGCGAGTCATGCCAAGCCGCCCCTGCCCTAGCCCGGAAAAAGGGCTAGGATGTGCTTCCATGCCTAGCCCGCCCTCCACTAGAGCTGCTAGGTTGTGAAATGATCCGCGGGCGGTCTGCATTTTCCTTTCTGTGTTTCCGCCACTTACGGAGCTACCAGTAAGGTATAAAGCAAGTCGTCATGATTTACCGTGCTTTGCGCGTAAGAGTCATGCGTTGAAGGTAGGCTAGAGGGAGAACTCCTCTGCCAAAAAGTAGCCTGTACGACAGGTGTCGCCAGCTGGCCCTACGTGTCAATTGGTCAATGCTACAGGCGCTCTATGGACTCATTTATGCTTTTTACGTATATACCAAGCAAAACGGCTGTCGGCATGTCACTGTGCAACGGAGTGGCTCGGACCTGTAAACTGCTGCAAATTTTTACATTTTTACAAGCTCTTCTCGTGAAGTATTCCAACTTAACGAAGTAACTAAGATTGGCTGTATACTCTAGCAAACGCGTAGCAAGCCCCACGGGTCATGGCTGGAGCTGAAATTCTGGAAAGCCGGGCGGATAACGGGATAAGCCTTTTTCGCTTAGCACCTATCACCGCACTTATTCGCAGCGTTAAGTTCAGGCCACTCGCTGCGCAGCACCGTAGGGCTGACCTGCTTGGCGTCGTTCGTTGGCGTTGGAAGGCAAGGTCGTTGCCGACGTGCCCCCTTACGTGTCAACCTTCACCCATGTGGCGATGTGCGTTGTTTCCTCTTTTAGAGAGCATCACCGCGCATGCATAATCGGCACATACGCCGTTGCGCGCGCCTAGGAAAGGCAAGCAGGACTGCGAAGAAGCTTATTAGAAGCGCCCACAAACATGGCCCTGTGAACTAATTTTGAAACCAGGCCGGGGATGCTCCGGGCAGTTACATCAGCATCGCGCCAGCAGGCCCTGGCACTTCCTGTTACACCATGCAAAAACGCTGCATGTCGCCCCTGCACAACTCCAGTCTTGAAGAGCCGTAGTTTAACCTCGCCTGGAACTGGGAACTCTGCTCATAAAAATGTGCAAATGCCTGACCGAGCAAAGGGGACTGAATGGCATTGGCAAATGTTGCCCCCTCGCAGCGTGCTTTACAGCTGCAGCCGCTGCTCTCGTGGCCTAGCTAGCGCGGATACTGGATACCTCGGCATCCCTTGCTCCTTCCCCTCTCCGCCCTTTCACCGGCTTTTCTATCGTACCCAATAAGCAAATGCATGCACTCAAAAGGAATGCCGTCCACATCCTGCCGCGCTACATACTGAGCGAACTTTCCCCTATTCCCCTACCCAAAGCACTTTTCGCGCCGCAACTCCCTCCCCCTCCCCCTTCGCCTCCAATTCTCCCTTGCTATGCAGGTTAGTCAGGGTTCGCACTAGTGGGTGGGCTGGGCGTTGTTAGACCCATGGGTCATTGCGAGGGTCGGGCAGGGTGGGAGGCTTTGGTGCACACAGCCGCATGACAGCCCCAGCTAAGCAGCGGAGCTTACATACGTGATGCTGCTGACAGCATTGCAGCACAGACAGCAGGTGCAGCGCAGCGGCGCCGGTTATCACAGTGGCAGCCGCCTTTTATTCGCCAATACAGAGTGATCTCAAATCACCTTGGCAGCCGCCATGGAGCTTACAATACGGTTTGTTATTGATTATTGCTACTAACTACAATAAATTGCTATCCCTAAAATCCAGCCTAAGGCGGATTACGTTTCCAAATTAATCCCCCTCCCTCCCCTTCCCATTCCTCTTTCCCAATCACGCTCAGACAGCATCCCCACACCCCAGAACCCCACACCCCCCCTTCACATCCGCGACGCCGGCTGCTGCCCCTCCGCGCCCCCAAACAGCGGCGGCTCCCCCACCAGCGGCTCAAACACTCGCTGCACCGCCGCCGCCGGCACCTCCCCCACCCTGCCGTACCGCCACACGGGCGCGTTGTCCTTGTCAACCAGCAGCGCGCGAACCCCCTCCAGGAAGTCCGCGTGGCCGTGCACGAAGTGAGCCGCCATGGCGAACTCCATCTCCAGGCACTGCGGCAGGAGCATGTGGGCGGCGGCGCTGCGGCGGAGCATCTCCCAGGTCACGGCGTGGGAGAGGGGGGAGCCCCTGTGGGGGTGCGGGAGGGTGTGGGGGGAGGGGTGGCGAGGAGGTGTTGGCACGGGGTAAAAAGAAGAAAACCCAATGTGTTGAATTAGAATGGCAAACAACACGACAAGCTCCTGGTGAATGGAATCGAGTTAGTCAAGCCGGTGTTGGCAGGGAGTTAGAAGGAATCTAACGTTGTGACAAGGTGCCCTAATGTGGTGTTGGGAAGGGTGGAGTTGTTGATACCAGTGGTTGCCAAGTGCGGGACTCGGGAGGTTTGATGGTGTGTAAGACACAACCCCGGCCCGACCACGGAAACAAGCAGGGCACAGACACGCCCCCCTACCTGCGTAACGCCGCCAGCGTGCTCTTCAGGAACGCCCGAACCTCCTCCCGACTCGGCCCGCCAGCACCCCCTCCTCCACCTCTCCCCACCGCCGCCTGCTGCTGCTGCTGTCCTCCCTCCCCCTCCGCCCCCTCCCTCTCCGCCGCCGCCACCGCCGCCTCCAGCGACGCAATCACCTCCGCCACACCCTCCCTCCCAAAGTGCGCATTGATCAGCGGCAGCTTCCAACGCAGCAGTGCCGTGTTACCCGCCTCGTTCCCACCCCCCTGCCCCTGCCCCTCTCCTCCCCCTCCTCCTGCTGCTGCCTGCAGCGGTCCCTCCAGCTCGCACAGCAGCTGGTTGACTGCACCCAGGTCCGCCGCACCCGCCCCCAGCGCCACCAACCGCGATTCCAGCTCAGGGAGGCGCGAGGAGTGGATGAGATGGGTGGCGAAACCCGCGTCCTTCACCTCCATGCCTGCGTGCAAGGAGGGTGGGGGCGGGGAACTCCCGTGTGTTACATTACGTGCCAGCGTACCTAACATCTGAGCTGTGTGCCAAATGCGCGCGTGTGTGTATCGCATCATCTGGAAGGCCCCCTCCGCCCCCGCAACCCCCACCCCACCCGCCAGCCGCTCCCCCGTGAGGCCCATGTACCGCCCCAGCTGCCCGGGCAGTTGGCGCAGGAAGAAGGAGGCGCCGATGTCCGGGAACAGCCCAATACCCGCCTCGGGCATGGCTAGGACCGTCCTGGGGGGGCGGAAGCGTCTCTCCACAGTTAGCGAGGTTCAGCAAAGGTCAGCACTGCAGAAGCTGCCCACTCTCTCCTCACTCAAGAGACACAGAAATGGAGCGGGGGAGGGCTAAGAGGTGAGGTGAAAGGCCAAACATGATGCCTAGGCAAACCAACCCGAACCGCAAAGCCCGACACAAAACCCCCTCCTCGCCCCCCCCCCACCTCCACTGGAACTAATGCGGAATGTGCATCCCTATTTATCCCCACAGGAGCTTATCATCCTGTTTGCCTTTATCATCCAACATAATGGGTGTTCTTCTCCCCCCCCCTCCCCCCCTGCCCCCACCTCTCCGTAGCCACTCGGAAGCGCCCATGGTACGACACCCCCACTCCGCCGCCAAACGTGATGCCGTCCATGACGGCGATGTACGGCACCGGCAGCTGCGAGATTGCTGCGTTGTTCAGGTACTCGGTACGGAAGAAGCCCACGCCGTACCCGGGGTCCCCCGCACGTGCGCGCAGCACCAGCTCCTTCACATCGCCGCCCGCGCAGAAGGCCTTGGGGGGGGGGACAAAGGGGAAAGGGGGTGGGGTGGAGAATGAGAAGGATGACGAAACCCTCGATGTAACCCTATGTGCATAGGGTTTTGGGTTTGGAGGCCCGATGGGCACGGTCATCACTGCTTGCATGCAGCGGCCGCAAGCCTTTACGAGACGCATCCCATGAACCGCTGCTCGCTCCGGCTCCTTCCCTTCTTCCCTTCCAGCCTGTTCCAGCAACACTACAAGCATCCACCGGGCGCCTGCTGGGGTGCATAGCCGCACCCCACCAAGCCCCGGCCCTCCCGCCCTTCCCCAGCCCCCTCCCTGCCGCCTCACCTTCCCGCCCGCCCCCCGCAGCACCACGCATGCCACCGGGGAGCCCGGAGCGCTGAACTCCGTGTTCAGTGCCAGCAGCCGCTCAACCTGTTTTTGGGGGGGTCAAAAGAAGAATACGCAATGTGTTGAATGAGAATGGCAAACTAGGCGACAAGCTCCTATTGATGGGTGAGAGTACAGGGAATGAAAGGCACCATGCCGTGGTTAAGTGTGGGGTGGGGGTGAAGAGGAAACAACTAACCGATCGTGTGATAAGGCATCATCATGGTTTGCAACATGTGAGCCAGTCCGACCCACCCAGCCCGAATTGTGTGTGTGGGGGTGGGCGGGGGAGCTAGGGCAGAGATGACGTCGCCACAGTGCCCGAGCTAACTCCATTGGGGGGCTTCAACTAACAGTTGGACCGGCCCTGACCACAATCCCTGCACATCGCATGAGCCTCCCCCCGTTGGGGTTCTCTGTCTCCCGCAACACGGACTACTTTACCGCTGCCCTAAACACCACGGTTTCGTTATACTCCACTCCGCTGCAACCTTCCCCCCCGCAAATGCAGGAGGTCACGCACCATGCCCACGCTGAGGGAGTTGAGCGCCTTGGGCCTGATGGAAGGAGGGGGGAGAGGAGGCGCGGGGATGTGGAGTAGGGGACGACGGAATGTGGGGGTTGCGTTACAGAGGACGGCGGGAGTCGGGGTCAGTGGGTTTTAGGGCTGGCTCCTTTTGGGGGTTGGGAATGCAGCGGCACATCGACGACGTAACGAGGCTGACTGCTGTACAGGGGCAGGAGTTACAAAACGCATGGAGGGCAAGAACCGTAGGGTGGGAAGGGCGTTGGAGGGCGGAAATGTACTGGATGCAGGGTATCATATGACTATTGGGGAACGGGTTGTCTAAAATGGAAATAGGTGCTGGGAAAAGGCACTTATTTCTTCATGAGGCAGAAGAAGGCTGGAGTTTGGCGACACACGACACGACACTCTCCAACGGTTTTGTTGACCGACCTGTTGAGGGTCACGAAGGCTACTGATCCCTTGATTTCCGACAGCACCTGGGAGCGGAAAGGCATTCAGAGCGCAACTGAGCGCCCAATCATGACGTCGATTCGGGAGTTAGTAACTCGCCGACGCGTCGCCCACCTCCGGCTCCACATTTTGACCTTGCGCCATAACAACAGCCGGTGCTCGCCTCGTAGCGTAACTCTTCGCTCTTAAGGTTACCCTGTACGGGCCTCTGGAAACTCTGGAGGCTAGGGCTGGCGCTCCGTGCATAAATAAGGCTTGAATTGAAAACAATACAAGCTAGCAGGCCCTTTCCGACTATTCTTTCGGTTTGCCTTTACGCAAAGAGAAGTAAGCTTCTTTCGTAGGACAACGACTTCGTTACTGATAGGGCATAAGCACAGTTAATAGATACTTCGCAGCGAGCTATTTAATCCTGTCAAGTACTAGAACATGAAGCGACGAGAATGCGTCCTAAATGGCGTGGAGCTCAGGTAGGTTGCCGTCAACCGAAATGGCACTACTAAGGAGGGCGGCAGCGAACGCATCACCGCTGCCCAACGCGCAGGGATCTTGGTGATAAAGGCCTTGGATTGGTAGCCTGCGCGCCGCTGGCTATGGGCACGGTGGTGCTGCAGGTATGCATGCCCAGTACATCTGATCGACCTGATGGGCGGCGTGTTCTAACCTGTCTTCTCCCGCTGCCGCTACAGGAGCGTCCATACGCTACATCACTCCTTCCGCACACCACGCCCTCCATGTGCCGGTGCTGCTTCACCAGCATCAGCGCGGCCACCAAGGGCCTGCGCACCTGCCGCAGGTAGTACAGCACCAGCCTCATCACCACTTGCCCGCTTGCCCGCATCGCCACCCGCATACCCCCGCCTCCAGCAGTACCGCTTCTTCTCCATCACAGTCAATATCAATGTTACACGCATTGCTCCTAAAGTCACTGTTACATTTGAGATGTCTATACACCTGCACAGTGCGTCCGTACGAGCCAGCTAGGGGCACAAGGACACTACACTGTCTGTTATTACCGTACATGTGCTGTCAACAACAGGTGTCGTTCGGCGCACTACTGCAGCTACAAGTGCTACTCCGCCGACCGACGGACCCACCGGGAGAGCGGCGAGTGCTGGCTGTACGCGCATGCGCACGCACTCAGGTGGGGCAGGGCATGCATGCATGTGTACGGCAAATACGGCAAGTACATGGAAGTACATAAGCGGCGGAATGGCCAGTTTCCGCACCAGCATTACCCCGTAGCGGGTCTTCATACAGCCAGCCAATGCTTTTCGAGTCCCACTGGTGCACTGCTTCCTTTTTCTCGGCCTCCCCTCCCTCATCTCCTCCCCTCCTTCTTTTTCCCCTCCTTTCCCCTTCTCCAGCCTTGCCGCCCCCGAGGGGCTGCGACGTGAGGCGGTGTTGGCGCTCAGACACCTGGTGGCAGCACCGCCAGCAGCATCAGCAGCAGCAGCACTTCCACAGCCGCAAGCAGCGGCTTCGCAACCGCCGTCACAGCAACCCTCGCAGCAGCCCCCTCCTCCTTCCCAGCCCCAGCTCCAGCAGCCCCAGCTCCAGCAGCCCCTGTCGTACCCGCCCTCGCTGCTGGCGGCCGGCTCGCCGCTAGATCGGGAGCTGGCGGCGTGGCAGCAGACCGGCGGTGGCGGGCGGCTGGCGCGGGTGCTTGTGCGGGGCAGCAGCGGGGGCGAGCTGCTGGGGAAGCAGGTGGAGGCGGCGGCGGCGGCGGTGGCGGCGGTGGCGGTCGTGGGGTGCGGTGTGGGGCTGCTGGGGAGCTTGCTGGCGCGGGCGGCGCAGGCGGTGAGCGTGTGTTAAGAAATTAAGAATTAGGAACGTAGTGAACTGGGAGCGAGTGTGTGTGTGTGTGTGGTCGCTATGGGATGGGTGGGAGAGGGGCAACAGGCGGGGCGGGAAGACGTTGCAAAAGATGAGCAATGCCAGAGATGGGCGTGGGCCTAGCCAGAATGCGTGGATTGTGCGTCACAACGACGCACAAAGCGAGTGCAGGAGTGTCGGGTGTTGGGCCACTCAGGTGTGCCCTGCTGCATAAGCGCACAGGCGCAGGCGGCATGGGCGAGTCAGGGTGCGGCGCACCATTCCGAGCAGCCTGCTGCTGCTGCTGCTGCCCGACTCTGACGCAGCGCCTCTGTATACCGTGACAGCCCCTCGCGGGCTACATGGCTCACCGTCCGCTACCGAGTACGGTACATGCCTGCAAGGACAGCCAACCATCCCCTTCCCGACCCTCACCCCGTCCCCCTCCTCCCCAGCTTCTCATTTAGTTTTTCTCCCCAAGTTGTCGTTTGGTGTGCCCTTGTAGTTCATTCTCCTCCCCCCTGCCCCCCCCCCCCCACAGGGCCAGGCAGCCCGGCAGTGCCGCCTGCATGCGGAGGAGCGGCGGCGGCTGCACAGGCAGCAGCGCGAGCAGCGTGCCCGGGAGCGAGCGGAGGCGCAGCAGCAACTACCACCACCTCATCCATCCGGCCGCGGTTCCTCCTCGGCCTCTCCGCCGCCGCCTCCACCGCCGCCGCTGCCAGCAGCCGCAGCCCCAGCAGCTGCCGGTGCCCCAGCCCCAACCGCGGCCGCCTCTTCCTCGGAATCCTCATCAGAGTACGACTACGATGACGGCGACCATGACGACAACAACCACGGGGCTAGCGGTGCAGGTGAAGGAGGACGAGTGGGGACGGAGGATGTGGTTCTGGATGCGGAGGCGGTGGCGGCGGCGGCGCGAGCAGTGGCGGCGGTGGTGGTGAATGCGCTGGAGGTGGCGCTGCACCCGCCCTTCGCGGCGGGCCTCATTGGGGCGAGCAGGGGCGCGGCGGCAGCCGGCGGGTCGGGGACAGAGGCGGGGCCGGCGCATGGAGGGGGATTGTACGGCGCTCCGCTGGCGCTGTACAGGTGCGTGGGTACGTTAGGTTGGGCAGGAAGGAAGGGCGGGGAGGCATCTGTGAATGGGAGGGAACCTCCCAAAGGGTTGCCCCGACCCGGCCCGCCCAGCCCGAGTTACGCCCAGCTGGAACGTATGCATACCGTGCCTTAAGTAGTATACAGCAGCAGGCCCCCACTTCTCCTCTATGTCTCCATTGTCTCCCCCCCCGTCCCCCCTACATGTCTCCAGGTTCGGCTGCCGCATCAACCACTCCTGCCGCCCCACCGCCGCCTACCACTTCCGACCCGGGGGCCAGCTCATGGTGCGACTCGTAACGGACCTCCTCACGACACCGCCCGGGACAACACCGCTGCCGCAGTCACCGACATCGCCGACAACGGCGGCAATGGCGGCGGCGGCAGCAGCAGCAGGAGCAGCAGCAGTGGAGGCGGAGGCGGCGGAAGTTACTATGTCGTACATTGACCTCGCCCTTCCATGTGATCGCCGTCGCGAGCAGCTGTACGACAAGTACGGTTTCTGGTGCAACTGCGCTCGCTGTTGTAGCAGCATCAGCAGCAGCAGCACCCATACCTGCTCGGGCGCAAAAACTTGCTCACCTGCGGTTACGGCGGATGAGCTGCTGTGCGGCTGCCCGGCTGGTGGGGTGCGGCAGCGCCTGGGAGGGATGGTGGAGGATGCGGGGGTGGTGATGGGTGTGGGGCCGGAGGAGAGCGGCTGCGGTGGAGGGAGTCCCCCGCTGCCGAAGGGAGCCCCCGGCTGGCGGGGGTCCACGGAGGAGCGGCTGCAGGTGCTGGTGCGGAGCTGCGGAGAGGCGCTGGTGCTGGGGGAGCGGCGGGAGGGGGAGCGGGAGGGTGGTGCAGAAGCAGCGACAGCGGCGGACACGTTTGTCGCACTGGCTGGTGGGCTGGACCGCCTTACAAGCCTTACAGCAGGGGCAGCAGCAGCAGCAGGAGCTGATAGCGTTGCCTTCTCATGCGAACAGCAGCAACAGTGGCAGCAACAGCAGCAACGCCCTGCAATCGCACCGCAGCATGCCGCCTGCCTGGATGCCTACGTGCTGATGGCGAGTGCGGCCAGGAGGTGCGCGGCGACGGCGGCGGCGGCGGCTGGCAGCGTGCCGGTTGGGGTGGGAGGGGCCGAGGAGAAGAGCGGCGGCGGCGGTGATGACAAACAGCAGGGGAGTGTGGTGGCAGGGGCTGGGTCGGCGGCGCAGGTGCAGGCGGCGGTGGTGGGCTGGTGGTGTCGGGCGGTGTGTGCCTCGCTGGCCGGGGCAGCAGCGGCGGAGCGGCTGCTAGCGGCAGGTGGGTGCGATGTGGAGGAAACTGGAAGGAAGCGGAGGGAGGGCGCTGGTGAACGCTTAGGTACCGGTGTTAGGGGCTTCGAAGGGGAGCATGATGCCATACCGGTAGGTGCGTGACTGGGTCTATTGCGAGTGGAGGCTTCTTGGGGAGGCATGGCTGGTTTCGACGACGTCTGCCAGGGTCTTGACATCGCTTCTTTCTTTCCCCAGAAGTGCCCTGCCCGCCTGCCCGCCACATCCCAGCGCGCTCCAGCCTCAGCCCCGTCCTTCCCTGCTTTCTCTCCGTTACTAACCCTCCCACGCCCCGCACTTTCCCGCCCCTAGTCCTCCCCCTTCACGACACTCCCCCAAACACTCAACCCATACCGTACATGTACAACCCGTTGCGCGTAACCCCAACTGTTACCCCGCCCGCCCCCCTGCCCGCCCGCCTGCAGAGCTCGGCCTGCTGCAGCACGCAGCGGCCGCCTGGAGCGACGCCGCCAGCACCGCATGTGAGCTGCTGGCGGCTCTGTACGGCAGCAGCGCGGGGGGGCAGCAGCGGGAGGAGGGGGGAAGGGGGGAGGAGGAGAGGGGAAGGGAGGCGATTAAGGTACCGGCAGCGGCATCAGCAACAGCAAAGGCAGCTGCCACCGTTAGTGCTGCGACGACTGCAGTACTGCCCGTGACACGAAGCGACCACATCACATCTGCTGTGCGGGCAGCACTGGAGGAGGAGCGGCGGGCACTGCGGCAGCTGCGGCACCGCTCAATACCGGTAGTTGGAAAGGGACCGTTGGCGGGTTCTGCAGGTAACGGCTGTTGTGTGGCGGCGGGTTCTGCGGTGCAGGACTGCGGGCCCGCAGGCGAGGAGCCGCATGCCAAGCGGCAACGCTGCGATGAGGGCACCACCCCGGGGCGCGGACGGATGGCACCCGGCTTCGACCAGAGTGATGAGAATCAGGGTGATGCAGGCCAGGAGCGGGGCAGCAAGGAGGGGGCAGCAGGGCGCCCGTCCGCCTGCCGCCGCGTGTACACAGGCCCCGCCTGTCTGGCTGCGTCCTGTCAGCGCCTCTTCCGTCTGTCAGCCCGGCTGGGGTGCTCCCTGGCGCCCCAGCTGCCGCAGCCAGCCGTCAGCGCTACGGCTGCAGCTGCGGTGGCCGACTGGCTGGGGAGCCTTGCGGGCAGCGCCAGCCCAGTAGCACCCGATAACGAGGTACCAGTAGCTTTCATCAAGGGACAGGATGGCGCGGAGGAGGCGGCAGCAGGGGAGGCAGCGCTAGCTGCCATCGCGGGTGCCGCTGCCAGCTCGCTAGCCCACTCGCTGGCCCGCACGCACCTGCTGCTGCGGCTGCTGCTGGGGGAGGCGCACGGCGCATGCGAGGCCTGCCAGTTCCTGCCCTTCTTCGCGCCGCAGCTGCCGTACGGCGTGGCGGCGGAGGTGACGGCGCTGGCGGCGGCGCTGCTGGCGGAAGTGCACTTGCAGCAGCTGCTGCCGGCGGGTGTGCGGGTGTGAGGCGTGGTGCAGCAGGCGGCAGGCGGCGGTGCAGGTTGTTAGTAAGGGTGAATATGACGAGTAGGAAGTAGTGGGACCTGTGGAAGAGCGTTGCGTTTCTGGCCTAATGAGGCTTTTGTTGAGCGGAGCGAGGAGTGCAGTGCTGCGGAGGGTTGCTGTCGCAGAAGCGTTGTGTAGGAGCGTGCTGTAACAGGCGAGAAGGCGTGTAGAATGGTTGGAGCTTGGTGGGAACTGGTGCGGCAACAAGGAGTTCTGCTAATGGATGGGAAGGGGTGCTTAAGCGCGGTAATGGTAAGGGGCTTGGACCGCTATGGAGTTAGCTGTGAGATGAGGTGAGAGCAGCGGACAACAAAGGGTTAGCGGGATGCGTTGGCATGGCAGGTTGGCACATGCGTCTTCGATAAGTACATACAATTGGAGGAGACTCGCTAACTTAGCCACATCAAAACCTACACACAATCCTGGCCATACTGGCATTAGGAAGCGGATGTTACACTGTAGGACAGTAGCACTTGCACTAGTGGGGTGAGGTGGGCCAGGAAACCTAAGGGCGCGTATACAAGGACACTCCATCAGGACAGGAATCCCAGTTTAACAGCTTGCGAGTCACAAAAACGACACAGACGCTGGGGCTTTTCCTAGCCACGTGATGCGACCGGGGCGCATCCAACAAAATGTCCCCGTATGAGAAAGCGCTTTAGGGCAGGTAAGTGGTGCTTCGGAAAGAACTAGTTTGCATACGCGGGAAACCGCATCATACTAAAGCATATGCAAGCTAAAGGCGATCGCTCTCTTAACTAGCTAGTAGATAGTGTCGTACTCAAGCCGAAGTGGACATTGCTATTGGTTTTGCTTAGGCAGGAATGTTACTTAGCACCGTTGCTTACATACTCCGAGTGTTGTTGTATCCTACCACATGCTCGTCGCAGCGCATCAATGGTTAGCGAGACGCAGCGCTGTCACACAGCGTTGCCCAGCGGTTCCATACGAACATATCTGCAATTGGTTTATTTAGCTTCCGTTACATTAGCAGACTTACTACCTGACAAGTAGTCGTAATGAACATCCCAGCGAAGTTTACCTTCTTCTACCTACGCTTTCGCAGGAGACAACAGCACGCTACATAAAATATAGAGGCTTGCATTGTACTTTGTTCTCGAAGCTCCTTAGCTACGTTTCCCAATCAGATGCCGTAACTTCCATGAACCCTTGCTGCTCCTCATCTAACCCTTACAATGCACCAACCTCAGTACTTGGCAAACTCAAAACCTGTTGGCGACAACACCGTTGGTTCTCCACCAGCTCCGTACCATGCTTCAGCAATGTATACGGCACCGAGGCCGCACCAACCGCAAGTCCCGCAGCCGCCAGGAGCTATGCTGCTGGCTCAGCCGCCTGCTTACCTCGCCGGATCACGACTGACTGCTACCGCCTGGCCTGCTGCTGGTCCTGACACGCTGGCGGACATACAAGACTCCCAGTCCATGCAAGAACTAGTGGGAGGCAACTGGATCTTCGTCGTCTTCGCTCCGTACTTTGTGGCGACGGCACTTCAGGACACGCATCTTAAAGTCGGCCTGGTCATTGCAACTGTAGCATCCGGCCTTGTGTTGCTGACCGGCCTGGGCTTGTGGGCTATGAATCTCAGGAAGGTGGGTGGAATCTAGAAGGCGTGCGTTGACGCCTGAGTCGAGTCCAACCCGCCGCCACTAAACCTCGATGCCCATCCCCTCGAGCCCACCATCTTCCCATGATTAACCCTGTGTCTATCATTCATGAGCCACCTACATAAGCAACTCACTTTCTTCTTTGCTGGCTTGCATGAGCGCAGGTTTTCCCCCACATCCTGGAAGTGCTCATGTTTGTCATCTACATCGTACAGCTGGGTGTGGCGTACGACAGCGAGGCGTACGAACGGGAGGTCGTACGGACTTACAACCTCATCACGCACTCCGCGCTGGCTGGTACATGCCTGGTGAGGACTGCAGAGCCTGGGGCACCTAAGGTGGTCAGGTGGTAGCGCGAAGGTGGTGCCCTCTGAGCCATGTGTGAGCAGCCAGTGCGGTTGCTATGTACCGGCCGCTCTGGGCCACATGTTACCTCACCCCCGAGTAACCCCAACACCCCGCCACCCACATCCGCGGCATGTCCCTGGCAGCCACTGGACCAACACGGCGGTCTGACTTCCCCTCCTTCCTCCGCCACATCCTCCTCTTTTCGCAATCTGCCTCCTTCCTCCTCTCTCCTCCCCCGGTCCCTGCCCTCCGCTTCCTCTCCCCCCGCCAGGCCTCCATGCTGGTGTGCTACCCGGCCGGCTACCAGGTCGCGCAGGAGCTGGTACACCGGGCGCACATGCGCAGCCCGGCGGTGCTGCGGGTGGGGCTGTACACCACCGCGGTGCTGACCGCCTCCCTCGTCTCCTCCTGCCTGCTGTATCTGGTGGGGCGGGGCGGGGTGGGGTGGGGCGGGGTGGGGGACTAGGTAAACTGAGACGCGGAAACACTGACCCTGACCGTAGTTTACCTGGTGGGGTGAGGTGGGATGGGGTGGGGGGTGGGCAGCCCTGCATGCGCAGCCTGGGCAGCAGCACCACACCCTGGGAGGGAGGGAGGGAGAGAGCTGGGTGCAGGTCGCGGGATAGCCGTTGCGCCATGCGTGCATGCTCCTGCTGGCGTTGCCGCGTCCTGGGAAGCGTGGCTTGGGGACTTGCACTTTGCCCTGCCGGCATGCAACCTTTGCATCACTGCATCACTGCCGGGGATCACGCTGGCATTACTGCAAAGCCCACCTTGTGTGTGGTTCCAAAGCTCCCTTCGAGCCTTCTACCCGTCAAACACCATGCATACCACACGCTCGCCCGCCCGGCCTCTTTCCCCCGCAGGTCCCCCTCTGCAAGGGCTTTGACACCTCCCACTGGCACTCCCTGAACCTCATCTTCCGCCTCATCTACCCCTGCGTCGCCACCTTCCTTGCCCTGCTGTTCGTGCGGTTCTTCCCCGACGTCTACCTGCCCAACCTGGCTGTGGTGCATGGGCTCAGCGATCGCAAGACGCAGACGGTGAGGGCGGGGAAGCGGGGGGCGGGGGTGCGGGGTCGGGTGAGGCGGGGTGCAGCTGTTGTTTGGGGAATGTGCCGCCGCTAGACACAGCTGGAGAGTTAGGAGCGTGTATAGACTGGTGCGATGCAGTTTCCGGTGGGGCATGTAAAACCGTGGATTGGGTCCTTTTAACACCGGCTGGATGCCTTGAACCGAGGTCAGACGTCTTGCGCACCATGCATGCCCCCTCATCAGCCGTTTGTGCTCGACACTGATTACCGTCGTCTCTGGCTCCCTGTCCCACCTCCTACTAACCGCCTACTAAACCCAGTGCGGAATATCCACCCCCCCCCCCTCAAACCCTTCCTCCTCCGTCCCCGTGTCCCGCTGCAGCGACTGAGTCCCTACCTGACTGCGGACGCCGCCAGCCGCCAGCCGCCGTACCTCCTGCACAATGCCATGTGCGTGGGTCTGCTCCTGGGTCTGCTCCTGGCTGCTTGGTGTGTGTTGTCGTTTGCTAACGGGCTTGGTTGAGTGGTGTGCTCCCAAGGAGAGTGGTGCCACATGCAGACTGGGCAAGTAGGAAAGGTGTAGGAGAGGCTGGCTGCTTTGTGCAGCATCCGAGCATCCCAAATCGGGTACCGTAAGCACACCCCTTGCCGCGGCATTCCTTTGCATACCATACCCTATCTTACACATGTGGCATTCCTTTGCGCCCATGTCCCTGTTACCCATGTCCGCTTGTTGCTGCTGCTGCTGCTGCTGCTTCCCCCGCCAGGTACCAAAGCACCGCGGACGCAGTAGCCAGGTCGCTGCAGGGCGCCACCTGGCCACCAGCAGCCCCCCTACCGCCGCCAGCAGCAGCTGCAGCGCTCACACAGCAGGGCTACGCAGCAGGGGCCGCCGGCAGTGCGGCCCACCAGACAGCTCATCAGGGGCCGCCATGGGGGCCGATGGGGCCGCCGCTTGCAGTGGGTCCAGGCGGTGTGGGCCCCTCCTTGGAACTGGCGGGTGAGGTCTGGCAGCAGTACCCCCGACAGGACCCTAACACGCCCCTGTACACTCACTTCAGAGCAACCGGTGAGCGCGGGGTTACGATGTTGTAAAAATGTGCGTTAAAGTGTGTGCGTGTTAATAAGGCTGTGAATTGCCAAGTCAACGGAGCCGCGTGGCAGTGTGCTCCTAAGACGCAGTTGAGAAGGTTGTCGTGCTGCTTGCGTGCAGGCCCGCCAGCACCGCCGCCACCGCCCCCCCTGGCGGTCTTCGCAGTGTACCGGGAGGGCGCCATGCAGGCCCCACAGCCCCACAGCTCCTCCTCACCAGCAACCCTACCGGCAGCCGGTCCCGGGCTGCTGCCCGCCCATACCCCGCCTCCGCCACAACAAGCTGTAGCTGCCCGGATGCCGCTGTATGCGGAACCTCCCCGCCACCACACAAACGCACCCGCAGCAGCAGCTGCAGCCGCAGCAGCGGCGGCGCCTTCTGCACATCGCTACATGAGTCACCCGCAGGCGGTACAGGGCAGGATGGGGGCCGCCAGCAGCGGCGGTGCGGGGCCCTATGGCGTCAACCTGCCTCTATCCGCCTTGGCAGGTGGCATACCCGCCGGTTCTGGAGCTGACTGGCAGCAACATCAGCAGCAGCCTGTGCAGCAGACTTTCCAGCAGCCGGTGATGAGCCAACAGCCGTACAACCCTCACCAGCCGTACAACAACGGGCACAACGTACCTGCCTACCTTTCACCTCAGCGGGAACACCAGCCACTGCCTCAGCAGCAGCAGCAGCGGTTCGCAACCGCAGGGGGCAATCCAGCAGCTGCCGTCATCATGCCCAGCAGGTTCCCACCAGCACCTCCAGCGGAGTCGTACGGGCTAGCGGAGGAAACTGCAGTGTTGCACGCGCAGCAGCCTCGGGGGCCCTACTACGACCCACGGGTCACTGACGGCGGCGATGCCGGCTTTGGCCTCGGCGCAGAGCTGGGGGAGCAGCAGCAGCAGCAGTGGCAGCAACCCCAGCAGCGCATGGTGAACCCGCCGCATGAGCTGCAGCACCGGCCGCTGGGGATGCGGTCTCCAGCAATGGCTGGCGGGCCGGGGGATGGGTTTGGGTTGGACGCTGAGTTGGACGCTCCGGCGCCCAGTAGATGGCGGTAGCTGGCTGCCTGTGACTGCCGGTGTTATGCAGATTGGATATGCAGCGTGTGCTGGAATAAGCAACGTGGGGCGGCGACGGGGGTTTAATACAGTATGGATAATCCGTGCTGGGCTGGAATAAGTATGTTGCGGATAGTGGCTGCAATTGCACCGTAAGCAATAAATGCTTAGCAGGAGTAAACAGTGTTAGCAACGACGATGTTTCATGGCGGTCGGCTGGCAAATGTTAGCCGATCTCCGCTGGATGCGAAAGGGAAGGTGTTGGGGGTTAACGAACGGTTTTAAGGGTTTATCGTTGGGGTTTGAGTGATGGCCACTTTCTCGGCCCTCCTATTGGAATGTATATAAGCAAATGGAATTGTGGACGTTTGCGTTGATGACTCCGAATCCCGCTTGCTCACGGTCATTGTTGGCAGGGCTGCACTGTAGCAGCCTGCTGCCATGCTCGCGTCCGCTGCTGGGTTGGGCAGTCGCGGCGACCGAGTCGGTCAGGGACCCGACTGTCAGGAAGTCGTTGAGGCGTGCTGCTGTGGCTACGTTGGCAGCTCCTGGTTGCTTGTTGCTGCTGGTGTAACTTGACACGTTACATACCGGTATTGGAGCTTTCCCGCTATTTTAGGGTAACGATCAGTCGGTTAACCGCTGAGTAATGTACACTGTCGTATGCCCGCCATTTGGGCGCTATGTTCTGGATTGTGTGTGTGCCCCGCGACGGCGGACACGACCGTGGCCCCACCACCCCTTCACTCTACACACGGTCTACAATTGTTGAGATGGTCTATGCATGTAATTTGTGTGTGAGGGATGCGGAGACGGGAGTGGGGAGTGGGGAGCCGTTGTTTGCATGCACGAACCACTACGCAGGGATGCGGCCTCAATCGGCGGCCAGAAAGGAGACCTGACCCGTTTCGTATCGTATACCGGTAGACACGGTAGTGTCCTTGGCCGCCATGGCTCGTGCGGACACACCGTACGCCCATGCACACTGTAACGCTACTGACATGCCAGGACATGCGGCATCCTACACGGCAACCAATGGTGGCGACCCTGTAATGACTAGGATGCTCATTACATCAGCGGCTCTTGCCTCCATGCGTAATGATACGACGCAACAGATAAGGGGAGAGTGGAGCCTAGCACAATATGCGATTCTTGTTGAGCGGCTAGGTGGTGGCGTTCGCATTGCGCGCTGGCACCGGTAGCATTCAGCTTGCTGCGCACCACCGTAGTGAGCACACCCACGCAACGAACGCCAGGCTGCATGTTGATGCAGGTACGCACCGTGATTCAGCTTGTTCCGGAGTGCCTCGTCCTAGTAGCCTACGGCACTATCCCTAGGTAAGATGACTGCCTTTGCTGTAGCTTGCTCTGGCGCTTGGAGGCCTGGGGCTGTGATGGACTGTACGAGCATGACTCATTTACTATGTTCGCAGGTTTTGTGGCAAAGTCCCACAAGGGTGCATGCCCTGTAGCGGACGTATGGGAGATTGCAATTATGGGGCATTTCATGTATGTTCACGAAACCTGATCGTTGGTGCAGCAAGGGCTCACAAGCCCTGGCTCCGAAGCTGGATCTGGAAAATATACGCAATGCGGGTAACACTGCTACACTTTCCTGCTAATGTTCCATAGGGCATCAAATCCTCGAACATGTTGTCGCCTCTAGCTTCCTCAGGCCTTACCTTACATAGCACACGCCTCCATCAGCAAGCAGGTTGTCGACCACAGCTGTTTCGATGCCGTTACGCTGTATTTAGTAAAGAGCAAAGACGAGCAGTTAGGCAACCACATTCATTTGATGGGAGCTCACACCCGCAAGAGGCCTCCAGCAATGCGGATGCTAAGGCCGACGTTATAAAGAGATATAATGTAGACCCGCATAAGCTTTCATAATGAATATGCAATGTCGCTAATACTCTGTGATTGTTGCTCCGTAGGTCATGATGGTCCTGGTTGCACGGTTGCTGGCATTACCAGACAAAACACAGTTACACAGTTTCCTACGCGCCAAGCCGGAAGCAATCTCGGTGCCTTTCCTATCTTGGGTAGCTGAACAGGAGGCAAGCGCAGTAGGGGAACAAAAACGGGTGAGCAAGAGGCATCCATCCATTGCTGTTTCGGGATGTGTTTCGGGGTGTGTAGCCTGAGCCCGGCGCGCTTTGGATGCAGGTCTTGGAGGGGATTTGCGAGGAGCTAGTGACGTTCCGCGAGCAGCTTGGTAAGCAGCACACATTCGCCATGACCTTCCCTATTCGGGCTCTTCTACTCAAGCACTGGTTCTGACATCACGGTATACCCGATGAAGCACCGCACACTGCAGCAATTCCGACCAACGAAAACCGCTCGCCACCATGCATCCCGATTGGAGCCTGCTTCGATAAAGCAACGCTACTTTTAGCTCTATACACCACCGCCCATGTGCTCCGGGTGTTTCCGAGCACCACTCCACCTGAGTATAGCCCCAATTACGGAGCTTTCACTCCAATACGTCTGCCATACCACGTTAACACCCAACACTTCCCTTCCGTACCCACCCACGCATCCGAGGCGCACCGCAATAACCCACCCTCCACCTCCCCATCAACCCCTCCCTCCCTCCTTCCCACGTCCATCCGCAGAGGATGAGCGGTTAGACGCGCTGTACACCTCCACCCTCTCAGCCCTCACAGCCGGCGAGGCGGACCCCGGCTCCGCAGCCCTGGCGCTAGCGGCCCGCCCCGAGCAGTACGCCGTACGGCTGGCCGAGCAGCTGACGGGCAGCCCGGTGCGTACGGAGGGGTACGACCGAGTGTACGATGTGCTGCTGAAGGTGGCGCCGCCGGCAGCACTGACGCTGGAGGGCGTGAGGAAGGGACATGAGATGGTGAGGGGCAGCTCGGGGCTGGGATTGTGGGGGAGGGCGCTGCGTGGAAGTGGATGTGAGTGGTGAGGTGCGTGCGGGTTTCGTCTGGTGTCGTCCGGTTGTGGAGGTTGGGTGATGCTGGCGCTCCCACGGGGTATGGCGGGAGGGGCGCACGTTACGGATTGGGTAGGGTCGGGGTGCGGAGGCCTACTAGTGGTAATGTTAAGCGTGTTAAGAACACCGGCAGCGAGTGGGGTGTGTGGCCGCGTGTTAAGAAAACTGGCCGCGTGTGCTGCTGTAGACATACCGTATGCCAGTTGACGAGGATGGCCGTGCATCTACCAGCTGCTGGTGCATCTAGCGTGCTGCCGTGCATCTACCAGCTCCTGGTGCCTCCCCACCAGTTGGGATGCTGTCCTAGCTCCCATCCACCCACCCCCCTGCGCCGCACACTCCGCTCCCCTGCAGGCCCGGGAGCTAGCCACGGATCTGCGTGCCCGCCGCAAGCGCTCCGTGCAGTCCATGATCGGCCGCGCACAGCTGACCGCCGAGCAGGCGGACAGGCTGATGGCCGGCACGAATGCGGTGAGCGGGGTTGCATGGGGTGCGGGTGGTGCTGGGGACTGGGACTGCGGCAGTCGCAGGGCTGGTTGCTATGGCTAGCTATCCGAATAATGTGTTATGTGGAAGCATGACTGGCTTTGCCTCGGTTTGGCGTGTTGTGTAAGCACAGGGCGCCTGGGCCCGCGCCTTGACCTCAAAGACGCTCAACCACACACCGCTCCCTTGTTGCTCTGCCGCCCCTACCTCTGCCTCTCCTCCTCAGTCCCGCATCCTGGACATGCTGCTGGCGCTGCCATCCACAGCGGACCGCCTCGCCTGCCTCCCCGACTGCTTCACTCCGCCGCCACTGGCAGAGGAGGATCCATCAGACAGCATCGCCGCCCTCCGACCTGACGACACCGACGGGGCCGGTGGTGACGCCCCATCCCCGCCCTCGCCCTCGCCCTCGCCCGACACCTCAGCCCCCTCTGGCAACGATTCGGAGTGTGAGGAGCTGCTCTGGTGCACGCCCTCGCAGCTGCTCGTGGAGCTGGAGGCTCGGCTGCAGCGACTGGAGGGGCGGGGCGCCAGGCCGCCGCCAGGTCCTGTGGGGGCAGGCGGGCCGGCGGCGCTGCTGGGCGGGCCGGCGGGGGGGCTGTGCGGCGAGGCGCTGCTGGGGGAGCTGCGTGTGCTGCGGGAGGAGGTGCGGCGGAGGTGGCTGGAGACGTTGGAGGTTCGGGAGGAGGGCGGGCGGCAGGCGGAGAGTGTGCAGGCCTAGGGAAGCGCTCCGGATGTCAGCGGATGGCGTTGGCGACTGCTGTTCCATGCATTCAATGTTTTACCAAGTTCTGTGTTATGGAAAGGTGCTTGCTATGACGTTGACGGCAGCTTCGATAGGCCCCCTGCGGTGCCCAGGTGCAGCGTGTGCCAGCGGAGGACCCAGTCTGTTGCCAGGGTCACGGTCTCACGTAGTGCCTTGACGGAAATGATGGACAGGTCGTCCTTGCTGCTACACATAATCTCCGTAAGGTTTATGCTTTCTAGGCCCCTATGCCTCTTAGACATGGGGCCAACCGTTGTTACCGACGGCAGAGTCTTCAAGGGTAGCTTTGGGCTTTGGGAGACATGCAGACGCAATGGGAGTCATCAAAGCCGTTCAAGCACCAAGACATGTCCCACATACATCAATCAGCAGGCCTGACACCGCTTGGGAGCTGCACCATTGCTGCGTAGTGTTCGTTCCGAGAGTAGTATAACTGTACAAGACACCCAGTATGACTTCTTAGCTCTGGATAGACTGTCCAACTGTCAACTATAGCTGTGGGAAGCCAGGCCGTGCAGGGAGCGCGCGTGCGAGAGAGAGATTTCCTCAACCACAAGGGAGCAACCAACTGTTACAAACAGCCCGCCATCACGTACAGCAACAGCTAGGCCGATGCCCAGGCGACTGCAGCCGGCGCCGGCGCCGGGCAGCCTCCCCAGTCACGAGCTCATCCCGCACACCCCGTTTACAGGGAGTGGCCAACGGCCCAGACGCGGATCTGGCCGTCGGTGTAGCCCGAGTAGAGGGTGGAGCCGTCGGCCGACCAGGCCAGCGACACGCAGTAGGGCACCTGGGCCTTCTTGCTGGTGATGGTGCTGGAGAAGTCCACGCGGAGGTCGTCCACGATGCTCTTGCTGCGGGGCGGAAGGACGCGCAGGGGGGTTTGTCAGTATTTTGGCATGTGAGTGCGCATGCAACATTTATTCAAGATTCCGGAATTAAGAAAAGCTACTGCGGTTTGAAGGATATCCTGCCGGGTGTAAAACCCGGAAACCTTGCGCAACCCTCGTATCCTTCACTCCCTTCCGACAAGGCCCCTCCCAGCCGCCCTCACCTCTCCAGGTCCCAGATCTTGATGGTGGACTGGGTGGCAGCGCACAGCCAGTAGCGGTTGGGCGAGAAGCACAGGCAGTGGATGACATCGCCGGCGTCCAGGCTGTACAGGCGCTTGCCCTCAGCCAGGTCCCACAGCATGGCGACGCCGTCCTTGCCGCCGGAAGCGCACAGGGAGCCGTCGGGCGACACGGTCACGGTGTTGACGTAGCCGGTGTGGCCGATCAGGTTGTTCTTGAGCTTGCAGTTGGTCAGGTTCCACACCTTGACCTGTGGGGCGTGGAGGTGCACGTAGGTGTGTGGCGGTACATGCGTCAGCAGGGAGTGGTATGCGTCCCTAATACGGTGTGCGCAGGGAGAAAGCACGCTCGGGAAGGTGTGATAAACGCCGCGGCTTGGTTATAGAGCTGTCCATGCATCTGGTGCGTGTTCTCATCCCCAACAGCATGCTCAGAGATCCTACTCTCTGCAAGGTCAAACCCATGCATACATATGGAAGCAGGTGTCAGCCAGGCGGTAGTGTCACGTATCATCATCTGCCGCTGCTCACCATCTTGTCCCAGCCACCGGAGACGATGATGGGGTTGTTGGTCATGGGGGAGAAGCGCACGCAGGACACCCACTCGGTGTGGCCCTCGGGCTCGCCGATGGTGTACTTGCACTCGCCCAGGGTGTTCCACAGCTTGATGGTCTTGTCGCGGGAGCCCGACACGATCTGCAAGCCGGGGGGGAGGAGGGAGCGTGTGACAAAGCGTGTTAGGTTAGATCAGCAGGTGTGTGAGCTGTGCATGTCCACTATGGAAGGTCGCAGTGGGCCTAACAGAACCCCTCCCAACCCCGCGTGGTCCAGCCCGGCCCCTCCTTGTAAGCAGCAGCGCCAGCCAGCCCCACCTGGCGGTTGTCCACCGAGAAGGCAACGGACAGGACATCCTTGGTGTGGCCCACGAAGCGGCGGGTGGTGGAGCCGGTGTTCAGGTCCCACAGGCGCAGGGTGCCGTCCCACGAGCCAGTCAGGCAGAACTGGCCGTCAGAGGAGATGACGACGTCCTGCACGAAGTGGCTGTGGCCGCGCAGAGACTTCTTGGCGTAGCCATAGTTGGACTCAGAGCGCTCCAGCTCCCAGACCAGCACGGTCTTGTCGCTGCAAAAGGTAGCGATATAATGTTAGTGTAGTGAGATGCCATCCAAATCATGTCACAAAAGTGTTCAAGTATCACATGCTTCAGTTCTCCAATAGGCTGCACCTCGCTAGCTTTTATCGCTGGCTAATGGACTGAGCGGCGGCTGATGCCGAACGGCTAAGACAAATGAAACATTAGTCGCCTATAAAACCTAGTTTAAATAACGCACCGAGAAGCAGACAGGAGAGTGTTGGACGTGGGGTCCAGAGGGGTGGCGATGGCCGTCACCCAGTTGGCGTGGCCCTTCAGGGTAGCGCGCAGAGTCAGAGTCTCGGCCATTTTTGCGTGTTTCCCCTTACAACTGCTAAGCTGAAGGTTCGTGAGAAAGAGAGAATGGGGGTTTGTGCGCGGGCATATATGCGACCGCCGCCCGTCGTACAACAGGCAACACTCGCATTAATTACTGGCGAAACAAGCTAAAAGTACCTGGCGGGAGTTGGCTTTACAATGTTACAATGGAAAGCCACCGGAAGCGCTACCTGAAGGCCAGACATTGTCCAGCCGTGCACATGCTCGTCAAGCAAGGCGTTCAAAATCAAGACAGCCCTGAAAACGCTTTCCCATAAAGCGAATAGAATAAGCCGAGCAAATGTGCATCACCACTGCCTGCCCTCCTCCTACAGATTCCATCGTACCCTACAGTCCATGCACACCCATCAGAACGAAAGCCCCTTCGCCAAGGGGACGCGCGCCTCGTTGCAAGCCACGTGGATCAACCGGAACTTTCACATAAGATTATCGGGACTGCAAACCCTGGCAAGTCGTTGGCAAGGTACAGGGACAACATCTACGCTATGCTTTGGCCACACAACCCCAATCAGCCCCTCAGCTCCATTCAACGAACCCCAGCTTGACTGGGAACTTGTACTGGGCCGCCTGCAAGGGCGTGGTGCAAAGCCAGGGTGTCAGTGTGACTGCCGCACGAGAGGCACGTCATGCAGGCCGCTCGGCTCCCACCCGCAGTCGAGTGTATGCATGAGCTGACCATACTTCATGGACCAATAACTTGTATGCCATGGTCATCAAATCATGGAGCAATGGTTGCTGCTGCTAGGCAAGATAGCAACAATACGCAGTAGCGGTGTGCCTCACAACCGCCTGTCGTAGTTGCTGCAACCCAACGTGCTCAATGCACCCTCGAAGCCTCGATACCGCTTTCCCCGTGTTCCCCCCTGCCCCGCTCCCGCTGCTGCTGCTGCTGCACCGCTCCGCACCCTCACCTGCAGCGCCTGCAGAGCCACCTTGCGGGGCACTCGGTCCATCTCAAAGATGATCTGCCCCGGCCGCACGGGCGTGGCGTAGAAGTCAATGGAACCCTTACCCTTGCCCATACGAATGCCGATGGGCTTTCGCGTCACGGGCACGGTGGCAGCGATGCGAATCCACAGCCGCGCCGTCTTCTTGATCTTCCGCCGCAACGTCCTAACGGCACCAAGGGAAAACCAGGCATGGTGCGAGTAAAGAGGAGATAGGGGCGGCGCAGGGATAATAGGTCACAACAACCCCCCTAAACGCACACACCCAGGCACGCCTAACCGCAATGGACGGCCAATCCCGCCGTTTTACCTCATGCACTTTACCCCCAGGTTGTGACGCGCAGGGCGCCACCCCGCCCCACCCACCTGCGCACCGCCTCAATCGTGTTCGCCGCTACTCGCTTCCCTGACAGGGCCCGGATGCCGTACAGACCGAACTTCAGCTGGGTGGTGTTGGGCATGATGACGTCATTGATGCCCATGCGCTTGGGCACTCGCTGGCGGCTGGGCTGCCCCTTCTGGCACCAGCGCACCTGGCCCATCAGCGAGCCCCAGATGCTGCCCGGGGCCGCCAGGGGGGCATCCGCTCGGAGCCCATGCAGCTGAGGGCAGGGCAGGTGAAATGGGGTTTTGACGTGAGAGAGAAAGCTCAAGGCTTAAGCTTCGCAGCGGTACGGAGGGAGGTTTCTGCTGGAGGAAGTCATGCAAGCGTCATGCTGAACTAGAGCAGGAAGCGGCTTGCAAGGGGCATGTCATGGTTTGGGACAGGTAAGGCAAGGGCGAGGGGTAGCGTGAAAGCGTGGAGGTGAGCCAACGTAGGGCATGGGCTTGAGACCTGGTGTTTCCCCGAAAATGCTGACATTCTCGTCTCTTAAACACCTAGGCTGCGAATCCTTACAGTCATACCAGGAAGGTCCGAATGGGAGACAAAAACACCTTAATATGGCGAGCACACCCATATCATGTATGGTGATATAGGTGCATGCATGCACGGTGGCAACTAGCAGACCCACCGCGCTGACAGGTCGCAGTCCACTCTCTCCAAGTAGGGCTGGCGAGGCTGAGAGCGGCCGCGAAAGCCCATTAGCCGCTGCTGACCCAAGCCGTCCAGCCAGTGTTGTTATACTACGCCCGCTACTACTTGGCGCCTCAGCTAGCTCTAGTGTTTTTGCTGCGCGACTGCAGGTCCCCAGTTGCGAGTCACATTGATGAACAAGTGAGTGACTCCGAGACAGGCCCCGAGCAACCGAGCCCTGGCCCAGTGCCGCGCGGAAAACGCGACACCAGGCCTGCATTTTTAGGGATAATGCTGGTCGTATGAACTCACTGCTACTAAGAGAATCAAGGCTGCTTGAAGCCAACAATAGCTATTGGACGCCTATTTCAAAGCATATAGTATATGTATTATGTTTATGCTAATTCAAACACTATTCTTGAAGAGATGGAGGTTCCTTGCGGGCATGCGGGGCATGAGTACGGCTGGCGGCAATACGGCCTATGGCAAGCCATCGTTACGCACATCGGCGCTAAACGGTAACGCCAGGCACGTTTTGGTGTGATCAAAGCGACCGTCGGTGTTTGTCTTCGTGCTTTAAGGGCTCCGGCGGCCCTGATCCACCCCACCATCAGTGTATGTCATCAATCGCCTTGGGTTAGCTCCTGAATTGAATTCTCTAAGACGATCTTAGGGCTTCTTGTTATCAATTGACGCAAGTCTTCAGCTACCAACATGGCGTCTGGTGGAGCGCAGCCAAACCAGCCCCTGCCCTCGAAAGAGGCGGGGCTGTTCAAGCAAGTCATACGCTTTCATGAGATGAAACAGTATAAGAAAGCCGTTAAGACAGCCGATCAAATTCTCAAGAAATTCCCGGAGCATGGCGAGACACTTGCCATGAAAGGCCTATGCCTCCGCAACTTGGCGCCCGACAGCGACAAGGAGAAGAAGGAAGAGGCATACGAGCTTGTCCGGAAGGGTGTTAAATGCGACCTGAAGAGCCATGTGTGCTGGCACGTTTACGGGTAAGTGGGCGAGGGATGCTGGCGGCGGCAAGGTCTGTGCATGGCGTGTGCCAAGCAGTTGGCAAGAACGGGGGAAGTGATGGTGGTGGTGCATGGAGACCTGTAGGTGCGAACCCAATCCGTGCGGCTTGCCCCCGCCGCTGCAACGCCCCACAGCTGGGCACCTGTGCAGCGTGGGTTGGGGGCGGGTGTGTGTTTCCAGCAATACACCCAACACAGACATTTGTGCTGCTGCTGCTGCTGACATGGGCCATTGCAGCTGCCCAACACGCAGCTGCCTGACCGCCCTGCACCCTGAAGGCTGTGTGGCATGCGACACGTGCCGTCCTCCGTGTGGTTCGGTGTTGTAGTGCATAGTGGTAGTGGTAGTGTGTGCGGTCTCCTGGCGGTCACCCATTGCAGTCGTACCAGCCCTCAAAGGGCATCCATGTACCCTTACCAAAGCTCAGGCGGCCGTACCCGTAATCCCCACGCTTTCCCTGAGTCGACGAGCACGGCGACAGGCACCCCGTGTTCCCTGACCCTTCCTGTGCCCGGCATTCACTTGTCGCCCACCACCACCACCCTGCCTGCACGGCGCTGCCCCCCCTCACCCTCACCCTCCTCCTCCCACCCTGCCCCCCCACCCCGCCACCCATCAGCCTCATGTACCGCCAGGACCGCGAGTACAAGGAGGCCATCAAGTGCTACCTGAACGCGCTGCGCATAGACAAGGAGAACACCCAGATCCTGAGGGACCTGGCGCTGCTGCAGGTGCGGGGCGGGGTGGTGGGGGGGCAGGGTGGCTGGGATGACAGGGGGGCTGGGATTGTGGGTGCAAGCTGTAAGGGCTCAGATGGGTGGTGGCAGGCAGTGGGCTTAGTGCCCACCCGCCTGGCGTGTCTGACCCGGTGCAGGCTGCTGCTGGCGTAGACCATGGCTGCTGGCACACGTGGCCGCGCGTTGTACGCCTCGCGTTGTCTCTTACTTGCCACTCAGGGTCCTGACTCATTCCGTTCCCTGCCTCTCGCTGTCCTTGCTCCCTGCCCCTGCTCTCTCCCGCTGTGCTGTGCGCTGTGCTGTGCCGGTGTGCAGATCCAAATGCGAGACCTGCAGGGCTTTGTGGACACGCGGCACCAGCTGCTGACGCTGAAGCCCAGCAACCGCAGCCACTGGATCACATTCGCGGTGGCGCACCACATCAACGGCAACCACGAACTGGCGGTGCAGGTGCGGGAGGAGGGGGTGTTTGCAGGCGTGTGGGTGAGGGGGCGAGGAGTGCGAGGAGGGACGAAGGGGTGAATGTGATGACCCCATCATGCATGACGACCCTGCTTCCCTTTTTCACTCTCCTTCCTAATCGCAACCCGCCTCCCGTCCTCCTGCCCCTCCTTCCTTCCACGGCCCTCCTCACCCCGATGTGTCCCTCCCTCTCTCTTAACAGCGTTTCACTTGGTTTCCCACTTCCTTCCCTCCCTCCCTCCCTCCCTGTCAGGTCCTGGAGCAGTTTGAGCGCACCATCGAGGAGGTGCCGGCCGGCGAGGCGTACGAGCACAGCGAGATGCTGATGTACGCCGCCACGGTGCTGGCGGAGGGGGGCAAACCGCAGCAGGCGCTGGACTACCTGGAGGCGCGCAAGGTGGGGGCGGGAGGGGGGAGGGATGGAAGGAGGAGGGTGGCGCGGAGGAGTGGCGGGAGGGAGGGGAAGCTACGGCAATGACGGCGAGTAGGGTGGGTAGGGTGGAGGTAGGGTGCTGCAGGCGCGAATTAACGGTTGGAAAGGGCATGTCTCCTAACGTCCCCGCTCCCCTCCATCTCTCCCCAACACCCCTCCCCTCTCCCCCCTCGAATCCCGAATGCGCACACTGCATGAGTCGGGATTCGGGATTGGGACTGCGTTGTTGCACTTATCTATAATTCCCCCCCGGCCCCCCCCTCCCCCCCTCTGCAGGACAAGATCAAGGACCGGTTGGGTCTGTCTGAGATGCAGGCGGGGTTGCTGCTGCGGGTGGGTCGCGGGCAGGAGGCGGCCGCCACCTACCGGCGCCTGCTGGCGGTCAACCCCAACAACTACAAGATCCATGACGGCCTGCGCGCGGCGCTGGGGCTGGTGGCGGCAGAGGGTGAGCAGAGGAGGGGAGAGGACAGGGGGGTGGGGTGGGGTGCAGCGGAATGGCTTCAAGCGCTCATCTGTGTGCCCGGTTGCCCCGTCGTGTGCTGCCAGTGGCGTATAACGAGTGGCGCATTCGTACGCGAGCCCCCGGTGCTGCTAGCTTGTAACTAATCCTCCCCGCTCCCCTCCGTTGCTCCCCCTCCCCCTCCCCTCCCCCCAGGCTCCGAGCTGACCCCCGAGCAGCGCTCCGCCCTCACGCAGCTGTACGACGAGCTGCAGGCGGAGTTCTCGGGCAGCAGCGCATGCCGCCGCATCCCACTGGACTTCAAGGTGGGGGTGGGGACGAAGAATATTTAATGTGTTGTGTAAGGGGGGGTGGGGGGGGTAAGGAGGAAGAAGGTGGGGGTGAGGGTGGGGTAGCGGAGGGCGGCACTGGGGTGGCTGGGAGGAGGGGAGAGGTGAGGAGGTGGGACGGCGAGTGGGACTACTCCAGCGGAGTGCGTTGCTAGCAACAGCATTGTTACTGAGAGCTGGGAGTGGGGCAGGTTGTACAGGGTGAGAGCTACGGTTCCCCAGGACAGGATGGGGCACGTTATGATCGCCCAGTCCCCTGACCGCACCGGGGGGCCGCATGCTGGCAGTCACCGCCCCAGGTGGCCCTTACCTCCCGCCACCCCGGCCCCCCCTTCCTGCATGAGTTGGGATATAGGATTGGGACTCCCTTGCTTCACGTTTCATACATGTTTGTCCCCCTTCCTGCCTCACCCCTCACCCCTCACACTTCCGCGCCACCCCCACCCCCACCCCCCAGGAGGGTGACGCCTTCCGCTCCGCCGCTGACGCCTACCTGCGCCGCGGCCTCACGCGCGGAGTGCCCTCGCTGTACGTGGACGTGCGGCCGCTGCTGGGCGACCCCGCCAAGAGCGCCGCGGTGCAGCAGCTGGTGGAGAGCTACCGGGAGACGCTGCGAAGGTGGGGGAAAGAAGAAGAGTGCCCAATGTGTTAAGGGAAGGGGTACAAGTAAACTGATGAGGCAACTAACGAGGCAACTAACGAGCTGCGGGCAGGGGGCGGGGAGCAGGGAGCAGGGCGGGGAAGAGGGGAAGCTGTCGATTGACAGGGCTGCATCATGGGTTGCAACAGGGAGCGGGGAGGAGGTGGTGGCGGAGCATGCCGCGGTCGATTGGGGATTGGTCGCAGTGTAGCAGCAGCTAGGGGAAAGGGTAGAGCATGTACTTGACCGCTTACTTGCCCAACAATAGCTATCATAAGGATCAAGTGTTGCTTGTCGCTTGGCTTTTAAAGGCAGCACTAAGCCCTGTCGTACGCTGCTGCCTGCCTGCCCCCCCCCCCCGCAGCTCGGGTACCTACCCGCCTCTGTTCGGCAGCGACGCGGCTCCGGGCCCCGAGTCCCCGCAGACACTGGTGTGGGTGCTGTTCTTCCTGGCGCGCTTCTACGACCGACTGGTGGGAGGGGAGGGAAAGGGAGGGGAGGGAGGGAGCGGGGGGAGGAGGGGGCACTAAAGCTGCGGCTTTGGGGCTTGAGGCGATGGGCATTTTTGGGGGGAAGGCTTTGGGAGGTACATGTGCGGCCGTACTGATTAGGGGTCTTGGGTCGGCGGCTGCATTCATGTAGGTGTGTTGAGAAAACTGACCCTTTCCTCATTGCCCAGCACCCCTCCCACCCCCACATATGGGCCTTGTTCGCTTCCCACCCGCAACCTTCCTCCCCAGCGTGTCTGTCGTCTAGTCGCTCATGATTGCATGAGTCGGGCATTGGGATTGCCGTGCCTCACTTCTCCCTCCTTGCCTTCCCCCTCCCCCCCCCACACACACCTCTCCCCCCTCAGGGCCGGCTTGAGGAGGCGCTGGCGCACATCGAGGAGGCGCTGGCGCACACGCCCACCGTCATCGAGCTGCACGTGGCCAAGGCCAAGATTCTCAAGCATGCGGGAGATCTGGAGGGTGAGCAAGGGGAGAGGAGACAGGGCGAGAACAGAGCGAGAATTTTCGTCCTCTTTCACCCCTAATCCCCTCCCGCCTTCTGCGGTCCCCTCCTGCCCCGCCACACCCTCCTACTACACCCTCCTACCGCACTTCTGAATGCCGCACCCTCTACTTCCCTCCCTCCCTCGTTGAGTCGGTGTATGGGAACTTGGTATCCCACTTCTCATTTCCTTCTTACCTCCCTCCCAATCAACACATTGGGTCATCTTACCTCCCTCCCTCCCCCCTCCCCCCTCCCCCCCCAGGCGCCGCCCACGTTGCGGAGACCTCCCGCCGCATGGACCTGCAGGACCGCTTCCTCAACAGCGTCGCAGTCAAGGCACTCCTCGCAGCCGGGCACTGCGCAGCCGCCGAGCGCACCGCATCGCTCTTCACGCGCGACGGCGAGCAGGGCGCCTACACGCTGTACGACATGCAACACATGTGGTACGAGGTGGCGGCGGGGCGGGCGCATGCGGCACGTGGTTCCGGAGCCGCCGGCCCCGCTTTGAAGAAGTACATGGCGGTGGTGCAGCACTTTGCGGACATCCATGAGGACCAGTTTGACTTCCACTCGTACTGCATCCGCAAGGGCACGCTGCGTTCGTACGTGTCGATGCTGGGTATGATGGACAAACTGTACAACCATGACTTTTACTCCAAGGTAGGGGTGGCGGGGGTGGAGTGGGAACGGGTAGGGGTGGGGAGTGGGGAAGGAGAGGAAGGAAGGCGGCAGGTTGGAAGATGCACTGCGTATCCCCGTGCGCGCATGCCAGGTTTCCACATGGCTTGGTTTACAGTTGACGCCTACCTAACCAGCGCGCCCACCCGTTCCGGCTCCTCCGCCTACTCCTTCCTGCTTATTGTTCCTCTCCTCCGGATTCGGGTACTTAATCCCTTTATGCTTTAACACCTCCCCTCTCCGGCCCCCCCCCCAGGCTGCCTGCGGCGCCATCCGCATGTACCTGCAGCTGCACGACTGCCCGCCTGGCGCCGCCAACGGGGTGGACGAGGAGGCGCTGCTGGCGGGCATGAGCGCGGAGGAGCGCAAGAAGTACAAGCTGACCAAGAAGAAGGAGGTGGGGTGGGGGAGGAGGAGGGAGAAGGTGGAGGTGGAGAGGAGGAGGAGGGAGAAGGTGGAGGTGGAGAGGAGGAGGAGGGAGAAGGTGGAGGTGGAGAGGAGGAGGGGTACTAGCGCCACTACTGCACCTAGGACCTGGCGCATGGCATGCGAGCAGTGCCGGTTGGAGGGAGGGGGTGAGGAGCATGTGGAGGGAGGCTGCAAGCGAGGACATGGGGACCCAGCGCTGCGAGTTTGCTGGCGAGGAGAGCCTGAAGCGCCCCTTGCTTGTCGGTCCTGCTGCTGCCGCGGGTTGGTGTCGCAGGAGAAGGAGAAGGCGCGCAAGGCGGCGGAGGAGAAGGAGCGCGAGGAGCGGGAAAAGCGCGAAAAGGAGAAGGCGGCGGCGCAGAAGGGGAACAAGAAGGCCAGCGCGGCTGCAAGCAGGCGGTGAGAGGAGGAGGAGGAGCAACTGGGGTGGCACTCCCACTCGTTCATCCCTTCTTGACGCCGCTCACAGCTCACTTTTTTCTCTCCTCCCTAACCTAATCGCGCGCCCGTGACCCTTTACGCATCACTTATCATCTTGCGTCCTTACTCCCTCTCTCTCCCCTTCTCCCCTCCCCGATCCCCACCCCCCCAGCGAGCCCGACCCCGACCCCGAGGGCGCCAAGCTCGCCGCCACCCCCGACCCCCTGGGTGAGGCGGCCAAGCTGGTGGAGGTTCTGGTACGGCAGGCGCCCGGCCGCCTCAGCAGCCACACCGCGGCGGCGGAGGTGGCGCTGCGGCGGGGGCGGCTGGTGGTGGCGCTGCGGGCGGTACGGCAGGCGGCGGCGGTGGCAGAGGGAGGCGCGGCGCACCCCGAGGTGCATGTGCTGGTGGTGCGGCTGGCGCTGGCGGGTGAGGGTGGGGTTGGGGGTGAGGTGGTTGGGTGCCACATGGTTTGTGGTGTTGCTGCCTGGCATGGCGCGCTGGACGCTGCTCTCCCATGCAAGCAGTTTGGCGCGGACACCCCGATCCATCTGCCTATCCCGATGTCTCCCCCCCCCCTTCGTTATCAACATAGGATAATCTTCTTTTCCCCTTTCGTTAACAACTTGTAACTTTTGTGTCTTTTTCCCCTGCCGCAGTCCAAACCTCGCCCCCGGAGAACCCCGTGGTTCGCTCCGTGGTGGATGCGGGGCTGCAGGCGCTGCTGGGCGGCCGCAGCGCAGCGGAGTACGACGAGGCATGGCGGGCGACCCACGGGTCGGCCTCGCTGTCGCACCGGGTGGCTGCCGGCAGCGCCATGGTGCTGCTGAGCGGGCAGGAGGGCGGCCGGCAGCAGGCGGTGGCGCATGTGCTGGCGCATGACCTCAGGTGTGGGGGGGTTGGGGTGCGGTGCTTTAGTTACCGGTATAGGTCATGTAGGAGGTGTGCAGATGGGGAGGGAAAGGGCCCGAGGAGGGTAGAAGGCGTTGGCTTGCGCGGAAGAATGTGCATTACTTGGGGGGATGTCTCGGCTGATGTGCACCCCTGTCTCGGCTGATGTGCACCCCCACTGGCTCATATGTGTTGCTTGCGCGGTTCCCTCGTGGGGCTGGAGGCCTGTGCCCCGGGTGTTTGATGCGCCCTCTGCTGCCCTCTGTAACCGCTGCTCCCTCCTCTTCCTCCTGTCCTCCAATCCTCCTCCTCAGCTCCGGTCCGCAAGACCACTCTCAGTGCGTCGAGGTGCACCAGCTGCTGCGGGACAAGTGGGCGGATGCGGCGGCGGCGGAGCGCTGGCAGCAGGCCTGCGCGCAGGCCTTCCCGCACTCGCGCTACTTTGGCGGTGCTCGCGTGATGGCGCTTGAACCCGCGTACGATTTTGACAACATGCGGGAGGCGTTTGGAAAGCTGTCCTTCTAGACGGCGCGGGTGTAGATGTGTGTTAAAATAACTGGCCGCGAGGCGAAACGTACTGTGATTGCCGAAAGATGGAGTCCTCCCACCGGGATGTGTGTGTAGGTTCGTACTTTGATACTTGTCACGCAACCGGGCGGATGGGCGGTCTGGACTACGGCACTGGCGCGAGGATGAAGTTTGCTGGGGTTTCTTTGCAGGCAGGCGGTGTGTGTCGCCCTGTCCCCCTGTGGCTGACGGGACGTGGCGTACACATGTGTGGTATGAGCCATGCCCGGCGTCTACGAGGGTAGGCCTGAGAGCCTTGTCCCGTTCAGCCGTTCCATGGCGTGGCGCTGGGCACGTACGTTCGCCATGCAAGGGATCGGACTGGGGTGCGGTCTTGACAGTTTGCATAGCAGGGGCCCAGCAAGCAGGTTGCGACGCGTGGCCTTGTTCGGACTTTGTTAGGTCATAAGAAGGGCGGGGCACGGACATGGGCTGGAGTCGAGGTAACGGGAATGAGAGGTTCTTTTCGTCCGGACGAGGGGCTGCACCGTTGCACGACGGCTGCTCGGGGACCCGCTGCGATGGCGGGGATGAGTGTGTGTTGGCTGTGGGGGGAGACACACAAGCGACGTTCCGACTCGCGGCCAGTTTTCTCAACACCCGCGACATACCGCTGCAGGAGAGGTTCTTGCGGTCGGCCATAATGTGGGATCTGCGGTGTCAGTGCTTGCGGGACTGCGTTCGGGACTTGTGTACTGTGCTAGAGGTGGGAGAGATACACGGGGCAGTACTTTGCCTAACAAGGCGTATGAGGCGCACGGCATGAATGATGGCTGCGGAGTAGCGGCAGTGGTGAGGAACCGACAAAAGAGGGAAACGTGAGCGGAGAGGCGCCTGCTATTTTACTACAGAGTCTCATGGATGATGTCGCAAGCCAACTAGCTGCGCTACGCTAACGAATACCTGCCGTATGGCTCCCACCAACAGTACCCACCGCCAGCCAGTAACAAGCACACGTATGAGGACCGTAACAAACCCTTTTTGAACGAAAGGCACCGTAAGGTAGCAGCGACCTAACGAACCAGCAACTGTCATATCCAATCATATACGAGCGCGTCCTGACAGACAAGAAGGTCGCACGAAGCCGCAGATGCCTGGACATACAGTGAGCAGTGCCGTACCGCAGTGAGCAGTGCCGTATAGCGAAGTAATGGGGCGACACATCCACACAGGTCACTTAGTATACTATAGTCACATACTCAGTGGACCCGCAAAGAAAGGCCTGCCGCTACCATCTTCGTATCCCGAAAACATCATAGAAAGTGGTGCAACATCCACCCACTCCTCCCTTCCGCCCAGTATCCCTTACTTCCTCTTCCAAACCCCCCACCGTTTCGTGCCCCCTGGGTGGAGCAAAACAGTCTGGAGGTGTTCAGGTTCCAGCTTGGTGTTGTCAAGCATGGGAAGCAATGGAGCATCGAAGATGTCCCGTTACCCCACTGCCGCCTCACACAGGTGGAGTTCGCACCACTTCGACCAACTGCCTCAATTCATAACCAACCAGGCCACCCACCTCACATTCCCCAATGGCGACACGCAACAGGTCAAACAAACCAACCGCGCAACAGGTAACAGCATTAGCAACCGCAATCAACGCAGAATCCAAGCACCTCTCTTCTCGCCCACATGCGGCTGATGGAACGGCCGCATCCGTGTCCCGAGGAGGGAGCTCTCCCAACGCCGCACGCTGTTCCACCGCACTGAGGCTGCCGTACCCGACAGCCGTACGCGCATAACCACCTCAACCGCAAAAATCCCAGTCGTCGGCATCCCAACCATGATTCTAGCACAGCACCGCGCACAACATACCGGTATTACACAATGTCCAAGCAGATGCTCGCCCGCCAATTCGTACCGTACTTAGAATGCCGCACCGTGCAAGGGCATCCTCCGATGTGTCAACATTCCATGCAAGGCACTTTGGTCCACATGAAGGGCCTCAAGGGCCCCGAGTTATGGCAAACCTTGCGAAAGGTAGGAGCCCGGGTGCGGGATGCAGGTGACAAGTGCCAAGTCCCATGCAAAAGCATCGAGCAAGCTCAACGAACTCTTGCATGTTTGGGTTTACGGGAGTTTTACTCAAACACGCAAGAGTTCGTTGCGGGAAGGAGTTAACATCCCACACGTGCCGTTAGACTTGCGCTCCGTGCAGCCACGAGCATGCAGGAGTGGCGTAACGCATGCCGTGTTCAAAGCCCAAGCAAACACGACCTGGCAGGGAAGGGGGCAGCATCAAAAAATAGGCCGGCCATGCACCTCACGAACCTAAGCGCACCGTAACGTCCAAACCAGCACCCCAAAAGTGACGTTAACGCCTTGTTTCCTCTACGCCGTCCCAAGACCGTAAACCGTCCAGGTACAAACCAAGAAAAAGCTCACTTCTTGTGTCCTAACCTGCAAAGCATGCCGCACAACACATGGGTTAGCTAGGCCTAGCAGCATCTACCCCCTACCGCCGTTAACAGGTGTGCTGGAGCCATGCCAGATGCTACTTAGTAACCGCCACCTAACCAAACCAGCCAGATGAATATGCACAAACGCTATGCAACCGGCTATAACTTGACGGGGCAGCCTGCTCTCGTCTCAGGCACATCATGAAAGGAAGACTGACCTACCTGTCGCCTCGCCTCGACCTATACCCTTCACCCAAACGGCGTACCTAGTCTCATAACATGTGCTCGCACACAATCAAAAACGCCTCAAAGCGAGACAGTTTGAAGGTATTTTGTTACGGGTCTTCGAGTATACGTACATTCGTACATCCTTCGTACCCTCTCTTTCCGCATGCATAAGTACAGCCGTACATGTCCGCTACCCAGCGTCCTCCCACGACGACAATGCGGTGTTGTGGACTGTCCGTAACTCCTCCATTACACCCACCGGCTGGCAAACAAACACATCCGATGACAGATAATGAGGTTTCTTAAGCATCCAGGCCTCTTCCGCCTCAGGTTTAAAATGCATAGCAAACATAAGCCCCTCAAAACTAGGACGTGTTCCTGCTAAAAACGAATTAATCAGACAGCGGAATCCAGCGCAGCTCTGCACAAGTACACGTAGCTCAAAGGTTGTATTCCGGCATAAGGAAGCATATAGGTCCACGATTAAGCAAAAAGGCGGGACTTCAGCACTATTCCGCTCTTTAAATCAACCAAACATTGCAACTGCTCAATCGCTCAGCCCTTGCATTCAGCAATACAGAATTACCACCCCTGGGTGTACGCGTGGCAAAAACCCGACGTTAAATCTGAACCAGCGGGGTGCAGGTCGAACATGGATCCACCGACCGCTTCTACGTTTCACAGTACTAATTGTGTGTTTGCCAAAAGTAGCCGTGTCGTCTCAGTGATCGAACCATGTATAATCATCATTGCCGCAGTGCAGGTACGCCATCATCCAACTGAAGCGCTCTTTCATTCCGTATGATTGCGTCCTTTATCACACACCTAGGCTAGTAGTCCTGCTGCAGAGCCAGCAACAGGGAGGCGCACTCAGGCAGCTGCCTGCGTAGTGTGGACGCACGGTGGGGCGCGGCGACGTTAGGACATGGAAGGCACATCCAGGTGGCCAGCAGAGGCGGGCGCTGGGCACTCCCAAAGCATCCAATTCATGTGCTCTCTAAGCATGACGACATGCCCTGAAAAGAGAACAAGCCCAAGCCTACGGAGTGCAACACGAGCCCAAACCAGGCATGCTCCCAACAGCAACGGAGCAGCAGCTACGGCCGCATGCGCGGGAACCGTCCATGCCGCAAGCGCAGGGAGCGACCCATGCGTCTGTGCGAGTGCCACCAAAACCCCACAACCACCACAACACCCGGCAGCTAGGTAGCAGCCCACCCACCCGCCCCCGCCTCACTTACCACTGTTCGCAGGCTCGCAGCAGCCGGGCTGCCACCTCCTGAGCATCCGACATGGCATCCCTCAGCTCGTTCCAGGCCAGGAAGGCCTCCCAGTCCTCGGTGTAGCCCGCCTCCTCCATGCAGGCCCCCGCGCTCCGGAGCAGCAGCAGACGCCCCAGGTCGCAGAGGAAGGGCTCCAAGGGGGGCCTGGGACAGTTGGACGGCACGAGCAGGACACGCGGATACCATGACTGTGTGCGCCGAATTGTTGGGAACAACCTTGCAACATGGTGCTTTCCGACACACGAAACGCCTTCCGTTTCATTCCACTGTCTCGCCGCTCTCATCTTTCCTTCCGGCTTAGTACACCAACCCTCCCTTACAACGCACACGTGCATTTGATGCCGGTATGCGCACCTGTCGTACGTTTGACCCATGGGTCGGTCGGCGCCGCATGTTTGCCACAAGGTGTTGACCTCCGCGGCGACTGCCTCTGACGGCGCCACGAGCAGCGGCACCCAGCGACCCAACACGTCACCGCAGCTCGTCTCAATGAACGCCAGACCAGGCGACGACAGCGCTCCCAGCGGCAGCTGCAACACGGCGGCCGCCACCGCCCCTTCCACCAGCGCATGCTGACCCGTGGGTCCTGCCGGTAGGGCGGCCCCTTCGCTGGAGACCACACCAGCGACAGCAGGCGAGGATGGGAGGGATGGAGACGAGGGCACCGAGGAGCGTTGCGGGCAGGAGGCGGGCCCAGTGATGGTGGGAGGGCCCGTCGGGGCCGCCATTACGGTTGCAGTTGCAGACGGCGTGGGCGCTGCTTTAGTTCCAGCCCCAGGAGCAGTGCGGGACGCCAAAACCGCGTCGCCCTCGGTCTCAGGCGGCAGCAGACGGAGGCATAGCTGGTCGGGGTCAAGGGAGAGCAGGCAGCTGCCTCCGCAGCGGAGGTACAGCTGCCAGGGGGGCGGACGCAAGGGTGCTTCCTCGCCAGAGACATGGGGAGTCGTCCGCTGCAGGACCTGCGATTCGGCTGCTCCGCCCGCCGCCAAGGCCGCCAGCAACGGCCCCGGCGGCACCCTCAGCCTGACCTCCAGCGCCTCCGCACCACCCGCCACCACCGCAGGCGCCCGCAGGGGCAGCACTGCCGGCCCCTGTCCTGCAGACGTAGTGGGGGCCGGTGGTGGTGGTGGTGGCGGCGACGCGGGTTCCGAGTCAGAGCCCGACGCTGACGTAGAGCCCTCGCGACTTCCCGGTCCTGCGGGATCGCCCGCGCTGCTGCTGTGGGTGCTGCGGGTGGTGCTGCTGCTGCTGCCGCTGCTCGGTTGCACCTGGAGCGATGAGGACTGCGGCGGCTCAGGCTTGGAGGGCAGGCTGGGACTGGGCGGCCAAGGTAAGCGTAGCACCTGTTGCAATGATGTCATTAGGGTCAAACAAGGGCAGTGGGGAAGGACGGGGGAGGTTTAGGGAGGCATGCAAGGGATGAAGGAGGTGCAGCAAAGCGAAACTTAGCCCAGCTTCACAGGCTCCCGGGCCAAAGACTAATCGCTGGCAGTTGCCGTTTTACCATGTTGCCGGTAAGACAACAACCCAACATTTTCCGCGCCCGCTAGACAGGCTCCGCACAGGCTCCGCACAGTCTCCGCACAGTCTCCGCACACCTGGTCTTCAAGCTGCAGCAGCAGCCGCTGCCCCGCCAACCCCTCCTCCTCGCCCCCTCCGGCACCACCAGCTCGGCAGGCCAGCTGCGGGCCCAGCAGCTCCGGAAGCAGCGCACGCAGCGACTGGGTGACGGCGAGGACGTCCTCCCGCGCTCCTTTGCCGAGCAGCGCGGACAGCAGCGGGCTGGAGCAGGCAATCCTCCCATGGGCAGCAGCAGCAGGAGCAGGGGCAGCAGCAGCTGGGCTTGACACGGCCACCTCGCACTCGCTCTTGCTGATCCCAGCGCTCGGGTCCAATTCCGCAGCAGCAGCAGGAGCAGAGGCAGCATTGGGTGCTGCGGTGGTGGCGGTGGTGGCGGTGGTCGGTGCCGCCTCCGCCTCAGCGCCTGGTTTGCCGCCTGGACTGCCACTGCAGCCTCCGCTGCTGCCCCCGCAGCTACCGCCACCCGTGCTGCCGTTGTCATCCGTGCTGTCAGTGATGGGGCGGTAGGCGCCGCTGTACGGCCCCTCGCTCGTCAGACAAAGGCCGTCGCTGCTGCTCGGCGGCCCGTTCACGCCGGCGCTGGCGACTGATCCCGACGACGACGTCCGACCCCCGCCGCCGCCCGCCTCCGTCCCTCCTGCAGCGGCGACCCCCACGCTGTCCGAAGGGGCCACAGACCTCTCCCGCGGATCCTTTGCCCCAACTGAGACTGCCGCACCACCAGCAACGGCACCAACCAGCAACGGGCGTGAAGCCTCGTTCCTTGCCGCGGCGCACCCGTCACCTCCTCCTCCTCCTCCTCCTCCTCCGCCGCCGCCGCCGCCCAAGTCTACATCGTCGCCAACTGTAGTGCCCTTGTCGGCACTCTCTCCCAAAAGCACCCCTGGCGGTGCCGTCAGTGGCGTCAGCACCTCCGCTATGAGATGTGCGCAGCCGCTTCGCACCGTCAGCTGCAGCATCTGAAGGTTCATGGAGCCCAGCCACTCCTGCAACTTGGCGCGCGTGTCAGGCATGAGGTCCGCCGGTGTGCAGCCGTACAGCTTGATGGACAAGCGCTGTAGCAGGTGGCCATGTGGGTAGTACGACATGCCGCGGTCGTACAGAACATCGCGCGGCAAGGCCGTGTGTGCGGGCGCATGGGAGGCCGGGGCAAACGAGAATGAGGTGGCACGTGCAGCCGCTTGGGGAAAGCCGTCGCGCAAGAGCTGGGGCTGAGGCTGCTGCTGGTTATGCCATGGGGCCAAGACCTGCATGCCTGCGTCTTGTGCCTGAAGGGCTTCGAAATTTGGGAAGAGCTGCTGCTGCTGGGCTTGCGTCTGAGGTAGCAGAGGTTGTTGCTGCTGTTGCTGCTGCTGCTGTAGCAGTGCTTGCTGGTGCTGCAGTGACAGGCGAGGGTCGGAAGCCGTAGGGGCGTGCTGCCAGGCTGCTGCCAAAGTACGTGAGCCGGCTGCTGACGACCCGATCACTCCTTGTCCGTTCACCGTCATGCCGCCCATGTAAGCCTGCGCCCCGGCAGCGAACACCTCGCTCTGCGCTGCCTCTGCGAGCTGCGTGGGCTGAGCTGCAAGCCCATTGCAAACCGCATGCGACACGACCCCTGGCTGCTGAGGCTGCTGCTGATGCGTCATGAGCGCCTCTGGCGGTGTGGTTTCAGTGGCTGCCAGCATCTTGAAGATATCATCCAGCTCATCGCAGGCCTTGGGTACGGATGAACCGGGACCCTCACTCGGCGGCCACTGCTGCAGCTCGTGCTGCGGCAGCAGCGTCGGCAAGGGCCGGTCGCTGAAGGCTGCAGGCGCACCGACCCACAGGTCAGACCTCCATTGTACGGCAGCCGCGTTGCCGGCCGCCGCAGTCATCATACCCGCTCCAGAACCGCGACCGCCGGGAACCATTGCAGGCCCTATGCCCGGGTGGCTGGCAGCTCGGACGTCACCGCAAGGGAGAGGCGAGACAAGCGGTGCGGAGGGATCGCTCATGCCGCCGGCAGTTTGAAACCCGCCGCTTCCGTTATCGCACCCCATCATGTCCCAGCTGCCGTCGCCGTTGCTCCACATTCCCGTCATGACTCCGACGCCTTCATGTGGGGACGTGGTCGACCTGGACGAAGGCGGTCCCGGTTGCAACAGCGTCGGGGGCTGCAGCACCGGCAGCGCCAGCTGCTGCTGCTGATGCTGGGGTGCTCCAACCAACGCCAACGTGGTAGCAGTGGCAAAGTTGGTGGAGAACGCCCGTGGCAATCCTGCTCCTCCTCCTCCTCCAGCCTGCTGCTGCTGCTGCTGCTGCTGCTGCTGCTGCTGCTGCTGCGCAGACGGCAGGTCATTCGCGGAGGAGGGTCCCGAGTTGGAGCCCAGGTTGTCACTTCCCCGGCGACCCGCCCACGTCGGCCCCATGCCGCACCCAGCCGCGGATACCGAGCTGCTGCCCGTTGACCCCAGCCGGCGCAGCCGCCGCATGTCCCCATTAGGCCACTCCTGCTGCGGCGGCTCCGCTGCGATCTCGCTCATCAGGCTGGCCAGCTCGCAATCTAGGCTGGCGTTGCTCAGGATGGGGTGCGAGGCCATGCGCTGGGCGGCGTCCTGGGGCAGGTTGGCGAGGAGTGACGCGGCGCGCTGCTGAGGGGCGCGGTTGCTGAGGGGCGGCGCGGGTACTGGGAGCGTCGGGGGTGGTGCTGTTGCTGCCGGCGGCGGCGGCGACGGTGGTTGCGCAAGGGGTCGACTGGGGGGCTGGTCAAGTGCCGAGAAGGCAGGAATGCCAGCTTGCAAAGCAACAGGAGGAGGTTGCGGCGGTGTATGCTCCTGGTTCTGACCCTGCGGTGGGCGGAGGTGGTCCTCTGTGGCCCCCCATGCCCCCATGTCCGCAGCTGCGGCTGCTTGAGGGCCGTTCATGTACCCCTCACGTTCCCAAGCGTTGGCGCCCGCGGGAGGTGCAACGCCGTCAGGCACCCGCATGTCGCCCATCTCAGCGTCGTTGCTGTTGCCGTTGCCGTTGCTGGCATCAGCGAAATCGAGGGATGCGGAAACACCCAAGGGGGGCTTGGGCGGCTGCTGCCCCAGCTCCACCACCGCTGCCGCCGGAAGGTCACCTGGGAGATCTAGGGAGCCTCCGTTGGGAAGGCCCAGGCCGTTACCGTCGAGGGCAGCCGCGACAGCCGCTGGTTCCGAAAGCACCAGCGCTGTCACCGCCGCTGCGCCTGCATGGCTGCCGTGGCTGCCGAAACGAGCGATGCTGACCAAGTTATCGATGCCGATGCCACCGGACAACACGTTGCTGCCGCCCGGGAAGCGAAGGGCCGTCAGCGCCGAGGGAGCCCCCGTGGGCAGCAGCGGGGCAACACGACGGGACTGCAAACCTGGAGGCGGCTGGCTCAGTTCCAAGTTGAGGCAAAAGGGGCTTTCCGAGGCGTCGCCATCAGCTCCCCCAGCTGGGGGTGCCAACGCGGGTCGGGAGCCGCCCTCCGTACCGCTTCCATGTCGGTGTCCCTGGGAACAGGGTCACAGGGAAGATCAGGCGAAGAAAGACGCAGCGGAAAAGGCAAGGTCGGAGCGAGCTACTTGCCTGCTGTCAAACAACAGCAATGACAGCATCTTCCTGTTAGAACCTTCCCAACGTGCTACGCCAGTGCTACAGGAGAGAATAGCTCAAGGCATGTGGGCGAGGCAGATGGAGGACATGCAATGACACCCTGGAGCAAGCCACGAGGTGCGGTGCACACCAGAACACCAGCCAGGTACCGGCGGCTGGCGATCCAACGCATCAGAACCCACCCTAACAAGCAGTCGCGTGCTACCGATACCTCTTAACCATGCCGTCCCTTGCTCCCAACCATACTACCAGGCTATAGGCCTGTAGCCCCCAAACTTGCCATGCTCGTGCCCTCTCGTGAGGGCCCCTTGGACGCCGGCGGCCCTGGCTCCCCCCGCGCGGCTCCACTGCTGCTGCCGCCCTCGTGTCGCCGCACCAACCCCAGCGACAGCCCCATACTCACACCTCCCAAATCCAGCCCAGCACAAGCACCGCCCACTGTAAGCCTGACTGCGCCGCCGCCGGTGCTGCTGCGGCCTCCAGGTGCTGCCAGATCTAGAGTGGGGGCCAGCGGAAGCTGAGGAGCAGCGCCGTCCGGCTGCCGCAAGCTGCCCGCTGCCGGCGGCACGGCTAATGCCGCATTGTCGCTGCCGCCGTCAATGTCACCCGGGTTCTCCTGCGTTTTCAGCTGGGAGAGTTTGATCCTGCGACGCAGGCTGTGACGCGCCAGCTGCGCACGGCAGGACCTGTGAGGGCGGCGATACAGCGGCGCATTAAGCGGTGCTAAGCTAGGAGCAGCATTGCTTGCATTGCTGCGTTGGAGGGTGCAGCCGGGATGGGTAAGGGCCACCAAGGGGGATGGTAACATGGCATGCATTCACCAAAAGCAGCAATGCACACATCCACACTCGCTACACATCCGTACTTTGTTGCGACCTACCTTTTGCTGCCATCAAAGTCCGAAAGGTCCTGGAATTTGCCACACTGCGTGACCGGCAAGGGATTTCTGCTGTTACTAGTGCTGTAGATGCGTCATGGCATGCAGCAGCGCGCAAAAGGGCTATGGGATAGGATGGCTAGGGCCGCAACCTCGTAAGCGACTACTGTGGGGCGCTTCTATGCGACCCAGCATTCCCTTTTCCTAACCAGAGCACTGCACTGCCTCACCTGCTGGCAAAAGCGTTGCATGCGGCCATCCACCAGCAGCTCGAGCGCCCGGAGATGCACCTCACACACGCTGTAGCGGCGGTAGTAGTTCTTCTCGAGAGCCATGTCGCGCGCGCAGCCCTCCACCTGCACTTGCCATACAGAGGGCGGCTCGCCAAGAATACGAAACCTAGGCATGGGCTGGAATGCACCAGGACTGGCGCCCGAAATTGCCGGCAACTTCCGCATGATATTCAAGCAACTGGATCCTTAGCATTGCATCCGTTAACGGCTCGATTGCACCCACTAGCAGCGGAAGTGCGACACTAAACGACAACAGAGTGCCCGTTTCAACCCTTCAGCAGAAAGGGCTACGGGACAGCCGGCAGGTAACATTTAATACAAAAATAACTGCTGCTTTAACGGCATGAACCCTGCGAGGTTTCGGCAACCCCCACCTATGAGCGAGGGCATTTAGGGAAGACCCGCTATCGGAAACGCCCTGCTCTTCTAAACAGAAGGTAAGAGCAAGGAATACGCACCTTGCACAATTGGGTGCGACCGTTCAGCGCGTCTCCCACGCCCGCGGACGGCTGTTTATGTAATTCTTCCGCTTCCATGGCGTCCTCTTGCTGTGTGTGACGCTAAGTCACCCGGTCGCTATCTCGTTTTACTGTAGCAAGCAATGATAACCATACTGCGACAGTGTGAGTCTGGAAACCTCACGCCTATTGCGCGAGTCGCAGTGTCTTGGCAGATTTCTTGGACACTGGCTGGCGTTAGTTCACTAGAAGCAGACAGAACTGCATTACAGTAAAGCGACTCGAAAATCAGCGGCATTGTGGTTTTAGTCAGGCATAGCACTGCCTGCAATGTGCTGTGTTGTGGACGCAGACACGCTCATCATGACCAAGCAGCTAAAATGTACACATTTTTTGTTCTTTACATTAGCTATCTCCCGTTACTTTGCACATTGGTAAGAAATGTACGAGCACTGCAGTACATTGCACTGAAGGCATACACTGGATATTTTCTTTGTTAGCTAACTCAGTGCTACATGTGAGTGCACGTGTCTTTCGGTTGATGAGCTTTGTGCACAGACTAAAAAGTGCAAGCTTTCGGACCGTCAGACAGGTCACTTATTATGGCAAGGCTCCAAGACTCACACGTAATTAGAGCACGTTATCATGAGGTGTAAGTATGGGCAGAGCATCCGGGCGCAAGACCCGTGCATTCCTCTACGAGTTGCAAACCGTAACTACTGCAGATCCTCCGTGCGCCAAGATGTCACCGATATCATTTTCTTGTAAGTTAGGACCCATAGGCACGGAGATGAACATGGCACATGGACTAACACGTGGCCCCGAAGAACACAGGTAAACGCGCTAGGTAGAGGGGGTACCAATCCCGCGTTCAATGAGGTATTTTATCGCCGGCAAAACATAAGGAATTGGAAGTTATATCTGAGGAATGAAGACCGTTACCTTGTTCCGAACGGTAATGCGAAAAGTGAGAATGGACACTGGTACCCAGATTGCAACGCACGCTCTTCTACGGGGAGAACTGGTTAGGAATTTGGTGGCATATGACAGAAGGTGTACCTGCAAATATCAATTTGCCAGGTGCGGCCTTCATGCCCTCACGACGTTGGGTGTTTATGTGAGACACTCCTACGCTGGCATCTCTTGCTGCGTGTGCACCTGTATGCCGCACGCGTCTGTTTGCACAACCATGCTCAATCAACGTGAAGGGGAAGACAACCAGGCGTCGAGGGAGGTCAGAGATGGCATGCGCGATACGAGCTCATCGTGCTATGCTCCACATGCATACTGGTACTTGCAAAGCGGGTGGCAGCTTTGATTCGCACGGTCTCACTGAAGGATACGCAATTGTCAGGCGAATGGTGAAATAACCGAAACATATTGACACCGTTGTGGAAGATACTAATACTGCAGCCTCACCGCTCCATAAAATGTTTGCCGATACCCCCCGTGCGAGCCAGAAATGACAGGCTGCGCGGAAGCCCGTCGAGCCCAATGCCTTTTCGCACGGATAGCCTTGATTGTTGCGGGTACAAGTTATGCCCTAGTCCGTGCATACATAGGGGCTGCGAATATGCAAGTTGAAGCCAACGGCATCTTCCGCACCGGCAGCCATGGCTTGTGGACACAACAGTAATAAGACACGCAAGCCAAGGCACGGCAGAGTACAGCCCGTGTATTGCTAACAAGCATGTTCTCCTCGATTGAATCCAGCCATTTTCCCCAGGCCCAACTATGAGTTTGCATCCTTGTGCTGTCCGGCGAATATAAGCACAGGCAAGGTCTAACGAAAAGTATGAAGCAGTAACGCAATACATAAGCCTTATCTTGGCTAGACCTGATGCAGTGCCCATGTGCACGGCATGTTCGATCCAAAAATTTATATCGGCAGCCATGGTACCAGACAGAGCATGGACATGCTTCATCACAATATGGAATACATTAGACAAATAGATATACATATTAAGTAGTTTGGGCCAGTTCTCACATCCGTTAACATCACTGTTTATAGAACGTTGACGCTGAAAGCCACTTGGTCTTAAGGGAGCCCCGACCGATAATCAACGTCCGTTGCACTAATATGTAATATATTATAACTGTAACAAGCCAGAAGCCTTAGGGACAAGCCTTTCGTGACAGCCCCGGACCAAGTGCTTCAGAAATAATGAACTCAGCAGACGACTTCCGGAGGTCCATAGAGGCCAGCTTGCCTCCTCTTACACAATACAGTGTCCAAACTGGCGCACCAGGGGTCTATGGTGCCTTTGGTTGGGGATCAATGCTGGCGGCCGGTCGACAACAAGAAGCGGACAGCATCCGTGCATCCCGTGCCTCTTACGATGCCTCAACAGGATTAAGGGGCTCCCAGGAGCCTGACGTGAGCTTAAGTGCCTCGCTGCGGAATTCCTTCACGCAGTATCCAGCTGTCGATGTCCAAGGGGTCCGTGATTCCTACCAAACCCAAGCGAACTCCAATGGTAACTCGGCGCCAGCCTTCAACAGCGTTATGAAGCAGCCTGTTGACAATGGTGTCGACCTCCCTCGGCTTCCTGCTGTGGATCGCTTTCCGCTTGCACAGCAACAAACCCCTGCACACCTTCAGCACGAGCGACCGCTGACACCTACACAGCAGGTGGCCAGCACGCCTACAGCTCCTGTTGCCTACAGCTCCACGCCAGGCATCGGAATGGATGGTACCGTAATGGTGCAGGCCACGGCCTCGCCAACCAAGGGCCTTTACCCTTGCGTGCCGTGCGACCCACAACAGACTGTGCATGCAACACCATGCGAGGACATGGGAGAACGCTACCATCTTGCAAGAGTGCAAGGCCCGCCAGACAGCCCTGTTTCCGTTCGGACGGCATGCACAGAACCGAGCGCAGCGCATGGTGAACATGGCCTGCCTTACCCACAGCAGCCTTACCCGCAGCGGCCACAACCAAGCCCTCAGGCGTACCACCCTAGGCAGCAACCCTTCCAGATGCCGCCTGGTCAGCCTGGATACGGCGCCACGGGTGCGCTTCAGGGCAAAGTGGTTCACATGCGGAGGACCGAGGCCTGGACAAAGTACATTGCGTACGAGGGGTGCTTGCAGGTGCGGTCCTTCGCCATGTGAGGTGAAGAATTAAACAGTGGACGGCCATTGGCGCTTACGGTCGTCGGTGTTGCCGTCAGCGAGCAACATGCTGTCATGTATGGCTTAGCTTAGAATTGTGAACTTAGCACACTGTTCGCTTACGCAGGTTTGCATGACGGAGCGGGAGCGCAACGGCAACATGAACGCACAGCACTTCCTGGCAGGTGCCTTCTCAGCATTGCGTAAGGACCTCGGCGTCGACGGCCTGCTGCTGACCCAGGTAAGGGCCACGTACTTGCAAGTTGACAGCCCGCTGCTAGGAGAAGCTACTGTTTGCATGTTGACACGGGCTTCACTGTCGACTCCGTTGCACTGTCCATGCTCAAATGCAATTCGAATTACCTGCACAACATGCATGCAGATCATGGGAACGCCCCCGTTGGCAGCTACCGGCTCAGACGGAGGGATCAATGACATCTGCTGGGACGACATGGAGCCAACTGAGAAGCGGCTGAACACCGTTGCCTTCGCCAATGCTACCGCTTCGTCGCACATGCGGATACGGTACGCGGCCACTAGCAAAAATGGATCCGTTGGCATGGATGAACACAGTAACGCATGCTTGGGTTAGGGGCATTGATGTACTGGGCAGGGAAGCCAGCCATAGTCCCTTCCGCAGATGCAGCCAACATCACCCAAACAAGCCTATATCGCTGTTGTTAAGCTTCTTCCGTACCGTTGCGTACTGCCGCATTTTGGCCGTGCAGGTGCCAGCGGCTGAGCCTGCCCAGCGCCACCGTGCTGCAAAAGCTGTGTGGCCGGGCCCGGTGTCACCTGGTCCTGTCTAGCTTAGCGGGTGTCACGGTGCACCTCACGCCCAACGACGAGAGCTGCGATCCGGCATCCTTTGTACTGGATAGCCAAGGTGCCGGTGTGCAGCAGGGCCAGGTAGGGCAAGTTGCTGTGTGCTCCTCGCCAACGGCCGGTTTTGGCGTAGGCTAGGGCGTCGCGAGCGCACACAGTTTTCTTGTTACAAGCTGTGTCAACTTGAAATAATGCGCATGAACACCTGCTAAGGTCCGGCTAACCACGTCTAACCATCCTGATGAACCACAGGCGCTTGTTTTCCAGCTGGACAGCCAGGAGCAGAACGCATCGCAGTGCCCAGCTACACCGCAGCAGGTGTATATCCACGTGGACGGACCTAAAGGGCCAATCGCGACCGGCAGTGTGCCGTACCGCGAACTTGTGCGGTTGGCGATGCAGCAACGGGAGCCGGTGGACGAGGCGCGGGCGACCAGCAGCTCCGTAGGAGCGTCGTTGGAGGTTCAGGTGAGCTGGGCCACAGTGACGGTTACCCGCTTGTGCCGTTCCGAGGAGCTGTAGCGAAGTCGGGCCCTCCTGTTGTCTCTAGGCTATAACAGAAAGGCCCGACTTCGCTACAGCTAGGGTCTAAACCCTTAAGGTAATTAGCGCATTTGGTATTCACACTAGCCATGCCTCTTTGGCTCCCGTGGGGTTGTTTCTCTAGTGACACTGTCACTTCTCCCGATGCACAGGTCCGAGGCACTGGCGAGCATGCCGGCAAGGTGGCCAACGTCGTCATCGCGGTGACGCGCGTGCGGAAGGACGTGCAGGGATATGACATGGCGCAAGTGGCCTCGGACGGCGTGGGCGTTGAGTCGGTCAACAAGAACACGCTGCGGACAAACGCCTGCCTCGCATACGACGCAGCACTCTCAGCGGCGCTGAGTGCCACCGGTTGCAACCGCCACAAGCTGCTGGTGGACGGCCCGTGGGAATGGCTGCTTGGCAACTTCGCCTCGTACTTTGGCGTGAGATCATTCTACTGCACGCTGGCGCATCTGAGGTAAGGTGCCGGGCTTCATGTGCCCGCCCTTCGGAAACGGCTTTCTTGGTCGGGGGCATCTTCCTCAGCCTACTAAACTCTGTTAGCGCAACAACAAATGGCCGTGGGGTTATTCGCTAAAGACACCGTTCTTCCTCGGGTTCTTGTTTTGCCACCAGGTGGGTGCTGAAGCCGGGCGTGGCCACCATCAGCAGCATGTGCCTGGACGTCATCTCGTCAGAGCTGAAGCCGCTGCTGGAGCAGTCGGCGCTGAAGGGCCTCACCACGCACGAGAGCACGCTGCTGGAGGGTGTCCAGAAGGCGGTGGAGATGCTGCTGGAGGTCGCCTTTGAGAACTACTACGCGCTGGGAGACGACCAGTCACGGGAGGCCAACGGAAGCGAGACGCCACGCGCGCAGGGCGCAACGGTCTGGCGGCCCACTGTCCTGATGGTAAGCCGTTCTGGCGTCTTCGATTCCGCTAGGAAATGCGACGCCAACGTAATCGTGCGAGGACGGCAAACCATTACGGTTGGGCCTGTGATGCTATGTCATGAAGAACAAAACATGAATAATGGAAGTTTTGTCAATAAATTGCAGAATTCATGACCGAGCAAAAGCCCTCTATTGTTCACTTTTCGACGGCAACGGAAATAACAGCCATCAGTTTCTCGTTAGCGACTTCCATGTTTTTCCTGGGCTTCCATCGCATTATTGACCATTCACATGTTTTTATTGATTATCCAATTTGCTCGTTGCAGGCCAGCTTCCGGCTGTTCCGCGCCATGAAGGACGTGTTCCTGCCGACCGATCAGGACTGGCTGAATACGCACTTCCGCGTCGCCGCGAAGAAGCGCTGGCATTACCTGGAGGGCAGCTACGGCTACGAGCAGCTGCGTGACGTGCCGCGTGCGCAGCAGCCGCAGCCACCGCAGCAGCAGTAAGTTACCTTCAGCTCACGACTCCATAGTTCGCCGGTCTCGCCAATGTACCTCGGCTTTCCATGTTTCGCTCGTACTTGGTAGCCAAATCGTGCCCCATACGTTCTCTCATGAACCTGCTTGCGTCTTATGCTTTCAGGCGGCAGCCGGTAGCGTCCAAGCTGGGCCCCAGCACGAACACGCACGACCCCTACTACAAGATGGCGGAGAAGATGAGCATGGCCATCCGCAGCGACCTCGAGTTCGACATGTTCCTGCAGGTGAGCAGCGCCTCCTGAGTCCTGACCCCGTCTTGCTCACCAGCTGCGTTTTGCCATTGTTGGAGCCAGGCTAATGTTCACTATCCGCCACTGCCTGCTAATTTGCATCTTAATACCCTGTCCTTGCAACGATCCCGCCTGCAGAAGCTGCCGGACCTCCTGCCCAGCGCGCTGAACCTTCCACGCATCACCGCGGAGGAGTACATGGCCAACTTTGTGGAGCTGCTGCGCAACATGCTGGCGAAGTGCCCGCCACTGGTGCCGTCCCCTGCAGCGGTTGACTTGCTGGTCGCTACTGCCTCCCTGCAGCGGTACCTCCAGGTAAGATATATAGTCCAAACTCATGGACGCCGTTCCCTGGATACAGCTCCTGTACAAGGGTTGTCCGGCGCCTCTGCTGTTAGTGCTGGTTTCACCACGCCTTTCCCCGCAGGAGACCCAGCTCTACATGCCGCATCAGCACCCGGGCCGGCTGGATGCCATGGAGCTGTGGCGCCCGCACGTCCTGTACTGGATCGACAACAGCCGGCGTGGCCTGTGCGGCCACTGTGTACGGCTGGAGACGGAAGCCAAGCTCAGCGCGGCGCACCTGGCGCGTGTGGATGTGGCCAAGATGCCTGGCATGATTGAGGGCATCGAGGGTGCTGTGGCGCCGCTGGTAGGTCCGCATGTTGTTTGTGCTGGACATGCACACGCCATCTGCACCCATGCAAGGATGCGCTAATTGCTTTTGTGCGGCATATTCTCTTTCCACGCTGTGCAGGTGCACGACATGCTGGACCGTACCTGGGCCGAGCTGATGCTGTACGAGCGCGTGGTCAAGAACTGGTCGTTGTTTGGGCCGCACCTGGAGGCGGCGCTGTGCGACGTATTGCGCACAGTGCAGGGGTCTCTCAACCGCATCTGCGCGGGAGCAAGCAACACTGCCATGACCCAGCAGCCGGGTGAGCCATGTAAACCAGCACGGCGTCCTAGATTAGATGAGGCATTGCAGTCTCCCTCTTTTGTGTGATCCACGTTCCTCTCATTTGCCTCTTGTCTGTATGGTCCATCCTCCCGCTGTTGCAGGCCCGATGGCTGCAGGAGGCTCTCCAAACACCCATACGATTGCCGGCCACCGCCGGATGCCCACCGCGCCTAGCGCATCGCCTAGCATGGGGTTTGGCGGCCCAGCTACCGGCATGCACGGACGCAACCTGTCCAACCTGCCGTACGGTGCGGGCGGTCCCGGCCGTGGGAGCCCCGGCGTGCCCATGGTCCCCCAGTACCCGGGCGCGGGTATGGCCGGCGGGGCTCTGCTGGGCGGCCGCAATGCGGTGCTCCTCAAGGAGGCCGTGCTGCTGAACTCGCTCAAGGTATGCGTCGAATGGGCGGGGGGCACCACGGTATACATGTTTATAGTGGGATGCGATGTTGCATGGTGAGGGTCCTATGAGGGATAACACTTACCGTTAATGCTAGCGGCAGATGCCGGAATCTCAGGCCATGCCACCAGCAAAGTTGCGTACTGACTTGGTTGCACTGCAGGTGCTGATGGTGATGGTGCCGTCTATCGAGGACATCATTTCCAAATGGTGCGGAGGCCACTCCGTGGCGCCGCCCGGACCACCGCACTCGAACGGGCTGGAGGGCGCTTTGGATGACGATCTCGCCACGCACATCGGGGCGCAGTTTGCAATGGTTAGTTGAGCTAGGGTGGCATGTTACAAGGCTAACGTCTAACGGTATCGCATGGAGACCGCGTGGCACCACGTTCTGTACCGGTATCTATTGTTATAATGCTTTACATGCATGTTCGCAGGCTGTGAAGGAGCTGCGCACGGATTACGCGGAGGGAGTAGCCGCCTGCGCCGAGCGCATGGCCAACCACATCCGCGCAACACCCGCCACCAACATCAAGGCGGCGCTCAACCAGCCTAAGCCGCCTACCGACATGCACGTCGGCTACCAGCAGGTGTCCACCGTTACGCAGCAGAGAGACTTTGTGGAGGGGCTGATGCGTCCCATCCTGGCGGCTTGCGACGAGGCTCTCCAGGTAAGCGTGAGCATCCGAAAACCGGTTTACTAAGGCAAAGCAGGGCCGCTGCCAACCCTTTCCGCCTGCACGCTACCACCGTGGCGCCAGCCCCCTGCCTATAGGTGTAGATGGTTGTTTCCTGGCTTCTCCTTGCTCATAATGGCACACCATGCTTGTATGTGGTCGATACCATGCTGGTACACGGACTCTTAACCTCATCGCAATGCGCTCTACTGTTGTTGCCGAAACCACAGGGACTGCGGGCCGCACTGGATCCCCGCGTGTTCGTCGCGACTGGCCGCGCGCTGTGGGACTGCATGGGCAAGGACCTCTTCGAGTTCGTGCACTTCCTCCAGGTAGGGGTTGGACTGGGCTCCATCCATTGAGCAAGGTGGTTGTGCCTTTCTCCAAGTAATGGTGCAGACTACGGGTCTGCATGCCGTACTGGTTTAATCTCCTGTTCAATGCAAATGGTTACCGCTAGGCCTAATCGCCCTCCCGGAAAACCAATCTCCCCTTCTGCAGGAGAGCCAGGACAACAAGGGTGCCTGGCGGCTGCGGCAGCACGCCAACATCGCCCTGACGCACCTGTGCGAGTTCTTCCGCTCGCGGCTGGCGGCGTCGATGGAGCACTGCATTGGCGACCGCGACCTGGACCTCCCCATCAACGTGGACAAGGCGCAGAAGCTGCTGGCGCAGAACACCGCCGTCGTCAACATCACCCTGAACCCCATCTGAGGTCCTTCAGTTCGTGTCCTGCCGCAAGCGGTGCTGGTACTTCATGGCGTTGCTGCTGGCGCTCTTTACTGTTTTGTAGGAGGATGGTGCTTCCCTAAGAAGTACGTGCTTATAGAGTGAGCCCCTTTGCTGAGTTGGGTCGTTTGCTGTTCCGCGTCAAGACATTCTTTGCGCCGTAGTTTTCTGGGTCGTTTGCTGTTCCGCGTCAAGACATTCTTTGCGCCGTAGTTTTCTGGGTGGGGTAACTGCTTTTGCCTCGGCTTCATTAAGCCCAACGTCTTGCAGAGTTCTAATTTCAGTAGTGGTGGGTGAGTGCTCCTGCGTGCTATCATGGGCGAAGGGAAGAGGTGTTAGCCCTAGACTGCGGGCTTGTTCTGTTCTCGCACGTTTTCGTACCAAACGTACGACTATGCCTGATAGGAGGGATTGTACTGTATGAGCATAGCGCCGGTAGTTGACCCCCTAAACACTTCTTGCCTGGCACCAAGCCATACGTGCTTACTGTAGCTTGTAAAGAGGACCACTGGTAATTTCCACCTTCCCTTTCGTACGCCAATGATGGTAGTTCAGCAGACTGCATTGGTAGGTTTCCATGCATACACTGCACGTATCGAAGGCTTGAACTGCAATTATGTGCAAGTGTGCATGTCCGACGGCAACGTTCCAAACTCAAATCTCCCTTGAGCATACAGAGCGCCCCTATTGGGTCTCTGGTCCAATTGTGTAGGTGGGGTATTCACACGACATTGGATAGTACGGGGCCAAGATTTTGCTTCATGTACGTTATAGCGCCAGCCTGGGCGGAACACTTGCCACACATCACAGGAAGGCTCACGCTGTGCGGACCAGTCAATCCAAAACGCTCATGCAGGCAACAGCCAAAACTGCCTGCCCTAATGCGGGCATAAGTCTTTTCTTCTCGGACAAGCATCACTGTCACCATTGTCAGCAACTCGCGCTCCCTCAGCTGTCGGTAACTCACCCAGGCAACCCCCCCAACCCTAGTGTACAGTGTAATAGCCCATGCAGGTTATATGCAGAAGGGCACGTTCAAGGCCACAGGCCCTGCAGGAAGCAGGGGGTGGGGATCTCGATGCCGTGGTACGACACGCTGGTGGGGATCTTGCACGGCGGGGCAACGGCCTGGCCGGGGACCACGGCGGCCTTGGAGAAGATGGTGGTGCCGAAGGGGTCAGCCAGGTGCTCCTGGAGAGCAGCAATCGGGCCCTGCGCAGCGAGGGAAATGGAAGCGAGAGATGATCGGTTAGGAAGGAGATCCCACGATAAGAGGCTACACAACTGCTCTAGGTCTTCTTAACCCATACGCTGCCTCGCAATCATCTCTGTATTTTCATTGCATGCAAAGTTAAGAAGGCCCTGGTGGCTTCGTTAGGCTTTGATGCAAGGGTGTCGTACCTTGCCGGTGACCTGGGCGGCCATGACGAAGCCAATGAAGGCAAGCTGCAGGCACAGAAGAGGGTAAGATGTGGGTCAGAACGGGTGCAGCCGCCATATGATGTCGTACTGCAAGCCAGCGGCCCCTTCCCATGTACGTCAACAGCAAGCTTACCATAGCCAGGCGGCCGTTCTTGATCTCCTTCAGCTTGAGCTCCTCCAGGTTGCCGGGCACGAAGGGGGCGAAGACGCCGCCGGGGTAGCCGGGCTGCGGCCATGAACACGAGGGACACGCACCGGGTTACCGCATATGGCACTAAGCAAAACGACGGCCAGAAAGGGAGGGACGGCGCCGCATCATGAGCACCCAAGCCCCAAATGCACCCCACTCGCATGCATCAAGCCACAGTTGCCTCAACCTACGCAGCCTACGCACATCGGCCACCGCAGCTCACCTCGTGGGCGGGCAGCTTGAACTGCGAGAAGATGGGGTCCTGGTCCACGGAGCCAGGCTTGCGCAGGTCCTGCCAGCGGCGCAGCTCAACCCAGTGCATGCAGAAGAACTCGAATGCCAGCAGGCCCAGAGGGCCAAAAGGCGACTCGACCTGGCTGCCCGCCGTGTACCAGAACACGTCAGGGCGCACCAGCTCCTGGACCAGGATGCCGGCGACGGCAAGCATGGCCCAGCGGGAGTGCACCAGCTCGGACTCGCGGAACCTGTTGGCAGGCAGCACGTGTAGGTTGAGGAGGGGTGCCTTCGTGAAGGAGGGGACTCTAGGCATGTGCCAGGCCAGCCGTGAGTAAGCAGTGAAGGGCTGCGTGTTGCAATGAAATGGGCCCTGTGCATTGCACCCTGACTTACCACTTCAGCGACTCAGCGTTGGCGCCCAGGCCCAGAGGGTCGAAGCTGCAAAGTCGCGGTAACACAGGATGGGTTACAACAGCGTGCAGGGCGACAGAGGCGACAACAAACGCGCTTACCCGAAGTCGCCGGGCAGCTCGCCCTTCAGGTGCGCTGGAGCAGTGCTGCCTGAAAGCAGCAAAGGACTGTGTTACGGCTCAGTGATCCTGACGATGCTCTGGGACAAACACGGTCGCCCAAATGTCTAAAGACTACGTTTCATAGTCATATTGAGAAGTATTGGCGAAGCGCTTTGGATAGGAAGCAAGCTGGGAGTAAAGCGCTTGCATGTCCTGCATTACCCAGTGCATGACCCTGCCGATTGGCATAGTAGTGGCGCTGCCGAAGGCACCCTTCCTAGCAGCTTAGTACTATTATGGTAATACTGCTCACCCGGCAGCCACATCGGGCGCGTGCTGGCCTTCGCCACCACGCTCCGGCGGGCAACGCCGGCAGGGCGCACGGACACGGCGTTCTTGGCAAGCAGCATCATTTTTGACAGGTTAAGTGAAATGAACTGGTTGAACCGGACGCAATGAAACGCAGCGCTGAATGCAAGCTTTAGCACTGAGATTGCGTACGAGCAGCGGATCGAGATGCTCCCGTACACTATGCGCGAAGGGTGAACGCGTACAGTAAGACTGTTATTGCGAAACAGGAAGCAATACTTTTACTGAAATGCGCCCTTATGTGTTCGTTTGATCATTGCTGGTGTAACGCGTTGACCTAAGCTTTCATGGCAAAGCGAGCTCTGTTCCTTTGATAGCAGAAGCAAAGAAGGCAGAGCTAAAAGCTCATACAAGCCATAGACCAGCACTTTATACTTCAAGTCTTCAAATAGTTATGGCGGATGTAGGCTCGAATTTGCACGTTGTGCAGGACGCGGCAGGACAGCGGGCAACTGTGCTTTAACGGGTAGTGAGTGGCCAGGTCCTGAGTCCTCCAGTATAATACTCGCATCTTTGCCCGTGAAAGAGAACTTGCCTGCTGCCAAGTCTCTGAACCCTGGATATGTCTGGGAATAGATTGTCCTGCAGTGCATGGGGACTTATAATTTTGCACTGTATGTCTGCATCTGTGTCCGTCGTAGCCTTCATGCGCCGCTACTGCCGGAGAGAAGGGCAGCCCTCATGCCACGTGCACTCGTAATTCCCCGTAACCACCTATCACTACAAGAAGCGACGTTAGACTGGGTCGGGATCGCCTACGGCCCGCCGCTTGCGGGCTCTGCAAAGGTGGTTCCTGATACACGTGCGTGTCTCCGAATGTCTTCCATACGTGACTTCTGCAGCTAGACCAGGGCCTCGGAAGGGGCAGAGGTTGATATCCCCTTCGAGGACCTGCTGCTTAAGTTGCGGGAACCCGCGTACTCACGGGCATTCCATGAAACATGCAACTCATTTTCCACGGTGTTAGACCCGCAAACTCATTCAGGGCTGGGGTAGTTCCCTAGGCCGGAATATCACCTTCTGTTGGATATCTCAACGTAAAGTTGATGTTTATCACAGGGGAGCGTGCCAGGCCACGGGTTCAACCCCCTTAAAGGCTAGGCCAATCCAATGGGCATGGCGGCACGATTAGAAACCCCTGGGCGCTTCATACTCCATGGGGCCACCTCTATATCAAGGGGTAGCCATTCAGAGTCGAGGCGCTCCCTGTACTTAGCTTGATACGGGTGATTCAGCTACACCATTCGCCGCTAACAATAGGTCCCTTGAAAGGCCATGTGGCTTAGGTCGCCGCTCTTCCGGACACGGCTGGTCCAAAGGTGCAAGACAACTTAAGCTCAATGGTACTGCAGGGAAGTGACCCACGGGCCCAGCATCCATAAGGCCGGCGCCAACCCCGGCGCAAGATCTCCATCCGTAGCAACCTTGCTGGGCCCCATATTACTGCATTATAAATCGCGAGCAGGAGGTTCCTGCCGTTTTAGATGCCGGAATGAAAATTCTGTTCCCTAGGGTCGTGCCTCGGGCAACTTGCGAGTTTGCCAGTCGTCAATGGTGTATTCCGCATCCTTCGACCCGGCAAGTCTGTCAAAATACCTAGAGTGTAAGGAAATCATTGCCCAAATGCGTTAACATTCCATGAAAAGAGGCATCCTTCTCAGTTCTCACTTTGGCACCCCGCATGGGCGCTCGAAGCCGCCTTCTTACTAAGTTTTCGATACTTAATACTCGTCATGAAATACCGTCATTCATCTCCTACAAGGACAGTACCGTGCGGGAGTCCTTTTCCATGGCTTGCTGTTGTGAAACTTGCTTGCTCGCCGAAAGGCGAGCGACAATGGGAATGAAGATAAAAGAATGGAATTGGCGTTTTGCTGTAGTAAGCTAGTACCGGTAAGTTGTCCTCAGGCGTGCATGCACGGTATCTTGGTCTTTCCGTTTGCACGGTTCCGGATCTTGTCCGACACAGTCGACAGCTCATAGCTCCACTCGTGGACGTTTTCACGCTTTTTACAAAACAATAGCCTCCACTGACATAATTGCTATGCACACATGTTGTATAGCACTGCCGCAGCGGAAGTATCCTGCTTAGCATGACGAGCAACAAAATACAAGTGCCCCTTGGACCTTGCCGCTTGGCAGAATATGGAGCCTCTTAACACCTTCTTTAGGATTAGTCCTAGCCTCCTCTTAAAGAACGTAAACTCTCCGCAAGGCTCACATACGAGTAGCTCATTTTCATCACCTAGCTTCGCTGAACATCAGACAGGTTTAAAAGTTTATAGAGATAGCCCGCCATCCTTCACGAGCGCGCATAGAGTAGGTTAGGGGCCATGGGCAACAGCGACAACAGCTGAGCATCGCCATGCTCGCATCCGCTCGGCAGAACTCAACTGAAAAGCGCCTTCTGCAGGTCGTCGATGACAATCCCCTTTTCGAGGGGTTTCCTGCTCTCTCAGTGAGCAAGCAGGGTCAAGGGACTACAGCGGATTGTCCTAAGGAGGACGCTGGAGGTACGCCAACTGCTTATCCCCGTGCAACGGTTGCCGAGTCACTGAACACATGCGAATCTCGGCTCCTGCAGGATTGGGGGAGTCAAACCAGGTGCAGGAGCACCTTCACCACCTCCTCAATCTCCTACAGCAAGCACACGGCGATGATGGCAAGACAAACGGGGTGGCTCTACCACACCTGGCGGACGAGCTTGAGGTCGTGGTGAAGAAGCTCAAGCAGAAAGAACACGTGAGGGTGTGGCGTTACCCTACCGGGGTAGGGTGAGGGTTGCAGGGAGCGCCTCGGAATCAAGACAAGGAGGAACCGGTTAGACGACGCCGTACCATATGCAATTAACAAGGCGTTGCAGTTCGCCCTGAAACCCAATGCCTCGCCTTACGGTAATGCTCACCGCTTTGGACACGTAACCCGCCAACAGGGGCCCGAACACGTCAATGAGGTACAGCTCGAGCCCGGGAGATGCGCGAGGATGCAGGCGGCGCTCCCAGATGCTGATGTGTACCGTGCTACCCCTACCTGCTCGCGTACCACGGCCAGTGTTGCAAACGAGGGCAGCAGCTGCTGGGCCGCCGCCTCAAACAGCGATGAGCCAGGAGGCGGCAGCAAGCCGTCCGAATCAAGCTTCCTCTGGAACATGGCAGCAAGCAACAACAGCAGTGGCGACAGCGGTGGCACGTCGATAACTGCCGCGAGCGGTCGCATGGTTCTTCGTGACTCGGTTTGCAAGCAGCTGCTGCAGTCGCCGGCGTCTACCGTCTCACCGCTAAGCTGTGTAGGCCCTGCTGTCGTAGCATGTAGCCCGCTGTTTACCGTGGACGATGATTGCATGGCATCGCCCAAGGAGCTCCCTGCAGACCGGCAGCGGAAGCGTAGCATGGGCCTGCGGGCTAGTCAGCACGACAAGCAGCAGTGCTGCGACCCGCCCGTGGAGGCCAGCCCCCAGCAGTCGCTCTTCGTTGCCGGCAGCCCAGCCCTGCCAGCGACGGTTACCTCGACGCCAGAGCCGCCGGCGCCTGAAGGCCAGCAGGTACCACTCTACAGCTGGATGCAGTCCATGCTGGCGTCCACCCCCAGGCAGGACATGACAGACGCGCCCGATGGTTGCCCTGAGGCCGACGCAGCCTCCACCTCCACCTCAACTCCAGACTCGCAGCAGCAGGCTGGGGAGCAGCAGGGCGATCCCCTTGCAGCTGCAGTCCGTGCCGCGCTGGCTGCCAGCCCGGCGGAGCACCTGGCTTACGGCAGCCCCCTGCACCTGAAGATCCAGCGCTTGTTGGCCCAGCGGCAATCCTCAAGCCCACTGGATGATGCCGAAGTCCAAGCTGACGGGGCGCCGCGCACGACTGAGGAGGCGCAGGAGGACATGCGCGGTGCAGACTCAGCTCCGGTCTGGATAACGAATCCTGCTGCCGAGTCGCCCAGCACCAGCCAGTACACGACGGATTCAACAAGCTCCTGCACCACACCCTTGACGCAGGTAGCCTGCTGTTGGTTGGGGGGTTCCAGCTGCGTGTGTCTGCTTTCCAACCGCCGTCCGACCATGAGGAGCTCCTGACCCTTATGCCTTTCCGTTTGCTGTTTGCAGGGGGACATTACACCGATGCCCTTCCGCAGCAGCGTTTCGCCGTTTGGCCCGACCCTGCGTGAGCGGTACGCTTCAAAAGTGGCGTCAAGTGCAGCGCAGGCAGCTCTGGGGGCCGCCATTCCGCAGCCCGCAACTGCAACCACGGAGCCACCTTCCTCGGCAAGCACCTCGCCAACCCCTTCCGCCATCAAGTTTAGCGAAAACTCTCCGGAAGCCGCCGAGCTGGTGGCCCAGCTTGGCCTGTCGCTGCAGCTGGACCCGGCGTTGGTGGGGCGCGTCTCGGAGCTGGATGTGCTCCAACATGTGGAAGCCTGGGCACGGGAGCAACACATGTACGCAACGCCTGCTTTGATTTACGCCACACGGGTATAGGGTGCATGTCTGCGCAGAGCTACCTTAACGGGGGTAATTCCGGTTCGCTTCACTTCCCCCTAACTTGGATGTTTGCAAACCTATCTGCTGACCGCAGTGCCTCACAAGCGGCAACGTCGCCGGAGGCAGAGGTTGGCACGACCCATGCCCCCGGCAGTGGTGCTCTCCTGCATGTGGCTATCGACACGGCTGTGCAGACAGATCCCTCGCCGCAGAGCTCGGGTGGGCAAGTCGCACAGGCTGCCAAGTTGGCGCCGGAAACGCGGGACGCAGCCGTATGCACTGCGCCAGTGCGGTGGAGGGACAACACCACGTTCGACAACAGAGAGCCGCTCGGGGAGGTATGCAAGGGACATGCTTGTACTGCAAGGTTGGCTGGTGGGCTTTCGTTCTTCATGCTGGGCTAAGTGGGCTGCTTACTCATTCCCCGATCGTCATGCTCCCCGCCCACCATATGCATGCCCACATGCTCCTCTTCCGCAGATCGACGAGTGCCCTACTCCAGACGAGGACGACGACGTGGGCATGGCCGTCTTTTCACCTGCTCGCAGCGACCAGTCCAAGCGGTCTCCCGCAGCGTCTCTGGTCAAGCGCTACGAGGCATCACGCTTTGCGAACAAGCAGAGCCCCGCTGGGACACCGGGCTCGGCGACCAGGCGCGGTGCGGGCAGGACGTCCAGGGCGGGCAAACCCCACTCGTCATGTGACGTCACTCCTGTTCGCCGCGGACTCTTCCGTGATGCAGACTCGGCGCGTATGGCAGCGATGGAAGCAGCAGCAGCAGCCACCGCGTGCCACAAAGCCGCAGACCAGGACGGGCAAGGCCCAAGCGCGGAGGATGTGCGTCCATGTGCGGGTACCGTGGAGGCGCCCTTCAATTCCGGCAGAGGGGGCGGCGCCGTGGCGGCTGGTCCGGTGATGCCGCAGCCCCGCATATCTGACTCTGGGAGCCCTGTTGTCTCGGACGGGGTGGTGGAGCACCCGCGCCAACAGGACCTTCCCGTCCGCACCAGCATGCCCTCAGCCGCTGAGGCGCCCACGCAAGTTGCGCCCAAGCCAGCGGTGCTCCCGCCGGACCAGCAGCCTCTTGCGCAGTCCGTGGGCGTCGGAAGAGGGGCTGGCAAGGCTCAGAACGCACCGCTGGTTGTCCAGGCCTCTTTGTGCACAGGTGGGTTGCACTGGGTCCATGTTGGGGCCTTAGGCTACATCTTAGCGCCTGCGGATGCAATCAGGACTGTCGTACTACTCCCCCGGAGTATTGGCATTTAAATATTGCGGTGGCTGCTTAACAGGTCGGGCACAAGAGGCAGCCAATGTCGAGGTCGAGGCCGTCCCGGATGTGTTGTTCACGCCTGGGAACTCCTTACCCGGCGGTAGCAGGAGCGCAACCAGCAAGCACATGTCCCGGATCTTTCCCACGTCGAGCGCTAATCGTACCGAGAGCAGCTGCGGCGACTCTGACAGCGTGTGTGGCGTTCCTCGGATGCTGAGCAGCATCAGCAGCGTCAGCATCATCACGTCAGAGCGGGGCGCCGTGGGCGGAACCAACGGTGACGCCATGTCCCGGAAGTCGGCCTCCCGTGGCAAGGATAGGCGCCAGCGGGTGCGGCTGTCTCTCACCAGGCCCCTGGTGGGCTTCCTGCTCTCCATCACAAGGTGCACACGTGTCCCTGAGGCTGAGTAACGTGCCCGTGAAACGTGAGGGCTGGCAGGCTGGTGGGAAGTGTACGGATTCCTTGATGACAAGCGTCCGATGCATGCATGCTTGTTTGCTATTGGGGCCATGCGGCGTACCCATTATTGCACTTTGTTAGACGAACTTGGACGCAGGTGCTTCGTGCTTGGCATGTCCCTCGCACCAGGGAACACACGGTAAACGCACAGGCGCGCCACCTGCGGCCTGTAATTTAATGACGTTGTGAAGGGGGGAGCCTGTTGACAGCCATTTGTTGTCGCTCATGTGGTGGGATGTGCAGTTACCGTTACAGTCTGTACGTGTTTACGAGCCAGGGGGGCCAAGGACACTATGGGAAACGAAGTTAGTCTGAGTCAGGGTCCCCTACAGGCCGCCGGATGTGCGCTCTGGCCAGTTATCCATGCGCCACGACAGGAGTACAAGAGACGTGACCCTGGGACAGCTGCCGGAAGTGTAGTCAGTGCATCGTAAATACTTATGGGGAGTTGAAGGGGTGGTCGAAATCCGGACAGGGTTGGGCCTCGTGATCCTGAAAGCTGTGTGGTCCCCGTGGTAGTGGATTAGGAATCCCCGCTTGTCACCGACCCACGTTTGACACTTACCAACAGCTAGACAACACTGGCCTGTATCCCGTTACAGATCGTCCGTGTAAGCTTTTCCTTGATTGAGGGCCACGGTGCCGAAGGACGTAGGCTTACGCCTTCAAGTGATTCCCAGTTGCGTGCCTATGTACCTAATGCGGTGCGTAACCCTTGTAAAGCTACCCTTGGAGACATGGAAGCAAGCCTATGCTATCCAGAATTTCAAACGTAGTGGTGCGCTATGCCGGACAAAATCTACGAGACGCAAAATAAGGGGCATAAATGTGGCAATCTTTCATACCGGTACCGTAGCTACAGTCCTACCTTTCTCAGCTACAGCCCTCCGAAAACCGTGCCACTGCCTACAACCAATCGCTACAGCCGTCCAGGCATTGCATTTGTCCACAACGGCAGTAATCAAGGCTTGCTTGGGAGATCATAAGGATTATCACAGCCTGCCACAACTGTCAGTTTCGACCCAGCCACGTGCACATGCCCGCACAACATGGCTAATGACTCATTCGTTGGGGCACCCTTCCACATGCGTTCCCTGCATATCACGCTCCCTGCCATTCGCAAGGGAAGCACCGGCAACACTCATTACCTCCTGTTCTGTGCACAATACCTAATAAACGAGGACCGCCATAAACCCTATAACGCTCACCGCAGGCGGCGCGTGCCTGCTTCATACAGCTCCCCTCTCACGTAGCTCAGCCGTCTCCGCAGGCTGGCAATGGTGTAGTTGTAGGCGAGGCCGCCCAGCTCCGGTTGCCAGATGAACGCCCGGTAGACCCTGCACTCGCAGCGATGCAAGAGCAACATTTACATGCGGGCGGACACCAATGAGAAACAACAGCGCATACTCCCCCCGCAAGAACGCGTGCCGTAATCACTCATCATGCCCAACACCGCCAACCATTACTACCCAGGTGCATGCCAGCCCAGCCCAACCTTCCGCAGGATACACAGAAGAAGCAAAGCACACCCATGGAGACCCAAACCTCTACCCAAAACCCTACCCGTGTTCACTTTTAGGGAACCATTGTATCGGTCATCCACTCATTCCTACCGTGACCATCTGTCCAAGGAAAGACAGGAGTGTCTGCCCCACGGCAACAGCACACCCACCTGACATTCTCCTTCATCATGCGCAGCACGTCCTCCTGCGGCACCGCGCGCAGTATCTCCACGATGCGCGGTATGTCCGCCTTGGACACGCGCACGGAGAAGTCCGGGTAGTGCAGCAGGTCCTCGAACGGCTGCGGGAACGGGCAGGCGGGCGGGGGTGGGGGAGGTGGGGTGGGTTGGAGAGAGACAGGGCAGCGGGGAGCGCCCGTAAAACAGCGGTGGGAGGTAGGATCGGGGAATCATCGGGTAAAGCCTGCCCCCATACCGTATCCTCACGTGCCACGCACACTCAACGCGCCAGCCAACACGCAATGTTCCTCCTCCAACCTTCTCCCCATGGTCGCTACCGGAACCATGTAACCCCCAACACCCCACCACCAGGTGCCGCCTCCTTCCTCACTCCACACGTCCCTACCTGCCGAACCTTGTCCTGGATGATCACCGGCACACACGCATGCATCAGCGCGTGGGTCAGCCGGATGCCCCATCCATGGCCGTACGGCGCCAGACAGAACTTGGCTCGCGCCAGCAAGTCCTCATACTCCCCCGCACTCATGGGCTGGAAGCCCGCCTTGAACACCACGTCGGGGTAGGTGGTCTTGGACAGCAGCGCCGACAGCGCCTGCCGCACCCCGCCGCTGTACTCGGGCTCGTGGTGCCTGAGGGGGTAGGTGAGCGGCAAGAGGAGGGCGCGGGTGGAAGAGGGTTTGACCGCGAAAACGTGCAAACCCGTCCGCACTCCCATGCACCGGCATTCCCGCTTGGTTTGTCCCCACCCCAAGCACTTCCCATCCACCTGACGTCCCCGCTGAAGAAGAACAGCACATCCTTCTTCTCCATCAGCTTCTCCGCGCCCCCCGGCTGCTCCAGCTGTGCATGCACCTCCCGCACCAGCGTCGCCTTGGGCTTGAAGAAGGGCGCCAGCACCACGTCGCGACTGCTCTTGAAGCAGCCGTACTCGCGGTTCTGGACCAGCGGGCCCATGTCCGTGATGTTGGGCCGCTCCAGACCGAAGTGAACCAGCTGTGGAGGGGAGAGGCAGGTGGTGGTAGGGAGTAGGGGGGAGGGAAGGCGGAAAGGAATGGGATGAGAGGAATCGAGGGAGGCGGGGGTGGGAAGGGTGGGCGAAGCTAGGTTGGAGGCGGGGTGTTGCAGGGTAGCTGGGTATACTTAAGGTAGCTGTAAGATAGCTAGTGTAGAGGAGCGGAAACGGCGTCAGGAGCGTTAGGACGGACCCGGCGGTATGGCGGCTGTGCGCATGCTTGCAGGAGCCGAACGTTTTGTTTCAGGTGGGTCGGAAGGAACGTAAATAACGCGGCCATGGCTAGGGGTTGTTGCCTGTAACCCTGCCGCCTTGCCTCGGGCTCCGCGAGCACGCAAAGGCGCAGGAGTGCGGGCGTGTGCAGAGAGTCAACCTACGGGGTCCATACACCGTCCATCCACACAACGCCAGTAGTCTTAGCACACAGCGGTGTCAGCCTCATCCCCCCGAACCATCGCGGCACGTGCAGCAGCCCCCGCAGCCCACCCACCGCACCGCACCGCTCCCAGCCCCCACCCACCCTGATCAGGTTCTCCGTCTGCGGCATGGCTTTGAGGTAGCAGCCGCCCCGGTCGGAGGTGAGCACCACGAAGTGGTCTTTGCCGCCGCTGCGCTTGAAGAAGGGGAACTTGTCCGCCACCCAGTCCACTGCGCGGGCTACGGCGGCGGTGGGGTCGCCCAGATTGGCTGCGACAGCGGGGCGGGGGGAGCGGGGGGGAGGTAAGGAGCGGGGGTGGGTTGTGAGCTAAGGAGCTAAGGAACAGGACTGAGTATACCGGGCTGCAATTGTCCAAGCAGCGGAACAGTGCCTGCAGGAAAGGGTTGAGACTGCGGCCGGACGGAGGGGGGGGGGACCGGAAGCATGCAATGTGAGGTTTGGGTCACAGGGTGACGTTGAGGGTAACAGGACATGCGGTTAGGCTGTTGTAGGGGTTGGGGTTAGGGAAGTAGCCGGGAGAGAGCGTGCATAGTGCTCCTGTGTAAAGGGGCGGGGTAAAGGCGTGCACCGTGCGCCGTTGGGTTGGTTTGTTAGTTCGCATCCCCAGTTCACCACCATGCGCAGCCGCCCCACCTGTGACGTAGTAGGCAAAGGTGGGGATGTAGAACAGGTTGGCCTCGTGCGGGTTCTCCGTCCGCACGCCGCCGGTGTCGGCCAGGAAGGCCTCCATGAAGCGCATGAAGGCCTGGTAGATGATGTAGACGTCGGTGCTGGGGAGCGGAGGGGGGTCAAAGACCATACCAAACCATAGGAGACCACAAGTTAGGGAGCGGAGGGGGGGAGACGTAGAACCATGGGAGGGAAGGGAGAAGAAGTTAAGTGGAAGTGAAGCAACCGGAGTCCCAGGGAGAGAGAGGGGGGCAAAGGGGCGGGCATGTAGGGGCGGGGAAAGCAGGGAGCACAACGCCGTATGAGTAGGGAGGGGTGGGGGCGTTGACGTACTGAAGTACGGATGGGCCAGGGGTCGACAGGCGCACGCAAGCCACCCTAGCACTAACCCCACCTCACCCACCCAACCGCATCCAACGCTGAAGTTGGTTGTATCCCCACATCATTCGCGCTACTCCCCCGAACCCCACTCACTCCCCATCGTCGAACTGCTGCGGCCCCGCGATGCCCATGGGCACATCGTACATGTAGATCTTGAGCGCGGGGTAGTAGGGGTAGGAGACGCTGTCTGGGGGGGAGAGGAGGGGGCAACAGGAGCAGAGCGCAGGGGGAAACAGGAATAAGACGATAGCGGGGGCGGCTGGGCGCTGGGGGGCGTCAGGTGGCAGGGCGCAGGCACCCGACAAAGCCAGCATTGCTCAACAATCCCGCATGCACCTCTGACACCGCATTCCACATCTACTTGTATGCATGTCCCACCCACACCACAGCTCGCAACCTCCACCCATCGAACCTGGCCCACCACCCATTCGCCACACCCCTAACGGGGCACCTTAGCGCAACTGTTTTCCCTTTGTTACCCATCCACCTCAGAACTACACCCCAGACCTCGCCCGCGGCACTTACCCTTGACAGGCTCAAACGCCTTACTCCGCCCGCATCCAATGCCCCAGTACGGCGGCTTGCACTTGCAGAACCCGCCCACGCAGGTGCCCCGCCCGCCGCAGTCGTTGGGGCAGAGCGGCGAGGGTGCGGGCTGCGAGCAGTCGGGTCCCGCGAAGCCCGGTTGGCAGTAGCAGGTGGGCGGGCCGCTGCCGCCCGCCCCCACCAGCCGACACACGCCCTGGTCGGAGCACCTGCGGGCAGGGAGGTGTGGGGAGGGTTGGGGAGATACCAAAACCGTGCACAGGGGCGGTGGGAAGGAGGGAACACATGGTTGTGTTCCATGGGAAAGGGGATGTAAGACTGGAAACGGCGCGTGAGGAACATGGAGGGAGGGCGTTTTTTGGACTAAGAGACGCCTTGCCGCTGCTTTCCTGAAACCGGCGCTGGCACCAGGGCATGGCGGGGACTGGTGGCACCTTCTCTCGTGAAGTATACTGTGCCCATAGGACCCAAGCACTACAACCAGTTGCCGGTTGCCGGCCGCCGTCATGTCCTCTTGCTTTCCGCCCAAGGGGTGCCCATCCGCAGGCTTCGCGCCCACCCTGCACATCACACCTTCCCGCTTCCGCAAATCCACGTCCTCGCAAACCCCAACGCACTTACCATCCCCGGCCCTATCCCCAACTCCATTCCCATTCCCATTTCTCAACTCCCCTTTGCCGCTTCCCGACCCACCTGTTCGGGCACTTGGACAGCGCCACCGCAAACCGCAGGTGGTCATGTGAGGGCGGCTTCGCTAGCGGCTCAAAGTCCCGCACCTCCTCCGCCTCCTGCTCCGCCGCCGCACCGCCGCCCTCAGCGACCCGCCGGGTCACCACGCCGCGCTGCCAGCGGTACGCCGGGTCGTCCAACCGCTCCGGGAGCTCCGAGAGCTGCTGCTCCTCGGGTTGGCTGGTGTGCTCGAAGCAGGTCAGCGCGCCCCATAGCGATACGGTGTGGGAGGCGCAGCGCGAGGAGGGGGTAGCGGTGGATGAGGGGGAGGAGGAGTTGCTGGGCAGGCATGTGGCGCGCAGGAGCTGCCGGTAGCAGTGGCAGTTGCGCGGGACGGAGCGGCCGAGGAAGATGGGCGCACCGGGGCGGAGGGTGGTGCGGCAGGCGGGGAGGGTGGGCGACTGGCAGCTGGGGCCTGCGTGGGGCAGGGCGGTGGTTGGGGATGGAAGGTAATGGGTGGTTAGGAGGGAGGTGCGACTGGCAATGGTTTTGGCAGGGCATGTGGAGGATGTGGGTAACAACGGGTGCAATGGGTCGAAGAGGAAAGAAACAGCGACCTGGGTCCTGTTAGAGGTGGGGTGCGTAGCGCAGCCGAGTAGGCAAGGGAGGGGCGCATAGGCGTGGGTGACGGTCTGTGCTGACAGGGGTAGCATGCTAGAAGGGCCTTTCCGCGTAAAGCCGTCATGCACAAAGAATTTAACGGTAGGGGGGCGTGGGATGGATGTGAGAGCAATAGCACCCCGGGTTTGCAAAATCCGCATTTTCCGTGTGGGATCAACAATTTCACGCCTCGTGATCCATTATAAGTGGGGCACAGCGGACGCTGCAACCATCGGCCACGGACGTAGCAACAGCGCCCATGTTACGACCTTTCACCTTCCGTCCGCACCTGTCAACCCAAACGGGCATTCGCACTCCCCTAACTCCTTGTTACAGTTCCCATGAGACGTGCACTCCTTGTCGCACGTCTTGTCCAGCTCCTGAACGCGCAGCGTTAAATCTGCTCAAACTTGGTGTTGTTTAGCGCGTTTTAACGGTTACGGATCGATCACCTTAAACTGATTAAAAGGTTGCCCGCCTAAGGCTGTTACGGCCACTGTCTCCGTGCTTAGTACTTGCTGGACGATGTGTAGTGATAGCAGGACAAAACACCACGGTATGTAGCCATGTCGCCACATGTTTAGTAACTGGTATCGTTCATACAACCTCGTGGACTTGGGCTTGGGCCTGAGCTGTTCATTCGCTCTAAAGCCGAATGTACGACTAGCTGCTGTACTCAAGGTGGAGGAACCCTGTTGGACTGGTTTACAGTGCTGCATCAGAAACTTGCGTTGCCACACACCGTAAAAACTTTGTATTTCTAGAGGGACTTTTACCTTGACTTGGACTAAGACTGGACACCGCAGCGAATCGCAATGAGTTAGTTTGTCGTGCTTGCATAGGCCCGAGGGCCTTTGGTCAACGGGAGAAATGACGGCTTGCATTTCTTAGGGCCTCATAGAAGCCCGCATGACGAGCGGTGTTCCAGAGGTGGGACCTTATGCAAGCCGCACGCAACTATAGGCATACCGCTTGCCTTTTACAAATACGTTTGGCGTGCGCGTTTTGAGCTGCCGCCTCTTTTGGGTACTCCAGGCCTTCGGCTTCGTGCCACGGCACATCGTTGCTGACCTCCAGGATGTTGGCAATTGGAAGGTTAGTTGGAAGATTGCCGTCATAAATTAACGCGGACAAATTAGTCTCTCTTCTACGCGGCTTGGGGATGACCGTAAAAGGTGACAGCTTCCTGGGACGGTGTGCTTATTAGGAGGGTTCTCAGACGCATGTTGTTGCCCCCTCTACAGTCACGGGCGACCGCTATCGATGCCTTGCACAAGTACCTTAAGGATGTTGCCAAGCCTGCCACCCTGGTCCCCTCGCTCGCGGACTTTGTCAAGTTCCTGGCGGACCTTGTTGTCGATGCGAACTTTAAAATTGCAATATCTGCAATGTCAATCCTTGGGGACCTGGCGACAAAGGTTGGCAGCGAACTGCAACCTTACCTCAGGTACGCGTCGTATACTTAGCTTCACAGCCGTCAATGATTGTACCCATAGATAACTTGGGATGTTATAAGTAGGGGGCGCATAGCTCTCATTCTTTACTTTAGTAACTATGCAAGCATAGAGGGTTATCGCCGCGCGCGGCGTCACTGCGAAGGCGCCCACCCTCGGGTTGCGACACCGCGTCTGCCATGCAAGCTTTCCTAAATCCCAACACCAGGACCAGAAAAGTACATGCTATCACTCCTACCTGTTATATCCACATGACTCGTGGCTCCAATCCCCTCACCTCCAACCTCCCGGGGCTCCCCTCACTCCTACGACCGCCCGTACCACCCATATGTGTCACCCACGTGCTACCCGCTCAGAGTGGCTGCCATCTCGCTGCTTGACAAGCTGGTGGACAGCAAGATCCTGGTGCGCGGCGCCAACATGAAGCTCATCAAGCGGCTCATGCACGCCTGCTCGCCCGCCACGGTGCTGGCGGAGCTGGCGGCGGCGGGCGCCAGCAAACCCAACTGCCGGGTGCGGGAGGAGCTCATCAACGTGCACATCATGGTGCGTGAGAAGGGGGAGCGGTGTGAAGAGGATAGAGAGGAAGAGGCTGACCGGGTGACAACGCTAAAGGGGATGGGAGGGGCACGCGGCCGCGTCACGACTGGCTTGGCCAGGCGATTTGGGTCGTTGGGGTCTCCGACGGGAACATACGCCTACGATATGGGTCAGAAGGATGAACTAGCAGAAGCACTCCTAACGGTGTTGCATGATGCGCCCATTGCCCCCTCCCCCTTCCTGTCGCGGACCGGCCCCGCAGGCCATGCTTGCTTTCAGCCGCGGCTCCTACGACGCCGCCGCGGTGTACCGGCTGCTGGCGAGCGGGCTGGAGGACGCGAAGGAGAAGGTGCGGCTGGTGGCGCTGGAGGGGCTGGCGGTGCTGCACAGCCGGCTGGGGGGCGAGGAGCTGGCGGCGCTCATGGCAGGGGGCGGCGGGCAGCAGGCGGGCGGGGGGCAGCCGCTGGCGGAGGCGCTGCGGGCGCAGGTGGCGGCGCGGCTGGCGAACCCGGCGCTGCCGGTGCTGAACGGGGACGGGCTGGTGGAGCATGCGGTGGAGCTGCCCAGCAGCGATAACCCGGACATACGGCTGGTGGATGCGGCGTTTGGGGGAGCGCCGGGTGGGTGAAGGGCGCAGGGAGGGAGGGAAGTGAGTGGGCGGGTGAGGGAGGGGCGGAAGAGGATGGTGGGATTGATGTGGGGAGGTGGGTGTCTTAAGTGGATGTGAATTACTGGGCGCGGGCGTGAAGCCGGTACGGTGCACATGGGGCTAGTACACAACCCATGGGCTTGTCTGGGGGAACGAAGCACGCCCTCGCGCATCCCAACCGTAGCGGGGACCCTACTCCACTCCGGGCATCTGAGCATCACACCTTAACGTGATCCAGTCGCGCGTCTTCCTCCTTAACCCCAGGTGTCAAGATGTCTTGGGGCGAAACCGCCACGCCACCCCGGCCGCGCATGCGCAGCAATCCCACCGCCGACGGCCTGGCCCCGGCGGTCTCCCGGCCCGCACAGCCCATTGCCATCCCTGCTCCCCCTGCCCCGGGCGCTGCCTCCGGACTTGACCTCATGGCGCGCATGGGCTCGGACCCGGTTGCCAGCGGCCGGCGGGAGGCGTTGCTGCATATGGACGGCGGGAGGGGGACGGGCGGGGGTGGGTTGCCGGCCGCTCACCCTCCCATGCACATGGAAGGTGGGAGGGGGACGGGCGGGGGTGGGTTGCCGCCCACCCACCCTCACGTGCAGCAGGAAGACGCCGGCCTGCTGCCCCCGCCACATCGCTCGGGGAGCATACAGCCACTGCCGCCTACAACCGGCAGGTGAGGTGGGGGAGAGCGGCTGGTTGGAGGGGGCCGGTGGGAGGGGGGCATTCAGCCTGGTACGGGTTGCATGAATGGAAGGAGAGCGCCTGCTGGAATTGCACATATATCGGTGTGCCCCTAGCACTTTTCCTCCTCTTATTTTTTACTTTTCCGACCTTACCTTCCAGGCTTGGCTCGCACGACTTGCTTTCGGGCGGAGCGCCCATCACTGCCGCCCCGCTGCTGAGTGCCACTGGCTGGAGCTCCCACAACCCGCACCTGCAGCAGCAATCAGCCTCTCACCCGCACCCGCAGCCGGGCAGCAGCAGCCTGCACCGCGGCACCTCCCCGCTGCGGGAGGTGACCATGTCGGGGCCGGGGGGGCTGTCGCTGCTGGGCACGGAAAACTCGCAGGAGCACAGCGGCGGTGGCAGCGGGCCGGGCGGGCTGGGGCACGGCAGCGCGCTGCAGCCGCTGAAGCACCCATGGGGAGGTGAGGCGGCGGCTCTGCGCCGGGGGGGAGGGAATGGCGGTGGGGCAGGTGTGGCGAATGGGACGCGGGTACAGGTGCCCGGGGTAGGGTAGTCTGGGGGTGAAGGTCCCATCCGGGGTTACGTGAGGGAGCGGTAACACGTGCATGGTGCTTGTGGGTGAGTCGTTAAGTGGTGTGCTTCCTGCCCTGCCCCGTGCCCCCCCCCCTCCTTTCCCCACCCGCAGCCTCCCGCTCCCTGGACAGCCAGGCTGCGGGCGCCGCCAGGGGGCTGCAGGAGGGCTGCGAGGACAGCCCGCTGTCGCCCACTCGGGGCTACCAACCGCTATTCAACCACCGACACAGCGGCTCCACGGGTGAGGGAGCGCTGCGTGGGTGGGGTGAGGGAGGTGGTCGGGCTTACATGGGGCTTACAGGGGGCACGTGGGGTACGTCGGCAGGGGTACTGGCACTGTGCGAGGAAGCTGGGAGGCGGTGTCATGCATGGTGTGTCCATGCGCATTCTGTAGGAGGGCAGGGGGTGCGCCGGGTGCCATGACATGGCAGGAGTCCACACGACTGCGTTTTTCCGTTCATCCTCACCACCTCCTAAGCACCGCACCACAGCCCTTTCGTCCTCCCTCCCTGCCGCGCGGGATCCTCCAACCCGTCCGCTTGCCGGCCCACAAACCGCCGCTAGCCCCGCTACCGATAACCCCATGTCCACCGCACCGGCAATCTCCCTCGTTCCTCCCGCAGCCACCGGCGACCCCGGGCGGGACAGTCTGGACCTGCTGGCCCCGCGCCCCACCTCCGTGCGCACGCAGGCGGCGCAGGAGCTGCGGGAGTCGCGGGGGCCGCCCGCCCACTCGCACTCGCACCCGCCTCCGCAGATGCCCGCGTTCAGCTCGCAGCAGCTGCACCACCACCTGCCGCCGCAGCAGCAACAGCAAGGGTTATCTGGGACGCAGGCATCCACAGGGTTATGGCTGCCGAGCGGTCTGGAACAAGACAGCGCTGGTAAGGGAGGAGGGAGGGAGAGGCAGACTGGGGGAGTGAGGCTTGAAAGATGGTTGATGACTGGTACCGGTGAATGAGAGCATGGCGAGTAAATGGAAGAGGAATAGGAACCGCACGAATGCTAGTAGGCGACATGCAGCTCCATAATAGGCTGTGAAGGACGAGGATAGCTGAGCCTCGGCGAGCATCTTGACTGATGCTTGGTGACTGACCTTTCCCTGTCTCTGCCTCCTTGCCCCCAACCCTCTCCTCCCCCCCCAGTTACCCGGCAAGAGACCTTTAGCCCCAGCAAAGCGGAAATGCTCGCCCGGCTCAAAAACCGGCAGATTGAGAAGCGAGCGGCCACCGCGCAACAGTTGGTACGTGCCGGTGCGGAAATGCTCAGCCGTCTGACGCTTCTGTTCTCACTCCTTTTTTGGGGGGGACATGAACATGAAGCCGTGCTTTTGTACCCTTTCCCTTTGCGGCAAAACAAGTGGATACCGGTTATCGCCGCCACCGACCAATCATTTCCCCTTGCTTAACGCCCTCACCTACCCGGTTGCTCCCCTCCCTCTTCCTGCCTCCAAGCTCTGCTCCCACTCCATCCGCCCACCATTTGCCGCATTCCTCCCTTCCCTCCAACCCCTCTCTGCCCTGCACTCCCCTCCCCACCCCCCGTCCTCTCAGGACGCCGGGCAGGGCCCCGCCAGCAGCGACCTCGCCTCCGCCCCCACTGACCTGCCCGCGCCCTCGCTCAGCTTCTCCGTGGGCCAGAACGCGCGGCGCTACCTGGTGCAGCAGTTCTCGGACGGCCAGCGGGAGGGGGCCAGCAGCCGCGCCGAGGCCGCTAACCCACGCGGCTACAACAGCGTCCTCAACACCCCCACACGCGCACAGGGCACCCCTGCCAACCCCTTTGACGACGGCCCCCCCTCGACGCATGGACACCGCCCGGCGCGTGTGGGCTTGGCGGCTCGGCTGAACCGCGCAACACCGCTGAACTCCGACTCGGCCCTTGCATCTGGACTGGGCAGCGGCCCCGGCCCGGGCTCAGCAGGGGCGGGGCCTGGGCAGCCGCCGTCCGCGGCGATTGCGATTCCCACTCGGTCCCCCACGCTTCCAGGTAGGTGCTGCGGAGCAGCGCAGATGGTTGGGGGGTTCACTGGAATGTGGGTCGCGTGTTCATAGAGTGTCCTGTCATACGGAAATAAGAAAGAATGAGGGCGTGCGTAGTTTACAAGTCCACAATTTCCTGCCCTTAGGAAGTAAGGAAGGATAGGGAGGTGCGTAGTCCAGTAGTCCAGCTTGTATGCACGGTAACGGGGTGGCTGCATGGGGCTGTGGGCAGGGAGCAGAAGGGACCTTGGTGCTATGCACCAGTATAGCCTCCACACCTGCACGTGCACTGCCTCACACCGCCCCTTCCCCTCCCCCCTGCACCCCGACCCCGCAGGCTCGCATTCCGGCACCCCGGGTGCTAGCGAGGACTACCCCGCACGCAATCCCTCGCCCGCACTCAACCGCCTGCGTGCTCGCTCAGCCGAAAACACAGCAGCCAACCCGGGCACCCCTGGGGGCCCCGGAAGTGGCCCCGGGGCCGGGGGCGGGGCGGGGGTCAGCAGCGGGGGCGGTCCGGGGCCCACGCCCGCCACTCCCGGCACCGCCGCGGGTGCGTACTGGGAGAAGGGCCGCGGCGGAGATGTGGGTTCGGAGGAGCTTACACCCTTGGCGGAACCGGAGAAGGTCATCAAGTAAGACCACGGGGAGGGGCTTATGCTGGTGGGCTGGGGGAAGGGAAGACGTGCGGACGGCTGGCATGATGGGAAGCTCCTTTGCTCTAGTGGGAGGACAGTGCCCATGCGATACCCTACTCCACTTCCTGCGCTCACTACAGCTCACCTCACCTCACCGCTACCCGCCGCAGGGAGGTGATCGCCAAGCTGACCAAGGCCAACCATGCAGACCGAAAGGAGCTGCAGTGGCACGAGCAGTACGAGGCGCTCATAGACGCGCGGCGGCTGGTACGACACCACCACGAGCATGTGAAGAACTACATGCACGAGTTCATCCGCGCAGCCGCACCCGCCATCGACCAGCTGCGCAGCCAGACGGCCAAGTGCGCCCTGATGCTGTTCCAGGTGGGGTCTGGGGTGGGTGGGTGGGGTTGGGTGAAGAAGAGGAAGAAGCTAAGGGTGGGCGGGTGGGTGGGCTGAGATGGATTGGGCCGTGGTTGCGTGGGAACGAAGGAGGCGAGTGTTGGTGCTTGGGCTTGTTATTACCAGCTCAACCTTTGCTTGGGTGCCTTTCCCTTTAATCCGCATACCCTCGACTGACACCTCCTGCCGCTCTTCCCCCTCCCCATCTCGCTGCCTCCCAGGAATGCTTCTGCCTGCTCAATCCCCGTGTCCTGGAACGCGAGCTGGACGAGATCGTGCCGGTGCTGCTCAAGAAGGCGGGCGAGGTCTCCAACGCCGGCCGCGACAACTTCCTAGCAGCCGAGGCGGACCGCGTACTTGCAGAGATGTACCGCTGTTGCAGCGAGTCACGCTCCACGACCGCACTGCTGAGCTGCGCCGGCCACAAGAACCCCTACGTGCGCGGCAAGGTGGCCTTCCACCTGGACAACCACCTAGAGGCCTGCGCGGGCGGCGGCGGCGGGCGGCAGACGTTAGCGGGCAACACCGCCTGCATAGAGCGGTTGTTCAAGGCGGCTGCGGCGTTTTTGGAGGAGGGATCTCTGGACACTCGTACCCACGGCAAGCGCATCATCTGGCATGTCAAAGGGCTGATGCCCAGTCGCGCTGAATTCGAGCGGCTGTTGGCGTGCTTGACGCCCGAGTCGTTGCATCGAAAGGTGGTGGATGTGGTGGAGGGGCTCAACGGCCCGCCGCCGCCGCCATCGCGGGGTTTCGCTGGGGCAGGAGCAACTGCAGGGGCGGGAAGCCGCATGGCGTCACGGCAAGTGGGCACAGGCACGGGTGCGACGCCGGCTAGCCCAGCGCGGCCGTTGTTAGACCAGGCGGCTGGGAGTTTGACGCAGCCACCGCCGCCGGTACGGCAAGGCAGCTACTCGGCGCCGTCGCCGTTGCATTCTGGCAGTGCGACGCCCGAGCGGCGGCGGTTGGGGCGGCAACGCACTAACGATCTCGACGGTATCCCGGAGAGCGGCGGCAACAGCCGTACCAACAGCTTTAACGGTCGCCAACCGCGGCTCAGTGCGGGCGCCGGCGCCGCTGGCGGCGGCATGGGTGTTGGCGGAGGCGGCCTGTCCAGTAGCGGCCGCCTGCGTCATGCCGCCAGTGCTGACGGCAGCACCAGCTCCGCCGGCATGCCTTCAAGCAGCACCAGCAGCAACGGCTTCGGACCCATGGTTCAGGAGACGGTTGTGAAGGCGCTGCAGCTGCTGACCGCCAAGGACTTCCGCGAACGGATTGAAGCCATGCGCAACGTGGAGGGTGTGGTTTCGGCGCTGTCCGGCGCACCTGACGGCCTGCTCATGACGCTGTTAGACGCGCTGGTCGCTCGGCTCGGCGACGGAAACACCAAGGTCTCCATGGCCGCACTCGGACTGGTTGCAAACCTGGCTGGCTCCCTACGACACCGCATGTCGCTAGGGCTCAACACCTTGGTTCCCGCACTAGCAGCGACCCTGGGCTCAACCAATGACAAGGTCCGAGCCGAGGCAGTGGTGGCTGCCGACTCGCTGCTCGCCTCGCTGGACCCGGCCATGCTGGTGCAGCACTTTAGTCACTGCGTGGGCAACGGCACGCTGCAACGCGGCAAACCCATTCTGGTGGAGAAGCTGGTGCAGATCGTGAACGGGTTGTACGGCACCAAGCCTCAGCTGGTGACGAGGTACGCGGTGCCAGCGGCGTTTGCGCTGTTGAACGACAGTCGCGGCGGGGAGGCCAAGGCGGCGGCGAATGCGCTGTTGGGTGCGCTGGCTCGGCTGATGGGCCCCGCGCTGCTGGAGCAGGCGACGTCGTTGAATGGGGTGGCGCAGCAGAAGGTAGCGGAGGCGGTGGCGGCGGCGACGGGGCAGGTTATGAGTGAGTGGGACCGGGAGCGGTCGGGTACAGGGGACAGGCACGGTGGCGGGGGGCGGTAGCAGCCGTGTGACACGGCAGATAGTAGGGAGCAGGGCTGGTGATGGTGTTGGTGGCTTGGCATGGGTGGGTTTCTGACAGCATCAGGGTGTTGTAGTAACACATGTGTTGATACCGGGTAGGTTTTGGGTTGGGCGGAGGAGCTCGTAGGAGGGAAAAGGGCGGTTGGTTATGGCACGGCCTAAACTCGCTCGTGGCTCGGAGACGAACCGCCGGAAAGGCGGACGGGCCTAGCTGTCGGCTGTTCTAGCCTGCGCGAGGTCATTATTACCTGGACTACCGAGGCTTCTCTTGCTGTTGACTGCATGGACGATGCCAGGTGTGCTGCCTCCGGTGACTCGTGGACGAACACTCTCTAGTATATACGGGACATGTGACCGCACCCAACACCATGCACGGGTGCATGAACGGGTGTGTCTGGCAAGACAGCACTGCGCATCGGTGATTGCACGGGATTGGGGAAAAGATTTTGGCGTAGCATACTTAATACAATCGTGGATTGCATCAGCAAAAAGTCATTGTGGTTTGGACTGGTGGTCATGCACAATAGCACTGTTCCCATTCGCTTTCAAGATTCCTGGAGGTGTATGCTGAGTTGAGTAGATTATACCGGTACACATTGTGGGGCATCTGGGAATGTCATCTCGCGTTGTGGTTTAAGTAGACCCAAGAGGAGTGCAGACGTGCGCTGATTCAGGTGATACTGACACGTGTGCCGTACGATGTCTAATGACCTGCAAGGTCGTGTGCTATACAAGAGCGCGATGAACAATGAGTGTGACTCAGGTTACAATTGTGCATGGTTGGCGGGTGGCGAATGTTGTATATCTGCTGGAATGCGCTAGGATAGCAGGAGTGCACGGCCACGTCTACTGCTGGTATACGGATGCGGATGGATTGCCGCCGCCACTACCGCCCTCCAGCCGGCCCTCGCCGCTGCCAAACCCACTTGCGGCCTCTTTCGTGCTTTCACCGCCGTCCGTACTGTCTACGGCGCTTGGAGCATTAAGCTCCTGCTTAGAGGTCGCTCCTGGCGCCTCACGGAGTTTGCGGATGAGCTCAGCCACCCGCGGCCTCTTGATGCTGCCTAGGCCACCACCAACGCCGCCGTCACTGGGAGCACCACCGCCGCCCCTGCCATCGGCATTAGTAGCCTGCCGCTGCGGCGACTCTCCATGGCCATCGCCTTGACGTTGGTGATCGCTGCAGCCTACATGCAAGAAACGCAGTGCAGAGGGGTTGTGAAACAAGCAGAAGGTTGTATGGGAAGAGCAGTCGAGAGGCGATGGGAGGGTTGGCGGTCAGAGGAGATGGAGGGCGCCAGCAAAATGTCAAGGGGGCAGCGTAATGACAGGATTTAACCCCATTCCACTGTCGCTACCGTCCCCTATGCCACTCACCCCACCCACCCCCACCTCGCTACCGCGGATACGATTTCAGTGGGGGGGCGTTGAACCTCGCCCCTTTTTTGTGGCACCCCGTCGCCTTCCACAACCCCTCGTGTTCTGTTGATATCCCTACCGCTGCAAGCTATCCTGACCATCTCTCCTTCACTACCAAAACAGTTACAGTGTGTCCGTACGAGCCAGGGGGGCCAAGGGCACCATGAGAAATGAACCAAAGTGCCAAACTTGGCCGTTCCATGGGTACCTAAGCTTCTACCGATCCTCTCCAACATGCCATGACAGGATAAACCGTGAAGGCTATAACGCCATCCTCGGTGCCCCCATGGGTCTCTTACGCTTGCGGCAGGGGTCGTGTCACAGTGCCTGGGGCAGCTGCACGCCCGTCAGCATGGTGCCGTAATGGGTGCGGCCAACATCACTCCCTTTCACCCCCCTGTACGACAACACCCCAGGTCTCCCCATGCCAAACAGCATGACGAGGGTGGCCTCCAAGTCGCCAAGAGGTCCGCATGCCGGTTGAAGTCCGAGAGCATACCGGTATCCACACCGCCCCACGTCCGGTGCACATGTGAACCTGCAGCGACAGGCCGTCAATGCATTCCCGTAGCAGACACCGTGGCACAGTGCCACCGGGCGGCTGCATACATGTGCAGATGGAGTTGCGGCCACCCTTTCCCCCCCGCTGCAGCCACATTCGGGACGACATGACCTGCCTACATGGCGGCTCCTCCATGCTGCCATACACCCCCTCCCTTTCACTCCCCCACCTACAGCAGCACCACCCTGGGTGGCAGGTCGCCCAGCTGCTCCCAGAGCTCCAGCAGCTGCCGCAGCCACTCCTCCTCGCCCACCCGGCACCGGGCGGCTGCATCGTCCCACAGCGACTGCAGCACCTGCGGCCAACGTGCCGGGGTTTGCGTCACAAGCCACCATGCGGTCACCAGGCAGAGATCCATAAAAGGTAAGACACACAGAAAGGTACAGTATGGCTTGCCCTTGCATGGAACCGCAATCATAATTCCCGAGCCAAAATGTCGCGCCCAACACCGGCTTGTACGTTGACCGGCATACGGCAACGGTAATGGCGCGCATGAAAGGGAACCATCCTATTTCCTACATCCGTGCAAGCAGTGCGAGCAGGTAGACCGTGGCCCCGTGTCTGCGGACCGCACCGCCTAAGACTGTACGACACGTATGACAGGTATACCGTACCAAACAGACCACAAACGAACAAACAAACCACACCCAGCAGCGCAACAAAGCTACAACTACAACCCCGGCTTATCAGAACCATGTGCATATCTGCTGTTGCACATGCTGGCAATGGCGCACGACGGAGACGAGAAGGAACGTCTTATCGCCCCCCGAAACAGTGAGATCCAGCCCACCTCACGCCCTAACGCACGCACCTGCAGCAAGGCTTCGCGGAATGCTTCAGCACTGCCAAGACACCCCAGTCGGCTAACAACTCGGGTAGCCTCCATGCTTTCCTCCGCTGCCGCTGCCGCAGCCCTGACAGCTGCCTCCACCGCCTCCACCGCCCCACGCAACTGAGTACTGCACGTCAGCATCATTGCGCCAGCCTGCAGGACGACGGGTGGGAGCAGCTGGTACGCCACCAGTGGTGGGTTGCTGGGGCCGCCACTGCTGCGCATGCTAGCCAGCGCCTGCTTGCCCAGCCCGCGTAGGAACGCCTCAAGGGCCCCCGCAGCCTCACGCAGCTGCCGCACCCGAGGGCCTGCAAGCAGGAGGAAATGCCACGAGGGGCCGTCAGGGGCCGTCAGCCGCTGCAGCACAGCCCTGCCCACTGCGGCCGGGTCGGAGGGCGCATGCGGCGGCTGGGAGGGGGCACCGGATGGCGGCTGCTGTGCGGCAGCAGCAAGGTGTGACGGGGCCTCTCCGGGGGCACGAAGCATGAACACGGCTGAGCTGCCTAACGCCAGCCAGAACGGCTTGCCTAGCAACTTCACGGCCGCCAGTGCTGCCCGGACGTCATGAGCGCGCACGATTCCCACATCCACCGTCTCACAACGTCCCACCAGCTCCCGCAGGGGTTGCAGCTGCGGGGCCTGCATGTCAGGGAGGTCCTCAACACGCCCAATGCTGACGCTGCGTATGGGCCTCCGTGCTGCATTGCACGTCAGCAGCAGCTCAAGCAGCGGCCCTCTTGCAGTGGGCAGCCGGATGTCCTTGAAGCAGCCGCCCCAGAGGCTGGCGGCGACAGCTTCAGACCTTCCAGCGGACGTGCTGCTGACATGCAGAGTCAGATCCTCCAGTGTCGGCGGCAAGCTCCCCAGCAGCTGCTGCAGGGCCCGGTAACCAGGGCTGCCGGCATCCAGCAGGCAACAGCCCAAAGATAGTGCCTTGAGCCGCTGCAGCCGTGCGATGCTGGCTGCTGCGGCCGCGCTGAGTGTAAAGCCACCGCCGGCATTGGGTGTAAACCTCAAGCCGAGCCTCTCCAGGCTGCTGGTCAGGCTGCTGCCCACTCCCTCGAGCAACAGCAGCGGGGGGGCCATGTCATCTGAGCGACATGACATGGACAGGTCTTTGAGCTTCCAAAGCTGCAGGATGTTGGCGACAGCTGCCTCACTTGGCCTGTCAGACCCATGGGTCATGTTGACCTCCAAGCACCTCAGGCTGCCCGCCAGTGCGCCCACGTGCTCCAGGGCGGGGCCGTACGGCAGCTTCAGGGTCTCCAGGTACGGCAGCCGGGCCAGAGCGGCCACCATGATCCGCTGCTGCACCGGGGTGAACTGCACGACGGTGTGCATCACGAGCGTAATCTGCCTGCAGGTGGCCACAGTGGCTGCTTGGCCGGCAGCAGCACCCCGCCCCCCTAACAGCTGGAAGGAGCAGAAACGGAAGCCGTGCTGGTGCGGCCGCGGTCCCAGGGCGGGCCCCGCAATGAGCACGTCTTGCTCCCCCAAGCCATCCGCGCGCAGGGCAATGCCGAGCTTGCCATTGGACAGAAACGGACCAGTCTGGAGCTTGAGCTGGTCCTCCGGACGCCAGGTCAGGGTGTATGCGCCATCGTACTGCATCAAACAAGCAGCACGTGTACGCGTATATATATATATACCCCAATTACTGCACCTTGCAACTGACGCAGGGCACCGCACTTCACACCTGTACCGCGGCAGGCTCAAACCTGTACCGCGGCAGGCTCAAACCTGTACCGCGGCAGGCTCAAGCCTGTACCGCGCGCCGTCAAATACCCGCACTGCCAGGGCGTCGTGCGCGGCGTAGAGCATGCGGTAGCGGCCATCGCTGCACCATGCCTTTACCTGTGTGGAAGCGTAGTCTGCTGCCGTGGTGACCATACTACACACCCACGCACGTGCTCTACTGTACACACCCACTCCACAAAAAGCTGTGCTAAAGTAACAAAGCATGGCGCCCTCCTGCATCTGCGACGCGCAAGGAAGCCTCACATGCCCACGTGGTGCTGCTGCTGCGGCCGCCACTGAGCGGTATGAGGACATGTGGTCAAACGACCTCACCGACGGGCAGAAGGTGAACTATCCCTTTTTCGACCTACCCGGACAACCGCTCAAGGGCAGAACGCAAGCCGAGTCTGCTCAGGAGTGTCACGACAACCCAGGCTGCGAGGCGTCTGTCTACAACAGTTACAACGACTGCTGGCACAAGTCGTACCGTACACGTGTACCGTACACGATGACGACGACAACAACAGAAACATCCAACTTGACAGCCTGTACAACGTCACCCTGGCAGCCGCCGTCCGCAGCCCCACGCCCGACTGGCAGGCCAAGGTTGAGTTGTTGGAGGGCTGGGGGCTGCCCAAGACAGCGGCGGCATGTTGGGTAGCCGCGGGTTGCCCGGACGCGCTGGCACGTCTGATGTGGCTGCGGCAGCGGGTCTACCCGTTGAATGCAGAAGCGGGAGCAGCAGCGGCGATGGCGGGCAGGCTAGACGCGCTTGAATGGCTGCTGTCCGAGCGGCTGTGGTGCGACGCAAATGGCGCGTACAGCGGCGTTCTTGCTGCGGCACGCAACAGACACCTGGAGGTGCTTGGTTGCTGACTAGTGTGTGTAGCTTCTGTCATATTGGGTTAGGCGGGTCGCTGGGAAAGATGCATGTGATCATGGCTGTGATGGGGCATGGCCGTTGTACGGTGCCATGCAGGAATGAAAAAGTCAACTGCCCAGCTGATAACGGAGCCCAACTTCTATTTCCACGTCATTGGCTAGCTGCCTGCCCTGGTTGTCATAGCACTGCATTCGTTCCATGCTTCCATCTGAAGGGGTTGTGTGTCACCTTGACGTGCTGCAACATCGCGCACATCTCTTTTTGTTGGAGCCTCTTGTTACACACGTGCGAGCTCAACCCTCATCGTCTGAAGTCACAATCCACTCTCCTCCACTCCTCTCATCCTCATTGTGCATAAAAGCATCTGGCATGTTCCCGCATCTAATAAAACACACTCATTTGTGATGGCCTTGCGCAAAACACCGCTATTATATTTAAACAGCGAATGAAATCGGCCTGGGAACCTGTACATGTGCCCCCGCTCTTGACCATTCCAGTCGCACAACTGGGCACTCAACTCAAAAGCCATTCTGCCCGACCCAGAAGTGCTCCACATGCCGCCATCCCATCTGCAATCAGCCATGCATGCCGCCATGTGCCACCCTGACACCCAACCCTTCTACCCCACACCCCCGCCTCATCCTTCCCCACGTTCCATCCACTGCACCTCGCAGTCTCGGTGTGTAGCGCCGCCTCCTTTCGTACGAATGGCGCAGGCGACTTCTGCGACAGTGTTGAGGGTTGGCGGAGTTGTTGCTGCTGGGACGGTAAACGTCACACAGCCAAACCTGGCAGCCCGTGCTGAGTTGGCAGAATGCTTCTCTAGCTTAATATGCACCAAGCCAAACTTGCCCATAGCTCTTAACAAGTTACGCGTGCTCGCCTTACCTTCACTTGGC